TAAGTTAAAAGACCTTACTACACTGAAGTAACTTAGTTTTGAATTCTGAACTCATTATAAGTGAGAGATTTAGCAGTATTCGCGAATATTTAACTTTTATATTACTACTCAATTTTACTTGTAGTTATGTTAAATTAAGAAATTTATGTTTTTAGTAGGAGTCTATAGGGAGAAGTGTTAATTAACTAATCTATTGTTTATTTTTCAGCACAATTATCTGGAATTTCAGTTTTAATATAATCAACATCTTAGCATTTATAAACATATAATTCTATGTAAGAAAAAATATTTTGATGGCCGTTTATAACTAGCTAAGGATTAGATAATTTACTAAAATCAAAGCAGCTCATACCTTACAATTCTTACCTTTAGCATTAAATTATATCTATAGGTACATATGAATTATTGGTGTTACTAGTTGAATCAGTATATTAAAAAATTGCTTTATAAACAAAATACGTTTTATTTTATTGAGCCTCTAATTAACTTATGAATTATCCTGAAGAAAGAGAAATAAAATCAAAACCAAACATTTCATTGTTTAAATCAATGCTAACCTAGCCAGGAAGGAAACTTTGCTATCTGAATTTGGGATCCATCTATCCAGTAAAATATTGGTAGGATTAATACACAAAATAAATTAGAGTTATTATGATAATTGATATTGTTAAAATTGCACCTAAAACAGTCCTTTTTCTTAACCTTTATGTATTAGCGTTGAACTAAATAGACTCAGAGAAAATATCAAAGTCTTTTAAATATTCTAATATTTTCATTTGAATCTCTACTTATTTTTATGTCAATTTTGTTTGCTTTTTTTTTATTAATTAATTTATTAATAATTAAAGAAATTCCAAAGATTAACTTTTTATATAAAATATTGTCTTTCGACTCAATATTAAAAAACTGTTTGCTATCTTAGTTGAAAATAAATTTTAAAATAGTAAAAACACAATATACTTCCTCTTCTGCTAATTGATGAACTGACAGTTAACAATTAATAAAAACTTCAAAAATTTCAGACATTTCGGGCATGCAAAAAAAGTGCAGGATTCAAGTATATTTAACAGATTTTTAAATTTTACATTATTTATTTTTGAATGAACAAACTAATTTTAGGAATGTGAACTTATTTAAATATAATAGTAAATTTTTTTAAACGTAAAAAGCATTTTTGAAGCTATTTTCAAAAATTTGATTAATTAAAAATAATTTTTAAAGATGAATTCATTTTCTAAGTTCAAAATAAACTAAGTTATCTAGAAAAAAACCATTAATTTTTTTTTGTCTCTTTAATATTTTTTGACTAGGATTAGGCAAAACGTTGTAATTTAGCAAATAGTTTGCAAGAATGCAATTTACTTCAATAGCCAAATGCTTTCCAATACAGTTTCTAGGTTCTGGGAGTAAAGTTAAAAGCATTTATTTTTGTGTAACAAAAATAAGTAATTCTTTTAAGTAAGTTATTCTTTTTAATTCATCCATCTATATAGGTCAAATTTTTCAGGATTTTGGTATAAGTCTGGATTTCTTTGGCTTTAGATAACTTTGTATTGAATAAATATCCTTTTTTAACATAAAATTCACCTATCTCTATATCTTTGTTTGCATATCTTCCTAAAACTGCTGCTGCAGGAGGAATAAGTCTTAAGGATTCTTTCAAAATAGAATGAACCAATGGCATCTAATAGATTTTCGAATGTAAGTGCTTTAAATAAGTCTTAAGGGTCTTAGCTTTACACAAAAAATTTAAGGATATTTATTTATTACTTCATCTCTTGCCTCTTCTTAAATTTCTGGATTTTAGGAAAGACAGTAAAGTGATACACCTGTCATATTTCCTATTTTATCAGTTCCTGCAAAGAAGAGAGCACAGAAATTAGTTATAATTTCATCTATGGTAATTTCTTTGTTTTCATTCAAAGGGATTTCTTTCAAGTAGAGGTCTAATAAATTTCTTTTAAATAAGGAAGAATCTTTTTAAAGCTCTTCTTTTCTTTGCATGATAACTTTATATACATTTAAACAAGTGAATGAAGTTTCGTTTTTCATAGGGAAAATATTCTAACTTTTTCTTTTTAAAATTACATATTTTAGTAGAAGTAATTTGTTTGTCTAAAGAATACAGATTAAATCAATAAGCAATTAAACAATTTCTGATGAAAATAAAATAGTACTCTCATCTTATCTTTTAATAGTGATGTCCTTAGAAGTTTAACTAAAAAGCGCTCTAAAGGGGACTTCTGAAGTTAATTTTTGGCAAATTTTACAACTTGAATCATTTTTTAAGCGCTATTATTTAGATCTTAAGTAATCTCATCAGAAATTACATGACTTACCTGTTTGATTGTTGGGAAGTCATTTTTTATTTCATCAAAATAGAATGATTAACATAAAAAATTTATCTATCTCTACTGTTCTTTAACACTCACACAGAGTAAAGAATTAGAAAACAAAAATACAAATGCTTATGAAATATCCATTTTTAAAAAAGCATCATGATTTTAGTGAACTTATTTGACAATCTCACATCTAATCTACTTTTCTTTGAAATTCAACATTTCTTCTGTTTAGTTGTTAAAAGTTAATCTTGTTATGCTATAATTTATTGCTAATCCAGGTATTAAAATATGATGAACTGGATAACATTATATTTTAATACCTGGATTATGCTTAATTTTAAATTAAAAAAATATATTAAAATATTTATGAAAAAATATGTAAAGGCACTCTTCAATAAAATTCATAAATTGAATATAATATTTAAATATATATAAAGGGTAGGTAGTTGTTATCTGGGTCTGGATTGACCCTGATAAAGCGATGGATGCTAATTTATTATATTTAGCATTTTTATTTTGATTTTTAAATATCGGGCATGCAAAAAAAAGGAAAGAATTCAAGTATGTTTAACAGATTTTTAAATTTTACATTATTTATTTATGAATGAACAAACTAATTTTAGGAATATGAACTTATTTAAATATAATAGCAAATTTTTTTAAACTTAAAAAGCATTTTTGAAATTATTTTCAAAAATTGAAAAATTGATTTGATTAATTACAATTATTCTTTTAAAATGAATTCATTTTCTAAGCTCAAAATAAACTAAATTATCTGGACATAAACCATAAATTGTTTTTGCCTCTTTAATAGGCTCTTGACTAGGATTAGGCAAAATGTTGTAATTTAGCAAATAGTTTGCAATCATGCATTTTCCTTCAATGATAGCTAAATGCTGTCCAATACAATTTCTGGGCCCTAGAGAGAAGGGAGTAAAATTAAACGCATTTTTTTATCTTTTTATTTTAAGAAAGAGCAAATTAATAAAATCAATTTAAAGGTTTTAACAAAATAAATAAATAATTATTTTAAATAAGTTACTCTTTTTAATTCATCCATCTATAAGGGTCAAATTTTTCAGGATTTGGGTATAAGTCTGGATTGCTTTAGCTGTAGATAAAATGTGTATTGACTAAATCTCCTTTTTTAACCGAAAATTCACCAATCTCTATATCTCTGTTTGCATATCTTCCTAAAACTGCTGCAGCAGGAGGAATAAGTCTTAAGGATTCTTTTAAAATAGAATGAACCAATGGCATCTAAGAGAGATCTTCGAATGCAAGTGAGTTGAATAAGTCTTTTGGGTCTTAGCTTTACGTTCTAGATTTAAGGATATTTATTACTTCATCTCTAGCCTCTTCTTGAATTTTTGGATTTTAGGAAAGATAATAAAGTGAGACGCCTGTCATATTGCCAGTAGTATCTGTTCCAGCAAAGAAGAGAGCACAAAAATTATCGATAATTTCATCTATGGTGATTTCTTTGTTTTCATTCAAAAGGATTTCTTTCAAGTAAAGGTCTAAGAAATTTTTTTTAAATAAAGAAGGGTCTTTTTGAAGTTCTTCTTTTCTTTGCATGATAACTTGTTTGCATGTATCCTTAAATACATTTAAGCGTGCGAATAAAGATTTTTCTTCTTTCATAGGGAAAATGTTCTAACTGTTTCTTTTTAAAATTACATACTTAAGTAGAAGTAATTTGTTTGTCTAAAGAATGCGAAAAGAATCAGTAAGCAACTAAACAATTTCTGATGAAGCTAAAACAGTGCTTCCATCTTCTCTTTTAATAGTGATGTTCTTAGAAGTTTAACCAAAAAACGCTCTAAAGGCAACTTCTGAAGTAACTTTTTCGCAGGTCTTGACAACTTGAATCATTTTTTTTTAAGAGCTATTTTTTAGATCTTAAGTAATCTCATCAGAAACTACAAGACTTACCTCTTTGATTGTAGGGAAATAATTTTTTATTTCATCGAAATGGAAGGATTTACCCAAAAAATGTCTCTATCTCTACCATTCTTTTCCGCTCACACAGAGTAAAGAATTAGAAAACAAAAATACAAATGCTTATGAAATATCCATTTTTGAAAAGGCATCATGATTTTAATGAACTTATTTGATAAGCTCAGGATCCAAAAAGCAATATCCCAATTTAAGCCCTATGTTAAAGCTATATGCTTTTACTTTGCTTTTTTCTGTTAAAGCCATCTCTCTTAAAAAGCTCAGACTGTCATTTTTATTTTTTAAGCCCTTCCTATACTCACCTAAAAGTCCAACTCCAAAGTGATAAATAATTTTGATTTTATCACCATACATTCTCTTGATTCTATTTAATTTAATGTTTGGAAGTATAACAATATAAAAGGCAAAAAGAAGGAGAGTTAGAAGCAATCCTAAAGCAAAAGTAGCAAATCCAGATATCATTTTTAGCGTATTTAAATATTTGAAGATTTTTTTAATATCTTTTTATTTTGTGAATAAATTACAATTATTTTCATGGATTTAAAACATCTTAATAGCACTTTTGATTTTGAAAATGTCTATTTTGAATATTTATTACTATTTTTCTTACACAATATTTTAATATAATTTGAATTATTTTGTTTGTAACTCTTAAAACACCAGTATTAAACTACTATTTATTTCTGACACTAATTTTATGATAATTAATTACATATGTAAATATTATCAAAAATATATCTTTCTTTTTCTAAATCATAATATTTAAAACATTTAAAAATAATACTTAAAATTTAAAATAATTTAAATTGATTTTAGATTTTGAAGCAGAAAGAAGTAAGTAATTTTAAGATGATATCATGCAAAAAATTATGAGCACTTATTTACTTTTAAATTAGAAAAATAACTTTATTAAAAATATTTAGAAAAGTCAGGATAAAAATTAACTAAATGCTAGCAATAAATAGTGCTAATTAATTATATAATTTCTATTACTTGATTTATTTAAAAGATAAATATAACTAACTCTATTACTTACAAAGTTTAATACATCAGAGATGTTGTGTTAAATTTGAAATAAAAATAAGTTAAAATTCTTTAAATTATTACTCTTAATGTTGTAAAAATATAGCAATTTTTATTAATATTCTAGAGAAAATAAAACATTTGTTAGGAATTATTAAAAAATAAATTTAATTTATTATCAAATTTTAAAAATGATTTGAGATAAGCAAAATATAAATTTGTCATAAATTTAGATAATATTTATTAAATATTGTTATTAATCAAAATTAATTGTTTGTTTTTACTTAAGTAGAACTTGTAATTATTAAAAAAAATAAATTAACTCTAATTAATTATATTCAGTTTATATCAAACATTTCTTAAAATAATTTCTAAAAATGAGTGTCTGTTTGTTAATAACAAAAAGTATATTCTTTATGATTTGTTGTATAAAGAATTTAAAAAAAATCTTTTGTTATCTTTAGTAGGGTAATTTGGTGAGAAAATATGATTTTTTTCTAAATAATTGCTATTAAATCTAATTAATAAATATAATAACTTTAATAATCAATTTCAATAAAATATTTAGTATTATTACAAATATTATTAACATAAAAAAGGTTGTCGACACTGGGACTTCCCAAGCGGTCCCCCACCTTAGTACTAACCCAGCCTTAAGGCGCTTAACTTCGGAGTTCGAATGGGATCCGGTGTTTTCACCTTAGTATGGCCGACAACAAAATTAATTGCAAACAATATATATTTATTATGATTAAAAAGACTACTTTTAAGTAAGTAAGTAATATATCCTTATGAGTAATTTTTTAAGTTGTAAAATTTGTTCGAACATTTTCATAAAAGTAAAAAAAGGTTGTCGACACTGGGACTTCCCAAGCGGTCCCCCACCTTAGTACTAACCCAGCCTTAAGGCGCTTAACTTCGGAGTTCGAATGGGATCCGGTGTTTTCACCTTAGTATGGCCGACAACAAAATTAATGAATTATTCTATCTATTTATAATAATATGTTTTTTTATGGAATAAACAAAATTAATTTTTATTTATTCATTTAAATTTATTTTTCAATATTTTAACAATTATAAAATGTTTTTTATTTAAAAAAAGGTTGTCGACACTGGGACTTCCCAAGCGGTCCCCCACCTTAGTACTAACCCAGCCTTAAGGCGCTTAACTTCGGAGTTCGAATGGGATCCGGTGTTTTCACCTTAGTATGGCCGACAACAAAACTTGTATGATGAAAAATATTTATATATATAATATTTAAATATTTATTAATGTTTCATGTTAAATAATAAAATAGAAAATAAATATTTATTAGAGATTAAATAAATGGATTTCAATAAATGTCTTAATAAAATTTTAGATTTAATTTAACTCTTAAAATTTACATTTTAATAGCAGGTATTTATTTAAATAAGAATAATATTGTTAAATAATTTTTAATTTTAATATAAAAATATGGTATTTAAAATAAAAATTAGAAGTAAAAGCCAACTTAAAATGAATAAAATACCTTTTTTTAAATTTTTGAACCTATTAAGAATATAAATTTTGCTGAGGCAATTTGCCCGAGTTGGTTAAGGGGGACGACTTAAGATCGCCTGGATGTAATCCGCGTGAGTTCGAATCTCACAGTTGCCAATATTTTTTTTTTTTTGCACTTTATATATAGAATTTTTAAATAGATAAAAAACTAAAAAAGCAAGAAGATCGATCCATAATTATCTAAACAAAAGAGAAATAAAAAACATCATTTATTTTTATTTGCCAAGAAAAAACAGAGAAAAATAATTTATTTAATACAAACTTAAATAAGAGATATAATTTAAATCTATTATAATTATCAAATTAATTAGATTAATGGCAAAAGTTCTAAGAAAATTGAAAGAATCTTTTAGAACAAAGAAGAAACACAGATTAGATTTGATATAGAAAAGGGAAAGCAAAAAATAAAGTAAATGAGAGGAAATTCACAAATAAAAAGAAGAAGATTAGATTGAATTTTTAAAAATAAATTAGTAGAAGTTAAGGATGAAAAATAAGGTGAATGTTTGAACAGATTGAATTAATGTAATTATGATTTCAATGTGAATAGATTTATTTACTTTTCAATTGATAGATAGATAGATAAAAAGAAAGAAAGAAAGATACAAAGAGAGAAATCAAAGCAGTAAAAAAAGTAAAGTAAAGTAAATTAAATAATATAAAATTTCAAATTTTAATTTAAACAAAATATCTAAAGATAAAATTAATAAACACATAAATAAATAAATGTCTGAATTATAAGTAGTTACCAAGAAACCAGGTGATGGTAAGACTTATCCTAAAAAGGGATAAACCGTCACAGTCCACTACGTCGGTACCTTCACTGATGGTAGAAAGTTTGACTCTTCTAGAGACAGAAAGGAACCTTTCTAATTCAACATCGGAAGCGGTTAAGTTATTAAAGGTTGGGATGAAGGTGTCGCTAGAATGTCCCTCGGTGAAGTTGCTGTTATCACTTGTCCTTACTAATACGCTTATGGTGAAAAGGGTTATCCTGGTGTCATCCCTCCTAAGGCCACCTTAGTTTTCGAAGTTGAACTCCTCGGTATGTAATGAAACAAAATACAAATAATAAATAAATAAAAACACTTAGAAAGAGTTAAGAAATAAATCAGCATTATTTTAAATAAAGTCTTAAAATACCATAAATAGGCTGTATTTTTTATTTTTTAATATTTATGTGTGCAGTATTGTTTTTTAACATGCTATTTTAATATCTTAAGCTATAAATTATTATCATTATTAGTTGTTTGTTTCTCTATTCTTAATTAATGGTTTAAAAATTCTATTTATAATTCCACAAAAATTAACTCCTGCCTGCACAAAAAAAAAATCTGAAAAATAAAATCAAAGTTACAATAAATTGCTTTATTCATATGTAATTATAACATCAAATTTTTAACAATAGAGAAAGTTTTTATTTATTTGATTTTTTTGTTGTATTATAAGTAAATTTTTAAAAGAAAGTGGGTTTCTTCTAAATTTAAAATTCCTGCACAATTTGAAATTTAAAAAAGAAATGATTTTTTTCATCAATTCTCTGATATCCTTTTAATTCAGTCTTCTTTAATACCTGCTCACTCATTTAGGCTAACAAAATTTTAGATGTTAAAACATGAGTGCAGGTAGTTTGCTTTAAGGACAACTATAATTCTAATTCAAGAATACCTGGTTATGATATAGATAAAGTATTTATTTTAGTAAAAAAAAAGGATTTTCAAGGAGCAGATTATATACCAAATTTTTAGAATCTTAAAAATAGCTTTAAAACGTACTGTTAACGTCAAAAAAAATTAATCAATTTATCAAAAATATAAATCACTTTTTCAAAATTTTAAAAGTAAACAATAAATATCAAAAAACATGTCTGAATTGTCTGTAGTTACCAAATAGCCTGGTGATGGCAAAACCTATCCTAAAAAGGGTTAAAATGTTACTGTACATTATGTAGGTACATTCCCTGATGGCAAAAAATTTGATTCCTCAAGAGACAAGAACAGACCCTTCAAGTTCGTCTTGGGTGCAGGTTAAGTTATTAAAGGCTGGGATGAAGGTGTAGCCAGAATGAGTCTCGGTGAAATCGCTGTTATCACTTGTCCTTACTAATATGCATATGGTGAACAAGGATATCCCGGAGTTATTCCTCCTAAAGCCACCTTGGTTTTCGAAGTTGAATTATTAGGATTGAATTGAAGAAAATTTATTTAATTAATAAAGAGAGTTGATGTAACAAATATGAGATAGTTAAAAAGGAAAGCCAATTAGATATCAATAATTAACATATAAATAAAGCTTATCTTACCAATTTGTATTCCTCTATTTTTTAATACATGTTGTCTTAAACATTGTGATTTTATAGATATTTTTTACCACTTTTAGCATTATCTTAAAAGATTAAGTAAAAAAAGTTAAATTATATTCATATTTTATACTTCATTTTAAACAAACAAGCAAACATAAATTTTGTTGTACTTTGATGTGCTTGCTTTAAATAATACATAAAGAGATTTAAACATTTCAACACTTTAGGCTAAATATAATAAATATTTTATTATTTATTGTAATTGTATTCATTTCATAGAATTAAAAAGAGATTTTATTTATGAAATAAACACTCTGATCTTGCTTTTTTTGAATGAAATAAATGAGTTAATTTTATTTTTATTAACCTATTTTTAATTTTAAAATAAATTTTTTCTTTTGAATAATAAATTATTTTATGAAAACAAAGAGTTGATTTTGATAGTAAAAAAATAAATTTTTTAAAAATTAAGTAAAGAGCGAGAAAGTAGATATTAATTAGTGAATAAATGATTGATGCCTTTCTGAGCGTATGTATGATATTTTGATTAAATTGAAGACGTAGATTAGATAGTACGATAAAAAAATTATATATATTATTCAGAAAATCATTCAAAATTTAAATAAAATGAATAAATTATTATAAACAGCTATTACAAGATCAACTTTCTTCGCAAAGCAATCCCGTTTTTCAACTACCCCTGATTAGTTCAGTGTTGTAACTAAGAAGGCTGGTGATAATACCAACTACCCAAAAAATGGTGACAAGGTAACTGTTCATTACGTAGGAACTTTTACAGATGGCAAAAAGTTTGATTCTTCTAGAGATAGAAATTAACCTTTCTAATTTATTTTAGGTGCTGGTTAAGTTATTAGAGGATGGGATGAAGGAGTAGGTAAATTAAGTCTTGGTGAAGTTGCCACCATTACTTGCCCTTATTAATATGCTTATGGCGAAAGAGGTTATCCTGGTGTTATCCCTCCTAAGGCCACTCTCCTTTTCGAAGTCGAACTTCTTAGCTTCAAGAAATGATCTAGAAAAATAAGCATAAAAACATGATAGATCAATAAAAAAATTAAAAAATGATAAAATATGTATGTATGTATTAATATATTTTATAATATTATTTGCAATTTTTTCCTAATAAAATGATTTTTTAGACAAAGAAACTATTAATTCTATTTTAGGATAAAAAAATCAACTTTTGACAAGAATATTTTATAGATGATAAATAGCAAATTATTAATTTATTAGCCAAAAAATTAAAAAGCTATCAATAAATCTTTAGAATTTTCTAACAAAATTATTTACCTCTAATAAAAATTAATAAAAAAAATGAAGCGAAATTTCGAAATTGTTTTATTTTTCTTTCTAATTTCTAATAAATTTTAAACAAATTTTGAATAATTAAATTTTAAAATTATTTTTCAATTAAAAAATCATCTAATTAATAAAAACTTTCAAAAGAAATAGGTCTTGAAAATTTATTCAAAATTAACTTTAAAATTTTTTAAATGTTCAATAATTTCTTATTATGGGTTTTACACTTCATAATCAAATCAAACTTATAAGAAGATAAGAAAAATGTAAGTTTAGTAAGTAATTTGATGAAAAATTTATTGATATCTTGCATAAAATCAAGAGAAGATATTTAGATTTTACTATCTAAATTTTTATTGATTAAAATATTAATTAACTTTAAATAACCAAAGAAAGAAAGAAAGAAAGAGATAAAGGTGAAGGAATTTATAAATATTTAAGATTCGAGATCATAATACATGTAAACAAAAATGAGTTAGTTATAAACAGCTTATAAATATAATAATGAATGAATGAATAAAATGTTTAACGTGTTATATTAATATTAATAATAATAACAATAATTGATAATATTTTTAGATTCTAGCTTTTAACTTAAATTATAGGTTTATTATAAATAAATTTTTTATGATTCACGATTTTAGATTTTTATTATTTTATTTTTTAAGACAACACATGAATTTCTATCATCATTATCATCACCACCAAATCTTATTTTATTTTTCATATTCACCTCTTCCTCCTCCTCTTTTGTTCTTAAGATATATTTTGTTTGATTAAGTTTTTATTTTTATTGTATATTTATTTATTTAGCAGAGAATTAGAAATATATCAGTCTAATAATATATCTTTATTGACGTGTTTAATTTATTATTTATTAATGCTAGGCTTACAAAATTGGTTATATATATATGTTAATAGATTTTATTTATTTTTTAAGTATGTACTGGTCGGTTTGGATATTCGTAGAGTTCAAAATAGTATAAAAAGTCATAATTTTGATGCAGTAAAAGCTTAAGAATATATACAATATTTAAATTTATCAACAAGATAAATATAATGAGATCTATCTTTTAGGATTTATCTGATGAGCAAAAGCAGTGTTGTTTAATTATTTTAAAATTAAAAATTTATTTGATGATTAATAAAGTATAAGCATCTTTGGTGATTATTTTATTTATTTATTTATTAATTTATTTATCTGTCAATTTGTTTATTGTTAACTTTTTCATATCATTAAAAATGGTGTTTGCTTGCTAACTTGTTTTAAAACTTTAGAAAGATTATTTATTTATTTATTTTGTGGTAAACCTTATAATAAAAATGGTTCTTATTTTTACAGTATTAGTAAATAATATTTTGTTAATGTAATAATAATAGAATATAATAGTAACGATAGAAAAATAGGTGTTAGCTAGAGATTATCTAAATTAAAATAAAATCACAAAGCAGTTTCAATTATTTTATGAGGATGCTTCTTATGATTGTGGTTAGACATGATTCACTAACTCTTATTTTATTTCTGATTTAACATTGATTTCTGGTATTTAAGGCTTTATGTTGTTTAAGAGCATTTCTAATAGTTATTATCCTAATAATTGTGACTACAAAGAAGTATTAAAGTCATTTGCATTATTCTTATTTGCTTCATCAATATTGTTAGGTTATTTTTATTATTACTGTTAATTATTTTTATTTTGTTCTTCTTAGTCATTTTCATCACTATCCTCATCTTCATCTAAATTCTATTCAATTTCAATTTCATTTTCATTATCGTCTTCCTCGACAGTTTCAGCTATGCTCTTTTCAAATTTTTATTTTTATTCTTTACTTTTTTCAAGCACAGCAGTTTAATTTTATGTGTTTTCTTAATTGCTTTCCATCTCCATTTTGATTGGTTGTTTCTTTTCTATTTATTTAGAAGCTTCTTCTTTTATTTTTTCTTCTTGCTTACTGATACTGTTTTTTCTTTAGTTTTCTATTTCCATTTCAAGTTGATTAAGGGCTTTTTCTATTTTATCATCGAATAAGCTATTGCCTTAATTTTATTAAATAGAAGTGGCTTCTTCTTTAATTTCTTTCTTTACTTATAAGTTATCATCTCTGTTTGCTTTAATTCCTTGAATGATTGAAGGGTTTTAAATAGAGGGTTTGCGAGAGGGTGGTTTGCTTGTAGCAGCAACTGAGTGATTAGATTAAACTTCATCATCATTATTTTTAGTGTTAATCTTAAAGTGTTCTGATAATTTTCTTTAAGCTAATGAAGGCTCAAATTCCTATGATTAGCTTCTGCTTTTATTTGCCATTAAATTACTATTTGGGATTTTGTTACCATTCATATTCTTCATTTAATTAGCTGTCTAATTGAATTAGTTAAATTAATCAAGTCCTCTCATAAACATTTCATTGAAGTTGGTACTGTTAGCAAATATATTGAATCCATTCTAATTGTTAATATTGTTGTTAGCAAATCCATTTTAATTTAAAGTTCTTTATAGCAATTACTAAATAGCTGAGTTTTTATCATTGCTAACCATGGGATTATTATTTAGTTAATTGACCATATTTTACAATTACTAAGCTTGTTACTATGAGTTGTTATTTTATTATTGATTAAAATTTTATCCCTTCTATAAAATATTTGAGATCATGCTCAAGGCGTATTATATGTTTTGTTGGGGGTTGCTTTATTACTATTATGTGTCTTATTCCTTTGCTACTTAATAAAGCTTTTGAATAGCTTGCTACGATTATTATTGTTATTGCTTTTAAATCTACTAAAGAGTGATTTAAGAAAGCAATTGTTGCATATCAATTTTCTTTTATACATCATCTTTTAAGAAGATTCTATTAATCACCACTAAATAATTAATTAATTAAAAATAAATTATTTAATTTTTTCAAATAAAAATCACTTTCAAAATGAATTAATTAATTTTATTATTTCAATAAATTTATTTAAAGATGTTTTTTATAGGTTTTTAAAATATTAATTACTAGGCTCAAAGCTTGAGTGATGAAGGATAAATTTCTCTTTGGTTTTGTCAACATGTGTGATGTAGTCTGATTTGCTATTAATATTGGGATAATTGTAAATAGTGCCATTAATAGAAACTGATTGCTAATTGTTTCCATTGCTTTCTCTAAGAATATTTTCATTATTTTTAGGAATTCCATTTTCAATACTTGTGGATACACTTCTGATTTCACCTTTTTTGCTATTCTTTTGATCTATTTAAATGTTTTCCATAGAAGCAGCTTGACTATTGCCTTCACTATTGCCTTAATCTTTTTTTTCCTTCTTTGAAGTCTTTTATTTTTTCCTATTAATTCAAAATTTTTTTTTTAACATTTTATTTAATTAATTTGTAAAATAAATATCTTCTCTATCTAAATTTAATCAAATCAATTAATTAATGAATTACTTTTATGTCGTTTAATCTTCCATTTAATTTAATTTTTATTTGTCTACTTCACTGTTTCTTTTATTTCCCTTGCTTGTATTCTATTAGTTATTACTACTTTAATTCGTTGATTAAGCTCCGTTGAGGGCATTGTTAAATAAATTTAAGAAATTAGAAGCAGACATTTCATTAATTTAATTATTGTTATTAAATTATTTAGAGTTATTATTTTGGTTTTGATTTTGATTATTTGTATTCGAGCTATTATTGTTATTATTGCTACTTGAGTTATTTGCATTCTAATTTTATTTAGCTTCAGCTTATGGTTCATTACCCTAATTATATAATAAAATATCACTATTATAAAAATTTATTTTACAATTAATAATTCTTAAAAGTTATATTCTAACTAAATAAATCAATTTAACTATGTTGGTGTTTAAAAATTGCAAAAATTAAATCAAGATCAATCAATTTTAATAAAAAATTTTGCTTTATTTTGAAAGATTTAAATATTTATTTATTTTATTTAAATTTTTATTTGTGAAAATATATTTATTTTGTTATAATATCCAAACAATAAACAATGTGAGAAGTATAAAATATAAATTTATTTGGTAGTGTTTGAAAATGTAGAGTTTGCTTTTATTTTTTAAGGCTAGTATTAATTTAGCGAGTTAAATATAATTTATTTATTAGCTTGAAAATAGGCTATGATTTTTTGTAGCGAGGAATGAAATGATCAAATAAAAAAAAAAGAATGAAATTTGGGGAGTGTTTTTGTTTGTTAAGTATTATATTAATTTTCTGCAAATATAAATTTTAATTATTCAAAATTTGTGGTAGTGGTGGGTAAAGATCTTTTATTGGAAATAAATGAGAAGAAAGATAAATAAATAAATAGATATAGATAGGTAGAATAGAAAAAAAGAAGGTATTTATTTGCTTTATTTATTGTATGTTCAAAATTTGTATGTAAATCAAAATAGAAAATTGTTTGCTTTTTAATTAATCAATGAATTAAAAGCGTAGAATTAAAATCTAATAATGATGAATTAATTAATCAATTAGTATATTAATTAACTATCAAATGAATTAAAAAAGAAGAGTATTTTTATTCTTTTGTTAGGGGATTTGATTATATGCATTTAAAAATAGTTAAAGTTAGCTTTAAAATGAATGATAAAGGCTTAGAAAAATATATTATTTATGAATGAATGAATGAATGTGCTGGGCTTTATCATTTATTTATTTATTTATGCTTTTATTTTTTAGATTACGAGAGAGTGAAAAGAAGACTAATAGCTAATTATTTAATAATGTTAATAATATTTAGCGCAGCCAATAACTACAACAAAACAAAATTTGAGCAAAAAGATTAATTTTGTTTTTTCATTCATCGATTGATTTACAAAAAATATACTTTATTTATTATTTTGATTGCTAATTAAAATCAACGAGCATATTCTCCTACTTCTTCTTTACAAATTTACACACCAATAATATATACAGTTTATAAGATTTAAAAGGGGATGCTGAAATCATGTCAAGAAAATGTTTTACCTAATGAATTGCGTCTAGAATGATGTCTAGGAGTCCGACTTTCTATTTATATTTTTAATGAAATGTTAATTATCTTTTATTTTTCTTATTTTAGATCAAAAAATCTATTTATTTACTAAAATATCGTCTGTTTTGTCTTTCTTTTAAGTATCTTTTTTCTCTTTTAATGCCTTGTCGTTGGTTGTATCTTTGCTCTTCTCCTCATTTTATTTCTCTTGCTTCTCGCCTTTTTTCACTCCTGTTTATTTCATATTGGGCTTTTAGCTATTTTTTGCTATATTTTAGGCCGTTTAACTAAGCTAAGCTGCTCCAGCTGTTGGTTTTTCTTGGCTAATAGTAGGAGCATTACCGTTTTCACTTTGTTAGCTTGAGATAGTTTGTTTCTAGCTTTCTCCTCCAGTTGCGCTAGCTCCTTCTTTTTTGATTTACTTTGGTTTTTTTGCGTTCTCAGCAGTTGGTTGAGCTTTATTTGTCTTCTACTTTTTAGGCTATTGGGTTTTAGCAACTGGGACGTTATCAAAGTAGTTGTCATCAGCGAATTTCTATACAAAAGGAAAAAATATTTAAATTAAGATATATAAAAGTAAGTCTGAAGAGTTAAAATAACTATTTCAAACATATTTGCTTTCTTTGTTGCTATATTCGAACGGTTTTAAGTTCTTTTTATTTACAAAAACTCCATTTTTTATTATTTTCAAGATACTTAAACATATTTTAGTATTATTTTGACTAGTTGAGATCATTTTATTTAACTGCTGCTTTACATTTTCTAATAATCTATATATAGCTCTACTACAGAGTATGAACGAAAAAAAATTTAATGAACTATCTCCTAAGGCATAAAATTTTTAGCAGCTACCTTATTTAAATGCATTCCAAGCATATAAAGATGCTGAGTAGTATATTAAATGTAGCGTTGAGATTAGCAGAAGGTAGAAAAATGTATAGATGGAGTAAAATAAATGAGGTAATATAGTATGCGTGTGTTTTTGTGCAAAGAGGGCTTGTAAAATTGAATGAATTTTTAAGCTGTTTTATATGAATCTAAAGTAGGTTAGTGAAATTAGTGAGAAAGAGATTGATAGTAAGAGGAGAAGAAGAAAAAATAAAAGAAAGATAAGAACCTGATTGAATAAAGACAACAAAAAAGGCAAATCAAATTACAAAATATAACATTAAAAAAAGATTAAAAGAAAAAAGAAATTTAATTATAAAAATTATTAATATAAATGAATTACTGGTTTCTTGCGGATCTTGCGGGTTTAGTAGCCTCCAGCGGGTCTGTTTGAATTGTCTATGTTTTTTAAATTACAAATTTTACTTTTAAAAATATTTTCCTTAAATTAATTGCTCGCTTAGCGCCTCAATTGTCTCTCTTTTGTCTCGTTTTCCTTAAACGTAGCAAAAATTTTGAAAATCTGCTACTATAAATGTAAGTAGGAAACTTTAATTATCTATATCAAACAAACTTATCTTGTTAATCAGCCAATATTCCTACCCTTAAGGAAAATTTTTAGGCATCAAAATAATTTATGATTTGATAAAAAGACAAAGGAGGGACGAAGAGGTGCTAGTCGCTTGTATTTATGCCGGATTTACCTTCGTTTTCGGTATAGCTAGTGTTAGCATTGTTTTAATAGCTTTTCTTACTTTCTTCTTAGCTCAAGCTAGGACTGTCTTGATGCTCTGATCCCTCTGGGGCGTCAGAGGCAGGATCAGACTCCACTTCCATAGGCTCGTCATCCTTATCAATATTAACATTTTCAGAATCATCATCTCTATCGACAGATTTACTGCTCTCCTTTGAAAAGGCCTACTTTCCTTGTGCTTGTTGTTATAATAGCAAAGGATTTGAAGAGCTATTAAAGACTTGCTTTGATGAAGTCTTATCGGATTTTTTCTTTGACTTTGATGCTTTTTAGATCGGCTATTTGGTGGGCTTGGGCTTGGGTTCCTATTTTTATAAGAAGGTGAGATTAGAGCTTACTATAAGGCTGAAAATGCTTTTTAATGTACGCCGCGAATATCGGAGATATCTTGCTTGTAGTATGTGTTGGGGGTTTTTTGTCTGCTGCTTTTACGTGTCTATTGCTCTATATTAAAATCATATTAATTTTAGTTGTTTACCAAGGTAGAAACATATTTACCAGACAAACCCTTCCCTTCAGCGTCGGACATTCTCGTTCTGCTATCTAAAATATTGTTGCAATTAACCCTTTTTCTTGAACTTTTTTGCTTATTATCTTCCTGTAGATTATTTGCTTTTTTTTTCTTTAAATTTTTTAATTTTTTTTTTTTTTGTGTTTTTATTTTTATTTACTTTTCTTTCGTTTATATTCGCGTTCAGATAATCCGATGATTAAAAAAGAATATTATTTTTAATTGAAAAACTATGCATATAAAAATCAAGCAATTAATCAAAAAAACAACAAACAATTATGATTGATTGATTGATTGATAGATTGATTAATAGATAGATAGGTAGGTAGTTTGCTTCCTAAATAAAAGCTCAAACTCCTGATCCAAATAAAATGGAGAACGTGCTAAATAGCCAAATAAGCTGATTCGCTCCATGAAAAGAACAAAGGTAGTAGGTTATTTTGAAAATTTCGATCTTAATTCCTGCTAGATGATCAAAATTTAATGTGTCCTTAATCAAATGTAATTGAAAATTATTGACTTTTATTAGTATTATTGATTGATATCTTATTTAATTCTTTGTCCTTAATAATAAATTTTTTTTTCTAAAATACTCTTAATTAATTAAGCTCAATCAATCAATACTAACTCAAAGCAAATATATATATATATATAAAGGTTAATTATTTATTTTCATTCATTTATTTATTGATTTTCATTCATTTGTTTATTTATTTATTGATTGATTGATACAGTACTTATTATTTTCTTTTAAATTTTTCAATTTTTGCATATTAAAAATATAAAATTTGTTTGATTTTCTTAATATGCTCGCTTATATCATTAATAAGCTTCATTTATAATTGGTATTTGTAATAATTTACATTTTTTAGCAAAATTTGTTTAATTGAAAATATTTTCTTTAATTATCAATATGAAAATGTCATTCTATGACAGTTCTATTTATTATTTTTAATGCATTTGCTAAAATTATTCATTCTTCAATTCATTTAAAATTGCTTGATTTCAAACAGCTATTTCGTCTTTTTTTGAATTTTTTTTATTTCTCTTCAAATGTTCCCCCTTTTTGCTTTTATGCTTATCTTAAATCATTAATTAAAGCTTATGAATCAGAATAAAAATAACAAACAAAAATCATTAAACAAACAATTTGAATTTGAAAAAATTTGGTTAATAACTAAATCTATTTTGAGTTACTTATTTTTTGTTTCATTCATTCATTAATTTCATTTGATTTTGCTGGTTATATATTCATTACAAAGTCTTTAAATAGTAATATTCAAATTTATTTTTTATAACATCTTTTGGATAATAATTAAAAAATATATATCACTAAAACAAACAGGTATTTTAATTATATTTATTTTCAATTTAAACAAGAAAATTAAATACTTTAAACCTTCTAGAAATATTTGAATATTTGTTTGAGAATTGAATTAATTTCAAATATTTTTAATAGATTTTGTTAATTTAAGTATTAAAATATTATTTTATTTATTTATTTAGAAATAATAGAAAGTAAAATTTATTATTTAATAATCATTATAATAATTAGCATAATAAATTATTTATAAAATAATTATTAAATTTTTATGAATTTGGATTTTTTCCTCTCTTAAAATGTTTATCAATTAATTAATGATTTTATTCTTAATAAGTTTCAAATAAAAAGCAAATATACATAGTTTAAAATAAATAAAACTTTCAATTATTTCTATCATTTATTAAAATTAAAAAAATAATTTTAATTTTTATAAAAAGTATTTAATTTGAATTACTCAGAATTAATTACTCTATTTTCTTTCAAATTCAAAAAATATTGCATTATTCTTTTAAATTTAAAAACTAAAGGATTTTTATATCAATTATATTTAAATAAAAAGATTTATTCAGTTCAATAAATAAATAAACCTAGATTGTTATTTTAATATGTTTTTTTCAATTTTTAAGTTTCTATTTTTTAACATTTAATTGTTATATAAACTTTATTTCATTATTTAATTACTTAATTTTTTACTTGAATCACTTTTTTAAATGAAAATTAGGTAGATTTTATAAATTTTATAGTGAAAAATACCATTAATTCTGTTTATTTTCTTTTTATATTATTAATTAAACTAAATCATATCTGATTTTCAGAATTAAATTAAATTTGTTATAAAAAATGTATTTTTTAAGTCAAATAATTTTAAAATCTATGTTAAAGATTTTCTTTGATGTATTTTAATACTTTATTTAATCAAACAAAATAAACAAATAAATATGCATTTACCATTCTTCAACACCTAATATATCAATTGATTAATTAATAAATAAATAAATAAATTATTAATTGGCTTACAAAAATTAATCTAATTTTAGTTATTTTTATACAAATCAATAAAAAATAAATTAAAATATTCAATATATATATTTCTTTAAATAAATTTACAAATAATTTTATTGTTTAAGTAGTATTGATTGATTGAATAATATTTACTAATTCACAATCAAAGATAAAAATAGAATTAAATTAAATTAATATTTTTAAACATGTTTTAAATTGTAAACAAACAAAGTTGTTTATAATTAATTAATTTAGTTAGTTAGATTTTTAAAATAAAATCTAAATATAATTTAAATATAAAAAAATATTATTTAACCAAGTTGACTTAAGTTGACTTGAGATTAATATTTTTAAAATAATGTATTGAAGAAAATTCTTTATCTAATTTAAAAATTTCCCTCACATAGTTCTTTACATCTTATTTATTTATTTATTTGTTTATTTGTTTATTTAATGAAAATAAATTACTGTCTTTAATATAGAATAGAAAATGCTGAAATTAAAATTTAGTGAACTGTGTAGGTAGTTTTCATTGAATTCAATAAGATAAAATATTTAAAATTTTTAAAGTAAAATGAAACGAATTACAGTAAAAATAAAAATGTTTTTAATTTCTAATTAGTATGCAATTTTAATAAAATAAACAATAAAGAAAGAGATAAATAGATAAATATTTTTAGCATTAAAATTTAATTATTCATATTGAATTGATAAATAGTAAATAAATCTAGTATTTAAATAATTTTTGACTTAAAGCTTATTTAAAATAAAATGAATATTTAAATGTGAAATTGGTAGATAAATAGATAGATAGATAGATAGATAGATAGATAGATAGATAGATAGATTAATTTTTTAAATTGATAAATACAAATATATAATTGAGTATAGAATTGATATATTGATAAATTGAATGCCTATTTATTAATTTATTAATTAATGTATTCCTTTTATTTTCTCAATTTTAATAGTGTTAGGAGATCATTAATAAGAATTGATTCCTTCTTCTAAGAATTTTTTATTTTAAATGCACTTAAAATTTTGGAGAGTATATCCTATTTAACAGACTACACAATCTCCATCTCTATCGCAAGTTTGGCAATTAGGAACATTGCATCTTAATTAGCAGTGTTTTCCATCCCAAAAATATCCATCTTTGCAAGTTTAGCATCCAAAAGCATTGCAAAGTTTGCAGTGTTCTTGACATAAAATACAAACACCAGCCTAAAGATAAAACCCATCAAAGCAAGAAGTGCAACCATAACCGTTGCAAGTAGGGCAATTCTTTTATTGGCAAGGTACACAATTAAATTCAAACAAGAAGTAATTAGTAGGGCATTCGAGGCACCCAGCATTATTACAAGTAACACAATCTTTCATGGGGCATTTAACACATTATAGATTAGTTTCTAAATAATATCCATCATAGCATGTTATACATCCATAAGAAGAGCATGTCATACAGCCCGGAGTGCAAGCCGAGCCTGATTCCAATGCCTGATTATCAGAATTCTACTCTTTGAAATTTGAAAGAACTTTATTTTCTAAATCTGAGCTTTCAGCTCTTGTAATAGATATAAATAGCAAAATTAGCAATTGTGAAAGTATTAATTTATGATTCATCTCTAAATTGTTTAAAAATCTAATTACAATTTATTAATTGTAAACATTAGTCACAAATTAGATTGTACTTATATGCTCCATTCAATTATTTATTTAAGTATATATTTATTTCTCATTTTTTAATCAAAAAACTCATCAGAAATTTACTTATCAACTTGATTTATCACTGATTGAGAAATTAATATACAAATATTTCTTTCTAGTCATTGAATTTATAGAAACCAAAGTGATTAAAAGTTTTTAAGATTAAATGAATAATAATTGAAATAGATATATTTATTTTAAAAATACTTTTTGTAAATATTAAAAAGAATAAAATTTATAAATTGTGATAAAATAAATAGAAATTTAATATTGCATTTCTATTTAATTTTAATCAAAAGCATAGATAGATGATTGAGTGAGTTTGTTATTTTAAAATGATGTGATATCAAATATATTTAAGTATTAATTTTTTTTCTACTCTAGATAAGAAATAACGATGATTTAAAGAATAAATAATTAATTAATTTGCACATAAACTTTGTTGAAATTTGAAGTGAATAATTAAATAATGAATTAATTAATTAAATTTAGCTAAAAAATATTAAAATATAAAATAAATCAAATATTATTAATTATACTCACTATACCTATTGATTTCAAAGTTTCTGAATTTAATTTCATTATTTAATTAAGTTCTTATATTTTATCTTTATTTTTTTTAATTTCATTTTGATTGTTATTGTTTTAAATTTATTCATCATTATTATTATTTTAAACCAAGATAAATGCTAATGAAAATTATTATTTTAATTCAAAAAAATTATCTTCAACAGAAAATTATTAAAAATTCCAACCATTATCTTTGGAATAGGTTAAAATAAAGATGAAAGGCACATACTCCTAAGCAAAAATTTCTTTAAAATAAGAATTTAGATTTTGAATATCGTCTGATTATTTATTTTCTTTGCAATTAATTTATTCATAAGAGAACTTTATGTCTTCGAAATTATCTTTCTTATATTTTATTTTGACTGATAAATTATTTATCTCATATAAAACTTTGTAATACTTAAAACCTTACAATAAAAACTAAATTATGACCCAGTAAAAATCAATAATTTAAGTTTTATACTCCTTAGCCAAATTTAATCTCTTAATTTTTCTTTAATTATTTTAAAACACTTTTTAATCGTCATCGTGGATTTTGAATTATTATTATTCCAAATGTTTGCCAGAGATATCTATCAATTCTATAATCCTACTATTTTTAAAAACTTTAAAATTGCATTAAGTTTACAAAATATTTTAATAAAACTCTTGAAGATCAATGATAGTTTATTATTCATTAATTGAGGCTGTATTAATTTTTTATTAAAACTCTTATATATAATAGTTAATTTATTATTCATCAATTGAGGCTGTTTCAGTGTTTTAATCTTATATATCTATAAAGCACAAGAGAACATAATCTAATTTTTATAATAAAAATTTATTTTATCTAATTAATTTTATCAAATTTTCTTCAAGTAGAACTAAATTCTTAACAAAAATAGAATGCTCCTTCTAATAGAGAATATCTTTAAACGATTATTTTGCATTTTTAAATGCTTATTCATACTCTTTATCATAAGAAATTTCTTCTTCAGATTCATATGAATCATCATCACCATTTTAATTTGTAAATTCATTTGGTAAAATATTATTTCTCTGCTTTTATTTTGATAGTTTTTCCTTTTTCTTATTCTTCTTATTTGTTATTTATTAGAATTCCTCTTTTCTCTCAATTATATCTTCTATGTTTACATCATTTTCTTCATAACATTTCATATGAATCTCATTCTGATGTTATTTTTTTATTTGTATCTCATTAATTTCTTTTTTTTCTTCTCCTTCTCCTTCTTCATCTTCATTATATGATCTATGATCTATTATTTATTCTTATGATTTTTCTTATTTATTCTAATATTTTTCTTAATATTAGCTTTTTGATTCTTCTTCTACTATTTCTTTATCATCATCATCACCACTATCACTATCCCTATCACTATCACTATCACTATCATTAAGACTACTTTTATTTTCAATTTCATCTATTTCTTTTGAAGATTTTCTACTATCTTGCTCTTATTATGAAACATAATTATTTATTGGATTTAAAATTTAATCACTTTAATAACTTTAATTGATTTAATTTTCAATTTAAATTTATTTTTATTATATTTGATAATCTATTTTTTTATATTTTAGTTTAATATATTTAAAGTTGTGTTTAGGGATGTTTTAATCTAAATAAATTGCTACATGAGCTAAAAGAGGTCGATTAAGATCCTCATTTACTTTATCAAATTCTATTTTGTAACTTTAAATTTTTCTATTTAAAATGCTTTAAGTATTAGTTTGACGGCAAGTTATGATAAGAAAATCATTGTTTTTATTGTAGTAAATAGTTTCTAGCTTTAAAGAGTTTTCTTTATTTTGATTATTATTTTCATTCCTTTGTTAGATAATTTTGCTCATAAGATCAGAAATGTATTATTTTTACTGCTTAATACTTTCAATAATAATTATATATTAAGAAGATATTTCAAATTCATATTAAAAAATTTCAACTTTATTAAAACTTTTTAATTCTTTATCATCATATTCATCATCAAATACTTATAAAGTATTATTATTTATTTATTTAATAATTTAAAAAAAAGGAAAATGAAGTTTCTCTAGTCTTTCAAATTAATTAAAAATATTTCTTCCGCTTATTTCTAGCTAATTAGAGCTAGGTATTAATTTTAATTAAAACAAATCTCCAAAGTATATCAAATGCTTTGGCTGAAAAGAAGAAATTATGTGAGTCGTTTAGTATTCCTTTTTTTATACTAAAGTTTCATCTACTATAATTATTTCTGGATTTATGTTTTTTAATGCTTAGTAATGAATTATTGACTCTTCAACTGTTGCCACTTTTTTTTAATAATTAATTAATTAATAATTCAAATTATTTTAAATTTCTAAAAAGTCATTTTAAATTTGAAAAAAATAAGATTTAATAAATTAGCTTTTAAATTAAAAATTTTTTAAAAAAATTATTTTTAATTAATTTTTTATAGTAAAATAAAAATGAATTTACAAATGACATCCTGCTTATTTAAATTAGAGACTATATATTCAGTTAGACTTTTTTAATCATCTAAAATACTACTTTCAAATTTTTGAAAAAATTTTGTTAAGCTATTCTTAGCTTAATAAAAGAAAATAAAGTCTAAGATAGACATCATGTGATAATAATTTATTTAGCTCAGCTTTTGGAAGCTATTGAAAAACTCTGAAAAAGATTCCGGAGAGTTATCTAATTATTTTCCTTCTAAGTTGAAAATTACTGGTATAATTCTAAAATAATCTGAATTAAAATTCTTATCATAAAATTTTTTCTGTTCTCTTAGTTGATTTAAATTATAGTCAATTATTTTTATTTATTAATCCGTTAAATCAATTTTGATTATTTCCTTTATTTTTTGAGAATTAAGGTCTAGCTAACTCCATGAATCAAATATTTTTTCTTCAAGTTCGATTTTATCACTCCTTACATTATCTGTAGCATCTTTGAAGTATTCATTTATTAGCAACTGAGTAATCCTAAAAATTTTATTGATTTATTTATCATTAAGTTATTTATAGAGTTAATTTAATTAGTCAAAATAATCAAAAAAAGATAAATAAATTACTTTGAAGAGAAATTAATCTTTTGGACTTTTTCTTACTAATTGAATTAATCTTAGAATGCCTTCAGCTCTTAGAGTTTAATTACTCTTTAAACCATTTTAGACTTATATTTAATTAAGAATTTCCATGTATCATTTATGTCCTTGATTTTATTTGTAAATTTCTATGGATTCTTTTACTTTTCTTTTTCAATTATTTTGCTTAGTCTATATAAACTATTAAACTTTAGGGTTTTTTCACTTTCTAAGTATTTGCTACTAAATTCATAAATTCCTTAATATTAAAGCAGCTTAAACTTATACTACTATATGACTTAGTTGTTTGAGCAAATTATTAGAATAGGTTTTCTTTTTTCTTATCTAGAATAAAAATTTAGCAATATTTTTAATGCTTCAAACTGAGTTTAAAAATTGAAGAATAAATCATCATTAAATTTTTAATTTTGGTTGATATTATTTTTTTTTAAGTTATTATTCTTGTTTTATTTACCTTAAAATTATTATCGATTATTCTATTAATTTAAATTATCTTAAATATCTTCTTTTTACTTTATTTAGTTGAAGATTTTAGGATTCTGAATTAATGCAACACTTCTAGTTAGCATAAACTTAATGCACTCAATTTGAGATTAATTTAGGTCATACGAGTCATTTAATGAATTTGCTTTTTGCTCAATACAATTAAAAAATATTTTTTTGTCAATGTCTTTAAGAAAACTGTAATTTGGAAGTTCAAATTCATTATTTGTATTTTTATCCATTTAATTATAATTTTTTATAATTCTTTCAATCGAGTTATTCTTGCTATCATCATCAATTAAAGATTTTAAGATAAAAAAATTATTTTTGATCTCCTTAGAATGAATTTAAAATAAAATCAATTCTAATTTCTATCTTGACTCTTGCTAAAATTGATAAAAAGAAATTAAAAATTAAAATTATTTATTTATTTATATTTGCTCTTCTCAGAATTAATTTAAATTAAAATCAATTCTAATTCTTGCTAAAATTAATTAAAAGAAATTAATAAGTAAATTAAATCGAATTTTGATCTTCTTGGATAGAATATAAATAAGAAGCAAGCTAAATTTATGCTAAAATTAATTTAACAGAAATTAGAAAATAAATGAAAAAAATTACTTGAGAATAGAACTGCAAGATAATTGGAATACCATTAATTTAGTTAATATGTACTTTCATTTTGATATTATAAGTTTTTTAGTCTTTTTTATTTTAAGGTTATTTATTTTATTCTGCATAATTTAAGCCTAAATTAGCAAATGAATTTTCTTCTTCTTCATCATTATTTTCGCTTTCAAAATCTTTACTATCATTTATATTATCATTACAATTTTTACTGAAGGATAAAATCTATGAAGTGAACTCGTTTTTGTTTTGATTTATAACTAAATTATTATTTATATATTATTTTAAGTTTATATCTTATTTAAATTCTGCAATCCCTTAAACAATCAGTCCTTATTCTTCAAATTTAATCTTTCGAATTTTAAAATTAAATGGAAACACTTAAGCTTACTTAAAATTGTCCTTTTGATTTCTAATATATTTTGTCTCATCTATTATATAAAAGTATTTTATGAAAAAATCAATCAATCAAATAAATAAATAATCAAAAATCCTAAATAAAAAAAAATAAAATTATTTTAAAAAAATATAAATAAAGAATCTATCTCACTTTCTAATTAGCAATTTAGCATTTCTTGCAAGTATTCTTTTTAATTATTAAATTCAATTTTTTGCTTTAATTGTTTTGAATAATTTGGATCGGTATACTTGTAAATTAAATTTTGAAATTCATGATCATACTTACACTCCAGCTAAACTTGTAATTTTTATTTTTCTTAATCCTGCTGATCAGGTTCTTATGATTATTGAAATTAAAAATTATCCACTTCCTTTAATAACTGAGTACTTTAATTATCATCATCATAAAATTTGTTGTTATTTTAATTATTTGTGAATATTAAATCCTTAGTGTTTTTTTGTAAGGAATTCATTCCATATGAGAATTAATTATTCATTTTTTATTCTTTTTCTTCTTCTTCTTCTTATCCTTAATATTGAAATTAAGATTTTGATTATTTGAATTAGTTTGATTATGATTCACAAACTCCATACTATAAATTATATTTACACATCTCTTGTTTTTCATCATTACTTTAATAACCTCTATTCTTCTGCTAATTTTCTAAAACCTTCGATGGTTCTACATCAAAATATTACCTTTTTAATACAAGATTTTTTTTATTGGTAGAACTTTTGGAATTGTTCTGTGTTTGTTACTCGTAAATATATGGATTTTATTACATTTTTTATTAAGATTCTATTGTATTTATGCCTTAAAAGCAATACTGATCCTAAATACCTTCTTACGAAGTTTAGTTAATCCCACTTTAATATAAATTATTATCTTTATTTTAAAATTAATTATGAGTATCTTATTAGCTTTGAATATTAATAATGTCATTATTGTTTATCTATTCTGAAGTTTTTCTAGGATGCATTTACTTTACAGATGATTATCTTTCAAAACCATTATTTTTTATAATTTGATTATGCTAATGATTGCTATTGCTTTGTAACTAAATATTATTTCTTAACTATTGATTATGTGATTATTAGGTGATATTTTCTCTTTGGTCTCTTTCTGAATTTTATAAATCGCACTAAAAATTCTGATATGTTTAAAAATAGAAATTTAGATTTTAATTTTAACTTTCATTTATTAAATTATGTCCTATAAACTGCTAAAATTAATTATTGTCTTCAAAATTTGCATTTTCTTGAATTACAATTTAAGATTTTTCTTCTTCATTTTCATTTATTGTTTCTTGCATCTCTCTTTTTAATTTCTAATTTCCACTAGTAGCATCTTACGCGTCTTTTTTTTGAACGCGATTTATACTTTTATCTGTGCTATTTGCATTTAAATTTTAAATCTCTCCATTTTAAATGTCATTTCTATCATATTTTTCACTTTTTTATGAAGAAGATCTCTTATTTTACTAAAATTAATCATCATTATAATTGTTTCTGCTATGATTATTCATTTAATTACTTAGAGGACCATATAAATTTTGATCATAATAGCTATTCTATAATTCATAATCTGATCTCTGAGTGTTTTGATCATCCTTTTTAGTTGATAAATCTCCTTATTAAAATTTAATACTATAATCAAAATTCATATTTTTACTTTCTATTATCAATAATCTATATATATATTTATATATTTATTTATTTTATGTTTGGGTTAACAAATTTATTAATTAGCAAACAATCTAAATTATTTCAGAAGAATGAATTAATTTTTTATATAAGTGATAAAGGTATATTTTTTGACAAAACTATTTTATTTTTTTATTCAACTAACCAAAGCTAATTAATTAATTGATCAATCAATCAATCAATTAAAAATATTTCTGATGAATGAATAACAATATAAGTGATAATACTAAATTAATAATTAAAAAATTTTTTAATTTTTTTATACCAACTAACCATATCACTCACAATCACATCTAATTAACTAACTAGATAATTAGCAAAATTAATTATTTTTGTTAATTTATTTTTAATAAAAAGAATAATCGAACAAACTAAATATTACCATTTATTTTAAATAGAAACAAGAGTTAGCTTGCATGTTTGTTGTATTTTTAAATGCAAGTATTTCTAATTATAAAAGTTGAAGAAAAAAAATTAATACAAAAGAGATAGATATATAATATTTATTTTTATTCAATGTATTGATGAATGAATTATTTTAATACAAAATATGAGTGTATTAGTGAATGATTAAGGAAATTTCTAATTTTAATCAAAATATCAATAATAATATATTCATTTTTTAATTACTTTGAAATTATTTGAAATTCAAGTTCATTTTTGAGTAGAATATTTTATAATATTTGTGAGATAACTACCTGATATAGGATCAAATTAAACTAATTATTGCTATTCTAAAGTATTGACCTACTACTTAGCTCTAATTAAGTTCCCTTGATAAATGTATTGTTTTCTTAATCAATATTTTTATCTTAAATCAATATAAAATCGTTTTATCATTTAAATTAATTTGAAAAAAATTTAATAAGAGAAGATTACTTTAAAAAAAATATTTTTTATTGTCTTTCTTTAATAATAAAATTCTCAATTAATTATCAAGCAAGAACAAATAAATGTAATCAGTTTGACGAAAATAAATAAATAGATTGATAAAGAAATAAATGGATAGATAGATGGCTAAATAAAATTATTATTGACGAATTATAGATATAAGAGATTGTTTTTAAAGAATTCAACAATAGAAAATTACTTTAAAAAAAATATTTTTTATTGACTCAATTAATTATCAAGCAAGAACAAATAAATTTAATCAGTTTGACGAAAATAAATAAATAAATGGATAGATTGATAGCTAAATAAAATTATTATTCACGAATTATAGATATAAGAGATTGTTTTTAAAGAATTCAACAATTTTGACCTCAAGTTAGGTTTTATACTATTTTATTTATTAATTTGCTGTGTCGTCATGTTGTTTTTCTGATTTTATAATTTCTATTTTACAAATATAAAAATATTTGAACATTATTCTTCGAATTTTTATGTGAAATCTTTTTAAATTTAAATTTTTTTTAGAACCCAGCTGTTTTGAGTTTTGGCCAAAATGATGATGTAATTTTTATATTATTGTTGCAGTGTGTTAATCAGAATTTTATTGAGTTCTTGAACTTTCTACAATTAAATTTCTTCATCATTTTCCTTAAAAAACTAGAATTAAAATTCAGAAAAACTTGTGTTGCTCTTTTGGGACGCTACCTTGAACTTAAAGTTCTTAATTTTGCTATTAATTTAGCCAATCAATTAAACATCATTATTTTATAAGCTTTATGTCTCTTTGAACAAAATCTAAATTAAAATCCACTCTAAGTCTAGGATTTAGCTTGAGTAATCCTTTATCAAATCTAGTACTTCAATTAGCCTTTAGTTATTTTTAAATATTCTTTTTCTCAGCAAATTAATTAAATTGGTTATTTATTAGATTTATTTTTAATCTGAAATTTGATTTTGTTTATCATTCTCTTAATTATTTTGTTATGCTTACATTCTAAACTTTAATTGCTTTATTAAAATGTCTTATTACAAGATTATCAACGATTTTAATTAAAATTAATCATTTTAATCAACAGAGCCTTTTAAATTTTAATAAAATAAATCTATGTCAGGATAATTATGTATCAACATGAGGATAACATAATCCATTCTTTCTTCATAGTAATCTATTTTTTCAGCATCATCTATATAATTTATCAACTATCTCAAGTATTTTTCTATCTTTATCAAAATTTTATGTAAATCAGTTTATTCTTGTGAGATGATCAAATTAATATTTTTTATAGCTTTATTGAAAACTTGTTATTTTTCATATTTTTCTTCTAGAATTTAAGATTAATTTAAGATATCATACATGTTGTTTGATTTTCTCTCATCAATGTTGTTTTATTTTCTCTCATTAATGTTGTTTGATTTTCTCTCATAAACTATTTTATATTTTCTTCCTTATTAAGTTTGTTAGCTTTTTTATGGATTATTATTTGAATTATAACTTTCAACATTCAACATATTTTATTTAATTTTATCTGAATTTAATTAAATTTGCTAGGCTTAATTTTCCAATATCTAACTAGTAGAAAAACAAGTAGATATAGTTTGTTGATTTGAAATATCTAAGCTCCTTTAATGTTCAGTACTTTCCTATATAAATTTTTGATGTTTATTTAGGGAATTCTCAACTAAAATTTCTTAATCGTTGAGAGTGATTTTTAGGTCATTCTCGTCTATTTTATCGTAATCTAAAAAATAATGAAATGGGTTTAATTAAAGTTTAACATGCTTTATATTATTTTTAATCACAGATTAATGGAATTAAAATGTTATCTATGCCAATAATTCTAGTTAATTAAAGAATCTAAAATCGGTTCCTATTACATTAATAATATTCTCATTCTAAAATGAGAACTGTAAGTAGTTTTAATCAAATTAATAATTTTTTTCACTTTGCTTATTACAAACGATAAAAACAGAATCGGATTCTCTCTATTAGTATATATAGATATTTTATATTTTTATATTTATATTTTTTTCTAAGAAATTTTCTTCAAATTAAAAATTTTTTTTCTTCAAAAGCCAATTTAAATATTTATAATGCTTGAATGAAATTTTTTTTAAGTTTACTATTATGATATAAGTTTATTGAATATCAAAATTATTCACATAAATACTAAGTTTCTAATTTTTCTATAGTTCATTGTCATTTAATTCTTCTTAAAGTCTATATAAACTCTTTTGAATTTCACCTTCATCATCAACGAAACCTACATCCATAATTAAATTGGCTAACAAATACAAATCTAAGCTTACTTATTGCATTAAAATTGTTTTGTAAAATGGAATTTTAACTCGAATTAATCTCCAAAATTGAGCATTCATTGTTTAATTTTTTACTTTTAGCACTTAATCTTTGTTTACCAAATTCAGTTAGATATTATTTCCGAATTAAATCAAATGCTTAGGTTAATAAAAAAGCACATTAGCAATTAAATATTCGTGCTAAATGCTAGCTGCCTCGTCTATGATAATTATCTCAGGTTGCAACATCTTAAAGACTAGAGAGTATGTATGAGAGTAATTCACAGTCGTCACTTTTAATTCAAAATTTAATAAATATTAAAATAAATTGTTTCATTTAAAAAATCTATTTTACAAATCACATCTTACTAACGAAAATATTATAACTATTAAACTGTTTGTATTTTAGCATTATTTTCTGTTTCTGAGTTAAAAATTGAGTTCAAATATTTAAAGCTTTCGAAAATTTCAAATTTATAGAAATAAATAATGTAATCTTTTATTGACATCATGTGATAGAAAGTAATTTAACTAAGTCTCTCAAACCCATTAATGAATTCTGCAAATGATTAAGGTGAATTGTCTAGCTGTTATTCTTACAGATTAAATATTATCGGATTAATATCAGAATGCCTATAATAATTTGATTAATAAAGTTTATTGTATTATTATCTTTAGCTGATCAATAACCCCAAATAATAGTCAATCAGTTTCTTTTATCCTTTAGTCAACTCAATTTATATTAAATTTTCTAAATTGTTTGAATTCAAATCCAAATTAATCCATAATTTTAGTATTTAATTTTTTTCCTCCTTTATCCTCTATTTTTATTCATCACTTAAATCAGTGAAATATTAACTAATCAATAAATTTGTGATCCTATTTTATTTTTAAAAATATTTAATCTAGTTTTAATTAAATTATCTTTATTTTCAAAACATTTTTTTATTTTGTCATTAAAAGAAAAATATCAGAAAAAAATATTAATTATGAACTGCAGAGGTCCTTAGTTAAGGAGAATATACAGCACAGCAAATAGATTAAGAAAATGTTTTAAATATTTTTTTTTAGATATTTTAGATCTTATTTAATTAAAAAATGTAATGAATTAGTAATTAATTTATTTACTTGTCCGAAAAAAATATTTTTTAGAACTGTTAACTATTTGCTTACTAATTAAATTCTTTTTCGAAACTGTTTAATTCCTTGTAGCCTAGTTTTCTATTTGCCATTTTATGATACTTAGTCTGGTGTTGCAGCTATTTATTCAGGTCATCAATCTTATTATTGCTTATAGGATTTCTCAAATCATTTGGAAGTAAGTGCTTTTAATACTTATTATAATTTACCTTACCAACGTTACCTAAACGAAGAAAATGAATTTTATTTTGATTTTTTTTATCTTTGTTTGTGCTATCCAAATAGTTTTGTAACTTTGATAAATATTCTAAATATTAATTTAAGGTTTCATTTTATTAGCAGATAATCAATATCGGTTTTTTATTTTCTTGCTTTGAGTAAGTTTAATATAATATTTTAATTGTTTCAAATTAAATTTGGCACTTTTATTTTCCTAAAATTATATATAAATCAAATAAATAAATAATTCATTCAGCTCATCAATTAATTCGAATAAAATAAATAAATCAATACCTTATATACTCTAGACCAATGCAATTTTTTATGTTAATACATATTTCAAGCAGTCTAATTAAGATGAGCTAAGCATATTTTAGTCCTTAAGCTCATCAATAAAATTTAAAAGACGATCAAAATAAATATGTTTGTTTAAATTTTGAAAAAAACCATAATTTGGATTATTCTAAAAATACTTCGATTTGATTTTCCTAAACTATTCAAAGGCTAAATTTTAAATTTATCCTTTAATTATTTCATCTGAGAATGAGACATCATTAGGATCATCAAGCATGTATTTTAAAGCCAAGAAATTACATTTAAATGGCTTCCATTTATTCTAAACTTCAAATACAACTAAATTTTTCTAATAAAAAATGGATAAATTAATTTTAAAATGAACGCAAAATAAATAAATTTATATAAAAAACACATCCATTTATTTATTTATTTCTCTTGTGTATTAATTATATATACACATAAATATATTAAATTAAGTTTTAAGATAATACTTAATTCTTATTTAATTCTACTTGATAAAAGTTATTTAGGTTTAAAAAATATTCTAAAATAAACTGTTTATTTACTGGATCTATTAATTGCTGTAGAACTTCTGTTGCATTACTTTGGTTTATGTTTAGTTTTATTTACGAAAAATACTCTTATTTGTCTGATTGTTAATTTTTATTTTTTTCATTCTTACTTTCTTCATCTTATTTATCAGTTGCTTAAGCTATTTTATCCGCATTTTCTTCGAAAATAGTTTCATCTAAATTTTGGAAAGCTTCAGGATGCTTGTGTTACTTATCAATATACTCAGATGAGAATAAAACAGTTCCTGTAAAAAGCATCTTTTTATTTTTATTTAGGAATATTATCAAATTTTCTTTGGTAAGCTATGGGGTTTATGAATTTAAACCTTGCTATTATTTTGTGACTATATTAACAGTAAATCCAAACTAAGTAAATTTCATAAAAAGAATTTTATAATCTAGTTCTCTTATACTTTCAAAAGTTTAGTCTCTATACGATTCATTGTTTTAACTTCCATACAAAAACCTCTTTAACTCCATTTTTATCTTTCTCATTTAATCTATTGATAAATATAATAATAAGTTAATAAATAAATAGATTATTAATATCAAATAATATTTAATAGGCAACCTAATATAAGCTTATCTATCATATACTCGCAATATTATTTTTTATCCTAAAAAAATATTTAGTTTTTGCTTAAAGTACTTTCTTTTTGTGGGTTTTATTCAAGCAGTAAACAGTAATTAAAGATTAATTGATCATTCTCCTTCTTAACCAAATTTAAATCTTCATCGAGTACCTACTGATTTTTTTTGACTTCTTCCTTTTTTTGCCATTTTGTTTTAATATATTTATATTAGCTTATTTCACCAAAATTTCTTAAAATTTAAAATGATTCATCATGATTCTAATAAGAAGAGCTGTCTAAATTTTATTCGTTGTTATTAACATATTGTTTAATAGAATCTAATATCATGCTGAAATCACCTTTTTCTTTTTAATCAAGTTAACCTAAATCTTAAAAGCATTCCAAATCTGGCTAGCTGTCCTATAATGAATTTAAACACTATGTCATAAATTATAATGGTTTCTTGTTAACTTTATTTTGATCTATTTTTTCTTCTTCCTCAATCTCAGAAGACATTTAATCAAATTAGTATCTAATGTAAGCGCTCTGCCAATTCATTTTTGAGATAAAAATTAAAAAGTATATCTGATATTTTTTACAAATATCCTTTAATATTCTATCTAATTAATATTTAATTTATTAAATAATTACTAAAAAAAAATATTAATTATTTGATTTCTTTACTTATGCCATTATTTTTTAACCAAGTAGAATTGCTAAAAGAAGTTTTCATATTTTATAAGTATTAATCAAATTAATCAAAAGAATTTAAGAAGAAAATATTTTACTATTGCTCATATTTCATTTAAATTTTCTTTAATATAAAAAATATTTTAATTATATTATTAAATTTAAACAAAGCAATTTATTTATTATCTAGAAGCTGATTAGTCATAATAAATAAATAAATAAATAAATAAATAAATAGGTGGTCTCAAATTAAAGTAATTTTCTAATTTTAGATTCCCATCAAATAGATTTACTAATAAATAAATTAATTTATAGTTGGAATTATTTTCTCAAAACATTTAATCCACTAAGTTATTTAATCAATAAAATGAAAAAAGAATTCATTTTATTAAAATAAAAAATTAACAATTATTTTTTTCTACAAAAAATATACCTAAATTAATTTTATTTTGTAATAATTTTTTTCTTGGATGTTTAGACATTTAGACATTTATAATATAAAATGGGGGTAAAACTCATATTTTTACTTTGATCTATATCTTTGATACACTGGTATATATAAATCTAATTATTGTTGTAGAAAATATATTTTAATCATATTTTTAGATAGTTAATTTTTTAATGCAAGAAAATAACAAGATATTTAAAAATTTCTATTAATTTTAATTAAAAGGTTTTAATTAAATTTTTAATTAATAATTTAATAAAAAAATGAATTTATTATTTATTTATTTATCAATAAAAATTAATTTTAAATTCAGAACAATAATCAAATAATAGAAAATAAATAATAAAATAAATGATGACTAAATTTTAAATGATAAAAAGTTTTTCAAATTTGAATTTATTATTTTAATTATGTGATGGATAATTAATTAAATAAAGTGAATAAATAATTTTCAGCTAGCAATTTACTGATAGAAAACGAGTTTAAAGATATAAATATTGAGTGATTGATAGCTAGTAAAATTGCAAATATAATTGCTTATGTATGTATGTATCTATCTATCTATTAATTTATTTAATATCGTGTTTTTCAAAATATTATTAAATAAAATTTGAAATATATAAATTACTTATTAAATCAATTAAGATAATCAAAGTTAATTAATTGTATGCAATATAGATAGAAAAAGGATGTTTGGTTTGACGTGTGGATGTTTTTCAAGTTTTTAGATTAGCAAGATAGATGTCAAGATACAGCCTTTTCTTATTTTTAGCTTCTAATAGCAATCTAATTAATAGATGCACACTTAACTATCTAATACATTAAATGAGCAGGGAAATTCTTAAAGTCCTGTACTTGATTCCCTCGCTAATTAAGCAAGCATAACTAATTCATAAAATCTATAATCAAATTGTTCTACGATTGCTCCTTGCCCAGCAGCGTTCAACAACGAAATAATGAGCAACTACACATTGCAATTTAATATACAAATAACTAATTCTTAAATTCAATAAAATAACGATTTTCTTTACATAGTACCTGAAAAGGCTCCTCTTTCATCTTGTTTATCTGAAATTAATCCTCGCTACAAGTAATTTTTAACAAAAAAAGTCTTTAATATTTCTATTGATTTCAATTTGAAATCTCCTCATATTTTCCAAAAACAAAAATGATCAAATAAAATAAATAATTTATTTATTTATCATTTATTTCTAACTATTTTATTAAATTTAATAATGAAGGAAATATTTATCGAATAATTTAATATTTATTCTACTCTTATGCTCTAAAACAAAACGGAATTTTTTTAACATTTCAAAAATTTTTTACTTTTTATTATAAAGTCTACTTTATAAACTTTTTTGTGAAAATATCTTAAAACAGAATCAGAATTGAAGCTAGTGGTTAAGACTCAACAATAGGAAGTGCCAAATATGCTATCTAAAATCTAGCACTAAACGAAATGTAAGCAGATGCAAATTTCATATACAATTTCAGATTTATTTTATTTTAGTTATAGCGATTTGCATTCATTTTTTAAAAAATAGATACAAAATATATTATGCAAGAAGAAGTAAAGATGACAAGTTAGAAGCACTGCACACAACTAAAAAATTTAAATTAATTTTAAGAACGAAAACGCAATCAACTCCTAAGAGTTTGACAAACAATAACAAAAGCAGTAAGAGTCTTTTTGCTTAAAACGAGAACATGAACTTATCAAATGTGAATACTTCTGCATTATATTTAGAAGTAGTTTAAGTCTTCGAAGGTGATCCTGATTTCTATAGAGAAAACTTTGACTATGAAATGAAGATTTTAATGTATACTCCTTAAAACAAATCAAAATACAATCGATTAGATACAACACCTCAAACAGTAATTAATAAATTAACTAACTAACGAACTAATCATTATCACTGTTTTTTTCTCTTTATTTTTATTAGAGAAAGATTAATTTTAAAAAGGAAAAAAATAGTAATTTTGGTATGTTGAAAAATTGTTAATTGATGATAAATGGATTTATTTGTTCTTTTTTTTTGAGAAAATTAATCAAATAATTTTTGAAAAATTTAAATTTAACACTAATAAATAGGCGCCTTTTTAGATCACCTATAACTAAACTTAAGAAACATTTTCTAAAGCTTTAAATGGAAATTTTCAAGATGTGAACAAGAATATTAAAAATTAATCAGAAGGAAACTCTAATTTTGAAACATGCTGCAACTCACTTTACTAAACAAATATAATAGACAACTAAATATAGTAATAACAACATTTGAAATCTTATTTTTATCAAAATCAAAATCATTTTGGTAATGAGAAATAATAATCTATTTTAACAAGAACTAACAATGATAATTCTTAAAATGTCAATAATTATTTAACAGCAAATAATAATTATGAATATGTTAAAAATAATCCTTAATACAATAGTAATTCATAAAATTTCAATAACCACGCTTTGATCTCTTCTGATAATAATTATTCTTAAATTTCAAATAATAAAAATTAGCAATTTTAATTTACAAATAATGATCAATCTTAAATTGTAAATAATCTAAACTCATAATTTTTAAATAATTATAATACTTAAATGAATAGCAACATTGCTAATTCGCATATAATCAGTAGTCTTAATTATCAATCTGTAAACAATAGCAATGAAAATAGCTAAAATAAAGGGAATTTATAAAATGCTTAAAATTTGAGTAATTTAAACTCAAAATGCCACAGTGGATAAAAGTTAAATATACAAAATGCTTAGATAGACGAAACATTTATAATAGATGACTCTAAATTTAATGATTATGCAGCTCATATGAACAATTTATTGAAATAAAAAATAGAATAAGATAATTTATGCTAAGATTATAAAAAGAATAAATAATAGAATTAGGAGAACATTCCAAACAATATAAATTGTTCCTAACAATTAACTTTAACAAAGAAATAAGTTATGCAAAAGTAAAAGGGGAAAACAATATCTAATTACAACTCTGAGGAAGTTATGAAAAAGTAAATGAAAGAAAATCTAAATAGTAATAAAATGATCATTCAATCTGCCCCAAAATAAAATATAGAAAACAAAAAAGGAAATAACTCTACTTCTAAAATAATTACAAGCTAGAGCAGCAACAAAAATATTTAACTCAATAAAAATTAGGCATTCATTTATAATTCTTAATGTAGTAACAATAATATCACTCCTTAGAGTCTTTCTAAAAAAAGTTCTAACAATTAATTTACAGCTAATGAAAATAATAACCAGAATAACTCCTATCTTAGCAATCAGAAAGCTTTATATAGAAGCTATAAAGAATCATCATAGAGTTAAATAAATTGCAATAAATTCATAATGTAAACACCTTGTAAAAATACTTCTGTTAGCTAAGTAAATACAAATTATAAACCAGTTACACCTGCAGGCGTTAAGTCTGTTTCTCATTCTGGAAACATTCCAAGAGTTAAAATAGACTTTCAATCATCCAACAACAGTAACAATTTGAACAACCAAAGTTAAGGTTCTTTTAGCTAATTTGGCAAACTCATTAAAAGCCAAAAGAAATAATCTTTTTTAAGCTCTAAAAAGACATCACTAACAAATACTCCCAAAAGCTCAGAATAAAAATTACACTTGAGATTCGAAAATGATATCAACAGAATGATGGTTTAATAAAAAGGTAAATCAATTCATTTTGTAATTTTTCAAAATTATAATTTTAAAAATATTCAATAAACAGTTTAAAGCACTTAAGAAATGATGTATAAAAACCTTTTAAATCAGTAAATAAATACAGAAGCAATCTAAAAAAACGAAATAAACATTTTAGATATCTAAAATATTGCCTCATCTCCTCAATAGAAACTAGATGCAGATGGAGAAAATACTCCTGTTGAACAAAAGTAAATAAATAAATAAATAAATAAATAGATTGCATTTTTCTTTATCATAAATCAAATTGTTAATTCAATTAAGAACTGATTTTTAAATAAAATTTAGATTATTTACAGTAGAAGAAGCTAATTCGCCTTTTGAAACTTCAATCAATAGATTTTATACTTAAAAATCGTCTCCCTCTAAATACAAATTAACATAGACTGAAGTAATAATCAAATATTATATTTATTTCAAAACATAATAAATGCCTATTTTAATAGTTTAACAGAATAGATGAGTGTGAGGAATACAATAATACACAGTACACAAACAGTGATCTTAAGAGAATTAAATATCAGTTAAAATAATTTAGAAATGACTAGGAATCAAATTCATCTTCAAGTCAGAACTTGAAAACCTACGAGTTTTACTAAAACTCTCCATTTAATCCAGATTATACAAAAATATCTTAGAATAAATCAAGTCAAAATATAAATACTATGCCTTTGTCAAGGAGAGAAAAGACTATCTTATACATGATTCCTGTCTATGAATATAAAATGGAGAAACTAGGATTTAACTTTACTTATAACCCAGAAACAAAGAACATTATCATACAGAAAAAGGAAACTAGCTCAAACTAACACTTATAATAAAGTGTTTTTAAAATAGATGAGCGCATAAAAACTGATTAATTAACTAATTATTTTGAAGATATTTGTGCAAATATTAAATACTAAACAATAGATTGATTGATTGATTAATTACTCAAATAACAAATATAAAGAAATAATTAAGAAATACTTTTATAATATAAATTTAATAAATAAGTAAAAATAAAATATTTTCAAATTTTAAATAAATTATTTATAATTTTAATTAACTAACTAACTAACTTAATAAATAAATAAATATTAATTAAATAATATATTTTGTGTGGTTGTTTTCTTCATTTATTTTAATTAATTAATTTAAATTCTTCATTTTATAAAACAAAAATTTTGCATTAAAAAAATATTTTAAATCTGAAAAAAATTGGTTTATTTTTTATTTTTATTTTAAAAAAACAGTTTCTTATAAAAAAATAAAATCAAAGAAAATAAAATAAAATAGAAGTTAATTTTTTAAAATATATTTTTAAAATTTAAAGTTTTATTATTTTTAAATGTGTAAAGATTATTTTTTGTGTTTAAATTATAACTAAATTGAATAATTATTTCAGAATGATTTACAAATCAGACTTTTTATTACTTTTTATAGATGCTTTCAAGGTTTAAAAAGCTTTTTGACTAAATTTTCAAGAGATTAGTCAACCTTTTTATTTCTATTTTAAAAAAAATGAATTTGTTATTTATAAATATTCTAAAATAAAATAAACTATTTAAAAAATACTTCTTTAATATTAGTTAATGAATAGTAACAACATATAAAATCAATTTATTTCTGAAAAATCTAAGTTAAATAAGGGGAATTAAAAAAGATATTATTTTATCAGCTTAATTTTATGGTTAAAACAACAACAACAACAACAAACTATTCTTTCTATTATTAAACATTTTTTAACAAATAAATTTAGTTATCGAGAACTCGATATATAAGATCTAAATTTATTTTAAATGCAAATTCGTTTGTGATAAAAAGCATATAATTCAAAAATCAATACAAATTTAGAATTAGTCTATAGATATTATGTTTTAAAAAAATTTTTTTATTTGTCTTTTTAATATATAGTAAATATTTTTGTTATATTATTTATTCACTAAGAGCTTTTTATATTTAGTTTTTTAAAATTAATAAATGATCAAAAATAAATGTAAAAAATAGATAAGATTATAATATAATGTTAGAATAGTTATTTCTATCTATTTAATTAGATTTTATTTGAAGAGATTAAATTCTTTTGTAGAAGAGAGAGCAAGAATTACTTACTTTAGTTGTGTAAATTTATATATATAATAGAAAATAATTTATTTATTATGAATATATGAGTTTTGGATATTAATGATCCTATTTAAATATAAATAATATTTTAAGTCATGAATAAAACACCCTTAAATTTATTATAAAAGTCAATCTTAAATATTATTTTCATGAAATAAGTTAAAAGGAAAAATTTATTTTTGTAGAAATTTTTTAAATGAAATGTAGATAGCAGCAACTGAGTAAATAAAATTAAGTTTAACTTTTTATACAAGGATTTTACAATACCAGAATAATATAGATATTATGTTTGTTTGTTTTTGTGGGTAAGTGTAAATAAGTAAAAATTTTGCAGACTCATTTTTTTAAAAGAACAAAAATTATTGAAAGGGGTAAGTCCAAAACTTAAAAATCTATTTTAATATAATTTTCATAAAGCATAAATAAATAAGTAAATAAAAAAAAAATCGTTTGCAATTTAACACGTTTTCTAATCATAAGCAATCATTTTTAATACTAAGAATTGTGATTTTTGTTATTTCATAAAAAATATCTAGAATTACTCATTAATTAGTACAAAATATTAAAATTGATTAGAAGATCTCTCTGATGATTCAAATTTATATGCATAAGACTTAAAGAATAAATTATATATAGGACTGATCTTATATATTTATTTATCATCTATATGCTTTATATTAATTACCTTGTAATAGAATAAATGAAAGCTGATTCTAAATTTAGTTAACTAGATAGTTTTTCTCTAAATAAATTAAGTACCTACCTACCTGATTTAATTTATTTAGTAGTAATCAATCTACTGCTTTATTTAATTTGATTAGATTTATTAAATTTTGATTAGAATTTATTAGATAGATACTAAGTTAAGGTTTGTGTTAATTTTCCTAGATATAAATTTTATTGTGCTTTTTAAGCAACAAGCATATTCATATTAATAAATAAGGTAACATATTTGGACTTGCTAATAAAATGTTAAAATGTAAACAAAGCAACTAAATTATTTAAATTATTTTCATAAAATTATTAAAAACAAAAAGTGAATTAAACCTATCAATACTTATTACTTTTGTATGATTATGCTATGTTAGCTATTTTTTGATATTAAAACAAATTTTGCAAACTTTTCTTTTGATAGATTAATTATCAAGAAAAAATACAAAACTCCATATTAAATTACAATATGATTAAAATTGAAAATATGATAAAATGTATGTAAGCAAATAAGTAATTCAGTTTTTCCTGTTTATTGTATGTTAATATTTTTAAAACTAGAATAAAAAGATAGACGATGAGAGCAATTAAATATCATTTTTGGTTTTAATTTGTAGGAAATTAATAAATTTTAATTTTATCTATTTTATTCTAATAGTGGGACATTTATATCAAAAGTAATTTAGTGCGTTTTTATATCACTTAAATGCGCTTATTTTGAAAATTAAGAATGTAAAATTAAATGTATTTCAAATAACAAATAGAAAGATATTATTTGGTTCTATTTATATGCAAAATAGATAGAAATTTCAATCTAAAAATTGTGTAAAAATATCAAAAGTAGCAAATCTTCCATGAGAATATTCGAACACATCAAAATTTTGATTTTCATATTATTATTTTGATTCATCCATGTGAAACTATTTTTAGAAGACTTTTTATTAAATTAATTTTTAATTTTTATTAACGTAAAAATTGGCTTTAATCATATTTTTAAATAAATTTTTACTTTTCCAATTCTTTTGTAAAAAATACAAGGACATTAAGAAGCCTAATTATAAATATTCCTTTTCTTACCATATTTTTTCCATTTGTTTTAATTTAACTGAAGTAATTTTTATTTGTTATTTCTTAACAAAAATGCCAAAAAAAGAATAAATAATTAAATTCAAATACTCTTTAATATCAATTGATTTTATAAAATGAACACACGTGGGGATTCAAATAGCTAATTTTTTAAGATTTATGATATTTGTAGCAACAAAGTTAAAAAAAAACAGATTGGTGGGTAAAAAATATTTGATTTTTTAGTAATTTGATAGAATTGTTTAAACACTTCTATTTACTATTTTATTTCTAATTAAGTTTATATTAAATAGAATCTCAACATTAATTTTTTAGTAAAATATTATTCATTCATTAATTCATTTCAAAATGAGAAATGTTGAACGATTTAACAAAAATTAATAAATGTTTTAATAGTAAGATATGCTTGATTTATTTATGAAATCAATATCATTTTTAAATTGGTAATTTAATTAATTGATTAATGTACCTACCTCTTTTACAAAATTTAATTTAAATAAAATTTTTAAGGTGGTGTGGTCATTTAATAAAGAGTTAAACTTCTTACATAGAAATCCAAGATTATCATACAACTAACTATTTTTCTATATCAAATTTAAGGTTTGTAATAGATAAATAAATTACTCAGTTAACAATTTCATATGAAATTATAATTCATTTTATCATTAATTTTTATCCTATTCTAAAATAAGATTGATTCTCTAATTACTTGAAAAGCCTAAGGAGTCTCACTACTATTTAATAATTAATTATTTCAAAATATAAAAATATAATAAATAAATAAATAAATTAATTAATACCTTATTAATAAATCAATTTTTTTATTAATGAGCTTTGATAATTACTCTCTTGTTTCCATGGAAGCTATGGAAGCTGATTATTAATAAATTTCTTGCAGTGCATAAATTTGCTTTGAAAATTATTTGTAAGAAGGAGAAAGAAAATAGATTTTCAAGGAAAATTTGCTTTCTCTTTCCTAATTTCACTCATAATAGTTTGATCATGGCACATTGAATGGAGTTAAAAAATATTGTAGCTTACCTGAATTTGTTGCTTGCAAATATGATCAGAAAAGCTTAAACAAAAAATTTATCATAAAATCTGCTAAGATCAAATAATAATAATAATAACTAATAAAAATGAATGATGTCAAATATTTGATTGAAAGGATGAAAAGAATTTATTAATTGAAATAATTACTCAGTTCGAATGAGCAGAAAGCTATGGAAGTAGAATCATATTTTAGTAGTTTAAAATCTAAAATTTAACAAAACATTTCATACTTCGATAAATATTCTTCTTTTTGGATTAAAAAAATACTTGATAACTAAATGAATAAGCAAATACTAAACCACTCAATAGAATATCAAAAAGAAATACAAATCTAAAATGAGACAATAATTGAAGAAATCAACCACATCAAATTCGAGGTTAAGTTTTGTTTAGAAAAATTAAGAGAAACTCCCATCTTTGCAGATATTTGCTAAAAAATTCTAATAAAATTAGAACAAAATAAATTCTCTAATAAAGAAATGAATTAATCTCAATCTGATTTATTTTTTACAGAAAAAATTTATTCATCCTATGAGATAAATGAATAAGAAGAAAATCAAAGTTAATTTGAAACCCAAGATACTTTAACATGCTTGGACTCTGAGATCAACTAAGGAGAATTAAAAAACTAATAAATGTAAAACTTCAGATTATAAGTAGCTTTTGCTGGTGTCAATTAATAGAACCTCTGTTAATACATTTCTAAATAAAATATGTCGTTAAAAGATTAAAAATCCTTTTGCGAGGAGAATACTGGTATAGTTGCTTTTTCAACTGCACTAGTTCTAGTATCTTAAAAAATTCCTGGTATTGATTTAATTTCACTTGGTTGCGTTGGATTGATCTAATCAATTGTTAACTTCAGTAACCCTCACAGAACTCTTTCTGGTTGTCTTAGAGAGCAAAGTATTCTGATGTCCTAAATCACTGTATGTGGAGGTCTTGGATTAACTGGAGCAGCTATAGGTTAGGCTCTTATTCCTGTCCCTGTTTTAGGAGCTTTAGTTGGAGGCTTAGTAATGGAATTTTTTGGTATTTATTTTTCTTCCAAAATCAAAGATTGGAACATCTCTTCAAAATAGTAAAAACAATGCAATTTCTTTGCTGAAAATAATGTTGAAGTATGTGAATCTAATCTAGATCAATACTACGAAATATTAGACATCAAAAAAGAATCATTAAAAGACAAGATTGTTCTTCCTAACTAAAACTCATTGAATAATTTACTTGGAAGAAGCAGTAAACAAATCTAAACAGAAAAAACTTTTGGAGATATTGAAAAATTTTAAATATATCTCCTTTATTGCTTATCATACATCGGTAATACAATATGGAAAAATAATAAAGAAATAATGGAAGAAGAAGAAGTCTTTAATGAATTATTTGAATTATAAAATAATTTGGAATCCTTCACTGAGTACTTTGATTTTGATTATCTGTCTATTGGAAAAAATCTTCATAAAATTTTTGATGAACTGAAATAAAAGTTATCTGTTGATGACATTAAAAAAATAATTGAAGAAATTGACCCTCTTTATATAAATGGCAACAATCTTATTTAATAACAACAAAAAAATTCTGTGATAAAATACTGCAAAGTAGAAAAATTTGCTTAGCTTTTGAAAGAAAAAAGTATTGATGAAAAAATAATTATTGAGTACCTTCCTAAATCAATTTATATTTTGAACTCAAACTAAAAACTAGATCTCTGGTGTACTTATATTTGTATCTAGCTTTTAAACCCATCATATGTCTTCTTAGATATTTTCATGATGAAAGTCAATTTCTAACTTGAATCTAAAAATTTATTCTTTTTAGACACAATTGATTAATATTACCCCATCATTAAAGAAATGTTCGAAGAAATTTGAATATAATTTTTATGACAATTAAAAATCCCATCCTAACTAATTAGACTAACAATTATCTAATGTAAAATAATAATCTAACAACCTACCTACCAATCTCCTCATTCACTAAAAAAATACTTACTATCACTTTCTTTGGCTTACTTTACTTTACTTTCTTTACTTACTTTACTTTACTTAATTTACTTTTATCTTTTAATATTTATAAATATGATTTATAAACAATATTTTAATTATTTTTTATATTTTATGTTGTAATAAATAAAAATATTTTCTCATATAAAAAAAAATATTTGTTGATTAAATATTGAAATATTTAAGATCTAAAACAATTAAACACTCTAACTCATTCAACTTAATTTTTAATATTTTACCCAAAAACGTTTTAAACAAAATATAAATTTAAACTTTCATAAAGTTAAATTCAATTAATGGATTTGATAGTACATAAATAGCAATTTAAATTTTACAAATTTTACATAGATAGATAATATCTAAAATTTGATTTATTTATATACTACATTTATGATAAAACTTAAAAATATTATTATTGAAAATTTAATATGCTATCAATTTTTATTCATTTTTTTATATTTAAATTCCTCTTAAATTTGAGAATCTCTTAAACTCGAGAATGATGGTATGCATATAAATAATTATAAAAATGTATTTAATTTTTAATTCTTTCATAAAATATAATAGAGCTTATTGTTATGTTCTAATTTAATAAATTATTAATTATTGATATAATAGATTTTAGTTTATTTTTTTTAATTAAAATAACCTTTAAATTAATTATTTACTACATTTGACTTTAAAAAAATAACATCTAACTGTAAGAATAGAAATGAAATAGATAAATTTAAAATCCCAATTTTTTCACACTTGTAATTTAATCTTTACTGATCAGATAATTAATAAGCTTAGCATTCATTAGTTTTTATTTATTAATTTTAAGATTTGATTTCATTCATTGATGTAAAAAGATGTTGAGTGTTACATAAAAAAAACTAAAAATTGTTTTTAAAAGTCATTAAATCCATATTAAATAACATTTTTAATTGATAAAATGACTTAAATTATTTGGTTTAGTAAATTATTTTACAAATGATAAGTATAAATAATTTTGTTTTATCCTAAATATTTGTTAAAGATTAATTCTTATTAGTTATGATTTTATCTTTAATGTAAGACATAATAAGAAAAAATAAATGATTTTTTGATCTTAAAAATAAGTAGTATATCTTACTTTTCTATAAAAAATACAAATATTTTAATCCTTGTCATTTATTGAATCAACAAAAAAATAGAGTTTTTTTAATAATAAAAATATTTTATGTTATTATTTTTCATAATTAATTAAATAATAATTTAATTCACTTTCAACTAAAAATATTGATTAGTATTTCTAAGAATAGGATTATAAAAAAATAAATCAAATTACGAGTTTAATATAGAAGATAAGTATCAGAATTTAAATTGTATCAAAAGCTTACTTCTATCATTATTAAATCTGTCATATTTCTAATTAATTTGTTTTGATAATTAATTATCAATAAATAATAATAAATTTATTAAAAAAAAACAATAGATATTATTTTTAATATTAAAACCAATCTTGATATCTTTGAATTTGAAGCAATCTTCTCTACTATGAATACCTCTTTTACCAAGGCATGTAATACTATGCTAGAATAAATAATTAACCACTAAAAAGATTCTCTTGATTTTCAGAAAGAAATAGATTTAAAAATAAATTTGAGAAATTACTCAGAAAACTAAAAAATTTCAGGATTAGTAACTATTTAGCACAATAATAATATAATCCATATATTAATTGATCATTTTATACAAATTATTAATCAAGTATTTCAACCTACTCCTTCTCATAATCAACAAGCTTTATTATCATAAAATCAAATAAAAATACAAAAAAGTGAATATTTAAAAATATTGATAACACATTTAATCTAAAATATTAATAAATAAAATGAATTTATTCCAAAAAACTTAATTAAATTAATTTCAAAAACATAATTAAATCTCAATAGTAAATTATAGGAAAAATCTCTAACAAATTTCATGCCTTATAAAAAACTTTTACAAAAAAAGAAAAATTAAAATAAAAATGTTAAACAAATTTTATCTCAAAATCAATAAATTAAAGATTTTTCTAGACAAAAATAAGATTAATCAAAAGGTGAATGTAAATAGCATAAAAAGATTTAGATGAATTTTAATCCAGAAAATAATAAATTAGATAAATTAGTAATCGAGTAATTTATTTTTACATATAAAATGATTTTAAATAGAATCAAAATAGTTCTACAATTAAAATAATAATTAAGTTTAAACATAAACAGATTGAATGAGATTAAGAATTAACTAAATAGTTTAAAACCAAAAATTGTTTAAAAAGTGCTTTTTGTAGAAAAGTGTTGTTCTACTTAGCTAAATTAAATCATTATGAGACAAATTAATAATGAAATTTAAATACGCTACTAATAATTCAAATAATAAATGACACATTAGAATAATTAAATATATCTTATTATAAATCAAAAGAAAAAAGAAATATTTTATATGTTCAACACTACTTAAAAAGATAATAATGTTTACTAGATGTGCAGACAGTACCTACTTTCATTTGAGAAAAATTTAGTACCAAATCAATTTTAAGAAATCTTCAAAGATACTGAAATGTTTCACCTTTTAAATGGCTAGAGCACCTATTTAGTCTAATTATTTTAGATAGAAGTTTAGTATAATTAGTAATAGGTCTCATAAAATATTAATTAAAGAAATTTGAGCAGTTTGAATTTAAAAACTTAAAATAATTTTACAAAAAATAACAATTCAGACAATTCTTAAGTAATTAAGCTGAGTTTTATGAATAACCTAAAAAGAATTTTGAGAACAAAAATGACAGAAAACAATATTGATAGATCTTAAATTATCATAGAAAAATGTGTAAAACTATATTTAAATTTGATAGACATTTAAGTTATACCAGTACCAAAACTTGATGGATTAAAAATGCAAATTAAATCTATGGGCTAGCTTTTATTGAAGAGAATAAAAAAAATATAAGATGAAATTGAGTTTGAAAGAAAGCTTTAGTTTCTGGTAAGCTCAAATGCTGACATAAGTGAGTAAAATATTAATTAATATTGCGAAATTTTTGAGATTAGTATTGATTACATAATAAAAAATATTAATTGTCAATATATTTTTAGTATTGATGAACTTATTGATAAAAATTAAACAAAAAAGGCAAAGAATTTAGGTTTACAAGAAAAATTTTAAATCCTATTAATTTTATTATTAAATATTTTTGGAGAGTAAATTAACAAAAAAATTGAAAATTTTTATGGGAATTTTAAATATTAATTATTTTAATAACAAGCTAATTGCTTGAAGAACTATGTTTAAAATTTTGCTATTGACAAATTCTCAATAAGTAAAAAATTATATAAAGTTACTCAAACAATTACAAAAAAAGTAAATCCCACTTAAATATCAAAAATAATAGAAAAATTACCAATAAAATAAAAGAGTTTTTTGGAAAATAGTTTATCTTAGTAAATATCATATTGTACTTATGAAAAATTTAGTGAATTACTAAGGTCTAATTAGATAGATGAAAGTATAATCATTTCTGAGGTCCCTGAAGCAATTTAAAGCTATAATTCACCATTTATATTGGATATTTGGTGTAGCTATATATGTATTTAAATATTAAATCCATCTTTTCTTTTTTTAGATTTATTAATGATGAAAGTAAATGCAAGCTTAGAATTTAAAAGAATATTCCTTATTCATGCTCTACATGAGTTTTAAGAAGTCTTTTAACACATGCTATAATAATTTTGCAGATGATTATTAATTTAACTTAGCTTGTATTGATAAATAATATAAAAATATATAAAGAGTAAAAATTATACCAATTTTAAATTTCTCTGACTTTTATAACTATTGCTACATTCTCTTATTCTGATCTTAAATTTACATTTTTATTATATTTATCATGTATGTTTTAAAGTAAATAATTGTAGTGTGTATTATATATTTTATTCAAAAACATATAAAAATACCTCAATTTCAAAACTTTTTGAAATAAATAATCATTTCCTTTATATTTTATATTAGAAAACAAATGACTCTGGTAAAGGAGCTTAATAGAAATATTTCAATTTTAATTTATTATAAAAATTAGGATATTTATGTCAAATATAAATTAATGAGTGATTTTATGTTTAATATATTCATATACCTTATAAATTAGTTCTATTTTCAAAATTATGAATTAATAATTAAGATAATATTTCAATAAGAAATGTTAAGAAATTATTTGGTATTATTTGTATGCAAGATAGAAATTTCGATCAAAGAATCGTTTATAATAACCGAAAGAAGTAAAGTTTCTATTTTAGATTATATCAATATTTTACATTTCAATAAATATCATTTATATTTTAGATTTTTTTCTTTTTTTTTGATAAAAATGTAAAATTTGGCGTTTACAAAAATTTAATACTTCATTTTGATTAATATGTAATAGATTTTACACTATAAATTATTTTTTTATTTCAACCTTTACTTTTGAAAGATATATATATTATTTACCTATAAAAACGTAAGCAATATTTTATTCTCTCAAATAAACTTTAGTCTTTTTTTATTTGATTGGAGTAATTTAATCAATATATTTACACTTTCTGAGCTAAAAGAGCAAAAAACTGAATATATTTTTTATTTATATCAGCAATTTTTCACAATTTAAGTATGCGTGTGGTGTTTAAAGCTTAAATCTTTAAAAATTAAAAAAAAATAAGGATAAATGGTTGCTTGGAAATATAAAAAAACTGATTATTTTATAAAAATATTTGCTTTTTTAGAAATATAAAGGTTCGAAAGTAATTTAATAGAAAGTTTTTAACACTTCTATTCTACTATTTTATTTCTAGTTAAGTTAATGGCCAAAAGATTTCAATAAAAATTCAATATAAAGATAGTAATTTTGTTTTTAAAAAAAGACTCATCGTTAAAGATGAGAAATGAGGAGTGCTTAACAAAAATTAATAGCAGTTTGAAAAGTCAATATATTGGTGTAGGAATCACTTTTTTTTAAATGATTAACATTTAAATGAAATAGTTAATTATTATATCTCTTCTTACAAAATTTAATTTAGCTAATGTTTTATAAGGGTTAGAATTTAATAAAAAGTTAAACTCCTTACAGAGAAATCCAACGATTGAAAAGTAATAATTTTTCTATGTTCTGTCTGTCTCAAGTTTGATAATAGATAAATATATTAATCAATCAATCAATCAATCATACAATCAATAATTTCTTATCAAATAATAAGTCATTTTATCAATTATTTTTTTTCTTATGCTAATAATTCAATAAATTGCTAATTCTTTGAAAGCCAAAGGAGTTCTCTCAGTTTTTATAATCATTTATTTCAAAATATAAATTTAAAATAAACAGATAAATAAAAATAAAATTTAAATAAATTCATTTATTCTTTATCATAAATAAATTTTTATAAACTCTTGTTAATGAGCTGTGGTATTTGTTAACTTCCTTCTTTCGAAGCAGATTGTTAATAACTTGATTGTAGTACTTAAACTTACTTTGAAAGTTCTACGTAAGAATCAGAAGTAGAAGTAAAGGAAATTCTAAAGGAAAATTTACCTGTCCTTATCTCGTTTCATACATAATAATTTTAGTAAACTGCTTTAAATGGTATTAAGAAAAATTTAAGCTCTCATGAATTTGTTTCTAGCAGATAAGATGAGAAAAGCTCTAATAAATAACTCAACAATAGTTTTAATTTGATCAAATAATAACCACTAAATAAGATGGGTGATGTCAAATACTTGATTTAAATGTTGAAAAGATTTCATTAATTGAAATAAATGCTTATTTCAAACTAACAGAAATTTTTAGCAATGGAATCTCATTTGAGTGATCTAAAATCTAAGTTATAACAAAGTATTTCGTACTTCGACAAATACTCTTCTTTTTGGATGAAAAAAATAATTGATAACTAAATGAACAAGCAAATTCTAAATTACTCTTTAGAATATCAAAAAGAAATTTAAATCTAAAAAGAAAGAATATTAGAAGAACTCCACCAAATAAAATTTTAAATTAAATTTTGTTTATAATCATTTAAAGACACTCCTATCTTTGCAGATACTTACTAAAAAATTCTAATTAAATTAGAAGAAAATTAATATTCTAATAAATAAATTAGTTAATCTGAATTTGACTTCATTTTAACAGAAAAAATTAATTCCAAAAATGTGCTGAATGCATAAGACGAAAACCAAAGTGACATAGAAACTTAGGATACTTACACATGCTTGGACTCTGAAATTAACTAAGTAGAATTTTTAAATGAATAAGCAAACTAGGAAAGCTTTAGATTAAAAGTAGCTTTTGCAGGTGTCAATTAACAAAACCTCAATTAATACATTTATAAGTAGAATATTAAATAAAAAGAATAAAACTCCCTCTATGGCGAGAGTACGGGTATAGTTGCAATTTCAACTGCACTTTTTTTTGCATCTTAAAAGATTCCTAATATTGATTTAATTTCTCTTGGCTGTATTGGATTGATCTAATCAATTGTTAATTTCAGTAACCCTCACAGAACTCTTACAAGTTGTCTTAGAGAACAAAATATTCTGATGTCTCAAATCACCATATGCGGAGGTCTTGGATTAACTGGAGCTGCTATAGGTTAGGCACTTATTCCCGTCCCTGTATTTGGAGCCTTAGTTGGAGGTTTAGTTATGGAGTTTTTTGGTATTTATATTTCTTCCAAAATCAGAGATTGGAGTATTTCCACATAATTATAAAAACAAAGTAATTTTTTTGCTGAAAATAATGTAGAAGTAAGCGAATCCAACCTTGATCAGTACTGTGATATCATGGATATCAAGAAAGAATCATTAAAAGATAAGATAGTCCTTCCTAACTAAAACTCATTGAATAAATTACTTAGCAGTGAAAAATAAATGGAAACAGAAAAACCTTTTGGGGATATTGAAAAACTTTAAATATATCTCCTTTATTGCTTGCAAAATATAGGTTTGAAATTATATGCATGCAATAAAGAAATGTTAGGAGAAAATACCTTCAACCAATTATCAGAATTACATAACCAATTAGAGTCTTTCACTGAATATTTCGATTTCGACTATTTGTCTATAGGCAAAAATCTTCATGAAATTTACAATTAACTTAAAGAAAAAATATAAGTTGAAGACATTAAAAAGATAGTTGAAGAAATAGACCCAATTAATATTGATGGTAACAATGTTATTAATTAATAACAAGAATCGATTAAAAAATGCTGCAAATTAGAAAAGTTAGCTTAACTTTTGAAAGAAAAAAATATCGATGAAGGAATAATTATTGAGTCACTACCTGATTCAATTTAAAAATTGAAATCAAACCAAAAATTAGACCTCTGGTGTACTTACATTTGTATCTAACTATTGAGTCCTTAATATGTCTTCTTAGATATTCTTATGATGAAAGTTAATTTCTAACTTGAATCTAAAAATTTATTCTTTTTTGACACAATCGATTAATATTTCCCAATAATTAAGGAAATGTTTGAAGAAATTTGAATATTCCTTTCGTTATATTATGATTGAAAACTAACTATTTAATAATAAAATAAAAATCCCCTTCATAATTATATCAATAACTTCTTAAAATAATTTTATTAACTAACTAACTAACAAATTTACCTTATAAATATATAGTTAAAATTTAGTGTTATCCCTTTATATTTTATAAAAATGTTTCTTCATACATATTCTATTTAATTTAACTTGGTACTTTATTGTTTCTAATTATATTAATGAAAAATGAAATTTACAGTATAGTGGTTTCTCATATATTAAGGACTTTTTTCAATAAATTGTGAATTAAGGACTAAATTTGATCAAAAGTTTTTATCTGAATATGTCCTTAATATATGAGAAACTACGGTATGGAGTTTTCACTTTTTTATTACATAAAAATTATAAACAACTAATTATCATTCTATACAGAACAGAACGCAGTGATACATAAGTTACTCAGTAAATATTCAATTCAATTTATTTTATTTTAATTCGTTTAATTTATTATTATTTTTAGGTATTTTTAAAATATATTTGACCTATGTTTTAAATTTATTTTTTTGATTAATGTGTGAAAAGTAATATAAATGAAAATACTTAGTTGTATTTTTGTCTTTAAAAAAATGTAAATGTTTAATTATTCATTATTATTTTTTAAAAGGATTTATCTATTAAAGCTAATGAAAATTAAATTATTATATAAAAGAATGAAGAAAACATTACAAATAATATATTTATTTATTTATTACTTAATTATATATTTGTTTTGTAAATTAATTTTTAATCTTGTGGTATTTTCAATTAGAAACAAATTTTATTACTTAATTATCGTATAATAATATAAAGAAGAGGAGTGTTTATTATTCAATTTTTAATTACCATAAAAAAGTGCATAATAAATTTAAGATTAGTAGAAATTTAAATAGAGTAATATTATGAATGAATAAAAATAAACTATTTAGCAAGAAAAGAAGAAAGATAATCCAATTTTCGAATTGGAATGTTCTATACCATAAATCTCTCAGCAAAGCTCGATGAAGAGCATTACATTAATAAAAAGCATAACTAACATAATACCTGATTTGAGTTATACTTCATCTAGGAGCAAAATAAAACTAAGTAGCTAATAGTCTTTATCTGAAATGAGCCCAATAGAAAGAATGAACTATTACACATCAAGACTAGAAAATAAAAGGTAGCAATATGAAAACGAAGTTAAGCAGAATATTTAGAAAATAAAGATAATAAGAATGAAAGAAGAGAAGCTAAAAATAAAAAATCAAGTAAATATTTAAATAATTCTACTTTAGTAGTAAATAAAAATATTCATTCAATGTCAAACATAATCTTGCATTATTTTAATAAACAGCAAAGTCCAAACGTAAAGCATGAAAAATCATTTGTTATAAGAAAGTCTCCAGATGAATTTGATAAATAAAAGTTTCTTCCTTAGCCTTAAGAGGTATTCAGAATATTTTTATTTCATTTATTGATTAATTTATTTGTTTATATTTGATTATTTTACACATTCATTCAACAAGCATTTGTTAAAAACTGTATTTATTGAATAGATTCAAAAGCTGAATGCCTTATAATACAAGAAGGAATTTATTAGAATTAAGCAACATCCGGTGAATTAAAAGTCAAAAGAATTAATATAAAAAGAAAAAGAACTACAAGATCTACTCAACAAGGAGAAGGGTTGGAGAACTCCTAGAAGCCGTCTAGAGCTTTTCAACGAAAACGCGAAATCTTGTAGTCCTTCTCCACTATCAAGGCATTCTATGCTAAATAGTTCCTATTAAAATACAAGTCCATCTTCTTAAAGAAGAGGAAGCAATCCTACATCATAATAAGGCTCTTTTTAAGGAGGCAGACCACTAACCCCAAGCTCTTAAAAGATACTAAGAGGATCTCTTAAATTTCAATAAATCTTAATTGATTAAAAATAAAAGGATAGCAATAGTATTATTAAATCAATTTTAAAGTCAAATAAAAATAAAGAAACTAACAAAGACCATCAATAGACAACTTAAGAAATCTCTTCTATTCAAATTGATTAAAACTAAAGTTAATTAATCAAAAGAGTTAATTTTCTTAATAGCGAAAAAGAAGCACCTATCCTTTTATTTTGACCAATCAATCAATTAATCGATATAAATTCGACAAATAATTTGCCGATTCCCTAACCACTTAGTTTATATTATTCCAAATTAAATTTAATTCATGCTTGTAATTAAATTCAAGCTTACCAATTAACTAACTAACTAACTAATTAATTAATATCTCATTTATATTTACAATTTTCTTTTATTTTGTAGAAGACTATTTCTTTCATTATTAATAAACAGCTATTGTTAAAATAGTGAACTAACATATTTAATTACATTAAGAATTATTAATCTAAATTATTTATTTATTTTTTATTTAAAAATAATTTTCCTTTTTTAAAATGAATAATTTTGGTGAACAATTAAAAAAATACATTTAATTACAACTAAAAATTAATTTAATTTTAATTTATTTTAATAAATAATTCAAATAAATTTAATTATTAAAAAATTAATAACTAAGAAATATTTGTAGATATGAGCAGTTTTTTGCAATCAATTTTATGATTATTTTAATTGAATATTTATTATTGAGCAGTTTTTTGCAGCATTTGTATTTATTATTTTTATTAAGTATTAGACAAAATTCAAATTTATTTTTAAAAAAAATATTTAATCAATCATTTTAAGATGATTTTAATTGAATATTTTTTTACATTTTTAATTGATTGTTTTTTAATAATAACGATTATATTTTATTGCTTTAAAAATAAAAAATTTATATTGAATAAAAATTTATAAAATAAATATGACTACTTCACTTTTTGCAAATATTGCTTTAAATATATACATAGTTATTATTCTATAATAAGCTAGTTCAAAGCTGAAAATTATTGAATTATTTTAAAAAAACCTTTGCAGCTAATTAGATACTATAAAAAATCTAAAAATAGTTAAGTTTAACCCTTATTATTGGCAAATTTGTAATAGATATTTGAATTTATTAACAAAAGGGATAAAATAATAATTACATTTTAATTTGAGTTTAGATCATAAATTCATTAATATTTTTTATTGAAAAAGAGTCTGTGTATGTATGTGGATACTCTAAATTTGTTGTTAGATTAACTTACAAACATTTATTTCTTTTTATTATTTGTTTGATTATATAGTTGAAATTTAAATATTTATTTAAGTTATTTTAATTGTTTATTTGTTTTATTCTTTGTTTTATTTGGTTACTCACTCACTCAAATTGTTTGCTTAGAAATTGCTAGAATGAAATTACGCATGTGCATGTAAGATTTTATGAATTTTTCTGTTTGTATTTTAGGCAGTTCGAAAATTTCTTTAGGTTCGATTGGAGTAAATCTATTAAATTCTATTTTTTGATTATACTTTTCCTTTCCAATATCAAATTCTTCATACAAATGTTAACCTTAGATTTAGTTTAATTAGTTTATATTGTAGTAAGCGAGGTATTTTGAAGTGTTCACTGTAATTGTAGATTCGTCAAATGAAATATGTACAGAATAAATAGGGTCTCTACTTTTTAAGCTTTATAAATTTACAGATTGAATTAATTTTAAGTTGTGTAAATCCCACAATCTTATGTCTCCATTATCTTATCCCGTTATAAAGTAATATCCACTATAACTCATATGCATACAAGTTACAGGGCTATTTAATTCTAATGTTAAAGCGCATGTTCCTGTTTTCAATTCCCAAAATTTAATCTTATTATCTAAAGAAGCAGTAATTACATATTCCAGATTCTCAGCAAAGTCTATTTAAGTTACATCTTTTTAATGTCCTATTAATACCTTAGCAATCTAAGGTCTATTAGTAGTCCAAAGCATGGCAGTCTTATCAGCTGAGCAAGAGCCAAATATATAACCTGTTTTTTTTTTAAAAAATTATCTTAAATCAATTAAAAATTATTTTAAATTAAATTTTATACATTTTATTAACAATTATTATATATATTTCTATGTATGAATATTTTAATTAAAATTTTTTTACCTTAACGAGCAAATTTAACATTCCAGATGGTATTTAAATGTCCCTTGTATATGTTGAGACAGACATTAAGTCTAACATCCCACAGTCTAATAGAGAGATCAATAGAAGCAGATATAAAATAGTTTTCGTTATATAAAATGCTAATTGAGGTGATAGCATCCTCATGTCCTGTGAATTTGGTTCTGAATTTGATCTAAACACTATTTGAGTTGTATTATTCTTAATTTTCTTCTCCAAATATTATGTCAGATTAATTACTGCTATTCGTATTTTAAAACTTTCCAACATCAAAAAGATATATCTATGAATCTTGAGTACCACACATTATAATATTCCCGCTTTTACTAACTTCAATACATGTAACAGACTCATTAGGATCATCTATCCTCATTTTTAATATGCTTGGATGCTAACTATCTGACTCTATATGCTTTCTTTCAAGGAAATCGTTCACCATAAGAGATTTTTCTAAAACCTATTTTAATATCAGAAAAGATTTATTTCTTTGTTTTTTATTTAAGTTTTTGATTTGACATATAATAGAATATCTTAAATAATGCTTTTTTTTAATTTAAAATTTGAATGCACTTTTAAATGTATTTTGATGCTTCTATTTTTTTTATCTGCTTTAAGATTCAATTTCTAGACACTTAACTAAATTAATCAATCAAATACTATTAATTTATTTATCGTTTAATTTTATGTTTAATTTAATGCAAATGTTAGCTTATTTTATAATTTAAATATAAATTAAGAATTTAAGATAGGCTTACTGAATAAACTAGATTGCATTTAGGCTTAACTTCGTTGCTGTTGTTAGAGTTTAGCTGATCAAGATACTCATAGGCTTTTTAAAATACTTGAATTTCGCTTGTTTTTACTTTGTCTTTCTTGACTACTTCTAACTTATGAAATAGATTAATATCATCAAAGTTAGTCAAAAAGTTTCTTTCACGTTCATTATCTTCTTTATCTTTTGAAATATGGAACTAATAATCATTGTTTTAAAGAGATGGAATAGATTAATTCTTATTAAATGCTGATGGTATCCTTTTTTTTATGTACTTCTAAAATATGTCTCTGCAATAATCTTGTGTTCCCTAATTTTCATTGAAATAGCAAACAATACATTCATATGAGTATAAAGAAATATAGATTTCGCTGTATTTTTCATGAATTTGCTTAATTTTAGACATTTCTTATTCTCTTTGATTTCTATTAAGGAGATATTTGCATAGTTTATCGATTAAGTCCTTGATATCCAAATTTAAGAACAATTAACCTAAGCTAAACATATAACTAGCAATATTAACAATTTACAATTGCTGCTGCTGCTATTATTATTGCAAACTTTCTAATTTCCAGCATTCATTATAAAGCTCGTAAATGCATCTAAATCCTACCCATTCTAAATCTTTTCTGATTTGCATTAACATATCCTGCATCCACTTCAGCATTTCTCTGATTTAGCCTAATCTCTTTTCAATTTTTTCAAAATAGTTAATTTGCTATTGAGATTAATTTCTCATTGCCTGCATACTACCTGATATATTGCTTTAGCTACTCATTTATATTCGGAAAAAACTTTGAATAAATATCACTTGATATCTTACTAACTCTTTTTCGTATTAGTTTGCAATTATTTTTCAACTTAAATACCTATTTTTAAGCTAAGTTTCTAATTAAATCTTAATCAATTATTTTTCGCTTATCTAAAATATTTATATTGAAAGATATTTAATTTAAATATAAATTTTTGATATAATTTATGGATTAATAAATTAATACAAAATACTCATGTATGTTTTTAATTAATATTGCTTGTAGGCATTTAAATCAATCTAAATATCTATCTGACTGATACCTTCTTTTTAATTCTTCTACAAAAATAAATAAATAAATAAATATCCATCAACTTGAAATTAATTAGATAACAAAATATTTTTAAAGCCTTCTATTCAATAATTATTTAAAAAAATAAAATTAATGCAACCAAATTTTACCCGCTTAAAAATATATTAAAAATAGTTTCTTTTATCATTTAAAAATATTAATTTTAAAATAAAATTATTTTTAAAATTAACTAATTCCTATAACAGCAAATTTATTTCATTTAAATATACCTTTAAAAGAAAACAAATATCTTAATAACCTAAAAAAAATATTAATTTCCTTCTTTTTAATAATATGATATTAATTTAATAGATTTAAATAATTAACAAAAAAAATTAGGAATTAAATAATTTAACTTTCTTCTTTTCTTATGTGTTTTGAAAATTAATTATATTTGTAACTTAAAAAATAAAAAAATAAAAATTTAATAATAATAGATAGATAGATAGATAGATAGATAGATAGATAGATAGATAGATAGATAGATAGATAGATAGATAGTAAAATATTAAATTTTTAATGAAAAATGAGTAAATCACATTTAATTACATAACGGGTATCATACAGTAGGCTTTAGCTAGTTATTTATCCAAAACCTCCTACTATATAATTTCGGAAGAAAAAAAAAAAAAATCTAATTTAAAAGTTTATTCTTTTGCATCTTAAAATTCTAAATAAAAATCTATTTACCAATTTAAACAATGTAAGTAAATAAAGTTTCTTTTGTTTAAACAAACAAAAATAAATTACAATCAAACTTCGTATACTTACTCAAAAATTCTTTGGTTTTTAAATTTAATTGTTATATTATTATTTTATTCTTTAATGCTTATTTCAAAAGTGTTTTAATTAATCCATTTAAAGTTCGCTTAAATACCATCTACGAGCTTATATCCTTTTTCAATATTCCAGATCTTAAAAACCTTATCTTCTGAACCTGTAACAAGATATTTTCCATCTTCAGAAAAAGCAACAGAAGTTGCTCCTTATATTTCTCCCTGAATTTTACTAAGGATTTCAAATCCCCTTTCTACATTAATTATTTTGCAAATATTATCTTACGAGCCTGTTGCTAGGTACTTGCCATCTGCTGAAAAAGAAACAGATATTATCTTTTCACTATTATTTTAAATTACATTTATTAGCTAAAATTATTATTCTATGCTCCAAATTTTGCAAGTGCTATCATAAGAGCAGGTTGCTAGATACTTACTATCTGCAGAAAAAGCTACAGATGTTACAATTAAACGATGGCCTTGTATAGTGTTAACCAACTCAAAATTCTTCTAAACATTCCAGATTTTGCAAGTTTTATCATATGACCCAGTTGCAAGATACTTACCATCTGGTGAAAAAGCGACCGATTTTATCAATAAATCATGTTCTTTAATAGTATGCATGAGTTTAAATTATTTGCTTACATTCCAGATTTTACAAGTATTATCTTCTGAGCCTGTTGCTAAATACTTACCATCAGAAGAAAAGGCTACAGAAGTAATATAGTTTATAAGTGCGTCTATGCTTTTATATTGCTTAAAATCTTTTTTAACATTCCAGATTTTAAAAGTTGAATCATAAGAACCTGTTATTAGGTACTAGCTATCTGGAGAAAAAGCAACAGAAGAAACGATCCAAGAATGTCCCTTAATAGTAGAAATTAATTCGAATCCATTTTCTACATTATAAACTTTACAGGTGTTATCTTCTGAGCCAGTTGCAAGATACTTACTATCCTCTGAAAAAGCAACTGAGGTAATTGTTGAGTTATGTGCTTGAATCTAACTAATAAGTTCATATCCTTTTTGTATATTCCATACTTAATAAGTTTTGTCTTCTGAGCTTGTAGCGAGGTACTTGCAATCTTTAGAAAAGGTCACTGAGGTAATTGCTTAAGTATGTCCTTATATTGAGCTGATGAATTCAAATCCTTTCTCAATATTCCAGATCTTGCATGTTGTATCCTTAGAGCCTGTTATTAGATGCTTGCTATCAGCAGAAAAAGATATTGATGTAACAGACCAAGTATGTTCTTGAATTTTATTCACTAGCTCAAATCCTTTTTCGACATTCCAAATATTGCAAGTGTTATCATTAGATCCTGTTGCAAGATATTTCCCATTTTTAGAAAAAGCAACAGAAGTAATTATTTCACTGTGTCCAGAAATGGAATTGATGAATTCAAATCCTTTTTCAACATTAAATAATTTGCATGTAATGTCTTTAGAGCTTGTGATGAGGTACTTGCAATCTGCTGAAAAAGCAACTTAAGTAACCATTTCGGTATGCTTTGAAATTGTGTTAACCATTTGAAATTCATTTTCTACAGACCATATTTTGCAAGTAGAATCCACAGAGCCTGTAGCCATATACTTACCATTTGCAGAAAAAGCAACTGAGTTTATTTGTTAATTATGTCCTTTGATAGTATTTATGAGATTAAATGCATTATCTGGACTTAAAATTTTGAATGTTCCGTCTTCTAAACTCATAGCAAGATACTTGTCATCTGAAGAAAATGCTAGTGATGTTATTTCAAAAGTGTCTCCTTGTATTGTACTGATCAAATTGAATCCTTTCTCAATATTCCATATTTTGCAAGTACTATCAGAGGAACCTATAGCTAGATATTTCCCATTCGTAGAAAAGGTAATTGTTGTAATATTTTATTCATAATTGTTAAATACATGAATGAGTTCAATTTTTTCCCCTATTTTCCATAATTTACAAGTTTTATCCATTGAACTAGTAGCAAAATGCTTTCCATCAGCAGAAAAAGAAACCGATGTAATCCAACCTCTATGTCCTTGGAAAGTGTGCTTTAGTTGGAATTCCTTTTCTACATTCCAAACTATACAATTATTATCTATAGAGCTGGTTGCAAAATACTTACCATCATTAGAAAAAGAGACTGAATTGATCGTTTCAAGATGTCCTTCAATAGTGTGGATCAGCTCAAATCCTTTTTTAACATTAAAGATTTTACAAAAGCAGTTATCTGAACCTATTGCAAGATACTAACTATCAGCAGAAAATGTAATTGAGCTAGCTGTTTAATCACCTTGAATTTAATTAATTACTTCAAATCCTTTTTGGATATCAAAAATTTAACAATTGTTATAATCATAACTTAGCGCAAGATATTTTCCATCTGCTGAAAATGAAGAAATGCTTAAATTACAGGAGGAATCTTCTATAGTCTTTTCTAAAGATAGACTTGGCAAATTATAGATTTTAATTTAATTATTTGAAGAAGTAATAATTAAATCGTTAATTAATAAGGATTATTCAGCTTAAATTTTGGTCTTATCTAATATTGTGAAACCATTCTCAATATTACCGTAATGTATTTGATTGTTCTCTAAGGTAATAGCATATTTTTAATTATGGGTCGAAAAGCTAGCTATCGATTATTAGAATGTATAACAATTAACTCTTTCAAAAGTTTGAGCATCTATTTCAAAAATAGATTTCTTTGCCGTTATAGCAAATATATTTTTCTTATCTATGTAATGAATACTACTTAAGTTGGAGTTAGTAATCTGATTTGATAGTAATATTTTACAAGGTTAACCAGTGTTATGACCTATTTCAAATTAGTTGACATAACCAGTTTTTGTTATTGATACTAAAGTGTCCTTGTGAAATATAACCTAATTAAATTAATAGCTATAATCAGTATCAAAATACTTTTAGAAAGCACTCAGCATAGCATTTTTAGTGTTCGAAGTTTCAAAATTGTCTAAGTATTGTTTTTCAATTAAGGAATTTTCAAAGTTGCAATCTTAAAATTGGACAACTTTACGAGAATGAGAAGATATGTAAGCTTAAGAGAAAGAACATTTTTTGAAAGTCAAGTTAGGATAAGAAAATTTAGAAATAAATAATGCTGATAATAAATTAGAAGAGCCTATGTCTATTTAACTCTTTTCAGTGTATTTTGAAATTTTAGATTTTTTCAAAAATTAAATGTATCTATTTGTTTAAGATATTTCTTCCTCAAAATAATTTTGCATGAAAGACTTAGAATCTAGATAAGGTTTCATTAACTTGTAAAGCTTCAAAAGAATTTACTGCTCAGAAGCATTTTTTTGGCTGCTCATAATGATTTTTTGATTGATGTTAAATTTTTTCAATTCAGATATATCTAATTTAAAAATATTTTCTTTATGCTAATCAAAATCGAATTTCATTGCTCTAGCAGCAAAATATTCAAAAAGAGATTTATGTCTGAACTCAAATTCTGGTGATTATTCTTTAATAGATGCTTTTTATTCTTGTGGTTTTTAAGAATTTTCATCTTCAAAAGTCAATTTAATTCTCGTTATAACTCTTGAGTCTACATAGTTAAGCAAATCTTATTTTAATTCTTCTGCTTCTATCTCATTTTCCTTAAGCAATCTTTAAATTTCATCTCGCAATTAAAAGTTTAAAGAAGTACTCGTTATACTTAAGAAATTAGATTTTATCCCTTTCTACATGAACATTTTCATTGCAATAGATTGAAAGTATTCAAAATAACATGATTGTATGCTGGAAATTAATTTTTAGTCTTTCTTATTTGCTATTTTTTATTATTTTTCAATAAATAATTGAGATTATTTTTTAAATTGCTGCTAGAAAAACAAATCCTGTATTTCTATCTAGTCAGTAGCTGCTTCAAATGTGTTTAACGTATCTTAATCATTGAGATCTAAATCAGTCATCATTCTTGTTGTGAGATACAAGTTTATAGGCAACTTTAGTAATTCCAGCAATTATTTATTTTTAAAAATTATTTATTAAATTTTTTCGTAATAAAATTCATTAAAACTCATTTATTCTTTTATCTAAATTTCTTTCTTAAACAATTTAAAATAGTCTTAAATGTCAGATTCAGTGATTTTTTCAAGTTTTACAATTGAGAAAGAATCATTCTATCCTTAATTTCCATGTTAGTCATAGTAATTAAAATACACTTTAGCATCTGAAACAGTTATTTTCTCTAACCTTGAAGTGACTATTACTAACGTATTGGCCCACTCATATAATTTAAGCACTTTAAAAACCTTAAAATAATCACCTGAGTATTCATCAAAGCCATCTAGCATGATTAATTTATTTCTTTCAGATTTTTTTAACCTTTCTATTTCCTCTGTCTTAATGTGAATGGATTCTAAGTATTTCTCAATAGAAGGCTTTTAATTATCCAAAGAGTTACATTTAATTATGAAAGGAATGTAATCAGATTTGCTGTCTGAAGTGTATCCAGAAGTGCGATTCAATAGCTCAACTTCTAGTTTTTTTAAAAGCATCGATTTTCCAGATCCTCCATCTGCTAACACTGATATTATTTTGCAAGGAGACTTATTTTCTTTATTTAGTTATTCTTCTTTTGCATTATCTGATGAATCTACATAATTAGGAATTAAGAATTAATTAATAATTTGCTTGATAGCATCTTTTTCCTATGTATCGATTTTAAATCCATCTTCATAAGTAATCTATTATTTGACATATAAATGGATTGCTTCCAGTAGTACATCATCTTTGTGGGTAATTTAAAGATTTTTTTATCTTTATTTAACACTTAATTCCCACATTTCAACAAAATATTTAGCTAACTATTTATCAATATCGCTTTCATTTTGAATTTCATAAGCAAAGTTATTGTAAGATTATTCATCATTTAAATGCTTCGTCATTTGCTTTTTGAATTAACTTATTTAAAGTAAAATTAACTTTTTATCAAGATGATTATGAATAAAGTCTGCCATAATTTAATTTCCTTCATAAATTATTTTAACTGATTTTTGTTTTTCTTATAAATAGTTGGAGACAATACTTATCATAACTTCATCGAATTACCCTTTGCTCTGTTTTGAAGTTTACAAGATTTAAGCAAAGTATAACAACAATTAAGCTTTTATATATCTGAATTAATGACTCTAGGCAATTAAGCTAGCAATGTTTTTAAGTTTGTCAACAATACTATCAGAAAACTCTTTGACCTACAAAATATTTGCTAAGTTTAAAATGAGTTCTAACTTATCCTTTTATTATAATTTCTCAGTTAGTTCTACTAAGTTATCATTTAATTACTACTTAGATAATAAGTAATTTAATTGCATGTAAGCAAAAAGAAGAGTATCTTTGTTTGTGATATTTATAGATTCTTCTAAATAAAAAATAATTTCCTAAACCGGATCATTCTAAAGAAGATTTTAACCCATAACTTTAAGTTTTCTAATCCACAATGCTTGTAAATTATTAGCTAAATTGCTAGTGTTATAGTCAGTATAAGTTTCAGCTGCGCTATTAACAGCTACTGTCGAAGAATCAGAAGCTATTTAATCAGCAATTTATTAAATTTCTTTAATGAAATTTTTAAAGTCATCAAAATTTATTTCTGTTAAATTTTTGATAGCTCCAGCGATACTCACAAAACCAGCGCCAAATTTAGCCACCTAAACCATCTTCTTCATAATTTTGTAAGGAAAGCTTTAGTTAAAGGTATCTAAGCCTTATCTTTAAGAATTTAAAGTAATTAAAATCTCAGTGTATTGATATAGGTCCAAGCATGGATGTCTTTCTCTATTTTCTTTGCAGTATATGCTTAGCTTTTATAGATATTAATTGATTTAATCAATGTCAGATTAAATGGATTACTTTAAATTATTTTATTTGATAATAAGCATGTAATTGATTAATAAATTGATAATGTCAATCACCTTATGTCTAATTTCTTATTAGACAATTTGTTCTCTATAACGATACAGAGTTTCTTCAATTATTAATCTTACATCTGTCTCAATAACCTTTTCGCTAACCTTTTCAGTAGTAAAATATTCATCATACGATTTATTAAATTTTTTAAAGGACGTTGCACTGTCATCAAATTCATCTTTTTCAGAATATACTTAAAACTTTTCCATCAAATATTGTTTTTCATTCATAATTTGTTAAATTTACTAATCCTTTTTAGGAATTGAAAACACCTTAGCCTTACTGCCACAAATGCCTCCTCCACCTAATATTTTTGGAGAATCCAATTTACTTTTACAAAAATTTTGTTGTTTCCAAGCCAATTTTATGATCTTATTTTTATAAGACTATATATTGTCCTTGGCTATTAAATTTAAAAGATTTTATTATTGCGATTAAGATAAGCTCAAGTTTAATTATTATTTTCCAACTGTAATTTGAAATTAAGAATATTAACAAATATTTTATTTCTTTTCTAAATTTTCTTTTAATTTTTCTGAATATTCATTATTATTTAATTTTTGAGACATATTAAATGGCTTTATAAATAAATTTGCTTGCTTCTTTTTGGTACAACTTAAAATGGGGTTTGTGTCTTTTTGAATTTATTTAATTTAACTTAATGTTTAATGGATTTTTTTATCTACTACTTCATTGTAAAAATGTATTATTTACTATTTGAATGCACGTTATTATTAATCATTGCTTACTGTATCTAAATCTTTATAAATCTTATAACTATTTTAAGTTTTATAAATATTGTTCTTTATATCTTTTCTTGAAAGGAGAGCTTTTATATTCTACTAAAGCTCCATAGTTAATTCGTTTTTAATACTATTTTATGAAATTATATTAAATTATACTTTTTCTTAATAGGATAAGCCTAATTATTATTGCAATGATTTTACTAAATACAATGAAAAAAGTTTTTTATTATAATAACCGCTCAAGAAAATTAAAATTTCCATATTTGACTCCTCTAATCTTAATAAATTTAATGTTTAAAGCTATTACAAAATAAACATATTTTTGTTAAGTTTATTTATTTTGGAGCTATCTAGATCTTAAATTAAGCAATAACAAATCTCATTGTTTATGTCCAAAACTGAAAGTTGCTTAGAATCTTTTGTTAAAAGCTATTTTAATTTAACAATCATTCTTAGTTCTTTTTAGAATAGATCCAAATAGTATTTCATTAAAACTCCTTTCTCAGATTGATCGATTAAGAAATGTTCGAAACCATGGTCCTAGATAACTTCTTAGCTGAGTACATAATTTTTAGTATAAACTCTCTTTGAATTATCTAATTTTTAAGATTTAGAATCTATCTTTTTACCTTTCATTATTCTTTTTTGACTTTTTATAATCTACCTTGCAATTAATTAACTTTTTTTCTTAATATAATTACTAATTAATGAATTAGAAACGCCTATTTAAACCAAAAAATAGATATATAAAGAGTTGTATCTTATTTGTATTATTGATTGTATATTTAATAAATGTAAATGAAAATAAAAGGCTTGTGTATTGAGTTATTTCTGAAATTATCGCAATTACAATATATTTAGTATTAATATTAACTAAATGTTGAATGGTTTGTAAATGCGTTATAAATAAATCATATAATCAGAATTTAACAAACAATTTAAAACTAATATTTTATTAATTAGAAATAAAATAAAACAATAGTATAATAACAAAATTAAATATTCTATTAGAGAATCCATTAACCATAAAGCTTCTAACTGAATTAGCCATATGAGAGATATGAGTTCTCATTAAAACTCTATTTCAGCTAAAGGTGCTTTCTTTTGTGTATTAGATATAAACTTTTTACACAATATAATAAAAAATAATATTGCTTATTTATTTATAATAGAATTTAATTTATAAGCATTTTTTTTTTTTAAGCGTTAAAGCTACTCTGAGCTTTATGCTCTTTTTGATTTAATTGATCATTTAAATTTCTTCAAGTGTAAAATAAAAATATTCCTGTTCGTTTTTTGTTGGATAGTATTATTATATTATGAGTAAAGTTTAAATTCATAGTAAATCAAGCAAAAACTTTTATATTCAAAATAAAATATTTAAATACTGTTTATCCTCCTAATTATAACCAAAAAAAAATTTTCTTATATCTTTAAAAAAAATGAGATTAATTATAAAAAATCTTTTTTATATCAATTGCTTCTCATATATCTCCTCATTAGTCAAGTTAGTTGCTTGGAAGCTCTATATATGACTTTTAATTAATTAAATTTCATAAATAATTGCTTTTCAATATTTTTAGAAGAAGAAAAAAAAAAAATGATATAATAAAATAATTATTTCAACAAATTAGAAGAAGTAAAATTTATTTTTTATTAATATTCTTAAATTTTATTTTTATGAATTAAAAAGTTTTTAAACTCTTCACTTTCATCTCATTAGGTTCTAGTTATTAACATGGAGTATTTGATTAATTAATAAGGATATTTTTTATATTTAATTTTCATATTACTAATAATATTATTTTTATAATAGAAGTTCTCATTTATATTTATTCATTTTTATCAAAACAAATATTTTTTTTTAATTATTTTAAATAAACTTTCTGTTTCTGTTTCAATTTTTATTTTATTTATTTATTTATTTATTTATTATTAATTCAGTTTTTATTTTTTGATATTTATTTTTCTTCATTTTTTTTTATATAAATATTGATTTATCATATATTTTTCTTTAATATTTAAAAAGTTACTATTAAATTAGTGATGATAATGTATCAGACTTAGGTTCTGGTTTAGCAAATTGCATTAATCTCTCAAATTTGACACTTGTTCTTTGGTAAATACAATTTGTTTTGAATTGTGATATTTTTTAGGATATAAATTAATAATTAATTAATTTATTAGTTTTTTATTTGAATTATTTTTATTTTTCATTCTGATTGTTTTTTTTCTTTGTTTGTTAATTTAACTAATTTTTTCATTTTCAACTTTTTCTTTTATTATTAATTAACTCATTTCTTATTATTTTTTAATACTTTAACTAATTAATTATAAGTTTTTTCTTCAATATTTAAAAAGTGGCAATTAAATTGGTGCAATTGGAGCATCATGCTTAGGTTCCTCTTTAGCAAATTGCACTAATCTCTCAAATTTAACACTTGATCTTCTGTAAAAATATTTTATTAGTTTTGGATTATGATATAATTTAGTATAAAAATTCATATAAAACAATATAAATCTTATAATTTTTTTATTAATTTATTTTGTTTTTATTTTTCATTCTACTTGAGCTTCTTTTCTTTGTTTATTAATTTAACTCATTTATTTTTTCATTTTCTACTTTTTCTTTGATTATTAACCAACTCATATCTTTTTATTTATTCATTTTTACCTGTAACTAACTATTACATTATATATTTTTATTCAATATTTTTTTTAAAAGTCACAGTAAAATTGGTGATGAAGGTATATCAAGCTTAGGTTCTTCTTTAGAAAATTGCACTTATCTCTAAAATTTAAAACTTAATCTTCGGTAAAAATAGTTTATTTGTTTTGGATTGTGATATTTTTTTAGTATAAAAATTAATTTAAAAAAATAGAATGAACTCTTTTTATTTATTTATTAATTAGCTTTTTATTTGATTTATTTTTCTTTCTTATTATGGTTGAATTTTTCTTTTTTTTTTTGTTAATTTAACTCATTTTTTAATTTTTGAATTGTTGCTTTTACTATCAATTATATAATTCATTTCTTATTATTTCATCATTTTTTCTTTATAACTAACTAATTAATTATATTTTTTCTTCAATATTTAAAAAGTGGCAATCAAATTGGTGCAATAGGAGCATCAGGCTTAGTTTCTGCTTTAGCAAATTGCACTAATCTCACAAATTTGACTCTTGACTTTTTGTAAAAACAATTTATTTGTTTTGAATTGATATATTTTTTAGTATAAAAATTAATTTAAAACAAAGTAACTCTTATTGTTTATTTATTAGCATTTTACTTGATTTATTTTTCTTTACTTTTTTTATTTTGTTTGCGTTTTTTTTTTTATTATTTATTAATTTCATTTTCAACATATGATTTTTTTATTAATTAATTAATTCCTTCTTATTTCTTCATTTTTTACTTCTAACTAACAAATTAATTAATTAATTCATAAAATATTTTAATATTTAAAAAGTAACAATTAAATTGGTGAAAAAGGTGCATCAATTTTAGGTTGTGCTTTAGCAAATTGCATTAGTCTCTCAACTTTGACACTTGATCTTAGGTAAAAAACAGTTTATTTGCTTTTAATTTTTATATTTTTTAATATAAAACTTAATTTAAATCAATATAAACTCTTTTAATTTATTAATTTTATTTATTTTTATTTTTCTTTTCATTCTGCTTTTATTTTTTTTTCTTTCTTAGTTAATTTTTCAATTTTCAACTTTTAATTTTTTTAATTTCTTATAATTTTTTCATTTTTTCCTTCTAATTTACTAATTAATACATATTTTAATATTTAAAAAGTAACAATTAAATTGGTGACGAAGGTGCATCAGGCTTAGGCAATGGTTTAGCAAATTGCATTAATCTCTCAAATTTGACACTTTTCCTATAGTAAAAGGAGTTTATTAGATTTGTATTTGTGATATTTTTTAATTTAAAAATAAATTTAAAAGAATGAATATAACTCTTTTAATATTTTTTTTTAGATTTTCATTTGATTTATTTTCTTTTTATTTTTTCTATTCCTAGTCTTTATTTTGTTTTTTTTAATTTAACTCATTTTTGCATTTTAAAGTTTTACTTTTATTATTTATTAGTTAATTAATTCATATCTTATTATTTCTTCATTTTTTCCTTCTGACTAATTAATTATATTCTTTTTTACAATATTTAAAAAGTTAAAATAAAATTAATGTAATTGGCGCATCAGGCTTAGGTTCTACTTTAGCAAATTGCACAAATCTCTCAAATTTAACACTTGATCTTATGTAAAAATAGTTTATTTCTTTTAGATTATGATAATTTTTAATATAAAAATTTATTTTAAAAAATAAAACTCTTTTTAACTTATTTATCTATTAGCATTTTATTTGATTTATTTTTTCTTTTTTCTTTTTTCTTTTCTTTTTTTGTTAGTTTAATTCATTTTTTTATTTTCAAATTTTTTATTAATTAATTAATTCATTCATTTATCATTATTTCTTCATTTTTTCCTTCTAACTAACAATTAATAATTTTTTTTTCTACAATATTTAAAAAGTAGAAACTAAATTGGTGACAGAGGCGCATCAGGTTTAGGCTCAGGTTTAGGAAATTGCACTAATCTATCAAATTTGACAATTTATCTACAGTAAAAACAGTTTATTTGTTTTGAATTGTGATATTTTTAATTTAAATATGAATTTAAAATAATTTAATAACTCTTTTAATTTATTTATTTATTAGTTTTTTTGATTTATTTTTCATGTACTTTAGCTTTTATTATAAAGTAATTTATTTAAATTATTTTATATTTTTTCTTCTTTTTTTCTTTCAGACTAATTGATTAATTACTTATTTTTTATTTAATTTTAAAAAGTGAGAATTAAATTGGTGATGAAGGTGCATCAGGATTAGGTTTTGGTTTAGCAAATTGTGCTAATCTTTCAAATTTGAAACTTGATCTTTTGTAAAAACAGTTTATTTGTTTTGTTTTTTTTTTGGATTGTGATAGTTTTTAGTATAAATATTTATTTCAAACAATATAACTCTTATATTTTATTTATTTATGAGCTTTATATTTGATTTGCTTTTTTTCTTTTTTATTTTGCTTGATTTTTTGTTTGTTTGTTTGCTTGCTATTTTAACTCTTTTTTTCACTTTCAACTTTTGCTTTTATAATAATTAATTAATTTCTTATTATATCTTCACTTTTTCCTTGAAACTAAATAACAGAATATTATAATATTTAATAAGTCATAATTAAATTGGCGATGAAGGTGCATCAGGTTTAGGTTCTGCTTTAGCAAATTTCATTAGCCTCTCTAATTTAAAACTTTATTTGAGGTAAAACTATTTATTTATTTTGAATTGTGATATTTTTTAATTTAAAAATGAATTTAAATCAAAAAAACTAATTCTAAAAATATTTTTATTTTTTAGATTTTATTTGATTTATTATTCTTTTTTTATTATTTTGCTAGTGCTTTTTTTTTCTTTCTTTGTTAATCTACTCATTTTTTCATTTTCAACTTTTGCTTTTGTTATAAATTAATTTATTTCTTATTATTTATCAATTTTATCCTTGTAGCTAACTAATTAATTTTTTATTTTTTTCTTCAATATTTAAAAAGTAATAATTAAATTGGTGCAACTGGTGCAAAAGGCTTAGGTCTTGATTTAGAAAAGTGCAATCTCTCAAATTTGACACTTGATCTTGGGTAAATTCAGTTTACTCCTTTTGGATTATGATTAAAAGAATATAACTCTTTTAATTTATTTATTTATTTACTAGCTATTTATTTTTCTTTTTTACTCTATTTGTGTTTTTATTTTTTTTCTTTATTAATTTAAATCATTTTTTCATTTTCAACTTTTGCTTTTATTATTAATTAATTCATTTCTTATGATTATTCATTTTTTCCATGTAACTTACTAAATAATAATTTTTTTTTTTCTTAAATATTTAAAAAGTGAAAATTAAATTGGTGGTGAAAGTGCATCAGGCTTAGGTTCTGCCTTAGCAAATTGCACTAATCTCTCAAATTTGACTCTTAATCTTAGGTAAAAATAGTTTATTTGTTTTGAATTATGATATTATTCTACTAATTTTTTTTATTTGTTAATTTAAAATATAACATTTACATAAAAATTTTATTCTATATAAATTTTTTAGTAATTTAAACAAATTTAAATAAAAGATAAAATGAAATCAATAAATAATACTAACTGAAAGTAGAAAGCAATTGTTTTAAATCAAAAAGATTAGTTGTCTTTAAAATAGATTTCTAATGATGATAAAAAAGTGATGAAAAAAAATGAATAAATATAAAAATATTTGAATCATAGAATATATTTATATTTTATTTTATATACATATGTATGTATGTACTTGACAAAGATATATCGTAAAACCCAGCAATCTACTTAATTTATAATAAATAAATTTTTTTTTTTAATTTTTTTATTTTTATCAATAATTTATTTACTTAAAAAAATAAATATGAATGATATTTATAAATTTATTAAAAATCAAAATTTTATCCACCTAAAAAGTAAAACAGTGAAAAATTCTTTAAGGTGATTTCCCTTATGACTCATATCAAAATACACATGCTAAAACAAGCATTTACTGAGTTATCTGTCAAGAAGCTACTACCTCTCGTTAAAGAACTAAAATTGTTTATAAAAATGAAATAGTCGAACTCAACCAGATGTACTCACTCTTGGAGGTCTTTATCTATTAAAGCATCTTAACCTAGTTTGAATAAAGTAGTTTGGAGATAGAGATAAACTTCCGAGTAGTAAAAAAATACTCATCACATTTAATCTAAAATGAATGTTTCTGATTCAATCCAAGAAGCTAAACCTAGCTTAAGCTCATTAACACCTCATTTGAATCTTGCTAAGGAGGAAGTAAAACCATTAGCCTAGCATATGAATCAAGAACTCAGAAGTTTATTGATTAATAAGTAATAGAAAAAAAAAACTCTATAATCAACCTGGATAAAGAAGAAATCAAGAAGTTACTTTAAGAAAAGAAAGAAGAAGTAGATCAAATTCTTCTTGAACATACTTTAAAGAAAAAACAAGAAAATGAAATAATGTTAGACATGGAAAAATCTATTTAAATTAAAAAAAAAAATGTAATAGATGTAATTTAATAATTAAGTAACGAATCAAGTGAATCAAAACTGATTTCATCCAGAAAAACTATCAAGTTTAATCAATCAGATAAAATTAATTAACAATTCGACCACAAATTAAAATCATAAAATCAGACTGATAGAATTGATTAGCTGGATTATCAAGAAAAATACCCTAATCAATAATTGATTTCTTTAGAACTAAATACCAGAATTAATTAGGAGAATGAAAATAATTAAAAAATTAGTTCTGAACAAAATGCAATTCAGTTCACTACAAAAACTAATTAACAAAATTGCTATGAAAGAAAACCGATTTCATTTACTACTAAAATTAATTAAGAAAATCATTCTGAACAAAACTCAAAATTATTCACTGCGGAAATTAATCAAAATTAACACTCTGAACCAAAATAAATTTCTTTCATAATAGAAATTAATTAGAAAAATCAGATTGAACAGAAGATGATTTCATTCACTACAGAAAATAATTAAAAAACAGAGAAAAAAAGATAATAAGAATAAAATTTATAACCCTCCAATTAAAATATTTGCATAATCTATACAGATTAATTAATTAGCAAGACAACTACAAAAGAAGATCCAATCAAATAATAACAACAGAAAATATTAATGAACCCAAGTTAAACTCAAATCGAAAAATATAAGTTATTATTATAAATGGATAGATAGCAAAGCAAATATAAATACAGCAGAAGAAAAAATAAAAGTACTGGAAAAATAAATATAAGATTTAATGCCACCTAGATTTAAACTCGATGTACAGATAAATCAAGCCAAAATAAAAGGAAAACCAATGCTAGATTTCAAAAGAGATTTTAATAATATTGTGTCTAAATAATAAAAAATCTAAATTCTGATACTTGTGGAAAAAAAGAAAATAGAACTAGAAATTATAAGACAATAAAAAATAAAAGGAAATATAGAAAAATTAGAAGAATCAAAAAAAGATATTTGAAACAAATAAATTTAAGTCATCTACAATAATAAAATAAGGAATTATTAGAAATTCAATAGTGTTTATAAAATTAAATTTTTAAATAATTAACTAATTAAAATAAATAATTTAAAAAATTATTGTTAATTATTTAAATTATATGTTTTTCGTTGTAAATGTATCAAACTATTTGTAATATGAATGATGTTTATAAAAAAAAAAGCAATAATAAAATCTATCTATCTATTTTATTTTAGGTTAAAATAACTTTTTCAAAATTTTTAAAAATAAAATTATTAATATTCAATTATTCAAACATTTAATATTGATTGATTCGTCCTTTTTAAGCCATTTTTTTATCATTAGAATGTTTTTTTAAAGACAACTAATCTTTTTGATTTAAGACACTTGCTGATTACTTTGGATTTTTATGATTAATTCATTGAGCTAAAATTTTATAATAAATTTGTGTAAATTTTAAATAAATATCAAATAGAATAAACTTTTAAATTATAAATTATTTCTTAAATTAATAAATAAAATAAAATTAGTAGAATAAAAATATAAATCAAATCAAATAAATTAAAAGAACTTTTTTGTTTTATATTCATTTTTATAGTTTAAAATATCACAATCCAAAATAAATAAATTATTTTTTTTTACATAAGATCAAGTGTCAAATTTGAGAGATTAATGCAATTTGCTAAAGCAGAACCTAAGCCTGATGCGCCTTTGTCACAAATTTTATTGTAACTTTTAAAATATTTTTCATTAAATAGTTAAACAGAAGGAAAAAATAAAGAAAAAATATGAAATAATAAATAAGATTAATTAATAATAAAAGCAAAAGTTGAAAATAAAATGATGAGTTAAATTAACAAAGAATGAACAAAAAAAAAAAAGCAAGCACAATAAAAAGAAAAAGAAAAAAGAGCTTTATTGTTTTAAATTAATTTTTATAATTAAAAATATCACAATCCAAAACAAATAAACTGTTTTTACCAAAGGTGAAGTTTCAGATTTGAGAGATTAATGCACTTTGCTAAAGCAGAACCTAAGTCTGATGAACCTTCATCACAAATTTAATTTTCACTTTTTAAATGTTGAAGAAAAAATATATCATTAAATAGTTAATTAGAAGGAAAAAATAAAGAAAAAATATGAAATAATAAGATTAATTAATTAATAATAAAAGCAAAAGTTGTAAATAAAATAACAAGTTAAATTAACAAAGAAAGAACAAAAAAAAAGCAAACACAATAAAAAGAAAATGAAAAAAGAACTTTATTGCTTTAAATAAGTTTTTTTTATTAAAAATATCACAATCCAAATCAAATAAACTGTTTTTACCGAAGAACAAGTGTCAAATTTGAGAGATTAATGCACTTTGCTAAACCAGAACCTAAGCCTGATGCGCCTTTGTCACCAATTTTATTGCTACTTTTTAAATATTGAAGAAAAAATACATCATTAAATAGTTAATTAGAAGGAAAAAATGAAGAAAAATATGAAATAATAAATCAGATTAATTAATAATAAAAGTAAAAGTTGAAAATAAAATGATGAGTTAAATTAAAAAGTAATAACTAAAAAAAAGTAAGCACAATAAAAAGAAAAAGAAAAAAGAATTTTATTGTTTTAAATTAGTTTTTATAATTAAAAATATCACAACCCAAAACAAATAAACTTTTTTTACAAAAGATCAAGTGTCATATTTGAGAGATTAATGTAATTTGCTAAAGCAGAACCTAAGACTGATGCGCCTTCGTCACCAATTTAATTGTAGCTTTTTAAATATTGAAGAAAAAATATATCATTAAATAGTAAATTAGAAGGTAAAAATGAAGAAAAAATATGAAATAATAAATAAGATTAATTAATAATAAAAGCAAATGTTGAAAATAAAATGATGAATTAAATTAACAAAGAACAAAAAAAAAAGCAAGCACAATAATAGAAAAAAGAGCTTTATTGTTTTAAATTAATTTTTATAATTAAAAATATCACAATCCAAAACAAATAAACAGTTTTTACCCAAGCTCAAGTGTCAAATTTGAGAGATTAATGCACTTTGCTAAAGCAGAACCTAAGCCTGATGCGCCTTCGTCACCAATTTAATTGTAACTTTTTAAATATTGAAGAAAAAATATATCATTAAATAATTAATTAGAAGGAAAAAATGAAGAAAAAATATGAAATAATAAATAAGATTAATTAATAATAAAAGCAAAAGTTGAAAATAAAATGATGAGTTAAATTAATAAAGAAAGAACAAAAAAAAAAGCAAGCACAATAAAAAGAAAAAGTAAAAAGAACTTTATTGCTTTAAATTAGTTTTTATAATTAAAAATATCACAATCCAAAACAAATAAACAGTTTTTACATAAGCTCAAGTGTCAAATTTGAGAGATTAATGCACTTTGCTAAACCAGAACCTAAGCCTGATGCACCTTCGTAACCAATTTAATTGCTCCTTTTTAAATATTGAAGAAAAAATATATCATTAAATAGTTAATTAGAAGGAAAAAATGAAGAAAAAATATGAAATAATAAATAAGATTAATTGATAATAAAAGTAAAAGTTGAAAATAAAATGATGAGTTAAATTAAAAAAGAAAGAACTAAAAAAAAAGCAAGCACAATAAAAAAATTAAAAAAAAAAGAGCTTCATTGTTTTAAATTAGTTTTTCTAATTAAAAATATCACAATCCAAAACAAATAAACTGTTTTTACTAAAGGATAAGTGTCAAATTTGAGAGATTAATGGAATTTGCTAAAGCAGAACCTAAGACTGATGTGCCTTCGTCACCAATTTAATTGTAACTTTTTAAATATTGAAGAAAAAATATATCATTAAATAGTAAATTAGAAGGTAAAAATGAAGAAAAAATATGAAATAATAAATAAGATTAATTAATAATAAAAGCAAAAGTTGAAAATAAAATGATGAGTTAAATTAGCAATTAAAGAGAAAAAAAAGCAAGCACAATAAAAGAAAAAAGAGCTTTATTGTTTTAAATTAATTTTTATAATTAAAAATATCACAATCCAAAACAAATAAACAGTTTTTACCCAAGCTCAAGTGTCAAATTTGAGAGATTAATACAATTTACTAAAGCAGAACCTAAGCCTGATGCGCCTTCGTCACCAATTTAATTTTCACTTTTAAATATTGAAGAAAAAATATGAAATAATAGTATTAATTAATAATAAAAGCAAAAGTTGAAAATAAAATGATGATTTAAATTAACAAATAAAGAAAAAAAAAGCAAGCACAATAAAAAAATAAAAAAAATGAGTTTTTTTTTAAGAATCCAAAACAAATAAACTATTTTTACCAAAGCTAAAGTGTCAAATTTGAGAGATTAATGCACTTTGCTAAAGCAGAACCTAAGCCTGATACACCGATTACACCAATTTAATTTGCACTTTTTAAATATTGAAGAAAAAATAAATAATTAAATAGTTAATTAGAAGAAAAAAATGAAGAAAATATATAAAATAATAAATAAGATTAATTAATAATAAAAGTAAAAGTTGAAAATAAATGATGAGTTAAATTAACAAAGAAAGAAAAAAAAAAAGCAAGCACAATAAAAAGAAAAAGAAAAAAGAGTTTTATTGTTTTAAATTAGTTTTTATAATAAAAAATCACAATCTAAAACTTTTAAATTGTTTTTACCGAAGATCAAGTGTCAAATTTGAGAGATTAATGCAATTTGCTAAACCAGAACCTAAGCCTGATGCACATTCATCATCAATTTAATTTTCACTTTTTAAATATTGAAGAAAAAAAAAATCATTTTATATACAGTTTTTTTCATTTTATAAAATTAAAATTTTAAATATTTTTTCCGAATTTTTTTTCATTTGTAAAATTTTTAAAAATTTATTTTTTTTCAAAAAAAATTATATATTACAAGAATATATGGTATTTTTATTTCAAATTTTACATTTTGTAAATTTAAAGCTTCTAAAAACTCAAAAATAAAGCTGTTTAAAGCTACTTTAGCTTTATTTATTATGTTCTTAAGATATATTACATTTTGACTTTTTTAAATTGAATAGGCATTTCATTCTAGTTAATTAGAAGGAAAAATTAAGAAAAAATATGAAATAATAAGATAATTAATAATTTATAAAATTAACAAAGAATGAAAAAAAAGGAAATCATAAGAAAAAGAAAAAGGAAAATAAATAAATAAATTGAAAGAGCTTTAGTGTTTTAAATTAACTTTTATAATTAAAAATATTACAATCCAAAACTAATATACTGACTGCTTTTATTAAGTGTAAGTTTCAATAGCAAAAAATGAAGATAAAATATCGAATAATAAAAAATGAATAATAAATAATTAAAAATTAAGTTGAAATAGCTAAAAAATTTTTGTTTTAATAAAAATCAATTAATGAATAATGATGATAATTTCAAAAACAAAAATATTTAAATAAATTGAAAGTTAAATAATAAAAAATATTAGTAATAATAAAAATAATATTTATATATAAAATATACTAGAGATCAATATAGAGAACCTAATGAGATAAAAGTGAAGAGCTTAAAAACTTTTTTTATTAATTTATATAAATTTAAAGGATATTAATAAAAAAATTAATAATTACTTCTTCTAATTTGAAGTAATATCTAATCTATTATATCATTTATTTTTTTTTTCAGAAATATTTAATAGCAAGCAATTTATAAAATTTAATTAATTATAAATGGATAAAAAGAACAATTAAAATATAATAATTAAATATCAAATATTAATATATAAATTTGGTTTTATGAAGAGATATCACATAAAAATTAATTTAAAATTCATTATTTAATCTTAATATTTATATTTAAAACATATAATTAAAAATATATATAGTAGGAATTAGAGAAGGCAAGTTAGTCATATTTTAAAAAATTCTAGCAATTAATTAATTAATTAAAATGTTTTCACCTAGTTAAAAATTCACTTTTTTTAGAGTTAAATTGAATTAGAATAAATACGGTAGTAGAACATATATTTCTAGAACATCTTCAACTTGCCCTAATTTCTATTTGTTGATAATTTTCTTTTAACATTATAAATATGGCCTTACAAAATAAATTTCATATTGCAAAGTATGTTTATTCTGAAATAATATTGAAATATATTCAACTTCTAACTTAATTACTTTTAATAATTCTAATTGTAAAATACTTATCTGTAAGAATGTTATTAAAGCATATTTAAAAATACTTATTTGTAAGAATGTTTTTAAAGCATATTTAAAAATGATTATTTACAAAAATTTATTAATATGCTCAAAATAAATATCATAGTTTTTTTTATGAGATAAATACATTCATTTATATTGGTTTATTTTTATCAACAAATATTTTATAATATTTAAGCTTTTTATATTGCTTTATATAAGGAATTTTTGGAGAATGTGAAAAAATAAAAGTAAAAAAAATTAATTAAACAAGCAAACAATTTAGTTAAAAAAGATTATTGGTGAATTAATTCTAAAAACTGTAGAGAAAGAAAATTATATAAAGTAATAGAATAAATTGCAAGCAAAATATATTTAATAATTGTATTTTTATTTGTAAATCTTTTATTTAATAATAAATTAATCAATTAGTTATTTAATCAATCAATCAATTAATCAGAAATCAGTGAAGTGAGGTCTAATCTTTTCAAAGACTTCATCAATACTTTTTTCAGCGTTGACTGTAATAACTTTATTTTATTTAGCATAAAAATCAATAATTGGCTTAGTGGATTCGATGTAGGTTCTAAATCTCTTCTTTAAGGATTCAATGTTATCATCGCTTCTTCCTGAGCTCTCAGCTCTCTTCATAATTCTTTGGGTCATGATATCTTCAGAGCAATCCAAAAACAAAACAAACTTGAAGTTTATTAAATGGCCCATCATTTAATTCCATCCATCCAAGTTATCTTGGCTTCTAGGGAAACCGTCAATCAAAAACTTGCTTTTCTATAAATTAATTAAGATCATTAATCAATCAATTTATTGTTTGCATTTATAAAAATGTGAATAAATATTCGAATTCAAATAAATTTTTACAGCCCAACCATTTTTTTCCATTGCATTTTTAAGAAGTTTAACAGTGATTTCGCTCTATTTTTATTTTTTAAAAAATATTTAGCTTTTTTAATTATTCATATTCACTTTAAATATAATTTAAATAAATAATTAGTTACAGGAACAATCTTGCCTTCTCTGATGATGCTTTCAATTAATTCTGCATCTTTGCTACCACTTGCTCTCTATTATTTAATAGAATAATTATTTTATTATAGCTGGCTATCAAATTAATTTATTTAAAGCTTCTTTAAGTGTTTTTTAAGAAAATTTTTTACTTCTTCTCTCAATAAATCTCCAGCAGATAAATGGACAAGACCATACTAGTTGACTAATTTTTAGCATTATGTACCTTTTCCAGAGCCAGGACCTATTAATTTGAACAACTAATTAGCATTTAAAGAGTTTAAAGCTTTATTTATGTGATTTACCTCCCAAAATGAAAGCAACTGCGGGTTTTTCTTCAGCCATTTCTTATTAGTTTTTACTTATTTTTTGCTTTTTAAATAATATCTTAAATGATTTTTTTTTAATTACAAATTTATTATTATTTATTTTCTCAGATGAATGATTGTTTTTAACCAAATTATAAACCTCAAAAATTTAGATAAAAAAGATATTAAGCTTTTTTAACAAACACACTACATAAAATTAAAACAAGTTTAATCAATTCTAAATAAATAAAATACGTCATTTATTCATTAGTTCACTTAACTAACATTCCTAAGTAGGCTTAAATGCTTTCTTTAGATAAACGCCCACAATATAGTTTTTAAATATTACTCAATCCCCTACTTAACTAATGTCGCATTAATTTATTTTTTAATGTGGGGTAAAAGTATGCTTACCTAAATTAAGTCAAAACAAGCTGTCTGTCTTCAAGATTTATATCTAAAAATGAATAAATAAAACCCTTATTTAAAATTTTATAAAAATAAATACAAGTGGTTAGAATTTACATGCAAATTTTCATATGATATTCCTAATCAACTCATCAAACAAAAAATTTCTTTTCAGTTCTCATAAGAATCTAATTAAAAGTAAACTGTTTAAAATAGAAAAAATGATTGGTTAAAATAGAAAAAAAAATCAACAATGTAAATCCATCAGAAAAGTAAAAAATCACAAGAAATGATAAAAAATTGTTATTTTAAACAAATTATTTTTTAAAATGTTAGTTTTTATTTAAATTATTTTGTATTTCAATAAAAATGTTGTGTAAATAATAGAAACTAAATAATTAAATATGTTATTTGTTTATTATAAATTAATGAATGAGTGATTTGAAGAACAAAGTTGTTATTATTAATAAATATTTTTCATATAATAAGAATAAATGATTTTAAATTTAAGAACATTCAAACATTAAACAAATTTTAATAATTTTTCATTATTTAAATTAGAAAAAAAAATTTTATCTTAAAAATATTTTAAAACTTTTTTCCTATTAAAATTTAAAAGCAAAATTTTTAATATAAAGAAATGAAAGACTAAATAAATAATTTGATAGTATAGATATTTTGGATTGTTAGTTAAAGATATAACTTTTTGATGCTTGTTTTGAATAATATATAATTAACAAATAAATATTTTATACAATCTTTTATACTGAATGTAGAGAATAATTATAAATGATTTAGTGAGTAAAGTCTTTGTTTGTACTTCCTTAGACATTTAAAAAACCACCATCAAGCAAGCTAATAGGTTAGTTGGTTTTTTTTGTTTGTTACCAAGAAAAAAGTATTCAAGCAAGCAAACAAGCAAACAAAAAGGAATATATTTGTTTCACATAGAGAATGTAGATAGGTTAATTTAAAGTTTTGTTTGAATAGAAAGGAAATTATAGAATTTATAAATTTCTATAAATTTCATTCATTTTTAAATCAAGTATGTGCATTGAACGCGCGATATAAATATAATAAATAATCAATATGTTTTGTTCTTCAAAATTCATCGTTTCATTAATTACTAATGTCTTTTATTATTATTAAATATATAAAATAAGAAAATATTACACAAATCATCAATTTAAATTACTTGATCTTTATGATCTTTGAGAGCGACCTGACTGTGAAGAGCGCTTTGAATTTATATCTATCGAAGAAGGAGCCTTATTGTTTTATATTCTTTATTCCTTTAATATTTCATCAACAACGCTACTAAGCTCGGGAATATCTTGTTGTAAAGAGCTACATTCATTTAAAATAAAAATTAATTTATTTTTCTTCAAAACAAAACAAAGTGTATTTAAAATATATAACAATAAATTAAATTTTAAATGCAAAAATTACTAAAGCCCTTAGAGCAAAGTTTTGTAGAGATTATTTTAATTGTCAAGCTTGACTTAAATCATGTGAGGATTCTTTGGATTAATAAAATTTTAGTTTTTATTTACTGCCAACTAATAATTTCTTTGTAAAGAATTCTAAGCTCTTTAAAGTTTATCTCCTTATTGATCTATATCTTTTTGGTACTTAGAGATTTCTTGATCTAAGCTTTGATGCTATTCATATAATCTTTCCAACTATTAATTAATAAGAAAGATATTTTTTTTTGTTATTTTGTTTGTTTGTAAGATAAAATTAAAATAAATTCCAAATGAAAAAAATAATTTACTTTATTTTTTATTTCAGTATATCTTCTTGTGTCTTCTTCTTACTCTTTTTAGAGCTTTTGTAGCTCATCTCTCTTTTTAAATAAATTTTATGAAGCTGCTCTACATTGTTCTTCTAATCCTTCAGCTTCTTCTCTATGTTAAGTAGTAACTCCCTAAAATAAACAATATTCATTATTTTTATCAACTTTAAAATTTAAATTTATTTATTTTTAAATTTTATTAATCAAACAAAATAGATTAAAAGCAAGAAATTTTATTTTATTTTTGAATAATTTCTTTGTTTTTTTGAATATTTTAAATAATTTCTATGTTAAATGTTATCTTGCTCTAATTATCATTTTGATTTGATTCATTACCTTGTTAAGGAATTTGTCTCTGTAATTAGAATTTCTATTTTTTAAATGGTTGAGTGTGTTATCTAATGCCTTTAATTCTTTTTCATTCTTCAATATTTTGGCTATTTTAATTAATTAAATTTATTTCAATTAACATTTTTTGTTATAAAATAGTTTAAATTACCATTGAGTTCATCACCCTTTCTTTGTAATTCTTCTCTTTCTTGGGCTGCTTTAATAACATAGTAAGCTTGAGAGTGCTCATGTACAGATTCAACTTCACCATTTGAAGCCTTATTTTTTTGAACTAGAGATTCGTACTTAATCTTTAAGTTCTTGACTTTGTTTTTTCTTTCAGCCAATTCTACTGCAATTTTGTGTCTTTCTTCTTCTGCTGCTTTATGTTCGGTCATTAAGACATCCTTATGGACTTCAATTTCCTTTTCTCTTTCTTGCATACTATTTTATTATAAAAATATTTTTATGATGATGCTTAATAATAAATATTATCTATCAACCTCATTTCTAATTAGTAAATTTAGTTTTCAAGATTGAAGACTTTTTCTGTAGCTCCATTCAAACTTTCATTGATCTTTTTAATTTCTAGCTTCATTGTATCATGTTAAACGAGAACTTCTTCTTTTTATTTAATGATCTTATTCAAATCTTAGTAAGTCATATCGTTTTCAAGGATGAGTTCTTCAATCAAACTGGAATACTTTGTATTTTCTTCTTCAACGTAAGCAAGCTTATTTGAAAAAAATCAAAAAAAACATTTAACTAATTCATAAAATCAATGATTAATTTGAATTACTTTTTTCTTCACAGTTCTAATTTCATCATCTAAATTCTTGAGAGATTCAATCAGCTCTTTATTTTGTCCAGTGACTCCTCCAAGCTCCCTTTCAGCATTCATAATTTCATTTTCCAAATCCTTCTTTTCTTCTAAAGTTCTTTCACCTAATTTTCAGATAAAATAACCATTATATTTTCAAGATAATTTTGAAAATAAAAAAATAAAGAAATAAATTGAATACCCTTTGCACGAGCTACTCTTCTTTCCATGAGTTAGATTTGATACTCAGCATTATACAAAAGTTCTTATTGACGCTAAAATTCTTGATTTAATTTAGTAATATGAGATTAAAGGTTTCTGCATGCAGCCATGTTTCCTTGGATTTCACCATAGAGGTTAGCTTCTCTTTCTCTGTGTTTGAATAACTCTTAGGTGTGCTTAAACAGATTTTCCTTTTAAGTTCTGATTTCCTTCTCAAGTTCTTTCTTTTCCTTTTCATTTTTTCTATATTTTTCTTCAGCATAGGATCTGTCGTTTTCATATTATTTGGCCATAATCTCTTCATTTTTTAGCTTGACTTAGTGAGCTTGATACTTCTTTTAAGCAGCATTAAGTCTTTGCTTCTTAGCTAGCAATTCTTAACTTAAAATAGCAATTCTGTTCTTTTTGGAAGACAAATCACTTGCAAAAGCACTAACTTAGTTTTTAAGGATTTCAACATCAGCTTTCTTCTCTGCCAATTATTCTTCAATGTGTTTGTTATCAGATATTTGTTAGATATTTTGTCTTTCCATAAGTTCATTAGCCATTTAGATACGTTTGTTTTCTTCTTTGGCTTCCTTCAAAATACGCTTTCTTTCTTCTAAAGCGTCTTTATTTGACTTGATTTCAATCTTAATACGAGCGAAATTTTCACCTTCCTCACGAATAGCAAGATCTCTCTTTGAGATAATTTCTGTTACTTCTTGCCATTACAAAAATAATTTATGTCTCTCCTCATGTTATCTCTTGAATTCTTCAGCAGTCTTGTCTAATTCAATTTGAGCAGCTTAAGTTTCAGTAATTTCCTTTTCTAATTCGTTTTATTTTCTTCCAACTTCGGCCTTGTTTAAAATATTTAATTTTCATTTATTTGTTCATTTTTAATAAATATCAAAAAATCTGCTTTTATAAATAATTATTTTATATTTATAATTTAACTTACAGTAAGTTTTTCAATGGCAAGATTCAATTCCTTGATTTTAACTTCATCAGCACGTTTATATTTTTCAAGGGTTAAGTTATCTTCTTCCTTTTAACGAGCAGCAAGAGCCCACTACTCTAATTCTTCTTGATTCCAATTCATTTCTAACTTGTATTAATCCATTTTTTCATTTCCCCTGAAGATTTGGTTTTATACGTCATTTAGTTTTTCTTGCTACTCAATTGATCTGGTAACCGTAAATTTAATTAAAATAATAATTAATTAATTATTAGTTTATGCAAAGGATTATTTTTAAAAAGGGGATGATCAAAATTAAATTTATAAATTTCAAATAGCTTTTTAAAAAGCAATCAATAGAGGATAGACAACAACAATAATCAATGATAATAATCAGATTTCTCATCCATTATTGAGCAAAATTACAATCTAAAAATTTTATTAGCAAAATAGTTTACCTTTTTTCAAGAATTTTCAATTCGCTCTGAATACGACCACTTTAACGTTCAGCAATTTATTTCATGTGATCTTCAGTTTCAATTTCTTTGTTTTTAGCATCGATCTATCAATAATATAAAGTATAATTTAATTACCACTATCTAATCAAAACATAAATTGAAAATATTAAAGAATCAGCAACTAAATTTCATCATTCAACATTTTAATCCTTATTCTATTTTGAATATTATTGATTATTTATTTATTTCCCTTTGTTATTCTTTTATTTCTTGCTCGCTGAATTGTTATATTTTTAATTTTAATAATCTATTTAATTATTTACCAATGCTTATGTATGTAAAAGCTCTTGCTCAACATTTTTCAAGTGCTCTTGTAAAACTTTGGTACGGTCAGACTTCTCTTCAATTTTGGCAGAAATATCCTTAATAAGCTTTCTCTTCTTTTTGATCTATTTTTATGTTATAAAACATGAAATAAATATCCAAATTAATTCAATCAAATATGCAAGATATATTGCAAGGATGGCTGTTTTAGCTTTAATATGGCTGAGCTTGCTTGCCAAATAATCAGAATTTAATTAATTACGATTTCATTAAGTCTTTTATTTTGTTCATTTGCATATTCAGGGAAATCATCATCGTCATCCTCATCGTCTTCAGGAGGAACTGATGGCTGCTAGAGGTTGTTCTAGCCACCATCATCATCTTGACCTTGATCATCTAAATTGTCGCCATTTTAGTTGTAATTATTATCCTATTAAGGATCTTCCATATAATCATTGTTTTCATCATCTCCCTCCTATTGATCATAATCCTGATCATTATCATCCTGAATAAATTCTCCCTAATCCATTTCTTATTAATTTCAAAATACAATATACTTTGTTCAGGATTCTATTTATTTTCCTTTATTTATTATTGAATTTGGTTGATTTTTGTTTTACTTTTTTCGTAATTGATTGATTGATATTTTTTGATGATAAGCCGAAGATAACTTCCTTAATTAATATATAACTAGTTATTTAATCAATTAATTATTAATTAATTAATTAAAAATCAATTCAGTTGCTTGATTGCTTGATTGATTGATTGCATCCATGCATACTTGCTTGCTTGCTTCTTGGCTGCCTATTCAATTTACTAGATTAAACATTAAATTGAATATTGATATGCAAAGTACTTTGTTTTTATAGCCATTTTTTAATTTTATTTGTTTTCTTGGAAGCATGTTTGTTTATTATAAAAATAAATAGCTAACTTTTTATGATCTTCTTTATTATTTATAACTTGCAAATTAATTAATAAATAAATAAAAATATATAATTTGACAAAATCTAATATATTTAATTTTTTATTATTTTTTTTCTATACATTTTGAATGTCCAAAAAACTATAATACCTTCAAATATAATTTTAATATTAAAATAAAAAATATTTGCATTTTTTATTTTGAAATTGTTTCAAAATACAATTTAAGCAAAGCAAATCAAATTTATTTATTATTGATACATATTTAGTTAGTTTACAAGTGTTAAAATTGGTTTTTTTTTCTAATTTATATGCAATCTAATAAATAATTTAGTAATATTCTTTTGTTATTTTTGTAAAACAAATAGAAATATTAAATATGATAAAATATAACAGAATCAAAATCTTTTTTCTATGTCTTGAACATTCAAAAAATCAAAAGCCATAAAAATAAATACCTTGTAAAAATTAAAAACTTATTGATATAAATTTAAATAAACTAAATTCAAATTTCTTATTTTGTTTTTTAAGTTTCAAATATAAAAGTTGATAAATAAAAGTAAAATGAATAATTGATTAAACTTTAATTTATCTTATATTGTTAAATTTGAATTTCTAATCATAAAATCAGTAGTTTGCATTTATTAGTTAATATTAATTTATAAAAAAATCTTCATTTTTTACAGTTTAGATAAATTAATATAAACAGATATTTAAAAAACATTTTATCTAACAAACGAAACAATATTTATCTGTGCTTTTAGCATGTGCATTAGTTACTAATAATTTTTTAAAAAAAGTTGATCTTTCTTTTTTAAAAAATTCATAAATAAACTAGATCAATGATAATTTTGAATTTTTTAATAATTATTTACTACAAAAAATTTTGACTTACTCATTTTTTATTCTAAATTTAAAAAAACTTTTAAAGCTCAAGAAAAGATAAATAAAAATTTATTTATTATTATTATTTTTTAATATTTAAAGTTATTTTAATAAATGTGAAAGTTTATTTTCACTTATAAAATATTTTACATATTAATATTTTTTAATTTATATGAAGCTTCTAAACATAATTAATTAATAAAGATTATGTTTAATTTAAATATGTTTTTAGATTTATCAGTCACAAAATTACAAAATAAATGTATTATTTTTATTATCAAATTTCAAATATAATTTCAATTTATTTTGAAATTTACGTTTTTCAGATATTTTTTGTTCATTTATTTGATCAGTGGAATAATATTTGCAATTAGCTAGTTAATTAACTAACTAACTAATTATTTAGCTAAATTTCTATTTATTTTAGTATTTATTTGCATAATGATATTATTTCTTTATTGTTATTAAATAAAAAAATTTATTAAATTATTCTGGTAATTCTAAGTTAAATATATTACTATTAAAATGAAAAATAAATCATTTTTGTTTAAAATAAAATATAATTTTGATTTTATGAAGCATTATGCTAGAATTTCTCTTTATTTAACAAAAAAATCTAACAAAAATAAAATTAAAGAAATTTTAAGCAATGTTTAATAAAGCTTGCTTGTAAATTTAGACAAGTAATTGATTTATTGATAGATAGATATATACAAGATAAACATTATTTTATTTTAAAAACGCTTTGAATCAATTAACACCTAATTATTTTCTCAATTCCTAGTTAAAGTCATCATTTATATCTTCATCGTCCCAATCTTCACGCCTTTTTAGAAAAATAAAGATTAATATTTTTAAAAATAATTAAATATATTAATTACCATTGCTTGACATCAATCTTTTCATCAACTTATATATCTTACCAATCTATTTCATTTAAAATAATAATTTTATTATTTGAGTGCTATTATGTAAATTTAATGAATAATAGTTTATTTGTTTTCTCTTTTTGTTTTAAATGCCAATTTTTTAATATGAATATTTAATTTATATTTATGAACTAATTAATTCAGTAGAATTAGCTACCTTCTTATTGGAATTCTTCAAATTCATCATCATCTTCGTCGAGGACTTTAGCTACTTCTTCACTTAATTTTTATTCAGGAGCTTAGTCCTTCTTAACTTGAGTTTCGGGCTTGTTTTCTACTTTTTTAGTGGCCATTTATTTACTTAATTTTGATAAGCTAAGTGTTTATGTGAATGTGATAAATCTTTGTTTCTTTTTTAATAATTTAGAGTTCTTTAAATAATCAAAATTTTATAAATATCCAGTCTATTTATTTTAAATATAATTTATTGATTATCTTCTTTCATTCATTTTATTATACAATTTACATCAAATTCAATCAAAAAGAAAGAAAGAAATATAAATAGATACCCTCGGATCTTTGCGAAGTCTTTCTGAAGTCGTTCATAGTTCTGTTTAGTCAATCAAATTTAATTTGCTGATGTAATTACATAATCAATTTAATTTAATTATTCAATAATTTTTTTTTTGTTTTTATATTGATTAAAATACATAAAATAAAAATTGTAAATAAATACATTTTATTAAAAAAAATATTTCTAAAAAACAAATTTTTATTAATTAAAAAATTTCAAATAAAACAAAAAAACTAACAAGCCACTTTATTGGAAGAATTTAATATATAGAATTAATTAGAATTGAATTTTAATATCCACTTTAAATATATAAATTCTCATTTTTTTTTTCAGTAATTATAACATTTAATGGATGTTATTCAAATTTAATATTATTAAATCTGCCCGCAATATGTAAATTTTGAAGCATAGCAGTCAAATCTATCAAAAATTAAAATTAATTTGATGCTGCTGTTTAAAAACAAGCAGATACTATAGCAATTTCTTTCTTGTATTGTCTTGGTAAATCGCTTCAAATATAAACAAATTTGTTTAAAATATCTTAAAAATTTAATTAATTTAAGCTAAAAAACAAATAAACAAGTAAATTAAAAGCTTTTACTTTGTATATTAATTAAATGGATAGCCAACAATAGTCATAAGAATAATTCAATGAAGACGACTTCATTGTTAGGGATCAAAAAGAAATAGAAGAATATATTGAAAAGGTTAATCACCTTACTGATGAAGAAATAGCACATTTAAAAGAAGAAGATAAAATTGAAATTAGAGAACTTGAAAAAAAGCTCACTACTGCTGAAAAAAATCTTTTAAAAAGCTAATTCAATCTTTCAAAAAAGCCTGATACCTGGGAATAAAAATTACCAGAAGAAATAGAAAAGCTTAGAGATTAAATTCGTAAAAAGTTTGAGCTCAATAAAAATGGTAAAGAAACTATGCCCGTTCTCTTTTACTAATGGTAAAGCTACATTATGATTTTCAAATTTCTACTATTCAATCATAAATAAATCTAAATTTAGAAATGCCCAACCAATTATAATAAAATATTTGATATATATAACTAATTTTAAATATGAACCTTATTAAATCAAAAATGAGCAATAAATTTAAATATTTGAATTAAAACTTTCAAATTTCCCAAAGTTTTAAAATAGTTTTTGATTTAATATTATTTGTGAGTAGAAATAAGATTTTAGAGTAAATAACTATGCAATTTTATAAAATAATAGGAATTAAGAACTTGAGGAAAAAGCAAAGCAAATGATTGAAGATGATAGTGAATTGTTAGATGAAGTAACATATGAGAAATTTGAATCAACAGCTAATAAATAATGGGATAAGTTTTATAAGAACCATAAGTTAGGATTTTTCCACAATAGACACTACTTGTATAAGGAGTTCCCAGAATTAGTTGCTATGAATGACGAAGAAAATAAGAATAAGTCTTTTATTATGTGCGAATTAGGTTGTGGTGTAGGAGATACAATTTATCCTCTCATGCCACAATATCCTGCAATTAAGAAGTTTTATGTTTGCGATTTCTCTTCGAAGGCTATTGAGTGGGTTAAGAAAGCTGAACCTTACGATCCTGAAAAAGTAGTTGCAGAAGTAGCTGATCTTGTTAACGATCCAATTCCAGCTGCATTTAATCCACCTGCAGATATTGTTACATTAATTTTTGTCTTAAGTGCAATTTCTCCAGAAAACCATCAAAAAGTAATCTCAAAAATATTTGAATGGATGAAACCTGGATCAGTTATTTATTTCAGAGACTATGGAAGATATGATTTTGCCTAATTAAACTTCTCTAGAAAAAAAGGTAGAAAACTCAAAGACCATTTCTATGTAAAGCATGATGGAACAAGAGTTTATTACTTCCCTAAAGAAGAAATATCAGAACTCTTCTAAAATGCTGGCTTTGAAGAGATTGAAAATAATGTTCATTATAGATATTTAGAAAACAGAAAAACCGGATTATAAATGTATAGAGTTTGGTTATAAGCTAGATTTAGAAAACCTTTAACCAATACAGTAGAAGATGTTAAAATAGACACTGAACCAATAAAAAATGATGAAATCCATGATGATAAAATGCATTCGTAAGAACAAATTGAAGAATAAAAAAACTAAGAAAATGTATAATGAATATGAATGAAAATACACTTTAGAATATTAAAAATAATTAATTTCCTAAATGACTTAGAAATTAATTAATTGTTCGTTTATTTATTTATTTTGTTTTAAAATGTTTAAAGTAAATAAATAGAGTTAATTTTTTTATATCTTTAACATTTGTTTAAAAAGAAATATCTTACTTTAATCAACTCAAACTAAATATTTAATCTTTAGTTGACAAATTTATTTAAGTAAAATAAACTTATTTTAAATTTGAATTGTTGTCATATTTTTTTGCAATATTTTGAGTTATTATATTAAACTAAAACTGATTTGTTTCTTTTTATATATAGAATAAAATAATTTATGAAGAAGAAAAAGAAGAATAACTAAAAAATCAAATAAATAAATAAAAGTTTGATAAATTTATAAAGTTCAGTTTAAAATAGTTTGATTGTAAATATTTATAAAAATAAATTATTATTTTGGATTAAAATAATATAAAATGATGCCCATATCATAATATTGCTTCTTTTTATTTATAGAATAAAATAATAATAAATGAAGAAGAAAAAGAATAATAAATATATAAAAAAAAGTTTGATTAATTTATAAAATTCAGTTAAAAATAGTTTGATTGTAAATATTTAAAAAAATAAATTATTATTTTGGATTAAAATAAAGTAAAATGATGCACATATCATAATATTTTACTTTAAAGAATTATGGTATAATAAGTTAGAAGAAATTTTAAATACATTAGAAAAAGAAGAAAGAGGTTTGAGTATTAATTAATCAATATATTGTTTAATTATATGTCTCATATCAATCATTTTATTTTTAAAATTTTGCAAATGGAGAAAAACTTGATGATTTAAATTCTTGTTTTTTAGATAATTGCTTGATCATTTTTCTATTTTTTATATTTTTTTCGACTGTTATAGAAACTTGCATCTTTTTGAGCAGCTTTAAGATTTTTGTATAATTATGTTTAGGGTAATAATACTTAAAAACTTATCCTTTGTCAAAATGTTAGAGCATAAAATAGCTATTTTCGATATTTTGATGTTTTTCATTATTTAATTAAGGGAGTTTAATTTGTGTTTAATAAGGAGTGTTGCCAATCTTATATAATGAATCTTATCTGTTATACTATGTATTTTTACAGCTACTATTAGATTATCTTCTTTGTTTTTTCTTGCCTTTTACTACTTAATCAAGAGAATCCTATTAATTTAGATCTTACATTTTGCTTGAATGCGAATTTTGTCTGCTTTAATCTTTTTGTTCTAAATTATTATCAAGTCTTGAAATTGATCTCGTTTTTATTTTTAGGATAGAGTGCTTTAAATATTTATTAGATTGAGGAGAATCACTCAATTACCTTTCATTAAACTAGCTAAGCTGAGAAATTTAATTTTTTATTGGCTCATGTAGAGATAACAAAGAATTTAATTCATTTGAAATTTTTTGAGAATCAGGCAATTGATGATAATTTTATTGTTGCAACTATTAATTATAATTTTACTATTGTTGTTATTGCAAATTCAGCTACTGTTGTTATTGATTGAATTGGAGGATATTTTATTCGTTAATATCTTGCTAATGGCAGAGTCCTACAGAGAGAGACTTTCTATCTTTTCTTGAGTATTGCTGAGAGATAAAACTAGAAGGCAGCTATTTATCTTGGATTTTGCATTAAGAAGGTATATATTGACATGACTCTTTTATACTTGTTAATTTATTTAAGCTTCCATCTTCTCCTTGAAGAATGTTTTGTATGTTAGAAATTTCTTTCTGTATAGATCGTATTTATTCTTGAAAGACTATTGAATTACTCATCTGGTTTTCATTCTATTGACTACTATCAGCATTATTTTTATTATTCAAAGAAGAATAACTTGATTAGTTAGAAATGTTGGTATTCGATGGCTATATTTCTTAAATTGTTTCATTTGTTTCTTTTATTTTTACTTTCCTTAATCCACTTCTTCTTTAGATTTTATTTTAGTCTTCATGTTTATTATCTTCTTCTTGACTGCATTCACTTGATTGGAACGTGTCATCGTTCTCATAAATTAAGCTTTTGTTTGGCTTTGCTTGCTACTCAATTTCATTTAGTACTTCAAAAAAGTCTTCATTGTCATTTATTTAATAAACAGCTTAGTATAACCTTTTTTATGATATCCGAGTTTTCCACTTTAGCTACTTGTTTCTCCTCGAAAAAATTTATCTCTTTAAATGTGGAACTGAGAAACAATACCGATGAGCTATTCCCTTTTTAGAAATTATCAAATGTGTTTTCGGACATGACATTGAAAAATGCTCTTCACTCTAACAGTGAAAGCATTTTTAGTTAATTATAGAATAATTATTCTTAAAAATGATATTATCTCTAATCATAACGTATTCTTCATAGTCTCTATTGCTCTCTCTTATCAAATTCAAAAATTTTTCTCTATTGATCTTGTAAATTCTACAAAAATCAGCTGCTTTAGCTGTTAAGTTTCTGATTTAACCTGTAATAAAACTAATTTCGCCAAAATAAGATGATTTTTATAAAACTTAAATTATAGAGTCTTCTCTATTTCTTGAAATTGATTATCTAATTATTTCAACTTCTCCTTTCACAATATAAAACAAAGCGCAATCATCAATATTGTTTTCTTAAAATATAATCTCTCCTGGTGAATATAAGCATTCCTCCATTAGAAATATAATTTTTTATTTGAGTTCCATATTTTTGATAAAAGGGATGTTTTCTAAATACTATCCTTATATTTCAGATATCAATTAAAATCTCAGCTGATTCGAAAGCTTTTCAATGACTTTCTGTTCTTGCTATTTTTACACCTCATTCGATTCCTATTTAAAAAAAAAATTTATTTTATATTCATTTTCAATCACTTTTTTAAAAAAAAAATAAGTAATTATTTAACTAATATTACATTGTAAATATACTTTAGATAGTTGGAAATTTAGTCTCTAAAATCAGATCTAATATTTTCTTCTCTCATGAGAGTGTGAATGACTTACATACTCTCTTTATACGACTTTTCCTTTTTCTCAATATTATCAATGATATTTCCTATTTTACTGATGCTAAATCCCCATGTCATTCCAGTCACAAACATAGTCAGAATAGTAAAAATAATCTCAGTACTATTTTGAGGAGTGATATCACCATAGCCAACTGTAATCATAGTAACAGCTAAAAAGTAGAAAGAATACACATACCGAGTAAAAACAGATGCTTCTTCAAGATAATATTTATGCAGCCAAGTTTAATCATATCCTTGTTAAATTTCATAAATTGCTATGTAGTGCCAAAATCCACAGAATACATGGCAAATTATACAGAGTAAAAGGATTAATTTTCCAAAATCAACAACATTCCTTAAGTTCTTTTAATAATTTAAGTAAAATATCATTCTTTCAAAGCTCTAAGATAAAGTTAACCACTTTAAAAGAAATAATAAAAAGCTATACTTCACATTTTAGATTTCCATTAAGCAAAAAACTAAAGGCAAAATCCCTAATAAGTCAAAAATTAATTTTTGCTTGAGATAAATAAAAATTATTTTTTTTCTTTGCTTAATTAGAACCCCTCTAAGAAAAATCTATGTATTAAGGTTCAATAAAATATCTATAATAAATCCAATTAAAGAAAGTTTATACATTTGCCTATTTAATTTTAAATAAAACAAATCTTTAATAAAATTGAATTAAGAAAGTCAATTAAAATGTTAATAAATTCATAGACAAACCTATTAATTTTTTTATTTATCAATTTTAAAATTTTTTACTCTTTTTTCCATATTTTTTTAACAAAGTTTAAATTAAAATTGTTTGTTTCTATTTTCTATTTTTTCATTCAAAATTAATATCTTTATCTAAGCATTTATGATTATCTTTGAAAAAAATGAGTCTTATTCAATCAAAATAATTAAATATTTAAATTTTCTTTTTCATATACTTAAAAAAAATAACAAATCTTAAAAATTACATAAATTCGTTTGCTTCAAGAGTAAAAAAAAGCTATAAACTCATAATAAATGAAAGAGCTACAATAAGAAAGGCATTCAGCAAATCCCATATCGTTTTTAATAAACCATTTGGAGAAAATGTAGGAAGATCAGGTATCTTAGAATACAAAATATAGTTAAAATATGTTAGAAATTACTAGATTCTCTTAGATTTAATAGTACTATTTTTATGGTAAACTGATACAACATCTCCTAAATTTTTAAGAATAATTTAGAAAATAAATTAGATGCAATTAGTTAGTTAGTTTGTTTGTTTGTTATAAAAAAGCTAAAAATGTTCCACTAATCATAACTTGAAACATTTAATACGTTTTTAATAGAAATTATAACATAAAATTCAAATATTTTTTTTTTAATGATTGAATAAAATAAAATTAATAACCTATAATTTCATGCTGCTCTTCAGTAAGCCTTTAAAATATTCTAGTATTCTTAGTAACTTATCGATAGAAGCTCTTAACACTAACCAACAAGTTTAGAGCAAGCATTATTTTTAGAGGCTCTTTTTTGCTTTTAAGGTCTTTATTTACAAATTAACTCAACTATTAAGTACTTTTATTAATATTTTCTTCTTTTTAAAAATTGAGCTAATCTTGTGACAACTATCGAGAAAACTTTATCCTTTAAATTCTTAGCTGGGCCAAAGTCTTTTTTTTCTCTTTATCAATTGGTTTAATAGATGTTTCCAAACATTCATTATTGGCAATACTCTAGTCAAAAATAGATATTTGGATTTCATCATGCTTCTGCTCATCTTTGAAACGAATTTATTACTCTCTTCTACATGATTAGTCCATTATTTCCGTGTCATGTTTCTTTTTGTTTATTTCATTTAATTCATCGTGATCCTTTTTTACCATTTATTTCAGTTATTTAAAATGGAAGATAATTAATTAATTATTTTATATTTCATTTTAGTTAGAAATCAAAGTTTTCTATTTATGAACCAATTAAACATTTACTTGAGAATTAAATTTTAACTAGACCATATGATTGTCAAAGGATGTCGATGTTCCAAGTCTGTTTTGCTCAAATTTCAAATGGGTTTATGAATTATTTTACATATTTTATGATGATTATTATTTACTCTTTTCTTTCTTCTAAATTAGTAGAAGTAAAAATATTAAGCAAAAAAAAAAAAATTTGACTAATCAAATTTTAATTGACTTTTATTTAAAGGTAAACACTATATATTAGAAGTTAAATAATACAAATAAATCAAAAAAATCAGTTTAAGGTTAACTATTTATTTTTTCCTGTAGAATGAAAACATTACTATTATATTTAGTAAAGGAATAAATGAAAATATATATATATCTATCTATATATGAATCTATGTATGTTTGTAGGAACATTTATAAAAAATGAAAAATATTTTTATATGCGATAATTTCTTATTGGTAGAATATTAATATTTAATTTTATAGACACATATACTTAAGAACTTACAAATATGCTAAATAATTTTAAGCTTTTAATAATATTTACAAATTTTTCAAATCAAAATAAATTTTATATTTTAATATAATTTTTTCATAAAATAATTAATGAGGATTCGTAGTATATTAATTAGCTCTATTTAATTAAATTAAAATGCATCTGACTCTATATACATAATTTAGATTAATTTACAAAAATTATTTATTTTAATAAAAGAAGGTATTGAATTTCATTTATATATATACTTATACTGTCAATTTAATTTATTATTATCACTTAAATTAAATAACTTTTGTTGATCGAGTTGACTAATTAGAATTGTATTATTTTTAATTAATTAGCATAGATGAAGCATATTTATTTATTTTACTTTTGTTATTTAATTCTGATTAGTCTAATGTTTTTTCATTTTGATCTAAATCTAAAAACATACTGGAATACTATTTTATTTTTTATCCTTCTTCAAATAATCTTTTTGATTCTTTATATCTATAAATATTAATTTTAAAAAAATAAATAAATAAATATATTTTTAAAAATATATTTTACTTATTTAGCTTGTCACATACATCTTCTCTGACTTCTTAAATACTTTTTTGTCTATTGTGGTGTTATATTTTTAGCCCACTTTAGACAATACTTTGTGCATTTAAGTCAGAAAGAGTCAAAGGAAGATCTTATTTCTTAGAAGATGATAATTACTTTTTTAACGAACTATTACATTTTTATATATAGAAATCTTTTTCATCTCCACTTTCTTAGCGCTATACATACTAACTACTGATATGGCTCACTTTATCAGCTGTTGGCTACTCAATATTCTGGTGAAAACTAGCGCTATATTTCTTTTTTTAAGCACTAACATCATCTTAATATTTGTATTAATTTTCTAATTTAAATCAATAAATTTATTAAAACCTTTAAGAAAAGCTATTTTTTTCAAGCAAAAATAAAAAATTTAAATTTATTTGATTGACAAATTTGGCTAATTGATTTAATAACTCTTGATAATATAATAAAAATAATTATACCTTTATTAGCATATTTTTAAGGTAGATTGATATTATAGCAGCAATTAGTTTTGCTTTAATAATTATTTTGACTTTCAACATTTTGCTTAGACTCCAAAAGAGACTACTACTATTACTATTATCCATGTATAGAGCTTTCTACTTTTTCAAGTTTTGCTTATAAATTATTCAAATATGTCTTAAAGCCTCCATTGATGTTAAATGCTGTTTCTAATTAGAAAAGTCTTTCTTCAACAAGCTTTTTGAGAGCTTCTTCAATATGGCATTTTATCTCGTTAATATGTTCATCAAATTCAGTTCTACTCTTAAATAACTATTCATCTTTTTTAACAGAATTACGTTTGAGTTCCTTAAACTTTTTATTTAGTTCTTCAGTATATTTTTCAACCATTAAATTTGACTCCTGCTAAATTTTTTCAATTTATTTAACTTTTTCACCATAATCGCACAACTGTTAATTGACTTCGGAATCTTTTTTATCTGTCTTTTTTTCTAAGATCTTAACCGATTTTTTTAAAGAATCAACTAAATCAATCAATTGTTTTAAATCATTTATTTCTCTATCACTTGAGTTTACCTTCCTCGCCATTTCTTTTTATTCCTCATATACTTTATTTTACTCTCTCACTACTTTCTCTATACTATTTTTTAAATCTTCTATTATATTTGGGTTATATATTTAGGTTAAATGCATATTCATAGCATTAATACACTCACTTTACCAGCTCTCTTTTACCTAATTGACTCTTTGCTCAATAAGCTCCTTCATAGTTTATTTTTAATCAACTAATTTCTCAACATTTTCAACAATTTCTTATAATTTATAGTTCATTTAATTGTTAGTTTCCTCATAAAACAGGCTAACCTAATTCATTTTCTCCTCTAAATCATTTAATCTACTCTAATTTAAATAAATAAATAAACAAATAAAAATAAAAACTAAGTTTTTTATTGAAGTTAAAAATAATTTATAATTTTTTTTACTTAAATTTCAACAAAATCTAATTGATTTCTGTTACTAATAATTGATTCATTTTAAGTGCCTGTTTCCCTATTATTCTCGCAAATCTAATTCTAACAAAATTTTATTAATACTTGAAAAATAGTGAAGATAGAATTACTAATCTTTCTTCGCTTTTAATACTCTTTATGCAATAGTTTGAATTAAAATCATTTTAAGAGTTTGTGTTAGTGCTTTCTATCTAAAGATTTAGAGGCTTTTTTATTTAGTTATTTAGTTCAGAATAATTATTTTAAGCAATATAATTGTTCTGTCCGTTCATATACTATTCCATGGTTTTAGCCATTTCTTCTTTAATTATGTCTTTGATTCTTTCATATATTTTCCCCTCTATTTCTTCTTTTTCTCCTGTTATTAATCTATCAGTTTTCTACTAGCTTTAAAATTCCTAATCTTGAGTATAGTCTTCTTCTCCATTAAAATAATTTCTGTCTTCTAATTAAGTAAGTAAATAAAAAAGTAAATAAACAAATAAATCATTTAAATTTACATTAAATTAACTTAAATAATTTTAATTTTAAAATTATTATTTAAGTCTTTAAATGTTAAATAAAATTGGTAGCTTTGATTCAAGTCTTTTAGTGAAAAATTGAATTTTTGAAGCTTTAAATATAATTAATTCAAATTAATCTCTTAATAAAAAAATAATTACATTAAGGAATATTTTATAGAGGCATATTCCACTATTTTTTCTAACTAGTTTGGAATTATAATTAATAAGCTTAGTCTTGAATTTAATTATACAGCAAATTCTACTATTGTTAATTGAGGGTGTTGTAATTAGTAGGATTCTACATTATGACTGACTAATATTATTACACATCAGATAATAGAGGACCTTCAGTCTATTTTAAATTAGATAAATTTTTACTCTTTAAAGAAAAAAATATTTGTAAAATTATTTTACAGTAGGTTCTAAGGATTAAGCATATCTATTGTTATTTGCGTTATTGTTATTATTGTTAGAAGCCAAATTATTGGTATTATTAAAACTTTTGTTAAGAAATTATTGGCTGTTTACAGAATTTAAATTAATATTCAAATTCTAAATTGCACTGTTATCTTATTCTTAAGTGGTATTATTGAGAATTTAGCTTGGAAGCTACATTCCAATTAAGTCTAGTCTCTTAAAACTATTCTAGCTATTGCTTTAGAAAGGCAGCTAATTCTGTTAATAATACTAATTTTACTACTTTTTGGTACTTATGTTATTTAAGAGTTCTCTTGAGTACTCAAGATTACCACCTGTAACAACAGCACCACCTATTTAATTATTACTTATGTTAGAGTTTTATTGTTAGCTTTATTAGATTTATTTTATTTTTGGCTGTAAAACTTTCAATTATTTCTCTCTGTTATTGTTATTATTAGTGATGCTACTAAAGTTGCCATTAGATGTATTTAAATTATTAACATTGTTGCTGTTAAAGCTATTAAAGAGTTCTTAATGGGACTATTAAAATTAATCAACAATCATATGTTGAATTTGAATGTCCTGCTATTTTTGCATAATCTCCTCTTTAGCATTTTAAATTAATTGTAAGGCATTAGCCTCTTCCTGTATTTTTTGAGAAGCTTAAATGTTAGTTATCTTTCTGCAAACAATATCCCTAATATTCTCATTACATTGAGGCATTTCATTTCTTAAAACACTTTTATAATTTTTAAATACCCATTCATTAGCAAGTAGATATTTGCATATGACCTCAGTAAGAAGATTGTTAATTCCTATGTTCATCTATTAATCAAATAATTAATATTAATATTTCTTAAAATAAATCAATAGTTAAAAGTCATATTAATATAATTAAAACAATTGGTAAAAATATACTTTTAAAAGTTAAAGATAAAGGAAAGAAATGTTTATAAATTAGATCTTAATTATTCATTAATTTAAGTTTTAACAAACATAATCTTATTGATTGATTGATTATAAAGTAATCTTTACCTTATTTGAAAGCATAGATATTAGGGTATTGTTATCAAAAAGAGAATCTTCTAACTTAGAAATCTAGTGAATAGTAATAAAATAAAAATCAATTATTATGCATAATAAGTAACTTAATTAATTACTATTTCTTGATCATCTTGCTTTAAATTCAAATCCCAATCTATTTCTTAAAGGGAGTTATTTGTTGATAGTACTTCGCAAAACTAGTAAATGTGAATATGTCCAATTAACATTCCTAAAATTTTTAATCTCTGCAATTTTTAGTTTTCAAGCAATCCCTTTAATAAGTTCTCAACTGATTCCATACTATAGTTATTGTGACTTATATCTAATACTAATAAGCATTGGTTTCTATGTTGAAAAAATATTCAAAATATGTTAGTCTTATTTTTAGTTAATTTACTTCTTAAGTGCCTCACCAAAGTAATCTTCTTCTATGTAATTTCTTGATAGAGTTAAATGAGTAATAACCTTATTTGTGGAAAGTACCTAAGCTATTTGCTGTGCACCAAAGTTAGATATCCTAAATTTTTAATTAATTTTGTTAAGAACTAACTGCATAATAAAAAGTAATAAATAGAATATTTTATAATCTAGCTCAATTGAATTGAGATTCAAAAAGCATTTTCTTGTAGCATATTTTAGCACTTGATTGTATAAAAATAATAAAATAAATACCTGTTATATGATAGATCAATTTGTTTAATATTTTAATTAAGCTAAATAAACATAGCAATGTGAGCAGCTGAATTATCATCAATCATATTATTTGAAAGAGACAATTTTTACAAATAGACGTTATCCTTAATTGATTGTGTAATTTAATGAATAATTTCAACATTCATTTTAAAACCACTTATTTCTAATTCAAATAAGTTGTCAATCCCATTTTCTAATAAAATACATACTGATTAAATATCAAGAGCATCCTCTTCCTTTTACAATTAATTTATTTCAAAATTAATAACTTCAAATTTTCAAAAAATCTACCAATTCTTTAGCCAAAGAACGTGAAGTAGGAGGAGAGAATAAATCCTATTTCGATAGCCTGAGATTATTTTAACGTTGATCAAGAATATTAATAATATCAGGATTAATAGGTCTTTGATACTTTTAAATGAAATCCTAAGATATTAGTTTTGTAAATTGAAAATATTTAATAATCATTCATTTATTTATTTACGACATAAAGGCGCTTAAGTGGATGATCGTGATAATTAGTAGACATTAATTATATTTAAATTATATAAATTTTTTATCTTAAATAATAAATTCCTTCTCTAAAAATTAGTTAATATCAAGTTAGTTTGCTTTGTAAGTAGTTAGCTAGCTATTTGTTGCTTTAGTAATTTACAATTTAACTTTCTAAAATTGAATTCTTTGCTTATTTACAATTAATTAATTTATAAAAAAATTTACTGAGTTTTTCTTATTAATATTTTTTCTAATATTTGATTTATTAACGTATAGATTTTACTTAGATTTTTTAGCATATAATTATAACAATCAATCAAAAACTTTTCTTAAAGATTTAAATACATTAATTGATTGATTAATGGTGCAATCAACTATAATTTAAATTTCATTTTTATTCATCTAAAAGTTTTTTAATAATTTTGAATAAGCAAATATGAAAATATATTTATTTTATGGATATTATCTACTACTTTCTCATATAATTTGATTAAAAAAATAAAAAATTTAACAAAACCAATTCAATTTTGATGATAAAATAAATCTTTAATATAATATCAAAAATATAATATGATGTTATTTTTTTTATTATTTGATAAAGAGCTTTCAAAGAGTATGAACTATGCTAAATAAGTTCTTTATTTCTCAAATAATTTAATTTTATTTAATATACTAAATAATACTTTTGCTATATTATTTGAATTTATTATAAGATAATTTATTTTTAATGCTAGTAGATTGTACTAATTATCAACCAAGCCATGTTTGTTTTTTATATAATGATTCTTTTTAAATAAATTAAATAAATCAAAAGTATGAATTTTATTTGCATTTTAAATAAATAAGATAAATTTTAATAGTTAGTATTCATAACATATAAAACATAAAATTAAAAAAAAAATTCATTTACTTTATTACAACATAAGGATTTTTTTTATTCAGAAAATGAAATAGATTTTAGACTTTTTAAAAATTTAATTTATTTCAATTTGAATGAGTTTTTAAGAATTATAAATTATTTATCACAATTACATACAATGATTTTGCTTGTTAATACAAAAATACTTTTGAATACCATAAAGAATATACAAATTTAATGAATAAGAGTTTCATGGAGAATGAGGAGATCTTTAAGCAAATTAAACAAGAAAATGAGTTTTTACTTGTTATTTAGAATGAAGGTATTAATGAATGAAGGAGAAGAATAAAAGATATGATTGAAAAATGAATGAAAAAGCAATCGAAATTTAGTTAAGGTCAAATAAAAGATGAAATGAAAAGAGCAAATTTAATGGAAAAAATAACAAGAGGGATTTGATTAAATAGAATTGCAAGAGATTGATCTAAAAAAATTTAAAGAAATTAAATTAAAAAAGCACAAAAATAAAAAAAACTTAATAAACAAATAGAAATGTCATTCAGAAAGAAAACTAAGTAAGTCAAGAAGGTTAACTTGGGCTTCAAGATCGACTGCTCTCAACCCGTTGAAGATAAGGTCATCCTTATCGGTGAATTCGCCGAATTCTTGAAATCCAAGATTAAAGTCGGTGGTAAGCTCGGTAACTTGGGTGAAAACATCACCATCAGCAACGATGACAAGAAGATTAACGTCTAATCCACCATCCCCTTCTCCAAGAGATACCTTAAGTACTTAACCAAGAAGTACCTTAAGAAGTAAGACTTGAGAAACTATCTCTACGTCACCTCTTCTGACAAGAACTCTTACCAACTTAGATATTTCAACATTCAATAAGACCAAGCTGAGTGAAGAACTTATCAATGATCATTATAAATAAAAATTGTAATAATTAAATAGTACAAAGAATGCCGCAGAAGCGAAGGCGGCTCCATTTACAAGCGACAATAGGTCAAGATAATAACAATAAAAACGCACAATAAATGAATTATTTAACTTATTTTAAATGTAGTCACCTTCTACATTTTTTGTATTAGTCATTAAGCTAATTTTGCAATATTTAAATCTTCAAAATCAATCACAAATTAATTAATACAATCCATCCATACATTTTTTCCAAATATTTTTACTCAAACTCCCCCAATCCAACTAAACAAAACAAAAAATACATACATATTCTTATTCTCCCAAAAAAATATATTACTTAAGCAACTACTTCTATTTATCTGTAAATATTCATAAAGCAGCAGCGATGAATAATTAAAATTAGATGATGCTTACTCTAAATCTTTTATATATTGATTCATAAATACATTCAAAAAGCTTGATATGTAATCTCTCTTAAAAGTCTTCTTTTTATTCCTGCAAATGAATTCTCTCAGGAGTCTTCTGCTGAGAAATCTTCAAGGAAACTGACTTAGACAAATCATTCAAGCGAATAGCTATCAATAGAATTATTGGTATGCTCCATGTAAGTAAATAGGTAGTCTTCCTTGGATTGATCCTTTCGATATACGATATCGATTAAGGACAGAAAAGAAGAGGAAGATACTCGAAAACAAAACAAGAGAATCAATAGAGTATTGCCAATTTTTGATACCTTTTAGAAAGGAGCTATCTTAATAAAATTGCAATTAATTGAAACCTGTAAATCTATCAAACAATCAATGATGGATCATCAATAAAGAGTACAAAATAAAGAAACGAATGTATAAATATCATCTAAATAAATAAATATCCTGCTCAAAATATAACAAACATAATTTATTAATTTTTCCTATACAAACTTATTGAAATAAGCTTAATTTTAATCAACCTTTTCTTGTAACAAAATTTCTACTATATACTACTAATATGTATCTAGTTATACAGAATACTTAATTCAAAATTCCTTCAAATAATTATTTCGCTTTCGATCATTTTCATTAAATATTTTTATCTTCAAATATATTTCTAAGCAAGCAAGTGAAATTACTATTGTTTTAGTCTTAAAATTTTTAAATAAGCAGGGAGACAAATATTCAAATAAAATATTTTTTTATTCAATTTGGGAGTTATTATTTATTTTTAAATCATATACTTTTCATTCATTTTACTGTCATTGTTAATTTAAAAATGTTCAAACAGTATTATACCTATAAGAGTTGAATTTATCTTATTATTAATAAATTAATGCTGTCTTTTATACTAGAAAAAATCATTTAGATAGTTTCAAAAAGATTTGGGCTGCGCACAGCGCACGAACACACACCACATAATGTAAATGGAAATATTTTGAATAAATTTTTATAAATTTGCATTTATTAATTTAAAATGATTTAAGAAAAATAAATATATTTATTTCAAAAGCAAATCTATTTAAAATGACATAAAGCAAAATTGCTTACCAAAATTTGGTAAAAAATATATTTTGTTCTTGTTTATGTGAATTTAAAGCAGATAATTTAATACAAATAATTCAAATTCATGAAAGCGAGGGAATAAATAATTGAAAGCCTATTCAGTTTTACAAAATAATTAATGAATGGTCGCATTTAAATAATCTATTGTAAATTATTATTTAAAATGTATCAAAATCAGTAAGAGATATTTGTGTGATTGATTATCTTAAAAAATCTATAAGCTGTTTTTAAATAGATAATATGAAATATAATTATTTAAAATATCTATTTGTGATTTCAAATAAAGTGCGTAATTACTCAGTATTTTTTTGCAAGTAAAATACTAAAAAATAAGTAAATAAGCAAAAAAATAAACAAAGAGATGAATTAATGAATGAATAAATAAAGATATTTATTAATTGTATTCAATTGATTTTCATTTATTTAATGGAATTTATATAAAAAGCTTGTTTAATGCTTAGTATTAATACGAAATTAGTATACAAAGTGACCTTTTTAGCAAATATTTTCTCTTTAAATATGTTTTTTATCTAGATATTTTTTAAATTTATTAATAATAATGAGAACAATTCAAAGCGTTTTTTCCTCTAAAGTGGTAATTTATTATTTATATTTATTTTAAAATAAAATACTATGTTAAAATAGCGTTTAAATGTTTAGAATGTGCATCATATTTTAGTACTCTAATCTGATTATATATTGTAATTCAGTCTCAATTATATATTTATTAATTATTCAACCAATAAAGTGAAGAAAAAATTTCTATCAATTATTATGATTGTTACAAGTTATTATTAATTTTCTTTATCATTCTTATAAAAGCAACAGTAATTAATTTAAACACTCTAAAAATGAATTAATAGTAAAGCGTAAATAATCTTAAATGATAAGGCTATCAAAAAATATTTCTCTAAAAAGTAGCACCACTTCTTAGACAATATATAGAGCCACTATTAAAAAATAATGTAATTACTACATTATTAAATTAGCTGTATTAATTTTAAATGTAAAATGTAGAAACCTAATTATTTTTAAATTTCTAATCTACATCCTTATAGATTAGAGTGTGTTTGTTTGTTTGTTAATTAATTAATTGCGGGAAAAGGAAATACTTGATCAAATGAATATTGAACAAAATTAGATGTTTATCAATCAGGGTGTTTTTAGACCACTACAAACGAGTATAATTATTAATAAAATTATATAAATTTTAGAACAACACTCTAAATCTTAAAACAAAAAAGGAAATTAGAAACAAAAAAACACTAACTCACTCTATCAAACACATTAAAATAAATAATAAATAAAAAAAACAAAAAAAACTCTTAAATAATCAAATCTAATTAATTATTTGCTTTATCATAAATAAATATTGATATCTCATAAACTGAACAAAAAAATTTTAAAAAATCAAAAATATCTATTTATCAAATTGTAAATTGCTATTATGAACTAATCATAAAAAAGAAATACACAAACTTAAGGAGGCTAAGTACCTTATTTGTTGAATGGCAAATATCAACTTATAAAACCACTTGCATAGGGCGCTTACGGGTGCGTTTATTAAGCATATGATGAAAAAGAAAAGAAGCATGTTTGTATCAAATAGATAAAAAGATTCGTAAATTACATTTCGAAATTTACATAATTATCGATATTTACTAAATTTAATGGCTAATTTTGTATTAAAATTTAATTTTTATATTTGAAAGACTGCTCATTAAATTGGAGGATATGGAATAGATTCATAAAATATGAGAGAATTCTCTATTTTGAATTCGCTAAATCATGAAAACATAATAAAGTGAAATATTTTTATGCGATTACTATTAATTAAATTAATGATATTCATCAAAGATTAAAAGATTAGTTTCATGCCTATAAGAGATAGTAAGAAACCATATAAAATCAATAAAATGAAGAACATGTGACGTTCTTCATGGTTTTCGATTATATTGATTAAAATCTCCAAACTTTCATCAAGGAATTTGAAAATAAAAAATGCTACATACCCCTTATTTAAATTAAGGTAAAAAATTATATTTTTAACTAATTTTAAGCTCATTAAAGCTTCAAGTTTTGTAGAGTTTTCTTCTCAAATCTTTAAAAGAAATCAAAAAAGATACTTAAAATAACAAAATAGCACTAATGAATAAATTTAATTACTCATTTGTTATTTTAATTATTTAGAGCATACTCTATCAGATAGTGCTAGGCATTTATGAAATGCATGTTAACGGCTTCATGCATAGAGATATTAAACCTGCAAACATCCTCATCACCTAACAAGGTATATGTTAATTATTTATTTAATTATATTGTAAATGTTCTTTCTTAAAAAGAATAACAAATTCAATTTGGATTTGAATTTGTAAGCATTTAAACTTAATTTTCAAAAACGTAAATTGATTTTCATAATTCACTAAAAAAATGAAGGATATTATAAAAATAAAAGCTATTTTTGATAATATTAAATTATTTGATTCTATTCTTATCACTTAATTGTTTATGCTAAATAGGATAGGTAAAGGTTGCTGATTTGGGACTGGCAAGACAGGTTACATAAAAAAGGTAGACTTTTACTCCTGGATGGATAACTCTTTGGTACAGACCTCTTGAAATGCTTTGTAACCAAACAAACTATTCAAAAGCGGTTGATATATGGTCTTTAGGATGCGTATTTGGAGAAATGGTGAGACTTGTTCCTTTATTCAGAGGATAAACTGAATTGGAATAAGCTTTAAAGATTATATAGTAAATAAACTATTAATTATCTTTTATGTATTGAATTTATATTATATCTAAATAGATCACTCGGCCTTCCAACAGAATTCTAAGATTTTGATAGCTTTCATGAAAGAGTTAGTGATTAAGCTTTTAGCTATGAAAAAAACTTCCCTTACTTGTCTGAAGATGGAATAGATCTCCTAAAGGTATTATTAATTTTCTAAAAATTTATTTAATGCTTTTTATTGTAATTAAGGGAATGCTGAACATTAATCCCAGCAAAAGACTTACAGCTAAATAATGCAAAGAACACGTAATTTTATTTTATTTTTTTTTTGTTTGTTTGATTGATTTAAAACTTTTATTTATTTTAAATATAAATAGAGATTTTTTAACGACGTTAGATAGCTTTCATTAGATTAAATTAATTAATTGGCTCAAGGCTAATTGAAATAATGCTAACTTAATTTTTTAGAAAATTAATAAAGAATAGAAGAGAATAGACTTAGGATGTAGGAATAAGAATAATAAAGATAAATTTAGTTATAATAATAATAGTAACAACGTAGATAAAGAAGCGAGTCACTTGAAGCCTCTCCTGAATATCTTTGAACTAAAATAACAAAACATTATATTAAATAAAATTAGAAACTCTAATTAACGAAATCCAAAAAAGAAATTTATTTAACATATAAAAATAACCTACCTACCTACTCTTTAAACAAACATTTAATCAAACAAATAAATAAATAACTAACTAACTAACTAACCAACTTATTAATTCATTTTAAAAATATAATATTAATTAATTAATTGCCAATTCAATAAAAACTAAAAAAATTTCTAAAACAAAAAATGAGTATGAGAGTAAATTAATATACTATTAATATTCTATTAAAATTAACTAATTAATTAATATGATATTTCAACTATATATTTTATAAATAAATAAATATAATTAATAACTATTTGTTCTCTCTTTTATTTTATAAAACTTTGATGAATAAAAATGTTTTATTTATTTACTTTACTAAATAATTAGTGATTTTTATATAATCAATATAACTTTACATCTTAATATTCATTTTGATAAGGTTTAGTCAAATTTATTAATTAAAATTTAGATTCAATTTATTAATACCAACCAAAATAACCAAAATGGTTTAGGGACTGTATTTTTTTTGTTACATATGAACCAAGTATTTTAATATTAAATTTTGTATGATCATAGTAAACTTATCAAAAATTAATTATCCAGATTTCATATTATTTTATGAAAAAGTTTTTATAAGTTGTTTGTTAATATATAAGCCATAATTAAAAAATTTCCCTACTCAAATAAATGGTAAATTCTAAAAACTTTGTAAATCTAAAATAAATTTAAAAAGAAAACTGACTAACTACATATTGTGGATATAAAGAAAGAACAAAAAATATTAATATTTAAAGATTAAAAAAGGTATATTATAATTTGTTTAGTTCAACTGTTATCATTAATATAGTTAATAGCTTAATCATAATTTCCATTTTTAATACTCTAAATATATTAAATAGTTTTTTAGTGGCTGTCAGTAGCAATATTTATTTTTTTTTCAATGTCTTCATACCTTTAATTTTCTTTAACATTTCTTACTTCACTGAGATTATCATAAAGAGACTTTTAATTTTAATTATTTTTCCATTACTAAATTTGATCATCTTACAATCCAAAATCTTTTATTAAATCTTTTTGATTTAAGATTAAGTAATATTATCCTTGTTAGCCTTGCCTTGCAGTTCTTCCTTTAATTTAGATTTCTTCTGTTATATTATCTGAAAGAAATGTTTAGATGACTACTACACCACCTGATTGAATTACATTAGGATCGAATGAAATAAAATCTGTTCCTCTTCCATACTCTCTAACAAAAAGTCCTATTTGACCTGATCTAGTCGCTTTTTGAACTTAATGATTAAATTCTGTACTATCATTATGATCAGTAACTTTGATGTAGTTTTCTTTAGGAAGGTATAAATAATTGCTGTCATGATAATCTATTAAAGATTAACTATCTTTAAAGAATATAAGCACAGATTATTTTTATTTAATTGCTGAAAATGAGATTTACTGAATTTACAAATATTAGTTTTCTTAATCGATTTCTACTTTTACCATATCTCCTTTTCTAAAATCAAGCTTAGAATCTCCAAACATTGAAGGGATGTAAATCTCTGTTGAGAAGTTATACTTTTTGAGACACTCTTTCATTTGTGAATTTAAAGATTGAAGGGTTCCAGTTACCCCCAAAATAGCTGAATAAGTATCTGGCAATAATGCATAAGAAATATGTCCACAATGTAAATTTAATTAAGTTTTTTATTTAAGTGTTTAATCATTTATATTTCCTTTGGAATTTTCAAGGAAATATGCAAAGAGAGTTAAATAACCATAATAAAATTTAAAATCAATTGTTGAATCGATTTATTTATACCCAATTAAATTATTTCTCACTATATAATCTTTTTAATTTTTATGCAATTCTACTTGATTCACATCTTAAGCAAGTTTATTAATATGTCTTTTGAAAAGTCTTTCAAATTTTGGATATTTAATCATTAATTCTTTATAGCTAGAACTTTATTCAATATTCGTTATAATGCTTGATTTTTATTATCCTTTCGAATTCCAAATTTCTGTAATAATATTTTTTATTTCTTCAACCTCATACTTTACTATAGGATTCTAAGTTTATCCATAATAATCAAGATTGAAAAAGATATCTACTTCATCTATTAACAAGATTTTATAATTTGTAGTATTTTATTTTGTGTTTTTGTTATTATCTAAAGTTTATGAATTTACTATATCTAAGGTAGCTTGCCTAATATTGAAATTATTATTTATGTATTTTTCTACTTATTATCTAAAAGTTCCATATTTAATTTTTTCAGAAACTCCAAAGGAGATAAAGAGGTTACGAAAGTCTTTATCATCTCTCTCTGAAAGGTAGTTACTATAGCAAACTACATCAACCTCACAGCCCAATAAAGCAAGTATTATAGAGCAAAAGCCTAATGTGATTGATTTTCCTTCTCCAGTCAAAATCTCAATCAATTAATTATTCAACTAAATTTAGCTTTCATACTAAAATTAATTTTTAACTCCTTACCAAAACCCAGCTTCTTTATGAATTCCTAAAAGCATTATAATGCTAATTATTTGAGTATGGTTTGGTTTTTTAAAGATATTTTTTTTATCTTACTTTTATTTTCCGCTTTCATTTAGAGTCCAATATGCACAAATTTGAGCAAGCAAATGTAGAATTTCATTCTTCTATTTTTTGCTATGAAGATTTATTTATTTAGATAATTATCTTACATTGTCTACAATTTCCTCCCATTTATCTTCATCATATTTATATTATTGAATTGTATCTTCATATTTTTTTAAGTAAGTATCATAACACTATTTTAGCTATTCCTTTAAATTGCCATCTAAATATTATTTGATTTTTCCACTTTCGCATTATTACAATTTGCCAAGAATGTAATTAATGTCATGTCTTCCTACTAATTCGTTAAATTAATCAATCCTATAAGACTTAAACTAAGGTATTTAGTTCACAATTTGAGCCCCAGAAGCATTTTGTTTGAGAATATTACCTAATTAAAAAACTAATTCTTCTCCCATAGTTTACTTTATGATTACAAAAGCTTCAAATAACTTTACTTCAACAACATAGCCAAACTTACTCACTTATTCAGAAACTTTTTGAATATTAATTAAAAATTAACTTAATTCTTAGGTTTTCTTAATAGTTGAAAATCTTTTTACGAAGATTTTAGATTTCATGATCTAATTTATTATTAAGCTCATTTAAAACTATTTGCATTTAAGGTTAATAAGGATATTTATCTATGCTTTTTAAATACTCATCTGCATTATAAATTTTATTAATCAAATCATTCGTCTTTTAGTCATAAGTAAAACTAGCTTTCACTGCTATTAGAGCTTATCCTGTTATTTCATTAACCTTTTCCTCAATTTGTTTAAACATCGAACTAATATCAAAGAATTCTATATTAAATAGTTTATTCATTTTATATGATTTAGTTATGCTAAAAATGATTTCTTTAACTTTTTAGAAGTCGCAATCTGCCAATGCAGCTGTAAAAGCTAACTTGCTGCGATTAAAATGGTCTTTTATAAGATCTATGAGCTTATCGAGGTTCAAAATTTAAAGACCAATTTCTCTTATTTTTTTAAGTTCATCAGACTAATCAAATAATTAAGGTTAGACCTCTAGGATTTAGTTTAGAACTTAGAATTTTTTCAAATTATTATATAAGGTTTTATCAACTTACATTTTCTCCTTAATTTATTGTTGAGCATAAAATATTTTTTGTAGTTCTTAGTATACCTTTTGTAAAATACTTTTAAACATTTAAAAAAGATCTTCTTTAAACTTTATTGACTCTGCTCCTTAAAAATGTTCTTTTTGAATTATTTTTAAAAATTATTGATACTTGAATAAATCAATTAAATGTTATTATGTAAATTATCGATCGTTGTTGTTCAGAACAGAATCACATTTATCAAATAGCCTCTATGAATTTGTAAATATACAATTAATAAGTTTTTCTCTTAAAGTTTTTTGTTAACTCTTCTACTCATCGTTTAAAAATTTTATTATTATTTCCAAGTTGCTAAAGGCAGTAAAATAATTAAACTAGAAGCTCGCAATTTCTATTTAGGGGAATTGTTATTCAATTTAATTGACAGCTTACCAAATCACATCAAAAATTTTAAAAATCAATTTATCGAGAAACTACTTATTTTTCTCTTAAATATTTTGAAGATATTTAATAGCTTTATCATATTCTCTATTAATCAATAATTTTTAAATTTCTAAATAACTTTTGTTAGATTTTTGATCTATTTATTTATCTATTTAATCTATTCTTTTTTAAAAATTAAAATTATTCAATTACTCAATATCTTCTGCTTTCTAAGCAAAATCTTTCAAGTATTCTAAATCAGTCAAAATATCCTTATTTTTTATTTTATTTTTAATACTCTTTTCATATTACTCAAAATCTGAATTAACTTTTTATAAGGAATATGTTATCTCTTGTTAAAATGTCTCTGAAAAATCTGGATAGAGTTTTTAAGCTTCATTTAGTCTTTAAATCAAATTTAAAAGATACTTTAACTCTTGCTAATCATGAAGACTTAAAATAAGCTTTCGAATTACCTCTTTCAAATTCTCAATTTTTGATTGAAAATTCCAATCCTTTAATAGGAAAATTTCATTAAATTCACCCATCAGCTTTAAGGTTTAGATTAATTATTCATATTGCTTTTCCATTTCTTAAAATTTTAGTAGTTTTATATTTCTGGAAATCTTTTCCTTTTAGTCATTCATGAATTTTGAGTTAAAGTTATCCATAAAGGAATTTATTTCAACCCTTGATTATTAGTAAAGATTACTCTTATATTTCTAGAATAGCCTTAATATTTATTATAAAACCCTCAAATTTTTTCGAATATCATCTGAAAAAAAACTATTTTTAACATTAAAGTGATTGTTTACTTGTTATATTTCATATTTGAAATTGTCATATAATTTTAAAAATGCTTTATCTAAATCTTATTTATTTTAATTGTTTTAAAGCTGATTCAATAATTCTATTTATTAATCTAAACTCTAATAATCTTCATTTTTTATCAAATTATCAAGGTTCTTAAATTCTTTTAATATAATCTTTATTGGTGAAGGCAAATTTTAAAATTTCTCCTCTATGAAATCAAATTCCCTTATCCTTAAGCTATTGACAAATCTCTAAATTCCCAAATAGCTCCCTTATATTTCTTAAAGGTTATTTTTTTATTCTTTCTTTTAAGTGTAATCCCTAACCATATCATTATAAACTTTTTAAATCAAAACAGTAAATTATTCAAAAGTGAGTTATTTGTTTAAGAATGAATTAATATGTTGATATTCTGTAGATATTAATTTAGCTTTTTTAATAAAATCAGTATAAATTGAGTAATCTTCTTATTTTAAATTTGGGTAAACTTATGGTTTTGCTAAATTCTTAATATTTTAGAAATTTTCATCGAAATTTGTCTCAATTAATTACTTAATATCATTTAGTTCGGAATCTCCTTGAACATTAGTAATATTGCCTAAAGTCTGAATCTTTAACAAGAGCAATATATTCTAATTTAATTTTTCCAAGCAGCCACTATTAAATTAATTTTATCCTTTCAGATTATCAATAAATATTTGTATTTGTTTTATCAACTCTGATACTTTTTTCCTCACTGAATCTATGCACATTTGTTTTTGTTCTTCGTAGTTTGTAAGTATATCTTTAAAATCTTTCATACAGCTCATTCTGTATAGGAATTAATTTATTTAGAAAAAATTATTATTTTTTATCAAGTTAAAAATATTCTCCTTACACTTCTCAAGATATGTATTTAGATTTCTAATTGTTTTATTTATTCTATTTGATATTAACTTTGTACAAAAAATGGCATCTGCCCAAATCATATTACAAAGAAAATTGTATACCTTAAACAATTTATCAAAGTCTTTTTTTTACTTTTATTAAAAGTTTTTTAATTCTTCATTATTTGATTTTTTTGATTTAATAAAATAATCATCATCATTTTCATCTTATTTGTTTTCTTCTTGAATTTCCTCTAAATATTAATACAGTATTCTTTCGGCCTCCTTTGCCTTTTTTTAAATTTTTTCTTTTATTTCACCCATGATTTATCTATATTCGTCAGCAGTTTTGCCTAAAATCAATTCATCTTGATTTCTAATTTCGTTTATTATTTTTAAGATTTTTTATAGCTTGTACAAATTAGAATCATCTTAAAAATTTTCTTTGATAAAATTAAATATATAGAGATTAAATTCTTTTAAATATGAAACAGCATCATTATATAAAATCTCGCAGTCTGGAATATATTCAGAATATTTGCTATTCTAGTTTTATATTTTGAGTATGCTAATTTCAAAATCTGGTAAAATCTCTATTTTAGGATTAAAGAACAAGATAGAATCATCTACAGAGGGTTATTTCTAGATATCTTCCTTAATATATTAAATTATTTTCTTTAGATTTGATAATAGCTCTTTATTTTGTTCCAAATTAAACTGAACAACAGCATGGTAGTAATTTTCGTCTTTCTCTAAGATTAAATCGCTAAGAAATTCTTCAATATTTTTTATAAAGCCAATTTTTGAAGCTATATTGGTTAAGGTGTCTTTGATTAATTTAATATCTAATTATTCTGGCCTTTTGTAAAATTATTCAGACAAATCTTTCAAATCTGTTATTTCTAACTGATATTTATCCCTTATTTCTTTTTAGGTTTAATTAAATATTTACTCACCTAAAGAAGTTTAATGTGAGAAGTCTTTCAGCTTTTATAGATCAGTCTTCACATTTTCGATGTTTTCAGGGAAATATTTTATTATCCTTTAACTCATCTATAAGCAAACTCCTTCAATCTCTTATTTGAATCCATCTACGTTTGCGGTAAATTAGCCTTCTTTAAAAACTTCAGCTTAAAATTAACCAATAATTTTTAAATATTCAATAATATCTCGTATTTCTTTAATGTTTTAGTGGGAAAATATGTTACTTTTTTCAGAAGCTTCTTGAAAAGCCTCCATAGCCTATTTTTTTTATTCCTCAAAGGTTCTTATAATTTCGTCCTATTATTCTTGGTATGAATTTTACAAGTCTTTATCACCTGTATAGTCACTTATTTACTTGAATTCAACCATTCTTTACATGATTTCCATATAAATTTCCTTATTATTAAGATTTTACTATATATTTAGTTTCCTCTACATATAATTATAATTTTTATTTTGCGCTTTCTGAAACACTAAAACAGAATTCTTCAGCAGGATTACTGAAAGATTTATGGCTAATGATCTTTTAACATAATAACTGATGGTTTCTATCAATAGGATTTACAATTATTATTTCTTTATTGTTATTAAGTTATTGTAAAATAACGTTCAAAAAGCTTTTCATTATTTATGATTGGTAATTATTTTCTTTTTTGATAACATTATCATGAAACTCTAAAATCTCTTTAGTAATAGCATCAACATTCTTATCTTAAGGAAACTTAGTAAATAGAAATATTATCTTCTCAAATTATTCTTTTTCTGGCTTTTAAAGAATTCTATGTACTAATTTAAATACGTCTTCAAATAATTATCCTCTTTGAGCCACTAATTCATGATAGCTTACTAAGATAATCATCTTCATGCTTTTACAATTTTACATAAATTAATTTAAAGATTATGCATTAGCAATTTCAATTTCAGCACCACGATTATCAAAAAATCCAGGAGAATCGCACAAAAAATAATTTTCCTGTAAACAAGCTTTTTATAGCGTTGAAGTCTCTGACTATTTAGAGTATCCAATTGAAAATTTTCCATTTGAATTAAAAACTTAAGTTTAAATTTTATACGTTTAACCTTCTACTACTTTACATGTTTCAATATTTTCAATAAACATTTCAGAACCTAAAAGATAGTTAGCAGTAGTACTCTTTCCACTTCCAGTTGGTCCTGCTAATAAAATTATATCCTTATCCTTTAATTAGCTTTACTCTTATTAGCATTGCTTGAATAATTCTAACAATTTTTTAATGTCTAAATTCTATTCTCTATTCACTATTTCAGACTTATTCATTATTTATTTATTTATCAATCAATATATATTTGTTTTTATTTTCTTTTTAGAATTAAATTTTTTTTTATTTATTAATTTTTAATTTTCTTTTAATAAAATCAATCATATATAAATTCAGAAATACAAACAAACAAATACTCTAAATGAAATAGATAAAGCAAGACAAGACACAGTAAGTAAATTAGCAATACAATTTTTTAAAACTTTTTATAAATTTTACTATATCCCTTTATTATAATTAGAAGGGATTTAGATTACGTAATATAATTATTGCTAATAAATGAATTATTTATTAGGTTATACAAAGATACCATTGAAATATTTACATTATGACTTTTAAAAAACTTATCATTTTTTTTCATGTAATAAAACCAAACTTATTTGATGGTTTTTAAATCGAATTAATAAAATTGAAATTTCTTTCTTATTTATTATTGATTAAAATCATATTTTTCTCAAAATAGCGAGTATGTATTCTATATACCTTACCATATTTTGGAAAATACTTAATGTATGGATTTAGTTATGTTTCAGCAGCATGCATTTGTTATCTAATAAAAATAAAAGTGTCTTAACTAATTAATTCTCTTTTTTTAAATATATTAAATTTCTTTATAATATTTACGAAAATACTTAATTGATGGATTTAGTTATGCTTTAGGGTTATTTAATGAAAATAAAAATACCTTAACTAATTCTCTTTTTTTAAATATTTTAAATTCCTTTATAATATTTAAATATAGTTAATTGATGGATTTGGTTATGTTTTAAATGCCCTCGATCATATTTTCACAAATAATTAATTGATGATTTAGTTACATTTGGTCATATGTTACCTAAAGATATAAAAATAAAAGTGTTTTTTTTAATTATTTTTTTGTCGATTTAACAATTCAAAGTGTCAACCTTTTAAAAAAAATTAAAATATATTTTTTTACTAAGCAAATTAATTCAATCTTAAAGGGAAGTTTGTATATGAATTATTTAAGCTTTCTTACAAATTCACCAAAAAGTTCAATAATTTATTTTATATTTATAAAGAAAATTAGCTTGATTAAGAATATTACAATTTTGAAATACATGAATTATATTATATATATGAATAACATATATGACTCAGATGACGTATGAAATAATATCACTTAAATTATTAATCTTTTATTCCTATTAATCTAACAATAAAATCATAAAATATAATATTTGAGCTATTGGTATCATTACATATATATGCATCAAATTAACATTTAAAATAATTACAAAAAGGATAATATACTTTTCTTATATCATCTTTAATATCAGAATTTTTAAAAACTTTTAAATAAACATAGATTTCTCTTTAAAAGAGATTGATTTCCAAGATGAATAAGTAGATTATTTACTAATCTTATTAGCAACAAGTAAATTTAAAAAAAGGTTTGATAAATTTGCTTTATTAAAAGCTAGACTAGTTAAAAAAATATTGATTCTTTATACTTATCTTTGTGCGTTTGAGTAGATCTTTTAAAAAGAATTTCATGATTTTTTGTTTAAAATAAATACTTTTTAACCTGAAAAAAGCTAACATATATCTTTCTAAATTAGGTTTATCAATTTTATGTTTAAAAGGCCTCATTTATAAAAAGAATTACCATTTATTATGTTTATAGCAAATTAACAAATTAAATTTATGATTATTGCAAATAAAAAGATAGATATAAAAACATATCGCTTGAACATTATTACTTAAAATAGGAAGAATACCTAACAATTTTGGCAACAAAATTTATTAAAAGCAACAAATTAACATGGATGTTGGAGAAATAGATAAATTAAATAGATATTAGTTTAAACATGAAGGAAATGAGAAAAATGAAATCATACTTTGAATCAAAATCAATCATTTATTCAATCAAATCATTTATTTATTTTTTATTTAATATTCCTAAAAATGCAAAAAATGAAATAAAATTAAAAAAAAGGAGTTTATCAACAAGCAATTTGAGTTATTGAATAGCGATACCATAAAATAATGGATAAGAACAAAAATCCTGTTTAGCCCCAAATTTTAATATAAATTTAAAGATCGAAAACTCATTAAGTAAAATGAGCAAAACATAAGATAAAATTTTAGAGAGAAATGTAAATAGAAAACGATGAAAATTATATATTTGATACCATAAAAATACTCAAATTGTTTAAAATACTCCTTATTTTCCTGTTTCATTGATGACTAATTCATAATTTAGAAAATATTAGGATCATATAGAGAAATTGCAACAAACTTTTGAAGAGAATACAAAAAAATATATGTATGTGATTAGATTAGATTTTTAGAAAGGAAGAAAGTTGACTCAATATTGATTAAAGAATCTCTATTCTAACCACTCACTCCTGGGTTAGATGGTACTCCAAGCAAATAGAAATATGAGGCAGAAACGAATCACTTTCAAAAGCAAAGAATGAATATCAAAAACTTCAAAAGAAAGAATGGAGATATATAAGGCTATTCTAAATATAGCACTTTGCAATACTAAACATAATTATAGCTATTTATTAGCAATCATTTAAATAATATTAAGAAATAAACTTAAAAATTTATTTTCTGATATATTTTGATATATTAAAGAAAAATAGTATGGTATCAAAATATTTAAAAAATTTTGCACAAACTTAAAAAAATTGCTCTAATTTTAAAAATTCTTTAAAAATTATTAAACCTAACAATATTAATTAAAATGCCATTTTATTATAAATAAATATTCTAATAGACATAATTTATTTTTGAAATCGATAATAGAATATAAGAACATTTTTAATATTTGTATTAAAAAATTAATAATTTAGGAGAAGGAGTAAATAAATGAATTTATTTTATTAGTTTCCTGAATTAGAACAGTGTAAAAAAATTAATTTCATAATTATTTGATATTTATAAATTATTAATTTCTTAAAACAAACAAATATTTGTCTGTATTTAATTTATTCAGTACATATATTTGTTTGATGCTTTATTTTGATTATTTTAAGAATTATTTTATACATTCTATTTAAGATTTTTTATGACTTTTTGTTACTATTTAATCTTTTAAGTAATATCAGCTATGCTACTATTGATGATTTTATTTTGCAAATCTTTAAGTTTTGGCTATATTTCTTGTTAGATATCTTAAAACTCCTACTTGTATTATGCAGATTATACTTTTTTTTGAGATATTTCTAAGATTTTTTTTTGCCTATCATCTATTTTACTCTTCATACTTGAAAGCTTATTTTCAACATCGCTCTTTGTGCTTAAACCTTTAAGAATGTTTTGACCTTTTCTTTGAGCAGCTTTAAGAGCATTTTAATACTTTTCTTCTGAAATTTCTTCTAAAACAGATTATCTTTTATAGAGGTTTTCTTAATTTTACTTCTTTTCATTCAATTTCTATTTTTCGTTCTCAACTTTTAATAATGCCTCTTCAAAATCTCCATTAGTAACTAATGCCCCTACTAATGAAACTATCTAACCAGTAAGAGGGCAAAATACAGTCATTACAACAACTAAAACACTAAAAAAAGAAGACATTTTCTACTTTCTTTCTTCTTCTTTTTACTTAGTCTCACCTATTTTTTTTTCATTATCTGATAATTCTGAAATGTTCTGATTAGTATCTGAAATATCTGAAAGTAATATTTATTATTCTTAGTTAGCTTTTTCTTTATCACATAAACTTTCCTAAGCGATTTCGCTTTATTCTTATTACTCCTTCATACTTTACTCTATTTGCTAATTAGCCATACTCAAATTTGAATCTTCTTCTTGTTCAATTTTACTTTCTTCATTCAGCTCATTTTCAAGAACGTTTATGAGATCTTCGTACTCTTTTTCCTCATTTTCATATATTTGTTATTCTTTTAAGACCTCTGAAAACTCTTCTTCTAAAAATCCAAGCATTTTTTCATTGAGCTCTTGAAATGATTTTGCATTTTGATACTCATCTATCAGGACATCTAGCTTTTAATTTTCTTCTTCCAAGTTTTACTAGTTTTAATTATTCATTTTTGTTAGAATATCAATTTTTTATCTATTTAATATCTTTTTTAATAATTATTTCATTCAGCATTCTACATTTAGATTTATCAAAATATAAATCTCTTGCCATATGCTTTGAAAATAAATTATTTAGGCTCTTTATTGATTGTGATAAAGATTTATAATAAATAAATATTCTAATTGCAAAATATTATCTAAAATAGATCTTTAGCTATTAAATTTAAATTATTTATTAAATATTTTGTCTTATATCATCAACAATCTTTTAAGATTAGAAAACTATATAGGATATTATCCATATTTTTAATATCAATATAAATATATTTAGTACCCTATGGTACTACCTTTTTCAAGGCTACATACACGATTAATAACTTATTATCATATTTTGGGTCTTTTTATGATTTTTTTTGATTTACCAATTAGTTGTCTATTTCAGTATTAATTCTTATTATTAAGATACCTTTCTCATCCCAATCTTCGTTAAGTTTATCTTTATCTGCTGGTTTCACAAACGCTAGTGCATCTTTTACTGAAGATGATCATACAATGGTTCTATTATAGTATAGTCAGGAAAGTTGTAAAGCTACCTCCTAAGTTCTGATTCTTAAAAAACTAATGATAGAAACGAATTTAGCTATGAAAATTAATCTAAAAAGAATGCCATTGAAATAGTTAAAAGAAAGTTTTATCTAAATTAATAATATTTTATTCAAAATTTTCATACAATTTTAAGTATTTTTATAGTCATATTACAAATAAAAAAATATTATTCAAATTCATTATATATATCTTCGTTCCATTTAATTATATTATTTATTGCATATTAGTTTTATGTGTATTATACAATTTTAAATGGTTTCTTATGTGATTTCCTTCCAAATCTCTTAATTGTTCTAGATTATTTGTTATTTTGTTTGTATATCACTCAAAAGTAATCTTTTTATCCACTTTTTCTTCATTAATCCCCAGATAATCTCAATAGGATTTAGATCTGGGGACCATCCTGGAAGTTAAATGATCTCTATGCTATTTTCTTAGCAGAATTCTTTAGTAGCTCGCGAAGTATGAGCCCTAGCACCATCTTATAGCAATCTAACTTTTCTTCTGTAGTAAAACTTAGCTGATGGAGGAAAGAGTGATTCTTCTAAACAGGTCATATAAGCATCACTATTAATCGAAGATGAATATACGAATATTTCTGTTCTTCCTCGCATATATATTCCGCTCCAAATATGAATCTATCTGTTGATGTAGGATCTTTCTTTTCTTTCTATCACCCAATTATCGTTATTTTTTATCCATATTTTGGCTTTCGTTTCGTCAATCGTGAATATCGTTTCTTCGCTAAACCATATATTGCTGAAATCTGCATCAATCCATTTTTAACAGAAGTCCATTCGTGTTTACCTATTATCATTAGTCAATTCATGTACTACTTTGATAGGCTTTTTGGAATAATCTAAGTTCTTCATTATTGAATAGAGAGTGATCCTTTAGATACATTAATCTTGATCTTTGAAAGTTTTTGTTAAATTGAATCTAAAGATAAGTGAGAGTTCTCTTGTAAAATCGCATCAATTTCATTATCCATTCTTTCAGAATCTTATTCACACTTTCTGCCACAATTACTAAAGTTATTATTAACATTATTCTATATGGTGTATTTTTACCATATTTTGATAACTGTCCCTTCACAAAAATGAAATCTTAAAATTATAATGGAATCAAATATCAAAAAGTAATTTATACCATTATTTTAATTTAAGACGAAATTAAGGAATGCTTCCTCTCATTTAGATTATTTTCTTAAAAATTTAATTTTTGTATTAAATTTTTTGTATTCTTAACTTAACTTTAAACTAATTAAGTAAACATTGCATTTAAAATAATATTATATTATTAAAAAGCAATATTATGACCAATCTTGAGAAATTAAAATTTATTAAAACCTAAGTCTACTATCAAAAATCTTCCATAAGACATGAAGAAAAAAAACAATTTCCTCTTAGTCTATTCAAATCATCTAATCATAAAATATTTTTGATCCTTCAAGCCATATTTAATCTTTTTTCTAAAACTCCAAAAGAAAAAAAATAATAAAAATATATAACATTTAGATTGATCGATTCTTTTCGTTTTATAACAAAAATCATTTATAGATTTTTAAATATTGCTAACCAAAGTATTTAAATAATATCAACAATAGAATTATATTTTATTACTGGATAAAGGTTGATTTAAAATGAAAAAAATTGAAAAATATTTAGGCAAAAACAATTACATATAACTTACAATGAATGTTTTTTCATTGACAATTAGAAATAAATAAATACAAACAAATTGGACTATATTTAATTTATTTTAATATCAGTTATTAGATTTTATTTGACTATTTTGCGAATTTTCTTTAGCATTCAATTTAAGAGTTTTTACAACTTATTGCTACTATTTAATCTTTTAAGCAATATCAGCTAAGTTAGTGTTTTTGACTTTTTTTTGCAAATCTTAGAGCCTAGGTTATATGTCATTTTATATATCTTAAGACTCTTATTTATATTATGCACATTATGTTTTTTTTTGAGTGATATCTTAGATTTTGTTAGACGAATCTATCATTTTATTCTTAAGACTTGAAAGCCTATTTTCAACATCCTTCTTTGTATTTAAACCTTTTAGAATACTTTGACCTTTGCTTTGTGCATTTTTTAGAGCTTTTTAATATTTTTCTTCTGAAATCTCCTCTAAATCAGATTATTTTTAAAATAGGTTTTGTTCATTTTACTTTTTTTCATTCCATTTCTATTTTTCTCCTTCAATTTTTTTAAGTGCACCATCAAAATCTCCATTAGTAACTAATTCTCCTACTAATCCAACTAATGCACCAGCTATAGGGCAAAAAATAGAGACTATTGCACTTAAAAAACCAAAAAAAGAAGACATTTTCTTTTTTCTTTCCTCTTCTTTTCTCTTAGCCTCCTATACTTTTTTTTCATTTTCAGATAATTCTTCAATATTCTACTTAGTGTTTTGGATATCTTAAAGTAATTTTTATTTTTCTTAGCTAGCTTTTTCTTAATCATTTTTACTTTACTAAGCAACATTAGTTTCATCCTATTCCTCCTTCTTACTTTACTCTATTTGTTAATTAGCCATTTTCAGTTCTTAATTTTCTTCTTCTTCAATTTTATTTTCTTCGTTCAGCTCATTTTCAAGAGCGTTTATAAGATCTTCGTACTCTTTTTGCTCTTCTAAATATTTTTGTTATTCCTCTAATACTTCTGAAAACTCTTTTTCTAAGAATTCAAGCATTTGTTCATTGATCTCTTGAAGTTATTTTGCATCTTAATACTCATTTATGAGGTTATCTAATTTTTATTCTTCTTCCTCTATATCTTACTAATCTTAATTATTCATTTTTTTAGAATATCAATTCAATTTATTTATCTAATTAATATCTTTTTAATTTTTATTAAACTCTGTCTTTTACTTAATAGAATATAATAATCAATTTCTTTTACGATTTATAATAACCAATTTCTTTTTAGATTTGTTAAAAGTTAATCTTTGATAATAAAAGAAGATATCAAAATAAAATTCTTTTATTTTTTTCATAAATATTCTAATTGCAAATTTATAATCTAAAGTAGATCTTTCACTTTAATTAACATTACTAAATTGAATTATATTACTAATCTTATCATTATCTTTTACAACATAAAGTATTTGATAGCTTTTGATAAAAAAATAATATTGTAGATTATCCATTTTTTTTATATCAATAAAAACATAAATTTATTTTTTAATACTATTTATTTGTAAATCTAAAATAAATTTCATAAAAAACTACATATTGCAAATAAAAAGAAAGAACAAAATATATAAATATTTAGGGATTTATAAAAATAATTTGTTTAGTTCAACAGTTATCATTAATATAGCTAATAGCTTAATTGTATTTTTAATTTTTAATATTCTAAATATATTCAATACTTTTTTAGTGCAAATTAGCAGCTTACATTATATTATTTTCAATATTTGCATACATTTTATTTTCTTTAGCATTTCTTACTTCATTAAGATTAGCATAAAAAGACTTATTAATTTAATTATTTTTCCATTACTAAATTTGATAATCTTACAATCCAAAATCTTTTATTAAATCTTATTGATTTAAGATTAAGTAATATTATCCTTTTTAGCCTTGCCTTGCAGTTCTTCCTTTGATTTGGATTTCTTCTGTTTTGTTATCTGAAAGAAATGTTTAGATGACTACTACACCATCTGAATTATTTACATTAGGATCTAATGAAATAAAATCTGTTCCTCTCCCATATTCTCTAACAAAAAGTCCAATTTGACCTGACCTAGTCACTTTTTGAATTAAAAAATTAAAATCTTCACTACTTTCATGATCAGTAACTACAATGTACTTTTCTTTAGAAAAGCATAAATAATTGCTTTCATGATATTATAATAAAGATTAACTATCTTTAAAGAATATGAGCACAGATTATTATTATTTAATTGCTGAGAAAGAGATCTCCTGAATTTTCAAATATTAGTTTTCTAAATCTATTTCTACTTTTACCATATCTCCTTCTCTAAAATCTAGCTTGGAATTTCCAAACATTGAAGGGATATAAATTTCTGTTGAGAATTTATACTTTTTGAGACACTGTTTCATTTGTTAATTTAAAGATTAAAGAGTACCGGTTACCCCTAATATAGCTGAATAAGTATCTGGTAATAGTGCATAAGAAATATTTCCGCATTCAATATTTAATGAAATTTCTTTTTAAAGTGCCTAGTTATCTATATTTCCATTAGAATTTTCAAGGAAATATGCAAAAAGAGTTAAGTAATTATAACATGTACTGAAAGAAATTGTTGAATCGTTTTATCTATACCCAATTTAATTATTTCTAACTACATAGTTTTTATTTTTTTTATGCTATTATACATTATTCACATCTCCAGCAAGTTATTTAATATGTCTTTAGAAAAGTTTTTCATATGCTGGATATTTGTTGATTAATTGTTTATAGCTACTACTTTATAAAATATTCGTAATAATGCTTGATTCTTATTTTCCTCTCTAATTCCAAATTTCCTTAATTATATTTACTATTTCTTAAGTCTAAAAACTTACTGAAGGATTGTAAGTTTTTCCATAATAATCTAGATTGAAAAAGATATCTACTTCATCAATTAACAATATTTTATTATTGATAGTATTTTGTAAAGGATTTCTGTTATCATTTTACCTGCTTTAATTTATTATATTTAAGGTATTTTGCCTAACATCTAAATAGCTTTCTAGGTATCTTTCTGCTTATTATTTAAAAGTTCCATATTTGATTTTGTCAGAAACTCCAAATAAGTTAAAGAGCTTACGAAAGTCTTTATCATCTCTCTCTGAAAGGTAGGAACTATAGCAAACTACATCAACCTCACAACCCAACAAGGCAAGTGTTAAAGAGCAAAATCCTAATGTGATTGATTTTCCTTCTCCAGTCAAAATCTCAATCAATTAATTTTTAAATTAAATTTAGCTGCCTCTTGAAAAGTAATTTTTAACTCCTTGCCATAATCCAATTTCTCTATGAATTCCTAAAAGCATTATAATGCTAATTATTTGAGTATGGTTTGGTTTTTTAAAGATATCTTTTTTGCCTTACTTTTATTCTCCGCTATCAATTAGAGTCCAGTACGCACAAATTTGAGCAAGCAAATGTAGAATTGTATTCTTCTCCTCCCATACTTTTTTATTTGGAAGATTTATTTATTTAGATAGTAATTTTACACAGTCTACAATTTCTTCCCATTTATTCTTAATGTATTTATATTTATCAATTGTTTATTCATATTTTTTTAAGTAAGTTTCATAATACTATTTTAGTTCAAGCTTTAATTTAGCATCTAAAGGTTATTTGACTTCTCCTCTTTCAGATTATTACAATTTGTCAAGAATATAATTGATGTCATGTTTACCTACTTATTCATTAAATGTATCAATCCTGTAAGAATAAAACTAAGGTATTTTGCTCACAATCTGAGCCCCAGAAGCATCTTGCTTTAGAATATTACCTAATTCAAATATTACATCTTCTCCCAAAGTTTACATTATGATTTCAAAAGCTTCAAATAACTTTTTATCAACAATTTAAGTGAATTTACTCACTTAATCAGAAATTTTTTGTAAGCTAATTAAAAATTGGCTTAATTCTTTTAGGTTTGATTAATACATAAAGCTCTATTTAGGAAGATCAGAGATTTCTTGATCTAATTTATTAGTAAGCTCTTTTAAAACTATTTAGATTTAAGGTTCATAAGGATATTAATCTATGCTTTTCAAATGCTCATCTGCATTATAAATCATATTCATTAAATCATTCATTTTTTAGTCATAAATAATACTAGCTTTCACTATATTTAGTGCTTCTTGCACTATTTGATTAACCTTTTACTCAATTTTTTTTAGCATGGAATTAATGTCGATGAATTCAGTATTAAATTCTTAATTTATTTAAGAGTATTTCCTTATGCTAAAAATGATCTCTTTAACTCTTTAGAAATTGCAATTTTCCAATGCAGTTTAAAAAGCTTAATCGTTGCTTTCAACATTTTTTTAAATTTCCTTTACTAGTTAATCGTCATTCAAAATTTGAAGACCAATTTCTTTTATTTTTTTAAGTTCTTCAGATTATTCAAACAATTAAGGTGAGTCCTTTAGGATTTGATTAAGAGCATTGAATTTTTTCCAATTTTTATTTAAGGCTTGATCAACTTACATTTTCTCTTTAATTAATTGTTGAGCCTATTTTACTTTTAATAGTCCTTCTTTTACTTTAACTAAAATACTTTTAAAAAGATCTTATAAAGGCTTTGCTTACTCTGCTCCTTAAACCGTCTCTCTTTGAATTACTTCAAAAAATGAGTGATGTTTAAATAGATTTATTAAATTTTAATATGTAAACGATTGATCATTGTAGATCAGAATTTTATCGCATTCCTCAAAGAACTTCCTTGATTATGTAAATATATGAGTAATAAGTTTAGTAATTGTTGTTTCATGTTGAAGATACTCATCTTAATTTACAAAGTGTTTTATTATTTTCAGGTTGTTTAAGGCAGTTAAAAAAGTATTCTAGAAGCATGAAACTTCTATAAAGGGGAATTGGTCTTTAATTTAATCTGTAGCTTTGGATATCATAATTTACATATTTTTTATTATTCTATCGAAAAACTGCTCATTTGCCTACTTAATTTGTAGAAGCTGTTTTTTAGCCTAGTCATAATCCTTTTTAACCAATAAATTTTAAATTTCTTAATAATTCTTATTTGATTCTTCATATATTTCTTCTTCAATTTAAAATAGTTTAACTTAAAAATCACAATAATTCAATTATTCAATATTTTCTGCTTTCTAAGCAAAATTTTTCAAAACTTTTAAGTCAGTTTTAATAAAGCTATCCTTATTTTTTATTTTATTTCTAATGCTCGTTTCATAATTATTAAATACTAACTTAATTTCTTATTGGGAATTTTGTAATTCTTGTTAAAATGTCTCTGAAAAATCTGAAGGGTGCTTCTAAGCTTCATTTAGTCCTTAAAGCAAATTTAAAAGATATATTAACTCTTTCGAAAGATGATGAAGATTTAAAATAGACTTTGAAATTTCCTCTTTTATGTTTTAAATTTCTGAGCTAAAAGTATTCCAATCATCTTATTAGAAAATGTATTTAAATTCACTCAAGCCAGTAAAAGTTTACATTAATTATTCGTATTACTATTCCATTTCTTAGAATTTTAGTTGTTTTATTTTACTAAAAATCATTTACTTTTAAGACTTTATGTAATTTTACCTAAAGATATTCAAAAAAATATTTAATTCATTACGAGATTATTAGTAAAGCTGATTCTTATATTTCTCGAGCACTCTTAATATTTCAGATACAATCTTCAGATTTTTTCTAATATTCTCAGAGAAACCTCCATTTTATTTAAAATAAAAATAACTCTTTACTTATTATATTTCATTATAGAGCTTGTCGTATATTTTTTAAAATGATTTATCTAAAGCTTATTTATCAGTATCGCTTTTAAGTTGGCTCAATAAGTATATTTCTGAATCTAGGTTCTAAAAATCTTCATTTTTTATCAAATTTTCAAGGTTCTTAAATACCTACTATATAGTCTCTTTTGGTCTAGGCAAACTTTTAAATTTCTCTTTTAAGAAATCAAATTCACTCATGCTTTAGATAAATCTGTTAATTCTATCATAGCTCCCTTAAATCTCTTAAAGATTCTCAATATATTCTTTCTTAGAAATGTAATCAGTGACCATCTCATCGTAAACGTTTTAAACCAAAGCCATAAGTTATTCAAAAGAGAATCTTTTTAAAAGCGACTTAATATATTGATATTCTATATTTATTAATTTCGCTTGTTTAACAAAATTAGATTAAATTGTGAAATCTTCGTCATTTGGGTTAACTTTAGCTCTTGATAAATTCTTTATTAATTGGAAATTTTCTTCAAAATATGTCTAGATTAAACACTTGATTTCAATTAGTGAAGAATTAGAATCTCCCTTGACATCAGCAATCTTGTCTAAAGTCTCAATCTTAGACAAAAGCAATATATATTAATTTAATTTTTCCCAGCCTTCACTATTAAATATATTATCTCCTCTCTTACAACTAATAAATTTTTTTATTTGTTCATTCAACTCTGATACTTTTTTCTTCACTGAATCTACACACATCTGATATTGTCCTTCATAGTTTTTAACTACATCTTTAAAAACACTAATGCAACTTATTCTTAAAAAGACTTTTTTTATTTAACAGAATTTATCATTTTTGATCAAGTTAAAAACATTCTACTTGCACTACTCTAAATATTTATTTAACTTTACTTCTAGTTTATTTATGCTAGTTTATGTAAATTTTGTTTAAAAATATTAATCTGTCCAATGCATATCACTAAGAAAATTGTATGCCTTCAACAACTACTTAAAGTCATTTTATTACTTTAATTTAAAGTTTTTTACTAAATCATTTGATTTTATTGAATTAATATCATCTTCATCTTCTTCTTCGTCACAGTTGTTTTCTTCTTCTTCAATTTCCTATAAATATTAATTTAAAATTTTTTTAGCTTCACGAGCCTTTTTATTAATTTTTTGTTTTATTTCATCCTTGATTTATCTATATTCGTCAGCAGTTTTACCTTAAATCAAATCATCTTGATTTCTGATTTCGTCTAATATTTTTAAGATATTTTATAGTTTATGCAAATGAAAATCTTCTTAAGAATTTTCTTTGATAAAATTAAATACTTGTTAATTAAATTCTTTTAAATGTAAAAGAGCTTCATTATATAAAATCTCGCAGTCTGGAATATATTCAGAATATTTGCTATTCTAGTTTTATATTTTGAGTATGCTAATTTCAAAATTTGGCAGGCACTCTAATTAAGGATTAAAAACAATCTCAGAGTCATCCATAGAGGGTTATTTTTAAATCTCTTCAGTAATATCGGCAATTATTAACTTTAGATTTGATAACAGCCCATTATTTTTTTGCTTATGTAACTGAACTATAGTTTCGTAAAAATTTTCGCCTTCATTTAAGATAAAAGCTTTGAGGAATTTTTCAATTAATTTTATAAAGCCAATTTTCTAAGCTATATTGGTTACACTATCTTTGATTGAGTTAACCTCTAATTATTATGTCCTTATGTAAAATCTTTCAGACAATTATTTCAAGTCTTCTATTTCTAACAAATATTTATCCCTTATTTCATTTTAGGTTTACTTATATATTTACAAACCTAAAGAAGTTTAATCTGAAAAATCTTTTAATTTTTATAGATTATTCTTAACATTTTCGATGTTTTAAGGGAAATCTTCAGTTATCCTTTTACTTATCTCAAAGCAAACTTGTTCAATCTCTTATTTGAATTGATTTTCGCTAGTTTTAAATTAGCCTTATTCAAAAACTTCAGCTTTAAATTCATCAATCATTTATAAATATGAAATAATATCTAGTATTTCTTTAATATTTTGGGAGGAAAATATGTTGCTTTATTCAGAAGCTTCCTTAAAAGTGTTAAAAGCCTAGTTTTTTTATTTTTCAAAGATTCTTACAATTTCTTTCGATAAATCTTGATATGAATATAACAAAAATTCATTCCCTGTATAGTCCCTTATTTACTTGAATTCAACCATTCTATTCTTTACTTCCATATACTTTCCATATTATTATTATTTTAATATAATTTTGCTCGTCTCCTCTGTGTATAACTTTATCTATTAATTTGCATTTTCTGAAACACTAAAGCAAAATTCTTCAGCAGGATTACTGAAAGATTAATGGCTAAGGATCTTTTAAAGTAATAACCTATGATTTCCATCAGCAGGATTTACAATTACTAAATTACTATTGATTTTAAGTTAATTTAAAATAACTTTCAAAAAGGTTTTCATTGTAAATGATTCCCTATCTTCTTCTTAGTTTTTCATAATATCAAGAAAATCTAGAATCTTACTATTAATAGTTTTAAAGCTTTTATCATTAGGAACCTTAGTAAATAGAAATATTATCTTTTCAAATTACTCTTACTCTGGGTTTTAAAGAATTCTAGTTACAAGTTTAAATATCTCTTAAAATAATGCTCCTCTTCGAGCCTCTAATTCAAAAAAGCTTATCAAAACAACCATTTTCACACTATTGCAATTCAACATAAATTACTTTAAAGAATATGCATTAGCGATTTCGATTTCAGTACCACGATTATCAAAAAATCCAGGAGAATCGCACAAAAAATAATTACCTTGTAAATGAGCTTTTTACAGTGTTGAAGTATGTGATTTTCCAGAGTGCCCAATTTCAAATATTCCATTTGAATTAAAAACTTCAGTTTCACTTTAATAGATTTCACCATCTACTTCTTTCTCTATTTCAATCTTTTCAAAAAACATTTCATAACCTAAAAGATAGTTAGCAGTAGTACTCTTTCCGCTTCCAGTAGGTCCTGCTAATAAGATTATATCCTTATCTTTTAATTCGCTATAGTCTTATTCGTATTCCTAGAATAATTCTATCAATTTTTTGGCATCTAAATTGTTTTCTCTATTTGATATTTCTGGCTGATTCATTAATTTATAAATATTCGTATTTTTTATTTAGTATTTATTTTTTGATATATATTAATTTTTATAGGTTATTGATAAAATCAATCATATATAAATTGAAAAATACAAAAACCCTAAATGAATAGATAAAGCAAGACAATTTTTATAAAACTTTTTAGAATATTAAGAATGCAAAACAAAATTTTTATATTTTTATTATTCCTTTCTCCTAATTAGAAACGGAAGGCTTAGATTATGAAATGCAATTATTGTTAATTAATCAATGATTTATGAAGTTATACAAAGAAAGTATTCGAATATTTATATTATGATTTTTTTAATACATATTATTTCCAAGTAAATACACCCAATTTATTTTGCGGTTTTTAAATCGTAATTAAAAGATACGCAGATTTCCTCTTCTTTTAGTTTCTATTAATGGTTTATTTTTAATAATAGATACTAAATTTCTTTCTTTTAAAATGGTTATTTCTTCTTTAATATCATTCAAATTATAATTTTCTGAAAATAGTGCGTATGTATTCTAAATGCCTTGATTATAATTTCGAAAATAATTAATTGATGGATTTAGCTATGTTTCGGTATTTGCTATCTAAAAAAGTAAAAATAAAAGTATTTTATTTAATTGCTTTTTTTGGTCGATTTAAACAATTTAAAGTATGCTTTTTAAAAAAATGATATACTTTTTTTAGTAAAAATCTTAAATGGAAATGTCTGTCAATTAAAATTAGAATTATCTAAATTTTCATACAAATTCATCAAATAAGACATTAACTTGTATTAAAAGAATATGGAAAATTAGCACTATCTATTTAGAATATTTTATTTTTTAAATGCATGAATCTAACTTAATATATATCAGTCAGATGACATCGTATCTATATATTCTAATATCACTTAAATTATTAAATTTTTATTTGAATATTAATCTAACAATAAAATCATCCATCAAATATTTTGCTTGAGCTATAGGTATCATTACATATATATATATTTGCAATTAACGTTTAAGATAATAATAAAAAGGATAATATACTCAGCTTATATCTTCTCTTTAATATGCTAGAGCCTTTGAAAAACTTTTTAATCAATGTAGATTTCTCTTTATAAGAGATTCCGAACCAAGATGAATAAATAGGTGATATTTACTAATCTTACTTTCAAACAAGTAAATTTTCATAGAATGAAATACAAATTTGTTTTACTGAAAGCTATAGACTAGTTAAAAAACATATCGACTCTTTACATTTTACTCTTGATTCGTTTGAATAGAGCTTTTAAAAAGATTTTGATGATTATTTCTTGAAAATAAATACTTTTTTACCTAACAAAGAGCTAACATACATCTTTCTAACCTAGGTTTATCAATTTAATGTTTAAAAGCTTTAATTATAAAAAGTATTAACCATTTATTTATTATATTTATAACAAATTTACAAATTAAATTTATTAATAAAGCTAATAGATAGATATGAAAACATAGAGCTTGAACATTTTTGCTTAAAATAGGAATACCTCTAAATTTTAGCAACAAAATTAGGTTAAAGCAATAAGCTGACATGTATTTTGGAGGATTAGATGAAATAACTAGAAAGGTTTAAAGAATAAGAAAATAAGTTCTTGTAGGATATGAGAAAGATGAAATCATAATTTGAATCAAAAGTAATTATTCAGTCAATCAAATCTTCTACTTATTTACTATATATTTAATACTTGTAAAAATGCAAAAATGAAATAAAATTAAAAAAAAGGAGTTTGTCAGCAAGCAATTTGAGTTATTTAATAGCGATATCAATAGAAAAATGGATAGGAGCAACAACCCTGTTTTGCCAAATTTTTATATAAATTTAAAAATCGCAGACTCATTGAGTAATATGAGCAAAGTCTAATTTTCTGAAAAATTTATTGATTAGGCATAAGATAATATTTAGACAGAAATGGAAATAATAAATGATCAGAATTATATGCTTGATACCATTAAATTACTCAAAGACGTTTAAAGTACATTTTATATCCCTGTTTCAATGATATCTAATTCCAGAAACAACCACTAGCTCTTAATTTAAAAAATATTGGGATCTTAGAGAGAAGTTGCTACAAACTTTTTCGAGGAGAAGACAAAAAAAATATATGAAGGTGATTTAATTGGATTTTTAGATAAGAAGAAAGTTGATGAAGATATCGTTATTCTGACGACACCTGGGTTAGATGATACTCCAAGCAAATAGAAATTTGAGGCAGAAATAAATTCCTTTCAAAAGCTAAGAATGAATATCAAAGACTTCAAAAAAAAGAATGGAGATATAAAAGGCTATTCCAAAAAATTGAAACCATCCGAAAAAGAATAAAAAGAAGATAGATCTTAGCTTATGACAATATTTTAACTGATGAAGAAAGCCATAATGTGTTTTTATTTGATTTGCTAATCAAAAACCATTTTCGTTGTACTTCAAGACAATGAATAGGATTTCGCCTTATATTAGTAAATAAAGCTAATTTGTAGCAATTTCCTTGGAGCCGAAAAATAAGATAAGGAAATAAATTTCATTCATTTTTACTCTTAAATTTCTGATATTAAAAGTGAAAAAGCAGAATTTTAATTCCAGAAAATCAAAGCTAAATTCAATTTTAAAGACACTTCTAGCGATTTTAAAAATGAAAAATTTATGAAATTTGAAGAAGAAGAATAAGAAGATTTTGATAGTTACTATAGAAATAAACTTGGTTAGAATATTTAATTCTATCATTTGATGGTTTTTGGAAGCTTTGAAAGTAATTATAATGAGCAGCTATTTGAGAAAGTCAAAAAAGATATAAAATCTACTAAATGCAAACAAATTGTCCCAAATTAGATAGAGTAGCATTTTAAAAAAAATGTATACAAAATTCTTACATATTTCTTTGAATTTCCTAAAGAATAAGAAAATGATTAACAAGAAAACTAAGTATTTTAATTTAAAGAAATATAAAAAAAAGTTCAACAATAGTAAAACGAAATAAATGATGATTATGATTTTGATTAATTATTAGAAAATTAATTAGATTGGAAAGATTTAGTGTTTTATCCATTTAGTTTTTTGACACCAAACCCAATCAATTAACAAAATTGATTGAAATTTAATTTGAAAGTAAAAAAAAAAAGTATTTTATTTTTTTAATTTTATACCATATTTTCTATCTAAAAAATAAAAATTAATAATAATTCCAAAATTCTTTTATTTAATTAAGATATTTAAAGCAGTCCTGTGAAATTCTGTATGTTTTACTTTTACATTTTTCTATTAAAAGCTTATGTATGAAAAAATAAATAATCAAGGAATATCTTTTTATTTTTATTAATTAGATATGTACATATATTTTAAAATGAATATTCACACTTTAGTTTTTTTCATTATTTATTATTACTATTGAATTTCAGTATATTTATGTATGTATAACAACACCTCCCTAAAATAAATTTATACATCAAATGCAAATGTATGTGATGTTAAAAATATGCAATAGGTAGGTGGTGTTATTAATAAACAAATTGACCCTATTATATTGATCAAATTAATAGAGTAATATAAAAATCAATATTGTTAAATAAAAAGTATCTTTTATTTATTTATTTATTTGAATTTTTGTTAACCTTTTCAGAAAATAAAAATATTTATTTTAGAAACGCCAAAACAAACAAATAAACATCTCATCAACTAAAATACATGAATAAAAACTGTAGAATATATTTGTAAATGTTATTGTATAATTTATCAATTAAGAAAAAGATGGCTACCTATTTTATTTAATTTTTATTCTTAATTAGATAGATAGATGTAGATATTAGTATATTTGGTGTTTTTGACTTTTTTTATAGTTTAATAACATTCATTAATTTGTTTGATTAAAAACCTAAAAAAAACAATTAAAAATAGTTAAAGATAGTTAAAAAAGGTAAACTAATAAAAATGGAAATAATAAGCTCAAGCGATTTAGAAGAAGAAAAAGAATATTATGAAAAGCTTATTATTCTGCTGGGACTTAATGATGAGTTTAAATTGTAGAATTTAAGATTCTTAACACGAGTTCGAGAAATCTAAAGCTCATAATCTATATTGAAATTAAATAATTAACGCTAATTAATCAGCTATCCAATGAAAGATGACTTAGACTTAAAAACGAAAATAATATTATGGAACTAAATAAATGACTTATTGAAAGAGAAATAGCTATTGTTTGCTCTAATTCTTGATGAGGACAAACTCTTTTTATCAGAAGAGAAGGAGCTTAGTGATTACCTTGAAAGCTAACTTTTGTCTTTAAACTATATTTCTGATGTAAATCTCTTCCTATAGCTGAAAATATTAACTATTATTGTATCTCCGATTGGAGTAAAGCAAAGAAATAACATGAATGAAGAAATGTTTAATAAACAAATAAAACTATTAAAAGAATAAATTTGCTAAATATACTGGAAAAAACAACCTAATATTTTCAGAACCTTTTTATATTACCTAATTTAAATTTTCTCCGCTAAAGGATCATACTTAAGATTTTAGTAATAATAGCCATTAACAGAATAGCTTTTAGAAGAACTCTATTCACAGTAAACTGTAGATTCAATTGAATTTATAATCAATCCTCCTGATGATGTTTAAGATTAAATGATGAAGGACTGTTTAGAACAAATAAAATAGTTAAAATTAGAAGAATGCAATTTTGACTAGTTCAAAAATTTATTTTGCTAAATTTCTTCTTATAAATCAAATATAAAAATACAAGAATTATATAACGAAATAATTTAAACTTTTCAAATTCCAGTATTAGATCTGATAGAATAACTAAAAATTAATGGAGGTTTTCTATAACAATACAATAGTTTACTTGAATAAATAAAAACGCTTGAAATGTTTGAATAATATCTATCAAGTTTTAATTTTACAAAGATTATAAAAAGTGATGATTATGTCCAAAGCATTTTTGATGCATTTGAAAATTAATTATAAGTGTTACATATAAATGAAATGAATGATTATTTAATAACACTATATGAATTTTCATAATGGAATAAAAAATTCTAACTATAAGAAATAAATTTAAAGTAAAAAATTGGTAGTAAATTAAGCTAGATCTTGAAGGTATTTATTGATTAATCAGAAAGAGAATTATTTTCTTAGAATTTAAACAATCTATAGGAGATTATAAAAATATTAACAAATTACCAAAATATTTAAGAGTTCTTAACTGGAAATCTAATAATGGAAATAAAAGAGTAATTAGCAGAGATTTCGAAAAGTTGCTAGGAAGGTTTAGATAAAAAATATATGATCTTAGAAAGCAATAAATTTAACTTTAAAAATATTTTGACTGATCTATAATATTTTCTTGATCTATTGAAAGTCCAAAAAGTACTCAGTAGTGAATAATTTCAAAAAATATTTGAAAAAGACATCAAAGATTTTGAATGTGAATAAATAGTAAATAACCTTAAATAAAAACTTGAAAAGATAAAATCTAACATAAAAAATGATTTTGATTTAATTATAAATGTTCTTTAAGAGAAAGAAAGTGTTAAATAAATTTATTAAATATTAAATCTTGAAATAAAAATTGACGAATAGGATTTGTAATAATCTTTAATGAGACAAGTTTAAAGATTAGAAATATCTTTGACTAATATAATTTCAAAAAAAGATTTTGGTAAAGATTTTGTTGATAACTTAATTTAGCTTGAGAAATGTGAAATACTAAATAATAACCTAAAAATAACAAATAAGATTTAGAAAGAATTTAAAGAATATTATTCCAAATATTTGGAAATGCATTAAAATATTGATAACGATGAAATTGATTATCAAACAAAACAAAACTTTCGCTAAGAATAAACCAAATTAGATGACTTAAAAAAAAATGTAAAATTCAAAACTAAGCCAAAATTTTTGGTTGAATTGTTTAAAATTAATATACCTTCAAAATAAACAAAATGATAATTTAGACATTAAAACTTATTCTATTTATGTTACTTTTATTAATTTAAAAAATATATTTGTGAAATAATATATGTAGTCTGTACCTATTTACGTACATAAGCCTTTCTATTTTACAGATTACAGTTTATAATATCAAATAAAATATCTTTTTTTAGTTAACCAGAGGAGAAAATGAAAAAAAAAAAAAAATACTTTTATTTTGATTTTTATTGATTTGCATTGATTTTTTAATATAAAAGTGATTAGAATTTTCAAATATTTTGAGTTGATAAAAGTTTTTCTCGTAAGAATGTTTTAATAACATTCACAATAATTAGATTTTTTATTTTTTGATAAATTTAATAAAACCCTTTGAAAATATACTAATATCTTTTTTAACAACTTTTGCAAATATAATAATATCCTTTGATAATATACTAATAACTTTTGATAATATACTAATAACTTTTGATAATATACTAATAACTTTTGATAATATACTAATAACTTTTGACAATATACTAATAACTTTTGACAATATACTAATAACTTTTGATAATATACTAATAACTTTTGATAATATACTAATATCTTTTTTTATTTCAATAGCAATTAAAGTTATCATAATTTACTCAAATAAAAAGGTAAATCAATAGACTAAAAATGGAAGATTAAAAAAATTAAATAAACCAAGAGATTGGTGATGAAGATAAGCTGATAAAAATTTAATAATAAAATTTAGAAAATTTAGATAAATTTCTCTTAACATTATCTACAAGGCTAAAAGATAATTATCTTTTAAATATTTCTAATCATTATAATAGTGATGATATTAAGTAGAAGTACCAAGAAATTTTAAGAAATATACAAAATTCAGATAGTAAATCCTGTGAGACTACCAAAGCATTTGAAGAAAGCATTCTAAACATGAAAATTTTTTAAGAACTAACAAAATATTGCCTTGAAAAACATCAATAGCTTGAAACGCCTACAAGTACATAGTCTATTGAATATATCCTTTTAAAAACAAATGAGCTAATTTAAAATATTTTCTAATAAACTAGCTTTGTTTTGAGTAAAAAAAAAAATTCACACTCAGTCAAAAATTCTTTTTATCAAAAAAAATTAAATTAGCAAATTTTGGATGTTGAAAAGGTATACAAAAATAAATAAACCATGTGTGTTAAGGAATTAGTTAAATTTTATGTAAGTACAAATTAAGAATGGCAACAAATAATTAAAAAAATAGAAGAAAACTTGCAAATAGAAGATACAATTGAAAGCTAGAGGGAACATCTAGATGATTATAATAAAAATATATTATATATATAAGATCAATTAATCAAATAAAATCAATATTGAATTTGTTAATCATTTTGTATGTTTTATTTGAAATGGTTTCTAATAATTTTACAAGTTTATAAGTAATTGGATACTGCTATATTTAGGCATATCTGATATGAAAATAAATGACAAAAAAATATTTTACTAATAAATACATAAATTTTAATGGTTAAATGTATTTTTTTTCTTCATAGTTCATTGTTTTTTTTCAATAATTTGTTTTAATTTTAAATAAAAATAACTTTGCTTCATTTTTATTTTCCAAAATATTGACTTGAATTTATATTTATATTGAAGTTAGTATGTTCTAAATATATTATTAATATAATTAATTAATTTCGTAAAAATAGATTAAATGAAAGGAGAAAAAAAAAAATTTGATAAATATGGATTATATTGTGAATATTCACAATAAGAGAATCTTTAAATAAATACTTTTTTAATGAATTGTATTCTAAATTACTAAGAAAAGAAATACACTAAAGATAATTCTGATTTTAAAAGAATGCTAAATGACTACGCAAGTCCAGATTTAAAAAAAAATTTTTTTGATGGAAATTTTGAGGATATGGATTTTGATAATCCTGAACATGAAAATTTAATGGATTTTATAAGTTATATTAGTGATTTTATTTATAAAATGTAAGATATTTTAATCAAAATGTAAAAATTTGATGGAAAATAATCATTTCAAGAATATTTAGAATCATTTTACTAAACAATTATGAAATAAAATAGACGCTAAGATATGGAATCTTTAAATCAAATGCTGTCTTAGAAAAAGGAATTTTAATATTTTATTTTATTTGATCCATACTGGAAAGATGCTTTCAAGGAGCTTGTTAAAATATTTCAAGGAATTAATAATGCAGAAAATATAGAAACCAAAATGGGAATCAAAGTAAGTTTTAAGTCAAAAGAGGCAAGAAATATGTTTAATCTTTTATGTGCTTAGTGTATATCTTAATTTAAGCTTATAAAGTAATAAGATGTAAAATCAATATGTGAGCATGCTGAGTTTGAAAAATTAAAAATTTAAGCACTCAAAACTGTTTTTGCAAATTTTGTAATCTTTAGACATACAAATGTATAGAAACAATTTTTTAGCTCTTAACAATAAAATTTACTTGATCTGCACTTATTCACTCCAGAAATCAGCAGCAAAGAAGATTAAAGTCTGATGACGTACTAGCAAAATCCATATATTTTATTGCCTCAAAACATGCATATACAGCTCATCGACTAAAAAAAGAATCCTCTTTCTTTAGTAAAATCTATGAAACTTGTTATTTAGAATAAGGATTATGACTATATATCATATGAAGAAAATGAAGAATTAGATATTCAATTACAAAATTAAGATAAGAGCAAGTATAAAAAACTAGAATACTTCATAACATATTTTTATTACTACAATGAAGAGGATGAAGAAGATTAGCAGTCTAGATATGCATTTGTTCCTGCTTAAGTTTTGGATGACGGTGTAAAATCAATGCAATAATCGTGTTTTGGATTAGATGGATTTCTTTAAAACAGTTAAATGTAATCCCTCCTAGAAGAATTTAAAAACCCTCTTAGGTTTTATGAATGTAAGGGACCTCTAATTTATGGACCACCTGGAACTGGTAAAACATTTATTATCCAAAAGATGATAAAATACTTTTAAATCCACTTAATATTTGATGGCAACAGTTCTACTTTTTAAACTTCCCTTTAAGGATAAGGATCAAGAATGCTTACCTATTACTTTAATAGAGCAAGAGCAATACCATGGTATTTTTTTTTTATTCTGGCTATAAAAAGCAGATAAATTTGTGTATGTGTATAATGATTAATTAATTTTAAATTTTAGGTAGCCATGTGCAGCTCATATAGGAGAAATAGAGTAGCTTGTTAAAAAGAAAGATAAAGATGGAGGAGGATCATCAGAAGTGCTTAATAAACTTTTAGAATTAACAGATGGTACAGAAACTGTGGGAAATATTAAGATTTTTAGTACAACAAACCATGTTGAAATGATAGAAGAAGCTATTTTAAGTAGATTTAGATAAGTTTATCTGGGAAAATCGAATACACCTCTGAGAAGAGATTGGATTGTTTGGTATTTGCTTTAAAATAAAAACCAAAGCGAGGATAATTTTAAATCAATTATTTAAGGATTCATTCCTGATGTTGAAGACTTTATAAAGTAGTCTGAAAAAGAATAAGAGAAATAGCTTAAAGATGCAATATAAGATATTGTCAGTTATACAGTTAACTTTAGTACAAGATAGCTTAAAGCTCTAATGTCAAATATAACCTCAAAAATTTTATTCGGGGAGCTTAATTATTAAAGTTAACCAGAGTAAAAGTTGAAGTGTATTTTAAACTTCTGTAAATCTTTAGGAGAAGATAATTTCATGTTTGGAAGTAAAAGTCTACCTCAAACAATGTTTGATTGTTTAAACTAGAATCCATCTGAATTTGTAAATTAGCTTTTAAATGAGTCTAATTAAAAAAAATAAGACAATAGCTCATAATAGCTAATTTTAATGGATTCATTAGAAGATGAGTTAAATAGTCAAGAAGTGCAGCTATTTATAGATGAGAATTTTGAATATTCGAAAGTAGTATTTATTGATCAGTCAACAGTATAAAATGAGAGGATTAGTATTTTGAAGTAAAAATAAAGAATTTCATAAAAAATACATCTTTATAAAAAAGTCGAGGATATGTATTATAAGTTAGAAATCTTAGTTGGTACCATACTTAAATGCTAGCAGTTTAAACATTTATTACAGGAAATCGAAGATAGTATTTCAAAATTTGGAAAATTATTTATTGATCTAGATAAATAACTGTAATTTTATCGTGATTACCAATAAAATAAAAAAAAATTGTAGCTGCCCTAAGGTAATAAAATATAAATCCATTTAATTAATTAATTTATTTATTTATTTTTAATATCAAAAAGAAATTTTTACATTATTGCAAAAAACAAGAACTGAATAGATAAAAAAATATGAGGAATTAAAATCAGGAATAAATGCTGAAAGCAATAATGGTAAAAAAGTTAAACTTTTACCTATCGATAAATTAAGAGAAATAGATAATTTGTTTAAAGTTTTTAAAGAATTAATTTAACAAATCGACAAATAAATAAACAAAGTAAGAGATGATATTGATCGTTATACTAGTTTCTTAAGTTTAGAATAGAAATTAGGAGAAATTAAGGACATTTTGATTAAAGATAATAGTTAAATAGATTTCTAAAAGTTGATAAAAAATTAAGAAGCATTTGCGAACAACGAAGCTAATAAGTTGTTAATGCAGCTCAAAAAAATAATTAGAGCTGATTAGCTAGAATACATGGAAGTTGAACAAATAATAAAGCAAAAAAGGTTCTATTAAGTAAATTTCTGCAGCCTACGTGACCCAAGTTATGATAATATTATGGTACTTCTTGCTGAATTTATCAACAGGGGCGTAATAAATAAATAAATATTCAAATAAACTATTTTATTATTTTTATTTAATTTTATTTTAATAATAATTAGGATTTTTCCAAAGTAGACATGGTTGATTACCATTCATGTGAACGAAATAATGCTTTTAAAGATATAAACTCCTTTAAAGATTACATATCTAACTTAACTAAAGAGGGTAAAGAAGAAGAAAAGTCGTTGATAGTTTATAAACTTGATGAAATTTTAGATGTTACTGAAGCTGAAGATACTCAGATTGAAAAGGATAGGCTTTAAATGGCAATAAAGATATTCTAAACAATAAATGTAGACACTACAAATTCAAATATGTGGTCAATATTTATTTCTAAAAATTAAAATGTAATTGACTTATTCTACAACACTGTGACTTATTGGCCTAAGTAGAGTATTAAAGGTAAATTGATTCAAATATAACAAGAATAGCTAAAGTTGATAGAATGCAAGTTCTGTGGTAAAACATTTAAAGAATCTGATGAAGAAGATTAATGCAAAGCTCATATTAGTGACGAATTTTTCATAGAAAAAAACACAGAGAAATATAAAAAAGTAACTAATTTTTTATTTTTAAGCATGTTTTATTTAAATGCATCAAAAATATAGTTTGAAGGAGATTGGTTTGGACCATATTTGGAAGAATATTATAAAAGGTAAAAGCATGCAAAAGAGCATAAAAATAATTCTTTAAGTTCAAATGAATCTTAACAGGATAAATTAACCAAAAAAAGTTGTACGTATTGTGAAAACTATTAAGAATTCAAGATAGATAATTACAGTTTGGACTTATATGAGCTTAATGCAGACTCTTTTAAAATTATGAAATCTAATTCTATAATTCCACAATATTTAAAGAGTTTTGAACAAATAATCAATTTAAAATAACCAATATAATTAGAAGAAGTCAAAAGACGAATTTAAAAAAGAGAAGCTTTCGCAAATGAATTCAAGAGAGTCTGTTGCTAAGGTGACTATTACAAAGAATAATGTAATCCACATAAACACTAAAAAAAAGAAGAGATCACAGAAGAAAGCATTAAATAAGAAATTTATGTTTACATAAAAAATAAAATTTAAGAATTGAAGTGATAAAAAATTAATTTAACTAAAGCTAGTAAATATAAAAAGGTTATTCTTTATCAATTATTATTACTATTAATATTAGATTTATAATGTTTTTTTGGTGTAAGAATTTTCAACAAAAAAAATTATTTTTTTTTAAATTGTGATATTATTTATATATTATAGTAAGTATTCCATAAATAAGACTAATCAAAAACATTTAAAAATTGTTAATGATTTCAATAATTTGTTAATGTTTGAGGTAGAATATTTTTTTATTTTTAGTAATTTAGGTAATTAATACATTATGTAAATAAAAGAACTCAATTATAAATAAGAGTAAATCATACACAATATATTCAAATATTAATAAAGTTTCTCTATAACTCAATTTTTGATAGCTTTTTATTGGACTTTCGTATTGAGAGATTATTGAGAAATTTTTTGTTAGATTTCAATGATTTTCATACGATAATCTAAGATGGCTTACCTTTAAAATCTTAACTCATTAAGGTTTTACTCAATTTTACGTTCGTTTTATTCAATTTTTTTAGCAGCTGCTAAGTAGTTTTTATATTCTTCTACTTTTTGTTTCCCAAGTGTTGATATATTTTCAATCATAGTTTCTTAATTTTTTTAGAATGTATTTAATTCATTTTTAACATCTGCTAGTTATCCTTTATAATTAGTGAGACTCTCTTCTTTTTTTTTAATATCTTTTTTGGTTTAATCTAATTCCTATTTATTAGTTTTATTGGATAATTTTAGTTTATTTAGTGTTTCTGATAAAGAAGCTTTCTTTTTTGAGGCAGCTTCTGACCTATTTCTAATATTTTACTGATGCTTTTCTTGCATCTCTAATTCCTCCTATAAATTTAGCATCTCTTCTTATTTTTGTAATACCTAAGATTATTATTCTTTAGAATTATCTCCCTTAATCCTGTTAATAATATTTTCCTTATCATTTTTCTTAACTTTTAAACTATCTATTTCTATTTGCTTATCTTATAATTGCTATTAGCATTAGCTCATTTCGTTTTCATATTTACCTATCTCAGTTTCAGTTTTTTGAATTTGCTTGTCTTCTTCTTTAATTTTAGTATCTAATTCTTTTTCTTAGTCTTTTGCTTAAGAGAGTTCTACCTCACCTGATTTGATATCTTTCTCAAGATCATTTTAAGTAGCTTTTGCCGACTCGATGTTTCTAAGTAGAATTTAGTATTTTTCTTTATCATTTTATAGATCTATTTCGCATGTCTCTATTTTGGTTTAGGAATCTAATTGGGCCTAATATGAATCATAATTCTCTTCATTATAGGCCTTTATTTCTTCTTCAGCTCTATCCTATTTTTATTGTGCTTCTTCTAGGTTTTACTAAATATCTTAAACTAATTTAGTTAAATTTTAATCTTCTTACTATTCACTCATTTATGTTTTATATATTAATTTATTCTTACCTACTTTATTTTACTGCTTTCTTAATTAATTTACATTAATTATTGTTAATAATTTAATAAGCTTTTTTCATTCAATCAACTCAACTTTCTATTCTAATAAAAAATTGATATGGATATCTTAAAGTTAGAAACACACATTCTTATAAATATGAATATAACTAAAATTGAGGATTTACTTTTTTGATATTAGAATATTTAATATTATCTTAAAAACCAAGTTAAAAATAAAATACTTTTATTTAATAATCAATTAATTTTAATAATTTAATTGCTAATTTCTAGACCTTATGATATTACTTTTATTTATTCTAATATATTATTTGATAATTGGTAAAATCATTTCTCAGAGTTATACTTTCATTTAGGTTTAAGAATTATTTATTTAGCAATGCATTTATTAAATATGCAGATAAATAATTAATTTTAAGTTAATTTTTTTAAAAAGAATTTAAAAGTTTTGAATAGATAAAATTACATAATAAATAAAAAATTATTTTAATATTTTATGTTTTAAAAATAACAATTTGGTGAAGTATTTATTTCTGAATTTAAAAAAAAAGTTTTTTATCTTTTTTATACTATAAATATTTTTTAATTAATATTTGAGCTATATTATATTTATTTTTAGTAATTTAGGTAATACATTATGTAAATTAAATAATTCATTTACAAATAATAGTAAAATCATTATGCTTTCAAATATTAATAAGTCTATCTCTATCAATCAATTTTTGATAACTTTTTATTGAACTTTGGTATTGAGTTGTTAGAGAGAAATTTTTTGTTTAATATAAATGACTCCCATGCGATAATCTAAGACAGCTTATCTTTAAAACCTTAACTCACTTAGGTTTTACTCAATTATACGTTCATTTTATTCAATTTTTTTAGTAGCACTTAAGTAGTTTTTATATTCCTCAACTTTTTGTTTTCCAAGTGTTGATATATTTTCAATCAAAATTTCTTAATTTTTTTAGTACGAATTTAACTCATTTTTAACATCTGCAAGCTATCCTTTGTAATCAGTGAGGCTCTCTTCTTTTTTTTTAATATCTTTTTTGATTTAATCTAATTCCTATTTATTAGTTTTATTGGATAATTTTAGTTTATTTAGTGATTCTGATAAATAAGCCTTCTTTTTTGAGGCAGCTTCTGACCTATTTCTAATATTTTACTGATGCTTTTCTTGCATCTCTAATTCCTCCTATAAATATAGCATCTCTTCTTATTTTTGTAACAATTAAACCTATTTTTCTTTAGATTTTTCTTTCTAAATAATGTTGATAATTGTTTCCTTATCATTTTTCTTGACTTTTAAACTATCTATTTCTATTTGCTTATCTTATAATTGCTATTAGCATTAGCTCATTTCATTTTCATATTTACCTATCTCAGTTTCAGTTTTTTGAATTTGCTTGTCTTTTTCTTTAACTTAAGTATCTAATTCTTTTTCTAAGTCTTTTGCTTTTGAGAGTTCTACCTCATAAAATTTTACAAATTACTCAAATTAATTTTAATAAGCTTTTGCCTACTCGATGTTTCTAAGTAGAATTTAATATTTTTCTTTATCATTTTATAGATCTATTTCGCATGTCTCTATTTTGGTTTAGGAATCTATTTGGGCCTAATATGAATCATTATTCTTTTCATAATAGGCCTTTAGTTCTTCTTCAGCTTTATCCCATTTTTATTATGCTTCTTCTAGGCTTTACTAAATATCTGAAACTAATTTAGTCAAATTTTAATCTTCTTACTATTCACTCATTTATGTTTTATATTAATTTATTCTTACCTACTTATTTATACTACTTTCTTAATTAATTTACTTTAATTATTATAATCTTTTTTCATTCAATCAACTCAATTTTATATTTTAATAAAAAAAAATATATGGATATCTTAAATTTAGAAAGAAGCACATCACACATTCTTTAAATATTAAAATAAGGAAATAAATAGAGGATTTAATGATTAGATATTAGAATATTTGAATTGATCTTAAAATTAACAATAAAAATTAAAGTTCTTTTATTAAATCTAGACTTTATTATTTTATTTTTCTTTATTCTAATATCTTATTCGATAATTAGTATTAACATTTCTAACAAAATTATATTTCTATAGGTTGAAGAATTATTTTTTCAGTAATAAATTGAAAATACAGTTAAATAATTAATTTTAGGTTTATTTTTTAACCATAATTTATAGCTTTAAATAAATAAAATTACTTAATAATTAAAAATAATTTTGATATTTTATTTTTTAAAATGAATAATTAGGTGAAGTATTATTTATGAATTTTCAAAAACAGCTGTTTATCTTTTTTATAATTGATTCTGTCCCTTTATCAATCAAATTTTTTTAAAAAAATTTAGGTCTGATAGAAGTGGAGAAATTTGAGGGTACTTAGTTAATGAGGATCTAGATATATTAATTAATTGTTTTGGCATTTAAGAGTAAAAGTAGTTCTTTAACTAAAATACAAGTGGAATAAAATTGAAATAATATTTGAATATCAAATCTAAATTTGAATAAATAAAAATATTTTATAACAAACAGAAATTTTAATTATTGAATATTTAATATCAAATATCTTCACTTAATTATCTTTTTAATAACTTAGCACAATTAATAAAAGAAAAGGCTATTGCTTTAACATAAATAAGGTATAAAATAAAAAATATTATTTTAGAGGTTTACAATTAAAAGTCAAATTAAAATACATTACTATGTCGTTACTAAACCCTCTTTTGCAATCTTCTGTTCAAGACGATCCTAGCTTTTGGCTTAGTAGTGTTGTTCTCTCATCTTAGGCTAGTTATAATAGTTCTTATATTGAACAAAATGTATTTAAAACATGCTTCAAACCTGAAGAAATGCTTAACTAAATTGAAGAAAAGTCAATACTATTTGGTTATGCTAAAAACAAGGATGCCATTTTAGTTTTGGGTTCAACTGGAAGTGGAAAGTCTACAACTATCAATTTCTTAATGAAGAAAAAGATGGTTTTAAAATTAACATCAATTACTCATTATATTGAAGATGTTGGAGAAATAGAAGTGGAAGAAGAACAAATATGCACAGAAAATAATGATGGCGATGATGAAGAATTTAAAATTGGCTTTAAAAAAGAATCTTAGACACTAATTTTAAAAGCGAAATAGCTAGAAGATAGCGATTTCTTTATTTGTGATACTCCAGGATTCAAAGATAGTAGAGGCTTTGAAGTAGAATTATCAAATTCAATTTGTCTTATTAATTTTATAAAGCAATGTAAGAGTATTTGCCCTATTCTAACAATTAATTATAATGATTTGAAATCAGTGAGAGGTGCATCCTTCAAAGATATACTTGTGTCATTTTCTAAATTTATAGAAACTGCATCCATGGATAAGGTGATATATTTTTACACCCATGTTCCAAAGTCATTAAAAATCAAATAATTGTTAAATGATATTATTCAGATAAGAGAATCTCTTGAACAAAATTCCACTCCTGAGCTTAAAGTCTTGCTCATTTCATTAGTTAATGGATTTAACAGTAAAAAAGCTTTTATTTTAAATCCTGTTGAGGAAGATCCAAAAAGTTATCTGTAAATTATTAACGATTTATATAAAAATTAATAATTTATTAATAGCCCATCAAGTAAATTTAATATTAACTTATCTGAAGACAGTCTTACTAAATTAAAACTCTATTCAGAAGATGTTCTTTCGTATGTAACAAAATGTACTCAATAAGGTTTCCATATTGAGAAACTGATAGATGTTTTAGACCAATATGCAATGATTAAAAATATCACTATGGTATAAAATATGATTGAGAAGTATGATCAATGCATTTAAAGGGTGCTAAATTATGCTGCATCTACAAAAAGGATAGCTTTCAAAAACTTAAACTAATCTAAAAACCTACAATAAGAAATAAATTAAAGATATATCAATTAAATAGTAATATGCCTCGAATAGACGTTGAAGATAGATAGTTATAAAAATCCTCACTTCTAGAAATATGAGTTTACCTATAATTCAATTATTGATGAAATAAAAATAGTTATATAATAGCTTTGCTATGAAATCACAGCATGCTTTTAAAATTAAATTGAAAATATTAATATTTAATTAATAAAATCAAATATAATTAAAATTGAATAGCTATCAAATATATCTTAAGAATTGCATAGATTCAGTTATGAAATAAAACATTATACAAACTAGTAATTCTCAAATTATGAGAAAGAACAAAGTTAATTTTTAGAATAATCTCTAACAAAAGAAAGTGAAATACCTGTTTTTGAAGAAAAATTAGCAAAAATAGTTTAAACATTTAAGTAATTCAATGAAATAGATACATAATTAGATATCATCTTACTTGATAGCAGTAAAGAGTAATTATTTCATAAATACCAATAAAAATTAAGTTATATTCTCTAACAGTAGAATTAAAATTTTATTTCAATAGTAAATAAACTAAAATAGCAAATGTAAAATGAATAAACTCCAGATATGATAAATTTTTAAATCATTAGTTCAAAACAATAAATTTTTGAGATAAAGGTTCTTTTAGAGATATAAAAAAATATATTCTTGAGTGAAAATATTTAGATATGTTAAGAATATTATAATAACCTAAAAGAGAATATTGAATAATTGTCTACAGCTATTATAGAATATTTAACTGAGTATTGCCAAAAAAAAAAATACATAACAAAATACGAAGTTGCAATAGATACATTAAATTTGTTATTAGACATCGATTAAAATGCTAAACTATAAACTTAAAACAACTACATAAAATTTATTCAATGCATAAAAAATAAGATTTCTATAACAAAAACTTAAATAAAATATGAGATTAAATTAATAATTAATAATGAAAAAATAGGTAAATAATAATTATTAAACAAAACCATGTAAAAATTAAATAAATATAATTAATTTTTGAGTGATGTATCTTGGATTGATGAGAAATTGAAGACAAAATGCGTTTAGCAAACAAAAGATAGCATGAAAAAATGGGTTAACAAGTATTTCAATTACTGCATATAAGGCTGCGATTAATCAGTATATGACTAAAACTTTAAATATTTAGACTCTTTTATGGTTTGCTTCTCTAAGTTAAAAGAAATAAAAGGTATGATAGATAACTTTAAATAAATAGTTGATAAATGTATTAATAACATATATAATTAGATCGTTTCCTATATATATCCAATACAATCTATGATTAAACAAATTATAACTTCTAAAGAGTTACCAGAATTAAGCTAGCTTTAAGATATTGAAAAGTATTTAATTTATAAAAGCAAAATATTAAAAATGATAAATCCATACATTTCTGTAAAGCAGATGGACTCTATCAATAAAGAAGAAGATGAGATGTTTGAAAACTTAATTAATGGAAAGTTATCAAGAGAAAATGAAATTATAATTGAAAATGACTTTGAAGATTTTTTTAGAGAGACTTTTAAAAAGTTTTAGAATTTATTTAAAGAATTATCATACTTTAAATTATAGAAAATGGTTTAAAAATAAAATTAAGAAAAAGAAATAATCAAATGGAAGAATTTCACTAAAATAATTAATTAATGCTAGAAAGAGTGTAAATAAATTATGTTAATTATAGGAGGAGGAGACTCTTTTAATGATATAGTTTAGAGTATTTCAAATACTTTCTATAAATTATAAGACGAATATAAAGATATAAAAAGTAATAGTGAATATTTAATAGATATTACATAAAAATATCAACTTTTGGAAGAATTTGTTGATGCATTTTCTAATTTAGAACCTTTATCTAATATGAGAAACTAGCTTATTACTACCTAAAATCCTAGATAATTAATAAAAATTACTGTAGAAAATTTACAAAAGGAAATTAAACACAATCGCTTTACAGAAGTTAAAATATTTATAGAATAATTAAATAAACTTTCAGATGAATATTCTAAGGATAAACTCTCTAAATGTAGGGAATAATTAGAATAATATCAATAAGAAATAATTAATGAAATTAACATTTTAGTTGAACAGAGTAAAAATAGCTTTTATATTAATTAGTAATTAGTTGAAAAAATTAAATGTTTGAAGGAAATTTCAAAAATTAATACAAAAACAAATGTTTAATAAGATTTACATGCAATTTTATTAAAATACAATGAATAAAAATTATAGATAATAAAAAATAAAATAAGAAATCTTCAATTTGAGGAAGTAAATATTTAATATTCTTTAATTTAATAATTTTCAACGTATATTTCTACTGAAGATAATTTCAATTGCTAATAAATAATCCATCAAATTATTGAGTCAGTCAAAAATCTTGATCAAATTTATCAAAAAAAGAAATTATTTAAACTTATTAAAAAGCTTCATTTGATTATTTTAGAAACACACAATGATGATCCAATTAAAGAAACTTATAAAGAAGTATTTATCATAAATTTCTATCGCTTAGTAGAATATGCTAAGACAGAATTGTTTGAGATATCAGAAGAATTATAAAATAATAAAGATTAAATTTAACTAAAGGTGATTAATTTAAGATTAAATAAGCTTGAATATATTTCTTAGAAAATAGAATAGTATATATAAAAATTACTATCATCAGAAGAATATGTAAAATAAAAAAATTAACTTGAAGTTCAAATAAAATATTTGATTTAAGAAATTGAAGAAAATATAAGTAAGTTGGAATAAATTCAAAAAGAGAGTAATAACTATCGCCCATTAAGCTCATTTAAATCAAGTGAAAATTTCGAAGAAACTATCTAAAGGCTAAATTTATTAAAAGAGTAAGATATTTAGTAATATAAGAAAGAAGTGGAAGTTATTGAAACTAAAGTAATGTATTAGTTAGTTGATTTAATTAATTCTTTCCTGAATTTGAATCAAGAAATAAGAAAATCATAAGTAAAGTAGATTATTTATTATTTAAAATTCAAATTGTACTTCAGTAATAAAGCTAAATAAGAAATTGATAATGCGTTGTAAGATTTAGAAAATAAAATTAACAATTTTTTTAATTAGCAATAAATAGAGTTTTAAAAAGTAGAAACTGTTTCTAACTTAATTGCTTATCACGATTTAATAGAATTGATAAATTAAAAGTCTTAAAATAGCAAATCTTATTAATTTATAGAAGAAAAGTATTAACAATAACTAAGTAATTTTATTTATTTTCTTTTTGAAATATAAGAAAATTAGCAAAAATTAATATAAAACTCTAAAAATATGAAAGATATAGCATAATTAAAAAACATCTATTAGTTTACTATTAAAAATAATCCTTTTATAGAATTTTACAAAAAACAAAGTTATTTGTTTTAGGTTGGAGATGAGAAAGTTGTATTAAATATTTTAGATTTGGAATTAATAGAAAAAGCTATTATTTCAAGTGTTACCTCTATTAAAGAATAAATCAAAATTAGCTTTCATCAAAAAAATTTCAATTAGTTAAAGGAAAATCTGTAGGTTTTAGACAAAAACTAAGATGTAAATTAACTATTGAATAAAAATGTATTTGAATATCAGGTTGAGTTGCAAAATATTTAATTAGAAACACAAGATATAACATCTCTTATAATAAAGAATATTTAAGAATAAAAAATTGATGAAAGTACACAAATAGCAATTAATACAATTTATTATTTTTTTGAAATATTTTAGACAACATTTTAAGGGTTAGATATATCAGAATAGTTAGAAAATATATATAATCATCTCTAAATTTACATAGAACCTATTATCACAAATGTGGTTTATAATAGCACTGATTTAGATAAAGAAACTATATTAAATAAAATTACTAAGTAACTCCCAAAATTAGAAGGAAAAACATAAGATTTAATATCTTTGATAATTTCATAATATATTTCTTTCTTGTCTTGAAGTATAAATATTAAATACCTCTAAGTATAAAAACTCTACATATTTGTCATTTTATTTCTTCAATATTTATTTTTTTATAATTAATTTCTTTTTAAACTTTTTTTTGCCTTGAGAATTTTTTTTAGAAAAAGATAAATAATCTTAAATATTTAATTTAAAAAATAACCCAAAAAAAGTAATGTTTTAAAAAATACTGAATATTCGAACAAGAAAAAAAAAAAAAAATTCGAATAGTAAAATTTTGCAGAACACTAGTAAGTTCTAAAAACTATTTAAATCCAAAATTAATTTGATAAAAAAACTACACTTATATAAATAAACAAAGGACAAATAATATGAATATTTAGGGATTTATAAAAGTATATTAGAATTAGTTGAGTGAGTTCAACAGCTTTCATTAATATAGCGATTAGCTTAATCATAATTTTTATTTTTAATATTCTAAATATATTCCATAGTTTTTTAGTGGATATTAGTAGCCTATTTTATATCATTTTCAATATTTTAATACAAATCATTTTCTTTTTTATTTCTTATTTCATTAAGATTATCATAAAGAGATTTATTATTTTGATTATTTTTCCATTATTAAATTTAATTTATATTTAACCCAAAATCTTTTATTAAATCTTATTGATTTAAGATTAAATAGTATTATCCTTGTTAACCTTGCCTTGCAGTTCTTCCTTTGATTTAGATTTCTTCTGTTTTGTTATCTGAAAGAAATGTTTAGATTACTACTACACCACCTGATTCATTTACCATAGGATCTAATGAAATGAAATCTGTTCCTCTTCCATACTCTCTCACAAAAAGTCCTATTTGACCTGACTTAGTCACTCTTAGAACTTAAAAATTAAAATCTTCACTACTATCATGATCAGTGAAAACTAAATAGTTTTCTTTAGGGAGGTATAAATAATTGCTTTTATGATATTATATTAAAGATTCACTATCTTTAAAGAATATAAGCACAGATTATTTTTTTGTAATTGCTGAATAAGAAATCTGCTAAATTTACAAATATTGGTTTTATAAATCTGTTTCTACTTTTACCATATCTCCTTTTCTAAAATCTAGCTTAGAATCTCCAAACATAGAAGGGATATATATCTCTTTTGAGAATTTATACTTTTTGAGAGACTATTTCATTTGATAATTTAAAGATTGAAGGGTACCTGTTACTCCTAAAATAGCTGAATAGCTATCTGGTAATAGTGCATAAGAAATTTATCCGCACCCTAAATTTAATGAAATTTATTTTTAAAGTGTTTAATCATCTATATTTCCTTTGGAATTTTCAAGAAAATATGCAAAAAGAGTTTAGTAATCACAATTAGCACCGAAATAAATTGTTGAATCATTTTATCTATACCCAATTTTATTATCTCTCACTACATAACTTTTAATTTATTTTTGATGGTTTACTTTATTCACATCGTAAGCAAGTTATATAATATGTCTTTAGAAGAGTTATTCATATTTTGGAAATTTGTTGATTAATTCTTTATAGTTACTACTTTATTCAATATTCCTAATAATCTTTGATTCTGACTATCCTCTCTAATTCCAAATTTCTGTAATAATATTTTTTATTTCTTAAGTCTCAAAATATACTAAGGGATTGTAAGTTTTTCCATAATAATCTAGATTGAAAAAGATATCTACTTCATCAATTAACAAGATTTTACAATTTTTAGTATTTTTTATTAAGTTTTTGTGATCATTTTACATGCTTTAATTTACTATATTTAAGGTAGTTTACCTAACATTTAAATAATTATCTATGTACTTTTCTGCTTAATAGTTTAAAGTTCCATATTTGATTTTTTCAGAAACTCCAAAGAAGCTAAAGAGCTTACGAAAGTCTTAATTATCTCTCTATGAAAGGTAGGAACTATAGCAAACTACATCAACCTCACAACCTAATAAAGCAAGCATTAAAGAACAAAATCCTAATGTGATTGATTTTCCTTCACCAGTCAAAATCTCAATCAACTAATTTTTAAATTACATTTAGTTTTCAATAGAAAAGAATTTCCTAACACCTTACCAAAATCCAGTTACTCTATGAATTCCTAAAAGCATTATAATGCTAATTATTTGAGTATGGTTTGGTTTTTTAAAGATATCTTTTTTGCCTTACTTTTATTCTCCACTTTCAATTAGAGTCCAGAATGCACAAATTTGAGCAAGCAAATTTAGAACTTCATTTTTATCCTCCTTTCTTTTTATTTAAATAGATAATATTTTTACTTTCTTTACAATTTTTTCCCACTTATTCTTATTGTATTTATATTTCTGAATTGTTTCTTCATATTTTTTTAAGTAAATATCATAATACTGTTTTAGCTATTCCTTTAATTAATCACTTAAATTTTATTTGATACCTCCTCTTTTGCAGTATTGCAATTTCTCAAGAATGTAATTGATGTCATGTTTTCCTACTAATTCGTTAAATGTATCAATCTTAAAAGACTAATAAAATATAGGTATATTGTTCAAAATATGAGCCCCTGAAGCATCTTGTTTGAGAATATTACCTAATTTAAAAATTACTTCTTCTCCCATAGCTTTCTTTATGATTTCAGCTGCTTCAAATAACTTTTTATTGGCAATTTAACCAAACTTACACACTTATTCAGAAATTTGTTGTATGCTAATTAAAAATTAGCTAATTTCATTTAGGTTTTATTAATTGGTAAAAGTCCTATTATAAAGTTAAGATATTTCTTGATCTAATTTATTAGTAAGCTCATTTAAAATTATTTGGATTTAAGGTTCATAAGGATATTGATCTATTATCTTCAAATGTTCATCTGCTTAATAAATTTTATTCATCAAATCATACATTTTTAAATCATAAGTAAAACTAGCTCTCACTATATCTAATGCTTCTCTAGTTATTTGATTAACCTTTTACTAGATTATTTTAAACATCGAACTAATATCAATGAATTCTGTATTAAATTCTTAATTTATTTAAGAAAATTTCCTTATTTTAAAAATTATCTCTTTAACTTATTAGAAATCACAATTTTCCAATGCAGCAGTAAAAGCTTACTCTTAGCAATTAAAATTTTCTTTTATAACAAGTAGCATTTAATCGTGGTTCAAAATCTCAAGACCAATTTATTTTATTTGTTTAAGCTCGTCAGATAAATCAAACAATTAAGGTTAATACTGTAGGATTTAGTGTAGAGCATTGAATTTTTTCAAATTTTTATTTAAAGTTTAATCTACTTACATACTCTCCTTCATTAATTGTTGAGCCTAATATAATTATTATAGTCCTTCGATTACTTTAACTAAAATACTTTTAAAATATTATTATAAATTCGATAACTCTGCTTTTTAAACTGTCTCTTCTTGAATTATTTTAAAGAATGAGTGATGTTTAAATAGATTATATAAATTTTATTATGTAAACGAATGATCACTAATAATCAGAACATTCTCACATATCTCAAATAACTTTCTTGATTATGTAAATATATGACTAGAAAGTTAATTAATTAGTGTTTTATGTTACCCTTCTTCATTTACAAAGTTTTTTATTATTACCAAGAAGCTTGAAGCAGCTAAAAAATTATTCTAGAAGCTAGAAATTTCTATATAGGGGAACTGCTCTTTAATTAAATTGACAGCTTAAGAAATTACATTTTCAATTTTTTTGATTAATTTATGGAAAAACTGCTCATCTACTTACTTAATTTTTTGTAGCTGTTCAATAGCCATATCATGTTACTTTTTAACCAATAAATTTTAAATTTCTTATAAACTCTTATTAAGTTCGTTTTTTATCTCTTGTTCAATTTAAAATATACTAGCTTAAAAATCGCAATTTTTCAATTATTCAATATTTTCTGCTTTCTAAACAAAATCTTTAATGATTTTTAACTCAATACTAAAAAAATTATCTTAATTTTTTATTTTTTCTCTAATGCTCAATTCATAGTTTTTAAATACTGACTTAACCATTTCTATTGTATTTAATATCTCTTTTTAAATTGTCTGTGAATAATTTGAAAGGCACTTCTAAGTTTAAGCTTCATTTAGTCCTTAAAGCAAATTTAAAAGATACTAAAACTCTCCTGAATTATCTGAATTATGAAGACTTAAAATAATCTTTGGAATTTCCTCTTTTATTTAGTTAATTTCTTAGATAAAAATATCCCAATCCTTTTATTAGAAAATGTTTCTAAATTTATTCAAATAATTAAAAGATTGCATTAATTATCTGTATTGCTATTACATTTCTAAGAATTTTAGTTGTTTTATTTAACTGAAAATCATTTATTTTTAAGAATCCACGTAATTTTACCTGAAACTATTTAGTTCATTTTATGAGTTTTAGTAAAGCTCAATCTTATATTTCTCCAGTACACTTAATATTTATGATAAATTTTAGAGATTTTTTTAAAAATTTTGATAGAAATCTTCATTTTTTTAAAAATTAATATAAATCTTTACTTGTTATATTTCATAAAAAAGCTTATTATATATTTTTTAAAATGCTTTATCTAAAGCTTATTTATCAGTATCGCTTTAAAGCTGATTCAATAAAAATATTTCTGAATCTAGGCTCTAAAAATCTTCATTTTTTATCAAATTTTCAAGTTTCTTAAATTTTTCCTAAATAGTCTCTTTTGGTGTAGGTAAACTTTCAAAATGCCTCTATAAAAAATTAAATTCATTCATGCTTTAGATAAATTTTTGAATTCCATCATAGCTCTCTTAAATCTGTTCAAGATTCTACATTTTTTATTTTTTAGAAGTGTAATCAAATACCATCTCATCATACACTTTTTAAATCAAAGTAGTAAGTTATTCAAAAGAGAATCCCTTTAAACATGATTAAATATGTAGGTATTCTTTTGATATTAATTTAGCTTGTTTAACAAAATTATTATAAATTGTGAAATCTTTCACAATTGTATAAGATTATGCTTTTGTTAAATTCTCAATTTATTTGAAATTTTCCTCGAAATATTTCAATATTAGACATTTGATATCATTTAGCGAAGAAGTAGAATCTCTCTTAGCATCAGCAATCTTGCCTAAAGTCTGAATGTTTTACAAAAGCAATATATTTTAATTTAATCTTTCCCAGCAATCGCTATTAAATATATGATCTACTCTTTAAATACTACTGATAAATTCGTTTATTTGTTTGTTCAACTCTTATACTTTTTTCTTCACTAAATCTATGCACATATCATATTGTTCTTAGTATTTTTCATTCCTATTTTTAAATACAGTAAAACAGCTCATACTCTATAGAAATTATCTTACTTATTAGAATTTATCATTTTTAATCAAATTAAAAATACTCTACTTGCAAATCTCAAAGTATTTATTGAGCTTTTCAAAGAGCTTTTATATGCTATTTTATGTAAATTTTGTTTAAAAATAATCATCTGTCCAAAGCATATAAGTAAGAAAATTGTAAGTCTTCAACAGTTTATCAAAATCAATTTATTAGCTTTTTACTAATTCATCATTTGATTTTATTGAATTATTAATATCATCATCTTTTTCTTCTTCACTAGACTCCTCTTCTTTAATATCCTATAAATATTTGTTCAATATTTTTTTAGCTTTACTCGCCTTTTTTTTAATTTTTTACTTAATTTCATCTTTTATTTATCTATATTCTTCAGCAGTTTAGCCTTAAATCAAATCGTCTTGATTTCTGATTTCATCTATTATTTTTAAGATATTTTGTAGCTAGTACAAATGAAAACTGTCTTATGAATTTTCTTTGATGAGACTAAAAACTTGTTAATTAAATTCTTTTAAATATAAAAGAGCTTAATTATATAAAATCTCGCAGTCTGGAATATATTCAGAATATTTGCTATTCTGGTTTTATATTTTCAGTATGTTAATTTCAAAATCTGGCATGCACTCAATTTAAGGACTAAAAACAATCTAATTGTCATCTAAAGAGGGTTATTTCTAAATTTCTTTATTAATATTGTTAATTATTCTCTTTAGATTTGATAATAACTCATTATTTTCTTTCAGATGTATTTGAACTATACTGTAAAAATTTTCATCTTTCTTTAAAATAAATGCTCTGAGAAATTCTTCAATTAATTTAATAGAGCCAATTTTCTAAGTTATATTGGCTAAGTTGTCTTTGATTGAGTTAACCTCTAATTATTTTGTCCTTTAAAAAAATTTTGTAGACAATAGTTTCAAGTCTTCTATTTCCATAATGTGTTTATACCTTATGTTTTTTTAAGTTTTATCAAATATTTATTAACATAAAGAAGTTTAATCTGAAAAATCTTTTAACTTTTATAGATTATTCTTAACATTTTCGATATTTTAAGGGAAATCTTTTATTATCCTTTAACTCATCTAAAAGCAAACTTCATCAATATCTTATTTGAATTGAATTTCGCTAGTTTTAAATTGGCCTTCTTCAAAAACAACACCTTTAAATTCATCAATTATTTTTAAATGTTAAATAATTTCAAGTATTTCTTTAATATTTTAACAGGAAAACATGATGCTTTTTTCAGAAGCTTCATAAAAAGTGTTAAATGCCAAGTTTTTTTATTTTTCAAAGATTCTTGCAATTTCATTCAATAAATCTTGATATTAATTTAATAAGTATTCATAGCTTGTGTAGTCACATATTTATTTGTATTCAACCATTTTTTCCATTATTTCCCTGTAAAATCCCTTCTATTAAAATTTTGTTACTATATTGCTAGTTTCCTTTGCGTAAAATAATAACCTTTAATTTGCATTTCCTGAAACACTAAAGCAGAATTCTTCAGAAGGATTAATGAAAGATTAATGGTTAAGGATTTATTAAAGTAATATTTTGTGATTTCCATCAACAGGATTTACTATTACATAATTATTTGGTTTAAGTTAATTTAATATAGCTTTCAAAAAGCTTATTATCATTTATGATTTAATATCATTTTCATTTTTGAAATTCTCAAGAAATTCTAAAATTTCCTTAACAATATCATTAACTTTTTTTTCTTTAGGAACCATAGTAAATAAAAAAATTATCTTTTCAGATTACTCTTTTTCAGGATTTTTAAGAATTCTAGTTAAAAGGTTAAATACCTCTTAAAATAATGCTCCTCTTTGAGCAACTAATTCATGATAGCTTATTAAGACAACTAATTTCATGCTATTGCAATTCAACATAAATTAATTTAAAGAAAATGCATTAGCAATTTCAATTTCAGTGCCACGATTATCAAAAAATCCAGGAGAATCACACAAAAAATAATTTCCATATAAATGAGCTGCTTACAGTGTTGAAGTCTGTGACTATTTAGAGTGTCCAATTTAAAATATTCCTTTTGAATTAAAAACTTCAGTTTCAGTTTAATAGGTTTGACCATAGACTTCTTTACTTATTTTAATAAGTTCAGTATACATTTCTTAACCTAAAAGATAGTTAGCAGTAGTACTCTTTCCGCTTCCAGTTGGTCCTGCTAATAAGATTATATCCTTATCCCTTAATTAGATTTAGTCTTTTTGGCATTCTTAGAATAATAATATCAATTTTTTGACATCTAAATTATATTCTCTAACAACTGTTTCAGACTGATTCATTAATATACAAATACAAGTATTTTCTTTTTAGAATTAAATTTATTGTTATGTATTAATTTTTTATAAAAGTATATTGTTTAAATTAATCGGTATATAAATTCACAAATACAAAAACGCTAAATCAAAAAGATAAAAGAAAGAGTGATAAAAGAGTTTTTAAATATAAAAACTTTATAGATTTTAAAAAATAAGCAACATAACTTTATTATTCCTTTATCCTAAAAAGAAAGGGTTTAGATTATAAAATATTAGTATTGTTAATAAATCAATTATTTATTAATTTATAAAAATTAAGCACTCAAATATTTAGATTACTTTTTAGAATCATATAATTTCATTGTATTTATTTAAATCATTTAGTTACATATGTATTCTATATGAATACCTGAATTATATTTTCGAAAATAATTAATTGATGATTTAGTTATGTTTTGGTATTGATTATCTAAATAATTATAATAAAAGTGTTTTTTTATTAATCTTAAATATTCTAAATGCTTTCTTTGTATTTTCGAAAATAATTAATTGATGATTAAGTTATGTTTTGTTATTGATTATCTAAATAAGTAAAAATAAAAGTGTTTTATTTAATTGTTTTTTATTAATCTTAAATATTCTAAATGCTTTCTTTGTATTTTCGAAAATAATTAATTGATAGATTTTTAATTAAATTCCAGTATTCATTATTTAAAAAAATAAAAGTCTTTTACTTATTTTGGAAGATTTAATGTTTCCAAATGATCATATTTTTGAAAATAATTAATTCATGGATTTGATTAGGTATGAGCATTTTTTATCTAAAAAAATAAAAATGTTTTATTCAATTCTTTTTTTTTTGGTCGATTTAAATAATTTAAAGTCTTAGTTTTTTAAAAAATTAAAGCACTTTTTTTACTAAAAAAAAAAATTTAATCTTAAACGGAAGTGCGTATCAGAATTACTTAATCTTTCTAACAAATTCATTAAATTAGACATTAATACGTACTAAAAATATAAGGTAAATTATATTGATTTTGAATATTTTATTTTTTAAATAGATGAATCATATTATATATATATAACTTAAATGAGATAGATGGTATCATAACTAAATATTCATTAAATTTTTAAGCTTTAATTTTATTTTTTAATAAATATAATGAAATTATTATTGTATATTTTGAAATAATTGTTGAATAGGTTATCAATATATAATATATAAAATGCAAATATTGTTTTATGTAAACAGAAGCAGTTTAAAATAAACTGATGAGAAAAAATGGGTTTATTAATTAATAGTTTTAATATTTATCATTCTTAAATTTCAATATAATTTGATTCAAAAGATACATCTAGTTGATTGTCATCTTCAATTTCAATTACATCTTCATTTTTTATTTTAATTTCTTAGATTATATACCTTTTACTTTCTATTAAAATTTTTAGAGATTCTTAAATTAGCTTTTCGTACTCTGAGCTTGAGCTGTTACTAATTTTGGGCTTCTTCGATTTTTTTTATAGTTTATTTATTGGTTTTGATCTCATGGCTAGATTTGATGGTTTTTCTTCTAGTTCTTATTTAGTTTAATTTTTAATTGTAAGATTATTTTACATTATATGTTACTTTCTAACTTTAGCAGATTCTTCTGATTGGATGTTTTGGTTATGTAAGTTAGTTTCTGTAGTATCATTCTTTTCCTTTAGCATTTTTGCTAGTTATTTCCATTAGATTTTCCTAGGTTATCCATCTTTTTTCAGAGATTTGCTATAATAGAGTGTATTATTTAGTTAATTTTATTTATTTAACTCAGCTTCTTGCTTAATTTCTTAGCTATTTTCATTTTATGAGATATGCTCAATTTAAATATCAGTTTTATGGTTATCAATTTATTCTTCATTTTCTTGGCTATTTACAGGATCTTCTTTAATTTAATTATTTTTATTTTATTATGGGTTAATTATTTAAGTATTCGTGTTTTATTCTTTAGTCATTTTTATTAGCTTTTTCCAGTGAATTTTCTTTGGTTATCCATTTTTTTTTAAAGACTGTTAATTTATTTAATTTTCGCATACAACATTTGAATTTACTTCTTCAGCTTTATTAATTGATTATTCATTTTAGTTGTTTATTAATTTATTTGATTAACTTATCTAATCTTCGCTATTAAGTAGATTTTCTTATGTTTTTAAATTTTTAGAAATTTCAACACCCTAAATTACTTGTTTGTCTTCTTTAAATTCCTCTTCTTAAATTTAAGATTTTTGTTAATTATCAATTTAATTTAAACCTTAATCTGATTTATGTTCAATATTTTCTGTTTAAATTTAAGTTTATTTGAAATTTATAATCTTATTATTTTTTTTAGATCTTGTTCTTCTTTTTCTTAGTGTAAATTCCTCTTAGCTTTAAGATTAACTTTATTCATTTTAATCATCTTCTATTTCTTTGTTTTCTTCTTCTATTTTTTCAACTTTATATTCAATCTAAGTATTTTAATTTTATTCCTATTCTAATTCATTTGCCTTTTAATTAAAAAAATTAATTAAAAAAAATTTAATCTCAAATCAATAAAATTAATCATTTATTTTTTATTATTTTTGTTTTTTAGATTAATTTTGATACTTCTAAAAATGATTTAATTATTCTAATTAAAAAATAAATTGATTAACTTTGTGTGATATGCTAAAAAATGTTTTTATTCAATTTGAATTAATTAATGATTAGATTTGATATTATTAAGAAGATTTAATTATTCTTTATTAAGAAATAAATAAATCTTAAAAATAAGATATTGGGTGAATTTTAGCTCTTTTGTTTTCAACTGAAAATCGAATTTCTTTAGATTAAGAAAATACAAAATTGCTTTTGGATTATTAATTTATTAATGAAAAATTAGTATTTATATCTCTTTTCTCTGGTTTTAAATTAATTCTCAATTTTCAAACAGCTAATTTATTTAATTTTTGCAATTATTTTGTATCAAGAAATAAATGTATTTAAAGAGGTTTCTTACATTTTAACAATTCTCGTTCATTTTTTGGTCATCTTTTTGTTAAATAGAACCATTTTCTGAAGGTTTTTATTATGAAATAGATGGTCTACTCTCTGCAATCGAAGAGTTTCTACGACGAGTAATATAGCTTCTTTGAGTGCTCTCAGGTATAACAACTTCACTCTGTTCTGCCTTTATGTCTAATAGCTCTTTGTTTTTTCTTCTTTCTATTTTTTTTCTTCTCATTTTTCTTTCCTCATGAATTTTTTGTACATCTTCAGGAGTTAAATTACCTTCAGTAATTAACTTTTTAATGCGATACTTTTGCTTATTTTAATCGCTGATTTTCTTCTTTTTCTATTCAATACAGATCTTTCTTTTTCTTCTTGCAAAAATAGATATTTTTTCTCTGCTATCAATTCTGTTTATATGGCTCATATCTAAAAATTACTATACTTGTAATTCATATTCGTCCTTTAATTACTTGTAATCATTCACCACAGATACATCTTCTATGCTAATCTAACGGTCGCTCCATAAAACCTTGTAAAACTTATGATTTTTTTCATATTTTTCACCTATTATTTGTATAATCCTTGGTTAATCACTATTTTATAAGTTATTCTAAGACATAATCTATCCATCTGCACTTTAAATTAAATTCTATAAACCTCTATTTCTGTTATATAGATAACCTTCAGATCCTCTTGATTATTCTCCAAGAGAAATATCATAATTTTCCTTTTGAATATGATTTAAGGAGTTTGATGAATTTACTTCAAGCTAATCCTTCTAAGAAACCTATTTTTATAAAATTGATATTATTCACTCTTAAAAACGCACAAACTTTTGTTTAAACAAAAATAGATCAATGGCTTTGTCTAATTATTATCTTTTATTTAATTAGCTTGTGAATTATAGATGGAAAAAAAGGAAAAAATTTAAGTTCTAAATAAAATTGATTCCTGTTTAAAATTATCTATCATCATAATTCACTCGCTCTAAATTATTAAATTGTAAAAAAATGATATCAGTATTTATATTTACTAGTCTTCTTAAGGGATATGCGTTAATATTAGGAAAATCTATTCCAAATTTATCTAGATTAGGAACACTAATAGCTTAGTTAACTAAACTTTAGAAATGGGGATTATTCAATTAATTTATAAGTTGATCATTGCTATCTAATTCTTCTGAAAGAATATCAGATAAATTTTCATCATCGTAATCACTGCTTTCTTCTTCTACTTTTTCCTATTTTGTATTATCTTCAAGTTCTTCTCTTTTGTCAAGCTAAATGTCTCCGTTTTCTTAGAAAATATCGTAAGACTCCTCTCTTTAGACTTGAATTTCTGGTAATTCTTTGAGTTAATTATTGCTCATTTCTTTATTTATTATTGCTTGATTTAGACAAGGGAAAATATTTCTTAATTCCTAATTAATTTTTGATATGTATAGATCAATCAAGTAGTTAAAAAGCAACTCTAATAGCTGCTATTAAACTTCTATTTTATTAAAAGTTAATTCTTGATTTGATGAAAGATTTTAAAATGATCTTTTAATTTCTGATTATTTTCTTTCAGAATTATTCTAATTATACTATATCCTACATCAGAATATAATCAAAAATTAATTTATATATTCCTCTATAATTTGTAAAGTTTACCTAATAATCATTATATCCATTCTATTACTACATAAAAACATATCTTTTCTATATAAAAATTATTATTCTCAAAAATTTCTATTTACAATTTTTATTTATTCTCACAACTAAATCTAGATAGATAGATAAATAAATAAATAAATAATAAAAAGACATTTATTTAATTTTTTTAGTCAAGCATATTATAAAAATTAATTAATTCATTAATTAATTAATAAATTTTACACTTTTATTTTCTCATAATTAATCACATTCATGTGTATTATAAGTTGAAGCTATAAATTCATGATCATAAATTAAGTAATCTATATTGATTATTTACATAAATACACATAAGCTTTTAAGATATTTAAATAATTTAAACTAATGTGCAAAGATAAAATTAATTTAATTTAATTAATTCATTCGTAATTTAAATATACATCTATCTACCTATTTTGATATATTTTAAATTAATAAAAATTGAATAATTTTTCCAAATAAATTTACAGTTGAATATTTAGTTTGACAAATTAAAAATGATTATATGCCGATTAAATATATTTTTTACTTTTAAAGAATATTTTTCCAAAATTTTTACTAGAATTGATATACCCATTATTGTCTAATAATTATCTGATAAATAGAAAATAAATATTTAGTAGAATAATAAAAGATTAACAACTCATTTTTTGGTTTCGGAAAATAAGGAAGGGAGATTAATTAATGGGATTTATGGTATATAATATTACTCAAATATCATCAGAAATCAAGAAAATATATTATCTAAATTTAGAATCTATGAAAATCTAAAATTTAAGAAATTAACAAAATTTCAAATTTATAAAATAAGAAAAATCATATATGATTTTATCAATGTTAAGCAAAATTTTGAATTCAAAAATCATTTATATCTTTATTTAAGAGGTAATTTAATGAGTGATTCATGCATATTTATATTCCCTTAAATTTATATGTCTCATAAATAAGTAAATTTTGAAACAGGAATTAAAATATCTTTATAATAAATAAAAAGCAAATTTGAAAGAGTATTTTTAAATATTGAAAAATGAAAAAAAATAATGAAGATTAACTCAAAAGTTTTTTTGAGTTTGGAAAATTTATGACTCAAAATAAGGATTAATTTTCGAGTATTGCATAGAATATGCTTTCTACTAAGTAACTCCTATAAATAAAGCAGAAAGCAACAATATAATAGGAAATAGAAGAGTAAAGAAACTATATCAGCAGTCATTCTCATAACATTAAATAGACAGTAGCAGATTAAATTTCTTTAGCAAATAAATGCTCATTGGGACTGGAAAAACTTAAAAAAATATATTTAGAAGATTTGGTTGTAAATAAGCCCATGGAGAATTGTGTAGTTTACGTTAAGACATTTTGCAAGCCAAGCAAAATGAATGCAATTAACTTAGGAATTGAAGATGAAAAAAGCAATTACATTCATATCAGTCTTTACAACTCAGAAAAGTCAAACTGTGATTTAAAATATTTGGATTAAAAATATCCTTTGAATCTTAATTTAGCAATAAAAAACCCTTATATGAAAATGAATGCTGTTGGCCATGTTTTCTTGAGGAATGATAATCCTGAAAATATCTTATTTCTAAATTCAAATTAATAATAAGATAATGATAAGTAACTAAAAGAATTCAATTCTTTGAAATAAAAGGGTAACGAATTATTTAGCCAAAAATAATATAAACAAGCTATAGAGTTTTATCTTAAAGCTATTTAATTTGCTTCAAGCAACGAAGAAAAAATAATAGCTACCTCAAACATATCTTAAGCACTTATATGCCAAAATAATTACTAAAAAGCTATTTTTTATGCTGACAGAGCTCTTGAGCTTGATTAAACACACTAAAAGTCTCTTTTTAGGAAAGCTACTTCTTTGGTGGGGTTGTATGATTTTGAAAAAGCATTAAAGGTATTCGAGTAGTTGAAACCAAATTAAGAATGTGAAAAACATATGGAGGAGTGTAAGTATAAGCTTAATAAATAAAAAAATGGATTCACTTAAGATGAAATAGCTGAAATAATTTAGAAAAAGCAAGGCCAAAAATTGGTTAACTTTGTTGGAAATATTGAAATAAGAAGAACCTAAAAGATGGGCAGAGGAGTATTTGCAACAAAAAGCATCAGAAAAAATGAAGTTATTGCTGTTTGTGAATTTGTTTAAGCAAAAATAAATAAAGGTGAATTACTAGTGGAGTACATAGACACAGAAAACTTAGCTGTCAATTTAAATAGTCAATATTTTATAAGGGAATAACTGATAATGGAAATGCAAGAAAACTTCTACTTGAGAAAAGTTCTTTCCTATTTATATAGAGGAGAAATAAATAAAGATTATTAAATCCCTAACTTGAAAGAAGTTTTTGTCAAAAAATATTATCAAGAAGGATTAGATGATAAAATTGAACTCACAGCCGAAGATGTCAGTAATATAGTTAATTACAATACTTTTGGGAGTCGAAATAGTACTTAGCTAATCATGCTAGCTAGTTTCTTTAATCACAAGAACGTAAGTGATGTTCTACTCATAGATGTAGAAGATAAAGTAGTAATAGTTTCATAAAGAGAAATTCAAAAAGATGAAGAAATATTTATTACTTACATAAATTAAAGTGATAAAGATAAAGAATAAGTGGCTAAAGATTTATAAAAATGGGGAATCACAGAAGTTAATTGAATTTTATGTAAAATGCTTAAGAAATAATAAATTATTGTAAGTAAGTAAAAAATAATCGTAAGAAATTTATAATTTTTTAATTAATTTAGTTAATTTTAGATATTACTATTTCTTACATAGCATTTTTATCCTGTTTAATTTTTTAAATAAAATATATCTTTTATACACCTTCAATGATCATTTATACAAGAAATTAAATAAAAAATTTAGCTTGAGATAAAGTAAATGAAATATAAATAATTTAAATTGAAATAGAACAAATAATCAGTAAAATTGTTAAAAATATTTGAAATTAATTAAATTTTATTTAGCATAACAAATAATTTAAAGAAAAAGCAGTTTATTTTTCAATTCCATCTTTCCTTCTTTTAATTTAAAAAACTAAAATCCATATTTATGTTTAAGTTTATAACTTGATTTTGAATTTTTAAGTTGTATGTGAAAAATATGCTTACAATTACCTATCTAGAAAACTGTTGTGATAACAATAAAAATTTTATATTTGATAATATTTTTCTATTGGATAAAAGAATATATAAAAAATTAAATAAAAAACATGATATATCTTTTGAATTTTGAGAAGAAATAATTTGATTAAAAATATTGTAAAATAATATGTATTAAGATATTACTAACATATATTAATTGACACAATTTAATTTTTGTAATTTAACCCTTTATCTTGATTTATCTATCTATTAATCTAAAAATTACTAATAAATCTTTTTTAGAGGCAAAATATTTGTTCTTGCATAATTTTGTCAATTAAAAAATGATTTTTAGAAAATTGAAAACTTAAATATATTGAACAATTTTTAATTTTTATAATAGTATTAATTTTTAAAGTGACATCTTTTTTACAGCTTTTGAAGATAAAATAAAAGTATAATATAAAAATGTTTTTTAATCTAATACTCTCTTATTTTTGTTAGAATTAATTAAAAAAAACAAAAATCTTACTACAACTTTCTTTGTTTTTTACTAAGTTTTGAATATTTAAAACGTTATAAGTTTACTAAAAATAGTCATCATCGCAAGGGCGTTATTAAATCTTACTAAAATTTTCAGTAAAGTATAATTTTCTCAATAATTTAACTCCCTTTTAACATTTTGGTTGCAATAATCGCTTAGATTGTCTTCACTTTTTTACTTCTATTTTAAAATCATCTTCATTTATTTTTGTAATAATATAAAAAAATTAGGAACTAAATAATTAAAAACCTATCATCAATAATAGATTTCCTTTAATGAAAAGCCAAGAAAATTACATTTATGAAGATTAGTAGTAAATAATTATAAATTGCCAATCATTTTATAAGCATAAAATAGAATAGAAGTCCATATTTTTAACTAAATAATAGATAAAGCTAATAAGATGATAAAAGTATAAATCTAGCGTTTAAAAAATATCAAAAGAAAGGCGCAACAAATCCATGGAAGATCATAATGTATTATAAGTAACTCAATATTCTAAATACTTCTTTAAAAATAGCTTTTTTTGTATCAACAAATTTGTATTCAAGGAGTAATTGCATAACAGACTATGGTATAGAGATTATGAAGAAATACATTTATGAAAATGAAAAGCTCTCTCTTTTAATTTTAGATTTTGAGTAAAAAATAATGATGTCAGTTAACTTTTATTTATTAGCTAAAATGAATAAAAAACTATAGGGAAAATAAAATTACTTAGACAGGATTAAAAATGTTGTTATAGCTTCCAAAGCACTTAAAAAATCTTAAGAGATACTTCCTATCTTTAAAGTACTTACATATAAATACATACATAAATACGCATTGATTGATTGATTAGTTTGTTAGTTTGTTTTTGAAAATTTTATAAATTAATAATTTCTGATAAAAAATATCCACTAAAGAGGAAATTACTATAAAAAATACACACAAAAACAACTAACTATATTTCGTCTAATCATTTTTGTTAAAAAGATCAAATAAATTCGAATTTGGCAAACTATGTTCAAACTCTAATGACTAGTAAAAATAATTTAATAATGATTAAAAAACTAATCTTTAAGCTCTACAGTTTGATTTTAGGTAATAAATATTTCATCTCAAAAATTATTTTTAATTAAATTTCATAAAAATAGCTAGAATAAGCTTGATACTAAATCAATTAAATATGTTTGTTAGTTAATTAAAAGCTCTCCTTAACTAAAAGAAATCTCTCTAAGCATGGAGTAATTTATTTTATTTTTATTATTATTTTAGCAATAGCTTATATTTAATGTAATTTCAAAACAAACAACTCCTACTATTTTGAGCTTTAAAAAATATTAATATTTATTTGTATTAAGTTTAAATTAATTACAAAAAATAACAAAACCTATTTTGAAAATTTAAGAAATCACATTTTTTAAAATATAAAATATTTGAAAAAAATAAAAATAATAATTCTTTGTTGCTTTTAAAAAATAGAGATACAGATTTATCGTATTAGAAGACTGATGTTTTTAAAAATGAAGTTTTTTTTCCTTAGTAATTAGAAATAATTGAGCTAATATTTGGGTAGAAATTACATAAATCTAATTAAGTTAAATAAAATAATTTGTTTATTTATTTATTACAATTAGTTTAAATAATTTGACAGGAGATGGAATATAAAATATATGTAACCCTTTTAAGGCATGTTAAGAATTAAAATAAATACATTTAGATCTACAGTATACATCATTATTTAATTAAGATATCTAATTTATTTAAATTTAAAATAGTCACAATATAATTGGTGATGATGGAATAAGATACTTATTTTCCTACTTATCATAACTTTAAAATCTTTCTTAGCTCAAAGTTAACTTAGAGTAAAAAATATTTTATTAATTTTACAACTATTTAAAAAATAAATTTATTTTAGAAATAATATGATCACAAATAGAGGAGCTAATATTATTGGAAAACTTTTAGAAGAACAAAGTAGTTTATTACATGTTGATATAATTTTGAGGTAATTAATTAAGTATCTTTGCTTGATAAATATTTTTAAATTTATGATATATTCAGATTTGTTAATTTTACTTAATAATTTATAGGAATAACTTGATAGATTATAGTGGTGCTAAGATTTTGAGCAAATCAATCAAATTAAATAAAAAAATAAGATTTATATAATTAAACCTAAGGTATTAATTAATTCAAATATTTATTTATTTATTTGTTAAAGGAGAAACAAATTTTATTATCTAATTACTCTAATTTATTCAATTTATTTATTTATTAAAAGTGACTTCAACATAAGTAAGCAGGAGAAAATATAATTATCAATGCTGATTTCAAAATCTCAAAGACTTATTTATTCCCCAAAAATATTTTTACAATACATTTGAATAAATGATATTTATATATTTTGCCATTTATATTACTAGTAATTTATTTAATTTATATTCAAAAATTTGTTATATTTCTATATTAAATTTACTCATTCAAACTTTATAATTAATTTTATTTTTAAATTTAAATATGAATTATAATTTAAATTATATATTAGATTCCATCATAAATTACTCATATTTACAATTTTTTATTTTTTAATAATTTTTTTATTTATAATTCTAAAATAAAATTAAGATATTTCATTTAATATCTATCTAGAATTAGTTGTATAGTGTTACATTATTACCTAACAAAAACAAAAATAATAAAAGAAATATAAATACAATATAAAGAGCATGAATAAATAAATAAATACATACATACACACATAGAAAAATATATAAACTTATAATTTACCATGCAAGCATCTAAATAAATATAAAAATTAGTATTATGAATAAAGTTTTATTAAAAAATATTTGTAATTTATTCAATACAGTATTTTAGTTATATTTTTTAGTTTAAAAATACTTATTAATTTAATATAAAAATATTTTACAAATATATTAAAATATTAGTTATCTTCTTTTTGTTTCTTTTGTTTTTGTGAATAGATAAATAAATGGAATTAAATTATAGATGAATTTTTTCCAGATATTTAATATTTATTTAATTATTTTACTGAAGAAATTTAATAAAAACATACTTAAAAAAAGGATAAAATTATTAAATTTTAATGAGTAAGCTTTGAAAAGTGAGTTGCGTTTATTTGCTTTCAAAACAATTTTTGAAAAAAAAGCTTTATTTATTTGCTTGAAAAACAAGATTTGGATGAAAAGAATTTTGATTTGATTGAAATTCAATTAATAATTTTAACATTTATAATCAACCACAAATAAAAAAATATGCAGAAACCTGATTTGATATAAATTTAGATAGTGAAAGTAGGATACTTCAATTAATTAATTTGTTTTGAAATTTCAATTATAAATTGAAGTGCGTTGTTAAATATTTTCTAATGAATTTATGGAAGGAGAACTGAAATATACTTTCTTGATTTTATAAATTAAGAATAAAAAGGATTTGTAATCTAATTTATATGGTATATAGAAAAGCGAATGAGTGTAGTGAGTTTTTGATCGATGAAATAAAGTAAGAAATAAGAGTTTGATTTTTCGATGTAAAACAAATAAAAAGAAAAGAAACAAGTTGAAATGAAAATTTTGATTAAAAAAAAATACTTGCTATAAATATTTGTTATTCTTTTATAATTTGTGATTCATTTGTCTTTTTCACAAATAATAACATAAAATGAATCAATAAACTTATAATAAAATGAGTAATATCTTTAAGATGTATCTGATTTTTATGAATTTATAGCTAAAAATATAACTTTTCCATCTGGTTATCCTTCAAATCAGATTAATTAACCATACACAAGTTTGTCCGATACGAAAAATAATTAAGTGACAAGTACTACATTGGCAAGTTACAATTACGCAAATGCGATTTACTCAATAGCTTTGGGTTATCAGCTCAAGAGCAACAGCAATAACTTGGATGTGATTCTCACATACTATAGGACATATATCAATCCAAAGAATGGAGTGATTAAAAGGGAAGAACTAAACAATAGAAAGATAGAAAGCATAGATCCGCAAAATACTCCTAATTATTAATACGCAAGTATGTTTAACAGTACTGCTGGTTTTGTGTCTTATTATAAAATAAATGCTACCTGTTTTTAAAAGTCTGTTTATTTCTTCAATTATCTAGATAAGATTGGCATTAATTTAGTGGAGATTACTGATATAGATCTTTTTAATCATGCTTCAATTTTAGGATCAAAAGGAACTATTTATCTCATTCAATACAGATTCTAATAATTCTAACTGTATACATACAAAAACTAAGAATCTACTTTAGTCGATTTGACAAAATCATACAAAGACGTATTGATATCCAAGTATGTTTCAGATCAAGGAAAATACTACTTTGGCATTAGTTTATTAAATTCTACAGTATATTGTGCTTCAATTAACTTCACCAACTAAAAACTGATAATGAATAAGTACTAGTTGCCCCAATTTTTGAGTGAAGATAGCGAAGTCTATGTACAAAGATTAAACGATTATTTCTACATAATTATTTCTGATATCCATTAAATAACTATCTTAAAGTTTTAGTCTTTTGGTCTATTAGATTTTGGTACTATGAAATTAATAGAAAATAAGCAATTTCCTTTTGGTTTTGGTGCTAGATCTTTTCCCACATTTATTTCACAAAGCAATTTTATTTTCATAAAAGACAAGCAAATCCAATTAGTGGATGTAAAGAAATCAAGAGTGATTTACTCACAATCTTTTGATGCAGGATTGGATTTTTATTAATTAGATTATTACTAGAATCAATTTATTTTGTACTTTCTTAATAATGACGGTCAAGGCAAGATTACGTATTTGAGCAAATAAATTTAAATTAAAGCCCCGTCTTTAATAATCTAAGGCAAATAATAATAATTTTCCCTATTAATTTCCTCAAGTAATTTCCCCTTTTCTTTTAATGTCATTGTTACTGTGAATATTCCCTCTCAAGAGTAAGTTACATTCCAATAAGAAGAAATCCTTATCACATAAATGATGGACACTCTCCTCAAGCCAACATAGTATTTCGAAGTTGAACCATATGTTGAAGGTCCTGATCTTTCTTTACAGGTAACTTTACCACAATCCTCAAAACAGCTGATAAAAAGCGCTTAATTTGTAAAAGTACATTCTCTTAAATCTTTTCAGTAATTTAAAATTGATGAAACATTTGTCCCACATTAAACAGATTACTACTTTTCTTCACTAGCATAAAGACAAAAAATTTTGACAAATAATAAATAAAATTAATAAGAAAAAACTAAGAATTTTAAGAGCTTAATTCATCAAAAAATAGAAGATGAAAATAGCTTAAATTATACAAATTAAAATATTTTAAAAGACAAGAATTAAATTTTTTATGAAATCATTGCTTTACTGCCCGTATAAAACATCGATGGAAGTGGAAGCATTCAGGTACTAGCAAGTGAAGAGTAATTTGACTAAGTAATTGACCAGATTGATAATTCTGGGTCATTTACTCTTTAGTAAGATCAATCACTACCAAATCAGAGAATTTATGTTCCTATTATCAACAAATAATAACTCATTTTAAATCATTATGATTTTTCATGCAATTAAAAATTTATGTTTGCTTCTGATATTACTGCTAATGCTCTTTTTGTTTCATGTGGATCCTTGCTTTAAATGGTTTCTTTCATACCTTCAAGTGATTCAAAGATTCCTCTGGTCGTTACCTAGTTATACAATATCACAATAGACCCAACTCCATTTAATAAATTACTCACCAACAGAGGTTTGCTTTTCATCTATAACGATACATGTATAACTGCATTCGATTACATTAACATTAGCTACTTCCCATTTGCTATTCAAATACCTAAAATATCACCTAATTAATAAGTTGTGTTCTTTAAGCACAGTTTTATCCTTATTTCTCCTACTAATTCCTAAGCATCTAAGTCAGCTATCAACGATGGGACCAGTATATAAGCTGCTTAATATTCTTATAATAATTTCTAGCAAAGCTAACCCACACTGTAAAGATATCTCCAAATTGACTAATAGCATTTAGTTAATAGTTCTTATAAAGCTATAGCTATTAGAAATGACATAGAATACTTATTGCTCTCATAAGCTTAACAACCTGATTATTACAGCATCTACAGAATATCTATGAACGCATATTCACAAAATCAACTATATTCAACAATTTAGATACCTATAAACTCAATTCCAATAATCAACTCTGATATGATTTGCATAATCCAAAATAGTTCAGGTAGTGATAATCTTTAAAGCAACGTAAACTGCTTCTAAATAATGGAAAAAGCCTCAATTGTTTATGACTTGCTAATTGATGAAACTCAGTTCTATAACAACCTTTCCTTCTCTACCTAGATTCTTCTTTCTAGTGGGAGCCAAACTTCTCAAACATATAATCTAGTCTTGTAAAGAAATGCAGAGTTGAAAAATATGGTTGTGGATCAAAAATCTCTAGAGCTTAAATCATTAAAAGATTAATTTTATAATGGTTAATGGGATCAATCAACAACATTTTCTTTCAACGACCAAAAAATATTAAACACTTGCGTTCTAGGATGGTACAGCAGCTTTAGCCAGTGTAATGTAAAAAATAGAATTACTTATTCTTAATCAACACAATAGCAATTATTTAATTTAAATTCCAAAAACAAATCAAAAGTCATTACAAATATCAAGAATGAAAAAAATTAAATTAACTAAAATGAACATATATAAAACAATACAAAAAATTTAAAAGAGTTTAATAGAATTATATAAGAAAATAACTTAGAATAAAATTAATAATAATTAGCAAATAACGAACAATAAAATATTTAAATTAAGTACTTTAACACCAACAATTAATAACATGAAAGTTTGATTAAACAATAAAAATATCAAAATTAAGAAATAAATTATCAATAAAATTTGGAATCTTTAAACTCTTAACTAAATAACAAAAATAAATAAATTGAAAATGAATCAGAAGAATCCTCAGATAATGCGAATAAGTTACTCTTCTTTAGCATTTTATTTGATTAAGTCATAATTGTTTCCTAAAGCTCAACAAATATAATGAATTTGCTATCAATAAATTAAGATTATTATGGATGTTCCTTCATGGATGATAACGCAAGCATCACAAATAGGAAACAAGGAGTATTTTAAGTTGATCTCTATGTCTTGTGTTCTCAATATTTGGATATATACAACTTGAAAATTTCGAGGGATAGCAAGAATTAATACACAAGTGTAAATGTTAACAGTAAGGTAACTTACTCTACTTAATATATCTATGACCCATCACCATATTGGAAGATTCTTTCGATCAATTAAAGTATAATTTTGACTAAATTTAATGAAAGTAAGTATTTTTTAATAATTTCTGACAACTAATTCTACATTGACCAGAATTAAATACCCTACTCAACTATTATAGGAGTAAACGCAGTTTCTACTCTTTCTTCTTTTATGTTGTTGACTTTCTTTGAAAATTAAATTCTTTATGTCTAAGTAGTCTTAAGTCAAGGAGTTCTGAATTAATACATAGATATATCAGATTTACTTGAAGAAAATTACTTTTCAATAGCAAGTAGCGACACTATTAACTCTATAGATCAATACTCTGACACTAAATTCAGAATAGGGTTCTCTAATTCTTATATTTATGATGTCGAAGTTTAATTAAATGATGATGGAACCACTTCTCTAACTAACATATCTTTGTATTATTACAGAGATGCATTTTCAAAGCACATCTCTGGGTTTAAAGGATCTAAGTATCATCTCTTTTATGGAGTCAAAGATAATTAATATATGTTAACTTTATACTCTAATGCAAATTCAAAGTAGAATTAATTCTTAATTGAATCAAAACTAGACTTACCTTTCATTACAGACATATAAGGAATCAGATATGCTTAAGAAATTAGTCCTAGTTCTATTTTAATTTCTTTCTCTAATTAATAAGTCATCACCTTCGACATTTCTGAAAATGTAAAGTTTAATGTTTCTTCCTCTTAATCACAAATTCCATCCACAGGAATATAACTAGATCCAATAAATTAACTGGATGACTTAAATAATATAACACTTTTCCTCAAAAAGTAGCCTCCCAAACCACCTCCAACTTCTTCTTCGAATAAGCTCATTTTCTCTTTTACTTATATCATAATTATTACTACTATTTCTTTACTTACATTATGATAAAATGTAACCTGCATATTTTTATTTTTTATTTATTTTTTTCATGTTAAAGTTTTAAAAATTAATCTTTTCTATAATTTTTTATTACGTGATTTATTCGATAATAAATAAATGATTATAAAAAAAAATATTATTTGCTCTTATTTCAAAACATTATACATTCTGAAAGATGTTTGAACATTTTAAACAAATAAAATCTTTAATGAAAATTATGACTAATAATTAATTATTTTAGCAACCAATTTTTAAGATTAATTTCACACAATTTAACTAATGAATAAATTTGCAAAACTGAAAGAATTTACAAGAAAAACAAATGTTTTAATCAAATTTATATTTTGATAAAATGAAACGCTATATTTTATTAAAATTAGTTCTCTTCTAAAATAAAATAAACTGAGAGTCTTGATTTAATTCTTAGGTATAATTGATGTTTAGTAAAATTTATGTTTTAAAGCATTAATAAAAAGTGGATGTGAAGTGAATAAGTAAAAAATTACAGATATATGCCCTCAATTAGAAACTCTTATTGGCATTGAAAAGCTAATTTTCAAATAAGATAAATTTTAAATTAAAAGAAATAATCATTTAAATAATGAATTATTCCATCCTTAGTTATGTATTATTAAATAAATAATTTTATAATTCTATTAAAAATTACAAATAAAGGTATTTTTTAAATATTTATTTCATATGGACTTTAAAGAGTTAATTAAATTAGTACTATTAGACTATAAAATTTGGAAAAAAATATAGAGAATTTTCATTAACTATTTACTAATAGTAATATATAATTTTAAATAAAATTGTAAATATTTATCTTAAAAATTATAAAAAATAATAATAGTAATCTATTTGAAAAAAGCTTATAATATATTTATTTTAATTAATAAGAATAAATTATTTTATTTAAGCTAAAAATTTATTAGATAAATATTTAATGATAAATTTTTAATTAAAAAATTTTTTTTGTTTTTTAATTAAAATATTTGCAATATAATAATTATTTGAAATATCACAAATCATGGAATCATATGGTTGGTGATATTTCAAACACAACAACAACTATATTATAAATAAATAGCACAAATTAAAAATTTTAAATTTATCTTTGTTAATTTTATAAATATTATTATTTTTCATGAATAATTTGGTTGGTATTTATGTAATTATAGTCTAATACATAATATTTATTACGATATTTTAAAGAGATATCTCTTATAATTTTCTCTTTTTTATTAGATATCTAGAATATTTAATATACCAAATTCAAATAATACTTATTTTTATTTAAATACCTCATCTCAGCTTTAGTTTTAATTAATGAATCAAAATAGTATTTAAATATTAAGTAATTAATACCTTTTCTTATTAGCTCTCAAAATTAATTGTATTAATTATTTTTTTTATTTAATTAAAAACTTACTTTTAAAATATTTTAAAAATAATTTAAAATTAATTTTACAAGATTTTAAGTCTTTTTATTATTAAAAAGTATTAAAAAAAGGCAATTAACTATAAACTATAAATTTTACAAAAATTATTCAAAATGTTTGAACATTTTTTTTTACTTTTTATAAAATTAAGTTAATAATTTCATTTTTGATGATTAAGCTTTTTTATTATTATAAAATTGTTATCTACTTTAAAGTTTATTTTCTAAAAAAAACTAAATAATTTATTTAGAAAAAAAATACAAAATTCGATTTAATAATTTAGTAAAAAGTTATATAGGAATATGATAAACTTTGATATTTTTAGTTAGCAAATATGCCTAAGCTATAATAATAGTAAGATTTTTAGGACTTATTTAGGAGGTCTAATAACAATAACTGTGGTTATTTTATTGATAGCCAGGTTCGTATATCTTATAACATTTTCGATAGCAGGCTGGAGTTTGTAAATGATTCATTAGCAATCATTTAATCAGACGTCAAATTAGTTCATAATATCTCCAAAAACATTTAATTTAGCGCTTGGGCTAATAGGAAGCGATCTGAAATATATTGTTGACAAAAGCATTTTAGAATTAGAAGGTTATTTATATATTCAAAGTATTGTAGTCGATAGCTAGACAGGAATTTAGAGCATGTAAACATAGCAAGTTCCATTTTAATTAGAAGTTTGTACTAACGATAATATGCAAAATGAATAATTACAATAATAATTTCAGCAATATACATCAAATGGTTTTTATTTTTGTTTGCCTTAAAATATGCAATTTTAAGTAGAAGGAGAATATGGTGCTTCTGTTTATTCTTCTATTGTTTTAAATCTCAAAAAATGCAATGGAAGCTCATGTAAAAGTGAATAAATTATTGATTAAGCACTTCAATAGCTTAAAGTAGAAGTATTTTTTTCAGATGTTGTGATTTCTCCTCTAAATAAGGATTCACCTTTACAATTCTATGTAAATAACTTCTCATGGGAAGCATCTGAAACATTACCAAAAAAAGTGTATTTGGAACTCATACAAAATAGGATATAAACAGATATAGGTTTTTTAGTAGAAAATCTCGTTATTGAAGAATATCCCTCTTTAAGTTAGGCAAGAGAAACTGTATTAATTTTATTCAAAATTTAATTAAGTTAGTTAGTTAATTTTATATAAAAATGGCTAGTAAAACTTTATAATAAAATTTAATACTGCATTTAATAATTTTGTTTAAATAATGTTGTTTTCATAATTATTTTGGATTCTTAAATGCAGCCATTAATTTATTTTTTTTGATTAATTTTGAATAAACGAAAGAAATCAAAGAAAACTTTTCTTGACATCAAAATTACGAGTTGGCTATTTATTAGCCTTTGATCTATAAACTAGAAGCTTTTATTTATAATTAGCAAATAAACGAATTCACTACAATGTTAAAGATTACAAAAATTAAAAGAAATAAAAGTTTTACTTTAATTTTAACTTATCAAGTAAATAATAATTCTAGTCTCTAGCATTTTAATAATGAAAATATTTTTAATGGTAAAAAAATAATTTTTTAAAAATTATTAATAAATAGGTTACTACTCAATAAAATGGATTACTGAGCTCTTTGGTACTTTAGTTTTAAGGAAACAAACAAAATAATTATTAAAGATCATACCAGAGCGTAATCTAAATAATTTCAGAATTAGGGGGATTTTCTCAGTTTTTAACATTAATTGGATTTTTGATGGTTAACTATTACTCTTCTTTAAAATTAAATTGTGATTTAATTAATTCTGTTTTTTAACTCAAAGAGATTAAGCAGAATTCATAAGCGAATTCTATCAATCAAAATTAATTAAAGGGGAAATCAGCAAATGTGTATACCAAAAGAATGAGTTTATTTTAGCAATAGAGATAAAAATAATACCAATAGAATTCAAGAAAATCATTAAATATGAATATAAATGATTTACCAACTCAGAGTGTAAATACAGATAGCTTTGTCAAGGAAAATATTAAAGATAAATAAAGTGAATAGAGTATTAATTAGATAGAGCTGTTTTAAAATAAAAGGCTGGTAAGCATAAAGGATCAAAGCTAACTCAAGTCAAAATAAAGCGAAATTAAAACTAGCGATGAAAGAAACAGAAGCGAAAGCAATTTCACTTAATTGAGTAAAAAAATTATTTAATTTACATGAAAATAAAAATTTGATTTTTATAAAAGAGAGAATTCTGGGTAGTATTAAAGGATTGGCAACTTAGAATTCTTTGTTTAAATCTAAAGAAAATGATTTAACTAATAGTACAATTCATTCAAAAGAAAACAAGAAAAGCAAAAATGATGAACAAAGTTCAAGCGAAATAAATAAATTTAGTATTTTTGAGTATTTTATATCATCATTCTTTAGATATGGCAAATTCAAAAACATAAACAAATTATATAGTAATAATTTAGAGAAATTGAATTAAAAATTGGATGTTACTATTTTACTAAGCAAGATATTTGAGATAGAAAAGCTAAAGGCTATTCTTTTAGATGACGATTAACTTAATTTATTCTAATATTTACCAAAGCCTTAAATTTGCTATTCATTTAACCAAAAAGAAGAAATTCAATTTCACAATAATAATAACTTTGTTTTTGATATAAATAGCAGAAATAATGATAACAATGAAAACTCAGATAAATTATAAAAGGCAATAAAAAGCTATTAAAAAATAACAAGCAAAGCAGATTTGTTTAAAATAGATCACAGAATAATTAAAAATCTAGATCCTTCTTATAAAAAAATATTTCAAAATGCAACAAGCTAGCAAAAGATTGAAAATGCGACTCAGTAATTATAAAGTTATGAAAATAATCGCCCAGCTAGAATTTAGCCAGAAAAATTTTCAGAGGCAATTAAAGAAGTTGAAGAATGCTAAGAATATTTTGTCACCAACGATTTCGAAGAAAATAAAATTGAAGAAAACTTTAAAAATTATAAATCTTTGTCTATACAGAAACCATCTCCCAACTTAACCATTATTTAAAACAACGATTGCATTAACTAAATTACATTTTAAGATATTAATACAAGCTATATAATTTCTTAAACTAATAATTGATTAAACTTATTTATAATCAAAATTATATGTAAAAATTATATTTATTAATTAAAATTTATATAAAATTTCAATTTTAAACATTTGCTTTTACTAAGGATAGACAAAAATTATTCCATTTTTTAGCATATTTTTTATCATTACTTATTAAATAAAAATTATTTTTAATTTTTTAATTTTAGAAGTTCTCTAAATGTAAAAATGTAATTAACAAAAAATTAAAAATGTTTGTAATTATTTTTGTAAGCATTTTTTTATTAAGTTTTTAGAATATGATAATTAAGAAATAAAATATAATAATAAAATAAAAGTAAAGGGAATAAGTATTAATATGATTAAACAAACACAAGTAATATAAAAAATATTATTATTTTAAATGTTTGATATTAATATTTGCACATTTACCTAATACTTAAGAAAGAAAATTTGATATAACAATTAACTGATTTTAAATTAGAAAAATAAAATAAATTATAATAATAAATAAATTTTAAATTAAATTAATTTTAATATTTTTTAATTTTAAAAATGAAATTAAAGCAAATACAATTATTATTTATTGTTGAAGTATACAAAAATAACTAGAATATAATTTCAACTTTATTTTAATGCATTCATAATATATATAAACTTTCTTAGATTTTTAAAGATATTTTCCAGAAATGATGAACTAAAATAATTTATTTACCTTGCTAACTGTAAAGATTTAAATATATAAATAAAAGCAGTTTCAAAAAATACTTTCATAACATATTAATTTTAAGTATTTATTTTCAAATATACCGTAGTTCCTCATTAACTTTCATCACTATCTTTTTAAGCATAAAGAGGCGAAAATTCAATCTTTGACGCTTTTGACGAAAATACCCCCACCTTTTTAATCACTGATTATTAATTGTTTATATTAGAATAATTAATTATTACTTTTTTATTGAATTTAATATTCTAATTGCTTTAATATTACAAATAAATAGCTGATGATAAATAATAAAATTTAGGTATCTTCAGTTGGTTGTCAGTATCTAATTTATAGTTTTATTGTTTTGCTAGAAAATTGTAAATTATATAATTTTCTTCTTTATATTGATAAAATAATTGATTTCTTGAAGAAAAATAAATTTTACTTAGGAAAATATATGCCCGAAGGAGGTTGTGTGTGTTGCTATTGATGGAAAAATATATTAAAATAATAAAATACAATTAACAGATGAGTAAATTATTAATGAAAGTAAAGAACAATTTCTTATTATGAAAGGATTTGAAAAAAATATTAATTTGATTCAAACTATTGATTACAAAAGAATAGATTATAATGTTTCTGTTATATTGATTGAACAGTGTGAATGTGATTTAAATTACAATTTGAAGTAACTTCAAGAAAAGAATTAATTTTCATTTACTTAACTTTTAAAAATTATATTTGATCTAATAGATGGATTGATATTACTGAAGACATATAAAATAATTTATTTAGATACAAAACTTTAAATTATTCGAATTAATTTTTATGGTATTTATGTTTTTTATGATTTTGGAATATCTTCTAAAAATATAAATGATAAATCAATTTGAGTTAAAGGGTTTACATCTTACTCTGCTCCCTAAGAAGTAATTACAGGAAATATTAGTGATATAAATTACGAATCAGATGTTTTTTTATAAGGAAAAACATTATAAACTGTTATTAAGTAGTATGAAAAACTTAAAAATTTTAATAAAAATGAAAAAATATGCTTGAGAAATTTAAACAAATTTTAAAGGTTACTACCCTAAAGAGAATAAGTCTCTTCAGAAAGAAATACATGATCATCATTTCATATAAAAAATATTTTCAAAAGATATTCATTTTTTGGATATTTATAATTGCCCATATATTTGAAAGATTAAAACTCAAATAAATTTTAAATTAAAAAAATATTAGTATTTTTTTCTATTTGGAAGTTATTTGATCATTTCTTAATTAAGATTTTCTTTCAAAATTATTAAGAATGCAATATTATATATATAAAATAAAAATCTATTATAAATTAGAAATAAAATATCTTAAATTATAAAACAAATATTTATCTACTTTATAGCAAATTCAGGAATTAAATTCTTAATTTTCCACATTCATAAGAATTTAATACCTGAAAGTGCTATATCTTCAATCATTTAATTGTTCCTAAATAAATTATATTTGCTTGATAATTTTATGAAAAACTCTCTTATCTTTTTGTTATAACTTTGAAAATTTAAAACTAATATAATAAATAAACAAATACGCATTATAAATTGTTTATAATCCAATTAATAACCGGGAAATTATTGCATATTTTTATCATTATTTCTAAGTATCAATTAGAATAGAATCCTCTTTTTTTACATTAATAAATATTTAAAATTTTTCTAGTAAATTCTAATAATATTATAATTGGTTACTCTTTAAATTATATTATTAGCTTTAAATAATACCACTAATTGATTGTGTATTCAATAAAATGCTGATACTTTATTTATATTTAATATTATTCATAATAAATTCAAAAAATTATATTATTTAACAAAATAATACTTTCAAATTTTAAAATTATATGCTTGAAAAAATGCAATAAAATCTGGTGATTTTTAGAATAATACTTTTGAAAATTAATTCATCTGCAAATAGGTTTTTTTAAGCAAATAAATAGAATAATAAATTTCATTTTTATCTAATTTGATTCCATTTTAATTGTATTCATTTTTTAAGTGATTAAATTCTTTTAAATTTAATCATAAAATGATTATTTAGAAAAAATTCAATAATTTTAATAGTTTCAGTTAGGTATTTTATTAACTTAGTAAGTAAAAATAAAGATATTGATTCAACAACATTATGTATTGCTTACAATAAAACTTAATAAATCTTAAGAAATAAAATAAAAGAATCTTAATTATTTTTATAAATATTCTAATTTCTTCCTTTAAGAATTCTAGCAAATACCTTTTGGTTATATAACAAATAATATTTAAATAAGAGTTTTAATAAAAAATAAAAATAGTAAGTACTAAAGTTTAATAGGTGGTTAGTAAAAGCTTTTGAGATAACGACAACTAAAGATTGTAAATGAGTTTATTTATTTTTACATTAAATTTTAAAATAAATAATTTTAAAATAATATTAGAATTAATTTTAATTTATTATTTATTATTTATATTTTATTATTAAATTATTTAATATTTAAAATTTTTATATTAAAAAATAGATAAAATAAGAGGACTGTATGACTGGCAATAGCTAAAGAAACTTCGGGGATATTATAAAATAAGATTGTAATTATTTATTTAATTAATAACATGACTAATCATACGTTCAGTAAGAAATACAAAATGAGTTAGAAAAATAAAGTTAAAACCTCAGCCATTTAGAAAAATATTAAATTAATCAAAAAACTAATAATAATTAAAATATAATTACTAATTATTAGTTTTAAACTTTGCTTAAATCATAATTATGTAATAAAAAACACTACTCTATTGATTTGAAATTAAGTTAAGATTCTTAAAAGTATTAGTTAATTTAACAATATAGTTATATTAACTCTAAAAATGAATAAAGTAGTATTAAATATGAAATCAAAGAAATTAAAAAGACCGAATTCTAAATTTTTAAAAATTATTACAGTAATTAACAAACTAATTAAATTAACTCTAAAAATCAATAAAGTAGTATTAAATATGAAATCTATGAAAATAAAAATTCCAAATTCTTACTTAATTCTACCTAAAACATGATAGACATAAATGAAACTCATAGCAATAATCTGAATAATCGCATTGGTATTTTTTATTATTAAAGCATTAATGAGTCTTCATCAATGGTGGTTGATGAATAAAATGACAAAACAATAAAAATTAAATAATTTAAAGCAAATGAAAAATAAAGTAAATCTCAATAGATCAAAAACTATGAAAACTTATCAACTAAAATTCAAGCTAAATCCACTAATTTGGTATACTAAGATAAAAATATAAAAGAAAACGACTATTAATATTATAAAATTCAAACTAATCCGATTGTAGAAATAAAGAGATAACTCACAAATAGGAATTATTAATTAAAAGAGTATGAAGAAGAAATAGGTGGTGGCTTTGTTATACGAGCTACTAAGTAAATCGGATTAAATAATTAAAAAAAGTACTTATTATTGGCAAGATTAATTGAAACTTAAAATAGCTATTAAGAGAATAAAGAAAAGTTAGAATTTTTATAATTATTACAAGAAACTAAAAAATATATCCAAATAGAAAATTCTTTTGAACTATCTTTAATTAGTTATCCATAATCATTTTTTTTTGTAATAGTTTTGCTAGAATTTTAAAAAACATACATTTTTCTTCAAAATATTAAGAAAATAATTGATTTCTTTAAGGAAAATCAATATTATTTAGGAAAATTTATAGGTGAAGGAGGTTTTGGTGTTGTTTTTGATGGAAAAATATATCAAAATAATAAAATATAAGAAGTAATATTCAAAATATAATTCACAGATGAGTAAAATATGAATGAAAGTGAAGAAGAATATCTTATTATGAAAGGATTTGAAAAAAATATTAATTTGATTAATGCTATTGATTATAAAAAAATAGACTAGAATGTTTCTGTTATATTGATGGAAAAGTGTGAATGTAATTTAATAAATAAAATCTAATAACTTCAAGAAAAGAATTAATTTTCATTTACTTAACTTTTAAAAATAATATTTGATCTTATAGATGGATTGATATTGCTGAGGACATATAAAATAATTCATTTAGATATAAAACCTTCAAATATTTTAATTAATCGTTATGGTATTTATGTTATTACCGATTTTGGAACATCTACTAAAAATAAAAATGATCAACCTATTTAAGTTAAAGGGTATACAGAAAGCTTCGCTCCCAAAGAAGTAATTAAAAATGAAGAAGTTAATTATTAATCAGATGTTTATTCTTTAGGAAAAACATTAGAAACTGTTTTTAAGGATTACGAAAAACTTTAAAATATTAATTAAAAAGAAAAAACTATGCTTCAGAAATTCAAATAAATTTTAACAGATTCTGCACTCAGGGAATAAGTCTTTGAAAGAAAAACATGCTTGGAATTGCATAAAGCATTTTATGAAGCTGTTATATTTGAAGGATATTTAGATTTTTTATAATCTTATATTGATAAAATTAGATTAATTTTATCATAAAGCTGTAGTGATAGGAACAAAGATATCTATTTTTTTCGTGAAGTATGTATTTATTATAATGAAAAAATACTTGACTTAAAACAAAAGATTAAAAAATCTCATATTTTAAACTTTGTTGAAATTGAATCGCTTTCTTAATCTTCTTTAAGAAAGATTGATAAAATATAAAGTTAACAAGATTCAGAGTGTATATTAATTTATAATTCAATTGCCGACTTTTACTATGAGCAATGCTAATTTCATATGGAGAAAAAGTATTTATAAAAATCCCTTGAATTGTGTAATTAATTATTCAAAAAAGGGAATCTCTATACAGCCAGAACATTTAATAAACTTGCTTTTTTTCACAAAAAAGAAATTGGTTTAGAGTATTCTCTTAAATCTTTATAAATGGTTGAAAATATTATTAAAGGAGATAATGATTTTAAATCCATTTACCTGAATACTCTTTCATGGTGTTATTCAAGTTTAAATGATCATAAACAAGCCTTTAAAGTATCAGAAGAATCTCTAAAAATGAGACTTAATTTGTTTAAGTTATATCATCCTAGAATTTCTTTAGCTCTTAACAATTTAGGAACTATGTATTAAAACTTTAATTTAAACAAATGCTTGAAATACTAACTTTTATCTCTAAAAATCAGATAATTTCTTTATAAAGAAAATCATCCATGCATAGCAAGATCTCTTCATTGTGTTGGATAATGCTATTTAAATATGGGAGATTTAGAATAAGCAAAAAAGTATTTGTACAGATCATATTTTATGAGAAGAAAAATTTATTAAAAAGATATAGATTGTGTTGCAGTTTCTCTAGCTAGTATTGCAACATATCATTAATAGTCTGGTGAATTCATTAAATCAATATTTTTTTATAAAAAATATTTTTAAATGATGAGAAACTTGAAACCTGATAGCATTGATTATGTGTACAATTTCCTTTATAATATAGCTCAGTCTTTGTTCTTGAATAGATAATTTTAATAAAGTATATCTATATTACAAGACTTTTTAAAAATATTTTCGAAAGATACTGCACAAATCTCTAAGGCTCACATAATTATTGGATTATGTTAATTAAATATAGGGCAATTTTTAAAAAGTTTAGAATCTGCTATTAATTCAATATCAGTTAATAAAAATGTTATTCAGCAAGATATTCATAAGTTGTCCAATCTTATAAAAAATATTTTCAAAAGATATTCGTTTCTTGGATATGTATCAATGTGTCTATCTTTGAAAAATTAAAACTCAGATAAATTCTAAAATTAAAATTTTCAAAAGTATTAATATTTTTTGATAATGATTTACTTATTAATTCTAGAATTTTAATAACAAGATAAAAACCAAAGACTTCAACTTTATAGAAAAATTTTACAAATTGATAAAAAATGATTTAAAAAATAAATGTTTTGCTTGTATATGCAATAAAATTAATAGTATGAGCTCAAAAAACAATATCAAATAAATTTAGCAATAAAAAGATACATATTTTACTTAATTAACTTGCAAAATAGTTAAAAAAAATCTTTAATTCAGAAAGGCCTAAAAAGTAGGAGATAATTTATTTTAAAAGCAAGATGAAGATCAATCATTTAAATTTAATATTAGAATTTTAGAAATAACTAAAAGATTATCAAGTAATTATGTAAAAATAAATATTTTATATAATTTAGAGTTTATAATTAAATTTTAAATATAATTTTAAATTTTAAAATAAAAAAGTTATATATTACTTAATTAACTCACTAAATATTTAAAAATAAAAATATTCTTTTAATCGGGAATGCTTAATTTTAAGTTAGTTCCTTTCAAATTTTAAATTAATAATTTATTTTTGTAAAATGATTTATTTTCTATTATATTTTTTTTATAAGTTATCTTCAGTTTTTGAACTGTTATTAGAATATTTAATTGTTAGAATTTTGCAAATTTAAAAGTAAAATATTAAATAAATAAATACGCATTATAAATTGTTTATAATCAAATTAATGACGGGTAATTATTACTTATTTTGTTGATTTAAATAAAATAGATAATAGGACTTTCTTTTTAAATTATCAGTCTTTCTAAGTATTAATACTAACTTGCAGAATAAAATTCTCATTTAAAATTTAGTTTGTTTTACATATATTAATATTTAAAATTTCTCTAGTAAATTTAAATATAATAAATAACTTTCCTAAAAATTATATTGTTTACTCTTTATATTAAATTAACTAATTAGTTTTAAATTACATTACTAATTTATTTTGCATGCAATAAAAAGCTGATATTTTTTTTTTCTTCAAATTTTATTAAAAATATACTCAAAAAATAAAATTATTTCACAAAATAATACTTTGAAATTTTTAAATTATATGTTGATTAAAACAAAAGTTTTGCTAATATGGCATAAAATATATCTGGTGATTTGAGATATATCCTAGAATATTTAATTGTTAGAATTTTGCAAATTTAAAAGTAAAATATTAAATAAATAAATACGCATTATAAATTTTTTATAATCAAATTAATGACAGGTAATTATGACTTATTATGTTGATTTAAATAAAATAGATAATAGGACTTTCTTTATAAATTATCAGTCTTTCTAAGTATTAATACTAACTTGCAGAATAGAATTCTCATTTAAAATTTAGTTTTACATATATTAATATTTAAAATTTCTCTAGTAAATTTAAATATAATAAATAACTTTCCTAAAAATTATATTGTTTACTCTTTATATTAAATTAACTTATTAGTTTTAAATTACATTACTAATTTATTTTGCATGCAATAAAAAGCTGATATTTTTTTTTCTTCAAATTTTTAAATTATATGTTTAAAAAATGATTAAAACAAAAGTTTTACTAATATGGCATAAAATATGTCTGGTGATTTGAGATATATACTTTTTAAAATGAATTAATCTACATATACAATTTTTTATATTATTTTGGATAATTTTTTAAGCAAATAAATGAAATAAAATTTTTTATTTTTATTTAATTTGATGCCATAAAAATTTTATTCATTTTTTAATTGACTACAATCTATCTAACTTAAAGAATAAAATATTATTTAGACAATTTTGATAATTTTGGATATTTTATTAACTGAATAGGTATAAATAAATAAATATAGTGATATGATAATACATTATCTATTACTTATGATCAGATTTAAATATGTATTAGAATAAAATAAATAGGATTTTAATTATTTTTATTAATATTCTAATTGCTTGCATTAAGTTATCTGGCAAATACCTTTTGGTTATGTAATAATATTAGAAAAAGACTTTTAATAAAACAAAAATCACTGGTACTAAAGATTAAAAGGTGCTTAATAAAAGCTTTTTTGAGATAAGGGTAAGTATAGATTGTAAATGCATTTATTTTTTTTATGAGCATATTTATAAAATAAATAATGTTTCGATAATATTATTGTTAATTTTGTTTTACAAATTATATTTTATTTCATTTTAATTACATTTTTAAATATTAAAATCATTTTCTATTTAATAATAGAATAATCAAGAGGACTGAAAGACTGGTAATATCTAAACAAACTTCAAGATTATTAGAAAATAATAATAAAACTTTTAATTTAATAGATAATAGTACTAATTATAGGTGCAGTAAGAAATAAAAAATTAGTTAAATTTAAAAAGTTAAATCCTCAATCATTTTTAAAAATAAATTTATCTATAAATTAATAATAATTAAAATATGATTAGTAATTACGACAGTGAAACTTTGCTTAAATCATAATTATATAAAAGAAAAAACAACTTTATTGATTTGAAATTAAATTAAGTTTCTAAAAAGTATTGTTTGGATTAACAAAATAGTTAATATACCATTAAAAATGAATAAATTAGTATTATATGTGAAAGCAATCAAAATTATTTGTTCGAATTCAAAGATTCTTAAAAGCCTTGCTGGAATTAACAAACTTATTAAAATAGCTCTAAAAATGAATATAGTTGTAAAATAAATGAAAGTGGTGAAAATTAAGAGATGGAATTCTAAAATTTATAAAACGATGGATAGAATTAACAAGCTATTTAAAATAACTCTAAAAATAAATTAAATAGTGCTCTTTATGAAAACTCTGAAATTTAAAAGATCGAATTCTTATGTAATCCTACTTAAAAAAGGAGATACATAAATGAAACTAGTAACAGTAATCTGAATTATCAAAATAGTAATGAGTCTTCATCAATAGTTGATGAATAAAATGACGAAACAATACAAATTAAATAATTTAAAGCAATGTAAAAATAAAGTAAATTTGAATAGATCCAAAAGTATGAAAACTAACCAACCAAAATTTAGGCACAATCCACTAATTTGTTATACTAAGATAAAAGAATTTTATAAAACGACTCTTAAAATAATAAAATTCATACTAATCTGATTTTAAAAATAAAGAGATAACTCACAAATAGGAATTATTAAGTAAAAGAAAATAAAGAAGAAATAGGTGGCGAGTTTGTTTTACAAGTTACTAAGTAAATCGGAAAAGATAATAATAAAGATTACTTGGCATTGATCAGATTAATTAAAATCTAAAATAGCTCTTAAAAGATTTTTAAAAAGTTAGAGTTTTTAAATCTATTATAATAAACTACAAAATATATCCAAATGCATGATTATTTTTATCTATCTTTAAATGAGCATCCATAATCAATTATTTTTGTTACAGTTTTGCTAGAATCAATAAATACATAGAATTTTCTTCTTTATTTTAATAAAATAATTGATTTCTTTTAAAAAAATAAATATTACTTAGGAAAGTATATAGCCGAAGGTGGTTTTGGTGTTGTCTTTGATGGAAAAATATATCAAAATAATAAAATATAAGAAGTAATATTCAAAATATAATTCACAGATAAGTAAAATATAAATGAAAGTGAAGAAGAATATAATATTATGAAAGGATTTGAAGAAAATATTAATTTGATTCGTGCTATCGATTATAAAAAAATAGACAAAAATGTTTCTGTCATTTTGATGGAAAAGTGTGAATGTAATTTAATAAATAAAATCTAATAACTTCAAGAAAGGAATTAATTTTCATTTACTTAACTTTTAAAAATTATATTTGATCTAATAGATGGATTGATATTGCTGAGGACATATAAAATAATTCATTTAGATATAAAACCTTCAAATATTTTAATTAATCGTTATGGTATACATGTTTTTTCTGATTTTGGAACATCTACTAAAAATAAAAATGATCAACCTATTTAAGTTAAAGGGTATACAAAAAGCTTCGCTCCCAAAGAAGTAATTAATAAGGGTGATGTTAATTACGAATCAGATGTTTTTTCATTAGGAAAAACATTATAATTTGTTTTTAAAGAGTACGAAAAACTTAAAATTTTTAATTAAAATGAAAAAGCTATGCTTGAGAAATTTAAATAAATTTTAAAGGATTATGCCCTCAGAGAATAAGTCTCTGAAAGAAAAACATGCTTGGAATTGCATAAAGCATTTTATGAAGTTGTTGAATTTGAAGAAAATATAGAATTTTTATAGTATTATATCGATAAAATTAGATTAATATTATCATAAACATGCTATGATAGTAACAAAGATATCTAGTTTTTTTATGAAGTATCTATTTACTATTATGAAAAAATACTTGACTTAAAAAAAAAGATTAAAAAATCTCATATTTTAAGCTTTGTTGATGAAAATAAATCACTTTCTATATCCTCTTAAATTGATGAAATATCAAGTAAACAAGATCCAGAATGTATATTTATTTACAATGAAATTGCATATCTTTATAATGAAAAGAGCTAATTTGAAATGGCGAAAAAAATAGCATTAAAATCTCTATAATTGTGCAATTAATTATTTAAAAAAGGGCATCTCTATACAGCCAGCACACTTAATAAACTTAGTTTATTTCACTAAAAGGAAGTTGGTAAAGAATATTCGCTTTAATCGTTATAAATAATTGGAGATATTTTTAAAGGAGATACATTCATCAAAGCTGTATACCTAAATACTCTTTCATGGTGTTATTCAAGTTTATAAGAATCTCTATAAGCTTTAAAATTATAAGAAGAATCTCTAAAAATCAGGAGTAATATCTATCTGTTAAAACATACTAAAGTTGCTGTAGCTCTTAACAATTTAGGGACTCTTTATTAAAATTATGATTTAAGCAAATCCTTGAAATATTAAATTCTATCTCTGAAAATCAGAAAATCTCTTTTTGAAGATAATCATCCATGCTTAGCAAGATCTCTAGATTGCGTTGGATAATGCTATTTAAATATGGGTAATTTAGAAAAAGCAAAAAAATATTTGTACAGATCATATTTTATGAGAAGAACAATTTATTAAGGAGATATTTATTGTATTACAACTTCTTTAAAGAATATTGCACAATATCATTTAAAGTCTAGAGAATTTATTAAAGCAATATTTTTTTTTAAAAAATATTTTTAAATGATAAGAAACTTGAAATCTGATATTGAATATGTACACATATTCCTTTATAATATAGCTCAATGCTTGTTCTTTAATAAATAATTTTAGTAAAGCACGTTTATTTTACAATACTTTTTACAAATATTTTCAAAAGATGCTGCAAAAATCTCTAAGGCTCACATAATTATTGGATTATGCTAATTAAACATGGGGTAATTTTAAAAAAGTTTATAATCTGCTTGTAATTCAATATCTGTTGATAAAAATATTATTCAGCAAGATATTCATAAGTTATCCAATCTTATAAAAAATATTTTGAATAGATATTAATTTCATGGTTGTGTATCAATGTGTCTATCTTTGAAAGATTAAAGCTCAGATAAATTCTAAAATTAAAATTTTAAAAAGTATTAATATCTTTTGCTAATGATTTATTTATTAATTCTAGAATTTTAAGAACAAGATGAAAACCAAAGATTTTAACTTTACAGTAGCATTTTCGAAATTACAAAAAAATGATTATAAAAAAAAATATTCTGTTTATATATGTTTTAGAATTAATAATTATAGATGAAAAAACAGTTACTTAATTAACTTACAAAATAATTAAAAATAAAAATAAATACTCTTTATTTCAGACAGTTCTAAAAAGTAAGAGATAATTTATTTTAAATACAAGATGAAGATCAAATATTTAAATTTAATGATAGAATTTTAGAAATAACTAAAGAATTATTAGATTTTTATGTAAAAAATAAATATTTAATAAAATAATTAAATTTTATTAATATATGTATGTTGCTTAATTAATATCACTAAATAATTAAAAAAAAAATTCTTTAAGTCGGAAACGATTAAAAATTAAGAGATAATTAAGCTGATTGGTAGAAGATATTTTTTATATTGATTCAAAATATCAAATTTTATTATAAGCAAAAGATTTCCTAGCAATATCATGCACCAGTGTACTCTTTGAGTAAGTAAATTAATTCAAGCATTTTCTTAAATTTATTTTTTAATATAAATTTTAAGTTTTTATCAAAAACGGGCTTAATATTAAGTGAAAAAGGACAGAGAATGGAGCATGAAACTCTTAGGATGTTGAAATACTTGACAGTTGGATAAATTTAATTTAATGATTTTTAATTTTATTATTTAAAAAATCAAATTAACAGCACCCCACACAAAATTTGAAAATTTGTGATTTTTACTCAACAAATAATTTTAACTTTAACTTAGCCAGTTAACGTGGGTAACAAACATTTAACTGTTAAGATAAAAATTAATTTAAGAACTCATTTTAGAGTTAATATTTTTCAAATCTTTTGGTTAATTAACTTAAAAGTTAACTTAATTTAACAACTCTGATCGCAAATAGAGAGATTAATTGTATGTTTTTATCTATATGAAATTCTTTTGAATTAAAAATGCATTTATTATCTAGAAAAAAGCTTTTGGAGGAGTAAAATTTTTATATCTATAATGAATTAATTGATTATGAAAGTTTTCAAAATTTTAATTAAAAATAGTTATAAATAAATTCATTAATAAAAAGTATGATTACAAATTATTTAGGAAAGAAATAAATAATAGGTGAGATACAAATAGATGGTCAAAAAAAGAGATTGATTTTTAGACAAAAAAGCATCTTAAAATTAATTATATACAATTAAATAGTGCTTTTGCCAATTTATAAATAATTTTAAATATTTTTTATTTTTCTTTAAATATTTTAAATTGATAGACAGACTTGAAACATGCACATATTTAGCAAGCAAATCAATATAATAGGAAAATTGAGGTCTAGCACTATTTATTTTTTTCAGACTTAATTTTTTTTTAAATGAATAAAAAAAAAATGATTTTGAAAAATATTTTTATCCTTATCCTTAACCGCTAAACGACCTTTTTCTCTATATATGATAGAGCTGTTTTTTGTTACAAGTTTTTACAATACGAAAATTAAGTTATAAAAAATAATAATAAAGTAAAAATAAAGGGAATACATATTAATATGACGAAACAAAAACAAATAATATAAAAAATATTATTATTTTAAATGTTTGATATAAATATTTGCACTTTTACCTAATAATTATGATAGATAATTTGATGAAATAATTAAAGATTTTTAATTAGAAAAATAAAATAAATTATAAGCATAAATAAATTGCAAATTAAATTAATTTTACTTTTTTTTTAAATTTTAAAAATTAAGTTAAAAAGAAACAAATTTTATTTATTTTTAGAAGTAAACAACTAAATAAAATTTCAACTTTATTTTTATTTTTCCATCAAAAATATAGACTCCCATAGAGTATCATAATAGGTATCCATATAAAGCGGATCAATATTTTATATGGATCTTGCTAACTGTAAAGATTTTAGTATATAAATAAAAGCAGTTTAAGGATTATTTAGATGGTTGTAATTGTGAGCTATATTATTATATAATAATATAATATCAAATGAAGTATCTTAAAATATTTCTTCACACATTTGTAGTGCTTAAAAACTAAATACTTAAGAATCATCAAACCGCCTTAAAGCACTACTCATAAAAACTCCCATATTAATTAATATTTTAATCTTTAATTCATGTTTTCCTGGATAACTTAAATTTATAATTTCTAGAGCTTCATAAAAATATTACAGAGATTCATCTTATTCTAAAATTAATGCATACTGTTATAATGAATGGGCTATTAAAATATTGTCTGGTTGCATGTGTTATTTTCTGAGCAACAATGATTTTTAAGAAAATTCGAGAGATTTAATTTTATCATTATTATTATAGTAATAGCCTGCCATATAGTATAAGTTACTTGATAATAAATAATAATCTGGCGGATTTAAAGATTATGCTAGCTGATATGATTCCTAAAAATAAGAAATATAATTATTTTTTCCTAAATAAAAACTAAGAATACCAACATCTAAAGTAGATAGGGCAATTTCTCTGGTATTACCTAATTCCTTTCTTATCAATAAAGATTCATTAGCGTATTTAAAACCATTAGTATAATCCTAAATTTAAATGTAAAAGTTTCCTAAATTATATAATTTTTAAGCAATTTCCTATTTACTAAAACCTAAAAATTGAGAAATGTCAATCTAAACTTTTAAATAATGAACGTTAATAGAAGAATAATAAGGAATATTTTTGTTTTCATCATAATGAGTTAATTCACTAAAATCCTTAATATATTTTATATATTCTTTTAAAAATTCTTTGTATTTTTCATCCTTAATTACTTCGAAAAAAAGTCTATGGAGTTCTTAGATATCTACTCTTTTATCAATAGATGTTTAAATCATTTTTTCATGTATGATTTATATAAATTATTTAGCAAATGAAAAGGAATCACCAACAATAAATTCTTTTAATTATTCAAAAATTTCTTAAAAAGTTTTTCCTAAAGAATAAATATCTGTTTTTGGTCCAATCTCCTTTGTACCTTTTTTTAATTCTTCTGGAGCATATTTTTCTGTAAAGCATCTCTAATTGTAATTAACTAGTTGATTTGGTTTATAAATTAAAGAACAACCATGATCACTGATGATGTAGATAGCCGTAGTTTCATTTTTTAAAATATTGCTAGTCTTGATATCTAAATGAATAATATTGTAGATTCTCAAAAAACTGTATCCATCTATTATATTAAATATCATTAAAAGCAATTTCTAAAATGTAAAGTTTGCTCCTTTATAATGTTTTATATCTTCTATTTCATCACTCAAATCTTAATCATAATATTCCGAAATAAGGAAAGAAAAGTTTGTATGAATAATGAATTCTTTAATTTCTTTAGTATATATAGTTTTTTCGAATCTTTAACAAATTTCATACTCTTACTTACCGTTTTATATTTGATTTTAAAAAAAAACTTTCATAGCATATTTTTTATTAGTATTTATTTATCTTACAATATATACTCTTGCTTAACCTCCTTCTGATAAAAATTTTTCTATTTTGTATCCAATTTATTAAAGTAAAATTTCAATATCTGCTTCATTTTATTAATCAAATTAATAGTCTGAATCAAACTAATAAACTACATTTTATACTTGATATTTGATTTATTATACTTCAGATATATTAGTTTCGCCTTAACTATCAGAGCTTGTTTAGCCAGAAATATAATCTGGATATTTCTATATAGATTATGATTAAGTCTCCTCTACTTTTTTATCATTTTAGAGATTTATATTTACCATTTTATTCCTTAAAAAGCAGACAATAACAAATATGAGTATTATCAAAAATTGTAATTGAAAGTTCATTTTTTTGTTTTTGAATTAATTATTTTCCTTTTTTGGAAAATATATAAAATACCGCAAGTCAATTTTAAATTAGCTCTTTTTTTAAATTAATTAAAATTATATTTTTTGAGAAATATTTTATTTTCTATTATATTTTTTTCTTAATTTCTCTTAAAGGTAATATTTTATCTCTCTTAACTAACTAACTAAATAATCTATTTTTTTTCTCTTCAATAAATCAATGTTTTTTATATGATAAGTAAGATTTTATATATCTAAAGTGAATTTTAAATTAGTTCCTTTCAAATTTAAGATAAATAATTTATTATTATGAAATATTTTATTTTCTCTTATAATTTTTTTTTAATAAATAATCTTCAATTTCTGAATTGCTCCTAAAGAAATTTTATTTGTTAGATAACTCTCTTATCTAATTATTATAGCTTAACTTATTTAAAAGTAATATTATAAAAAACAAATACGCATTATATATTATATATAATCGATTTAATGACGGGTGATTAATTATTACTTTTTTTATTGAATTTAATATTCTAATTGCCTTAAGTTATTTAGCAAATAAATAGTTGATCATTATATAATAAAATTAAAAAAAAGGGTTTAATTAACAATAATAATATTAAGTAAAATAGAGTAAAAGGTGATAAATTAAATCTTTTCTAATAAGAATAAGTAAAGATTATAAATATGTTTATTTGTTTTAAGAATATTTTATAATTTTTAGATAATATTAGAGTTAATTTTAATTTATTTAATTTTGATTTAATTACATTTTTATATTTTAAAATATTTTCTATTAAACGATAGATGAAAAAAGATAATTTTAAGACTGTTGATAGCTAAAGAAACATTGAGATTATAAAGAAAAAAGATTTTGATTCTTTATTTAATAGATAACAAGACTAATTATAGGTTCAGTAAGAAATACAAAATCAGGAAGAAAAATAAAGTTAAAGTCACAGTCATTTTGAAAAATATCAAATGAACTCATAAATTAATAATAATTAAAATATGGTTGCTAATGATGAGTGCGAAACTTTGCTTAAATCATAATTATGTAAAAAAAAACTCAATTTTACTAATTAGAAATTAAATTAAGTTGCTAAAGAGTATCGTTTGGATTAATAAAATAGTTAAAATAACTCTAAAACTGAAGAAATTAGCATTATATATGAAAGCAGAGAAAATTATAAGATCGAATTCTAAGATTTTTAAAATCCTCGCTGGAATTAAGAAAATATTTAAAATAACTCTAAAAATGAAAAAAGCAGTATTCAATATGAAAGCAGTGAAATTAAAAAGTTAGAGCTCATTTGTATTTCTACTTAAAAAAATATTGATACTAATGAAACTAGTAACAATAATATGAGTTATCAAAACAGTCATTCTTATAATTAAAATTTGAATGAGTTTTCATCAAAAGATTGTGAATAAAGTGATTAAACAATATAAATCAAATAACAAAAAGCGAATGAAAAATTAAGTAAATATAAATAGATTTAAAATTATAAAAATTTATCAAATAAAATTTAAGCAAAATAATATTTAAGCTAAGTTTCTTAAAATTTTGAAGAAAACAACTACTAAAATTTTGAAACTTTGAGTGATAATGTTATTGAAATAATAGATAATTAACTCACAGAAAAAGGTTATGAAGATATAAAATATAAAAAAGTAATAGGTTGTGGCTTTGTTTAAAAAGCTACTAAGTAAATCGGATAAGATAAAAAACATTACTTGATATTGATATTGACAAGATTTATTAAAATCTAAAATAGCCATAAAAATTTAGAGTTATTAAAGTTTTTAAAAACATTGCATGAAACTAAATAATAAATTTAAATAGATGATACTTTTTAATTATATTTAAATGGTTGTCAGCATCCAATTTATAGTGTTATAGCTTTGCGAGGATATAGTAATACATATAATTTTCTTCTTTACATTGAAAAAATAATAGATTTCTTTAAGAAAAATGAGTATTACTTAGAAAAATATATAGCTGAAGGAGGTTTCGGTATTGTTTTTGATGGTAAAATATATCAAAATAATAAAATATAAGAAGTAATATTCAAAATATAATTCACAGATGAGTAAAATACAAATGAAAGTGAAGAAGAATTTCTTATTATGAAAGGATTTGAAAAAAATATTAATTTGATTAATGCTATTGATTATAAAAAAATAGACTAGAATGTTTCTGTTATATTGATGGAAAAGTGTGAATGCAATTTAAATAACAAATTGAAATAACTTCAAGAAAGGAATTAATTTTCATTTACTTAACTTTTAAAAATTATATTTGATCTAATAGATGGATTGATATTGCTGAGGATATATAAAATAATTCATTTAGATATAAAACCTACAAATATTTTAATTAATCGCTATGGTATATATGTTTTTTCTGATTTTGGAATATCTATAAAAAATAAAAATAATATACCTATTAAAGTTAAAGGGTTTACACCAAGCTACGCTCCTGAAGAAGTAATTAAAGGAAAAGTTAGTGATATTAATTACGAATCAGATGTTTTTTCATTAGGAAAAACATTAGAAATTGTTTTTAAGGAGTACGAAAAACTTAAAATTTTTAATTAAAATGAAAAAGCTATGCTTGAGAAATTTAAATAAATTTTAAAGGATTATGCCCTCAGAGAATAAGTCTCTGAAAGAAAAACATGCTTGGAATTGCATAAAGCATTTTATGAAGTTGTTAAATTTGGAGAAAATAAAGAATTTTCATAGTCTTATATTGATAAAATTAGATTAATATTATTATAAACCTATCATGATAGTAACAAAGATATCTAGTTTTTTCATGAAGTATCTATTTATTACAATGAAAAAATACTTGACTTAAAACAAAATATTAAAAAATCTCATATTTTAAGCTTTGTTGAAATTGAATCACTTTCTGAATCTTCTTTAAGAAAGATTGATAAAATATTAAGTTAAGAAGATCCAGAGTATATATTAATTTATCATTCGATTGCAAGCTTTTATAATGAAAGGAGCTAATTTGAAATGGAGAAAAAATATTTATAAAAATCTCTTGAATTGTGTAATTAACTATTCAAAAAAGAGAATATCTATCTAGCCAGAACATTTAATAAACTTGCTTTATTTCATTTAAAACAAGAAGGTTTAGAAAAATCGCTTAAATCTCTTAAAATACTTGAAAATATTTTTAAAGGAGATCACGATACTAAAGCTATTTTCCTGAATACTCTTTCATGGTGTTATTCAAGTTTATAAGAATCTCAAAAAGCTTTAGAAGTATAAGAAAAATCTCTAAAAATGAGAATGAATTTGTTTAGCTAAAATCATACTAGGATTGCTGTAGCTCTTAACAATTTAGGAACTATGTATTAAAAAATTGATCAAATAAAAAGTTTGGAATACTAACTTTTATCTCTACAAATCAGATAATTTCTTTTTTAAGAAAATCATCCATGCATAGCAAGATCTCTTGATTGTGTTGGATAATGCTATTTAAATATGGGAAATTTAAAAAAAGCAAAAAAGTATTTGTACAGATCATATTTTATGAGAAGAAGAATATATAAAGGAGATATTGACTGTGTTGCAGATTCTCTAAAGAGTATTGCAAGATATTATTAAAAGTCTGGTGAATTCATAAAAGCAATATTTTTTTATAAAAAATATTTTTAAATGATAAGAAACTTGAAATCTGATATTAAATATGTGTACAAATTCATTTATAATATAGCTCAGTGTTTATTCTCTAATAGATAATTTGAGTAAAGTATATTTATTTTGCACAATACTTTTTAAATATATTTAGAAAAGATGCTACACTAATCTCTAAGAGACAACTAATTATAGGATTATGTTAATTCAACATAGGGTAATTTATAAAAAATTTGTAAACCAATATCAGTTGATAAAACTGTTATTTAGTAAGCTATTCATAAGTTTACCAATTTTATGAAAAAAATTTTCAAAAGATATTCATTTTTTGGATATTTATAATTGTTTCTCTTTGAAATAATTTAACTCAGATAAACTCTAAAATTTTTAATTAAAAAAATATTAATTAATATTTAATGCTAATAATTTAATTATTAATTTTTTGAATTTTAAGAATTAGATGAAAACCAAAAATTTCAACTTAAAAGTGCATTTTAGAAATAATGAATAATTAATTCATAATAGTATTTATGAAAAAAACAAATATTATAAATATATGTAGTAGTATATTTTTTAAGTTAAAAATAGGATATTTCAAAAAAAAAAAATATTTTTTAATTAAGTAAAATTTTTTTTTTCTTCTAAAGTGAATTATAAATTAGTTCCTTTCAATATTTCATTTAATTTTATTTTTATGAAATATTTTATTTATTTTCTATTATAAATTTTTTTATAAATTATCTTCAGTGTTTTAATTGTTCCTAAAGAAATTACATTTGTTTGTTTGATAACTTTAATAATTAACTCTCTTATCTAATTTTTATAACTTTACAAATTTAAAAGTAATATACGCATTATTTATTGTTTATAATTAAATTAATGAATGGTAATTATTGCATACTTTGTTGAATTAAATAAAATAGATAATAGGATATTCTTTTTAAATTATCAGCCTTTCTAAATATTAATACTAATTTGCAGAATACAAATCTCATTTTAGAATCTAGTTTTGCATTAATAAATATCAAAATAATACTTTCTAATTTTAAAATAATATGCTTGAAAAGTTGTTAAAATCTGTCTGGTGATTTTGAGATAAATATTTTTTAAAATGAATTAATCTACAAATACATTAATTAGTATAATTTTTTTGAGCAAATGAATGAAATGATATGTTTCCTTTTTATCTAACTAATTAGGTGATATAAGAATTTTATTCATTTTGTATTTGATTACATTCTAATTAAATTTAAACATAAAATTATTATTTAGAAAGAATTGAACATATGAAAAAAATTTTTAAATCTTAAGCAATAAAATAAATATGATTTGAATTTCTTTTATAAATATTCTCAAATCACTTTTATAAATATTCTAATCACTTATTTAATATTCTAATTGCTTTTTAAATATTCTAATTGCTTCCTTTAAGTTATCTAGTAAATACCTTTTGATTATATAATAATATTTAGAAATAATGTTTAATAAAAAACAAAAATAGTAAATATTAAAGATTAAAAAAAGGTGCTTAATAAATGCTTTTTAGATAACGATAAGAAAAGATTGTAAATGCGTTTATTTTTTTAGAGCATATTTATCAAATAAATAATTTTTAGAAAATATTAGAATTAATTTTAATTTATTAATTATAGTTTATTTCATTTTATTAAAAAATAGATGAAACAAGAGGACTATAACACTTGTAAAAGAAACTTTAGGAATATTATTAATTAAGAGTAAAATTCTTTATTTAATAGACAACAAGGCTAATTATAGGTTCAGTAAGAAATACAAAATAATTTGGAAAAATAAAGTTAAAGCCTCAGCCATTTTGAAAAATATCAAATTAATCAATAAACTAATAATAATTAAAATATGATTACTAATTATTAGAGTTAATCTTTGCTTAAGTCATAATTATCTAATAAAAAATGGAACTCTGTTGATTTGAAATTAAGTTAAGATTCTTAAAAGTATTGTTTGAATTAACAAAATAGTTATAATAACCCTAAAAATAAATAAAGTAGTATTACAAATAAAAGCTGTCAAAATTATAAGATCGAATTCTAACATTTTTAAAAGCCTTGCTGGAATTAACAAATTTGTTAAAATAACTCTTAAAATGAATAAAGTAGTATTATATATGAAGGTGGTGAAAATTATTAGATCGAATTCTAAGATTCTTAAAAGTATTACTTGAATTAACAAAGTAGTTAAAAAAACTCTAAAAATGAATAAAGTAATATTAAATATGAAATCTATGAAAATAATAAGACCAAATTCTTACTTAATTCTACCTAAAAAGTGATAGACATAAATGAAAAACAATGTAATAATCTAAATTATCAAAATAGGATTTTTCATTATTAAAGCATTAATGAGTCTTCATCAATGGTGGTTGATGAATAAAATGACTAAACAATAAAAATCAAAGAATTTAAAGCAAAAGAAAAATAAAATAAATCTGAATAGATCAAAAATTATGAATAGTTATCATCTAAAATTTAAGCAAAATCCATTAATTTGGTATACTAAGATAAGAGAATATAAGAAAATGACTATTTAAATCATAAAATTCATTCTAATCTGATTTTAGAAATAAAGAGATAACTCACAAATATGAATTATTAAGTAAAAGAAAATAAAGAAGAAATAGTTGGTGGCTTTGTTTTACGAGCATCTAAGTAAATTGGATAAAATAATTAGAAAAATTACTTGGTATTGATAAGATTAATTGAAACTTAAAATAGCTATTAAGATAATAAAGAAAAGTTAGAATTTTTATAATTATTACAGGAAAATACTAAATATGTCCAAATAGATGATTCTTTTTAAGTATCTTTAAATAGTCATCCATAATCAATTTTTTTTGTTATAGTTTTGCTAGAATTTAAAAATACATACAATTTTCTTCTTAAAATTGAGAAAATAATTGATTTCTTTAACAAAAATAAATATTACTTAGGAAAATATATAGCTGAAGGTGGCTATGGTGTTGTTTTTGATGGAAAAATATATCAAAATAATAAAATATAAGAAGTAATATTCAAAATATAATTCACAGATACAGATGATTAAAATTTAAATGAAAGTGAAGAAGAATATCTTATAATGAAAGGATTTGAAAAAAATATTAATTTGATTAATGCTATTGATTATAAAAAAATAGACTAGAATGTTTCTGTTATATTGATGGAAAAGTGTCAATGCAATCTAAAAGATAAAATTTAATAACTTAAAGAAAAGAACTAATTTTCATTTACTTAACTTTTAAAAATTATATTTGATCTAATAGATGGATTGATTTTGCTGAGGACATATAAAATAATTCATTTAGATATAAAACCTTAAAATATTTTAATTAATCGTTTTGGTATATATGTTTTTTCTGATTTTGGAACATCTATTAAAAATAAAAATAATCAGCCTATTTAAGTTAAAGGGTTTACACCAAGATATGCTCCCGAAGAAGTAATTAAAAATAAAGAAGTTAATTATTAATCAGATGTCTATTCTTTTGGAAAAACATCAGAAATTGTTTTTAAGGAGTACGAAAAACTTTAAAATATTAATTAATAAGAAAAAACTATGCTTCAGAAATTTAAATAAATTTTATCTGATTTGGTACTCATAAAATAAGTATCTGAAAGAAAAACATGCTTGGAATTGCATAAAGCATTTTATGAAGTTGTTGAATTTGAAGAAAATATAGAATTTTCATAGTCTTATATTGATAAAATTAGATTAATATTATCATAAACCTGCTATGATAGTAACAAAGATATATAGTTTTTTCATGAAGTATCTATTTACTATTATGAAAAAATACTTGACTTAAAACAAAAGATTAAAAAATCTCATATTTTAAGCTTTGTTAATGAAAATAAATCACGTCCAATTTCCTCTTTGATTAATAAAATATCAAGTTAAGCAGATCCAGAGTGTATATTAATTAATAATGAAATTGCATACCTTTACTATGAACAGAGCTAATTTTAAATGGCGAAAGAGTAAATATAAAAATCTCTATAATTGTGTAATTAATTATTCAAAAAAGCACATTTCTATACAGCCAGCACACTTAATAAACTTGGTTTGTTTCACTTAAAGGAAGTTGGTAAAAAATATTCGCTTTAATCTTTATAAATAATTGGAGATATTTTTAAAGGAGATACATTCATCAAAGCTGTATACTTAAATACTCTTTCATGGTGTTATTCAAGTTTATAAGAATCTCTATAAGCTTTAAAATTATAAGAAGAATCTCTATTAATCAGGAGTAATATCTATTAGTTATATCATACTAAAGTTGCTGTAGCTCTTAACAATTTAGGGACTCTGTATTAAAATTATGATTTAAGCAAGTGCTTGAAATATTAACTTCTATCTCTGAAAATCAGAAAATTTCTTTTTTAAGAAAATCATCCATGCATAGCAAGATCTCTTGATTGTGTTGGATAATGCTATTTAAATATGGGAAATTTAGAAAAAGCAAAAGCGTATTTGTACAGATCATATTTTATGAGAAGAACAATTTATTAAGGAGATATTAATTGCATTGCAGCTTCTTTAAAGAATATTGCAAAATATCATTAAAAGTCAGGCCAATTCACTAAAGCAATATTTTTTTATATAAAATATTTTTAAATGATAAGAAACATGAAATCTGATATTGAATATGTTCACATATTCCTTTATAATATAGCTCAATGTTTGTTCTTTAATAAATAATTTGAGTAAAGTACGTTTATTTTACAATACTTTTTAAAAATATTTTCAAAAGATGCTTCACAAATCTCTAAGGCTCACATAATTATTGGATTATGCTAATTAAACATGGGGTAATTTTAAAAAAGTTTAGAATCTGCTTGTAATTCAATATCAGTTGATAAAAATATTATTCAGCAAGATATTCATAAGTTATCCAATCTTATAAAAAATATTTTGAAAAGATATTAATTTCTTGGATATGTATCAATGTGTTTATATTTGAAAGATTAAAACTCAAATAAATTCTAAAATTAAAATTTTAAAAAGTATTAATATTTTTTGTTAAGGATTTATTTATTAATTCTAGAATTTTAAGAACAAGATGAAAGCCAAAAGTTTCAACTCTACAGTTGCCTTTTAGAAATTACAAATAAATGATTTAAAAAAACAAATTTTGTTTATATACAGTATCTGTTATTAATTTAGTTACCTATAAATAATGTATGTAAATAAATATTTATTTTTCCTTTAATAAATAGTAAATTAAAAAATTTATTTAAATTATTATAAACTAAATACAAATTACATTAAATTATATAAAATACTATTATATTAATTTATTTAATGTTATATTAATCTTTTTATGACAAAAAAAAATTTACAATTAGCAATAGAAAGGAATTTATTTAGTAATAATTAATTAATTATTTTTTATTTAGAGTAAACTTCTAGAAAAAGTGAATAATAATTTATTATTGTCATTTTTATATTTTTATTAACATCTCTAAATAAATTGATATGAAGTAGAGCCAAATTTTCTATTTACTCTATTTATCTATTTTTCATATTACCAATTAATTTCGATCGATGCGATATGAGGAGAACAAAGAGGTAATTAAATCATTTCAATATTATTTTCTTTGAAAATTACTATGTTTTCTTAGATATATGAGCTATAATTACATAGTATGAAAATCAAATTTTACTTTATTTGTGATATTTTTTGCTGCTTGAATTAGAATGGTTAAAAGGTGTAAATATATACATCATTATCAACAGTATAATATTTAAAATATGATTATTAGTAAATTTTTTAACTCAATTACAACCATCTTTTGTCTAAAATAAGTAAATCAAAATGCTTTTATAAATAAATAAGATTCCATTGAGTTATACATTTATCCAATTTCTATCATAAAAAAATCTTTTATCTATTTATTTTAAGTCGCTTTATTTTAATAAGAAACTTTTATAATCTCTAAATTTTTCTCTCTCTCCTAAATGTTTTAATTATTCCTAAAGAAATTATATTAGTTTGCTAATTTTATGAACTATTTCTCTTTTTTAATTGTTATAACTTTACAAATTTAATAGTAATATAATAAATAAATAAACAATGATGCATTCTTTACTTATTATAATCTAATTAATGACGAAAACTATTACTAATTTTATTGAATTAAATAAAATAGATAGAGGATTTTTATTGTAAATTATCAGTCTTAATATAAACAATTTTAATAAATCTTAAGCAATAAAAAAAATAGGATCTTAATTATTTTTATCAATGTTCTAGTTGCTTCCATTAAGTTATCTAGTAGAAACCTTTTGATTATTTAATAATATTTAAAAAAATATTTAATAAATAAAAAAATAGTTGGTATAAAGACTAAAAGTTGCTTAACAAAAGTTTTTGAGATAAGAATAAGTTAAGATAGTAAATATTTTTATTTGTTTTTAGAGCATATTTACAAAATAAATAATTTTGGATGACCTTAAAAAATTATTTTATTTTATAAATTATATTTTATTACATTTTAATTGCATTTTTAAATAATAAAAATATTTTTTTTTACATTATAGATGAAACAAGAGGACTACAAGACTGGTAATGGCTAAAGAAACTTCAGGAATATTATAAAATAAGATTGCAATTCTTTATTTAATAGATAATAGGACTAATTAAAAGTTCAGTAAGAAATACAAAATCAGTTAGAAGAATAAAGTTAAAAGCTCAACCATTTTGAAAAAAATCAAATTAATCAAGAAATTAATAATAAATAATTAAAATATAGTTGTTAATAATGAGAGTGAAACTTTGCTTAAATCATAATAATGTAAAAAAAAAGATCAAATAATTTATTTGAAATTAAGTTATGATTCTTAAAATTATTGGTGGAATGAACAAAATACTAACACTAACTCTAAAAACGAATAAAGTAGTGTTATATCAAAAGGTGGTGAAAATTATATGATGGAATTCTAAGAAATTCAAAAGTATGACTAAAATTAACAAAACAAAAAACTGAATTATCAAAATAGTCTTTTTTATTATTAAAGCGTTAATGAGTCTTCATCAATGGCAGATGAATAAAATGATAAAACAATAAAAATAAAATAGTTTAAAGCAAATGAAAAATTAAATAAATCTGAATAGATCAAATAATATTAATACTCATCTACTAAAATTCAAGAAAAATCCACTAAATTGGTATATTAAGATAAAAGAATATAAGAAAACGATTATTAAAATAATAAAATTCATACTAATCTGCTTTTAGAATTAAAGAGATAACTCAAAAATATGAATTATTAAGTAAAAGAAAATAAGGAAGAAATAGGTGATGGCTTTGCTTTAAGAGCTACTAAGTATATCAGATAAGAAAAAATTTAAAATTACTTGGTATTGACAAAATTTATTAAAATCGAAAACAGCAATAAAAAGATTATAAAAAAGTTAGAATTTTTATAATTATTACAAGAAACTACAAAATATGTTAAAATAGAAGATTCTTTTCAAATATCTTCAAATAATCACCCATAATAAATTATTTTTGTTATAATTTTGCTAGAATTTAAAAATACATACAATTTTCTTCTTAAAATTGAGAAAATAATTGATTTCTTTAAGGAAAATAAATATTATTTAGGAAAATATATAGCTGAAGGTGGTTATGGTGTTATTTTTGATGGAAAAATATACCAAAATAATAAAATATAAGAAATAATATTCAAAATATAATTCGCAGATGAGTAAAATATAAATTAAAGTGAAGAAGAATATAATATTATGAAAGGATTTGAAAAAAATATTTATTTGATTAATGCTATTGATTATAAAAAAATAGACGAGAATGTTTCTGTTATATTGAAGGAAAAGTGTGAATGTGATTTAAATAGCAAATTGAAATAACTTCAATAAAATAATTAATTTTCATTTACTTAACTTTTACAAATTATATTTGATCTAATAGATGGATTGATATTGCTGAGGGCATATAAAATAATTCATTTAGATATAAAACCTTCAAATATTTTAATTAATCATTATGGTATACATGTTTTTTCTGATTTTGGAACTTCTTATAAAAATAAAAATGATCAATCTATTCAAGTTAAAGGGTTTACACCATACTATGCTCCATAAGAAGTGCTTAAAGGAGAAAATAATATTAATTATTAATCAGATGCATTTTCAATAGGGAAAACTTTAGAAATTGTCTTTAATCATTATGAAATGCTTAATAAATTTAATAAAAATGAAAAAAATATGATTGAGAAATTTAAATAAATTTTAAAAGATTATGCCCTCAGAGAATAAGTCTCTGAAAGAAAAACATGCTTGGAATTGCATAAAGCATTTTATGAAGCTGTTATATTTGAAGGATATTTAGAATTTTCAGAATCATATATTGATAAAATTAGATTAATACTATCATAAAGCTGTGGTGATAGGAACAAAGATATCTATTTTTTTCGTGAAGTATGTATCTATTATAATGAAAAAATACTTGATTTAAAACAAAAGATTAAAAAATCTCATATTTTAAGCTTTGTTGAAATTGAATCGCTTTCTGAATCTTCTTTAAGAAAGATTGATAAAATATCAAGTTAACAAGATCCAGAATGTATATTAATTTATAATTTAATTGCAAGTTTATACAATGAACAGAGCTAATACGATATAGAGAAAAAATATTTATAAAAATCTCTTGAATTGTGTAATGAATTATTCAAAAAAGGGAATCTCTATACAGCCAGAACACTCAATAAACTTGCTTTTTTTCATAAAAAAGAAGTTGGTTTAGAATATTCTCTTAAATCTATATAAATGGTTGAAGATATTATTAAAGGAGATAATGACTTTAAAGCTATTTACCTGAATACTCTTTCATGGTGTTATTCAAGTTTAAATGACCATAAATAAGCTTTAAAAGTATAAGAAGAAACTCTAAAAATGAGACTTAGTATGTTTAAGTTATATCATCCTAGGATTGCTTTAGCTCTTATCAATTTAGGAACTAAGTATTAAAATTTTAATTTAAACAAATGCTTGAAATACTAACTTTTATCTCTAAAAATCAGATAATTTCTTTATAAAGAAAATCATCCATGCATTGCATAATCTCTTGATTATATTGGATAATGCTATCTAAAGATGGGAAATTTAGAATAAGCAAAAAAGTATTTGTACAGATCATATTTTATGAGAAGAAAAATTTATTAAAAAGATATTGATTGTATTAGAGTTTCTCTAATGAATATTGCAAGATATCATTAATAGTCTGGTGAATTCATTAAATCAATATTTTTTTATAAAAAATATTTTTAAATGGTAAGAAACTTGAATTATGATAACATTGATTATGTCTACGTTTTCCTTTATAATATAGCTCAGTGTTTATTCTTTAATAGAGCATTTTAATAAAGTATATTTATATTACAATACTTTTTAAAAATATTTTCAAATGATGCTGTAAAAGTATCTAAGGCTCACATAATTATTGGATTATGCTAATTAAATTTGGGGCAATTTTAAAAAAGTTTAGAATCTGCTTGTAATTCAATATCAGTTGATAAAAATGTTTTTAAACAAGATATCCATAAGTTGTCTAATCTTATAAAAAATATTTTTAAAAGATATACATTTCTTGGATATGTATCATTGTGTTTATCTTTGAAAGATTAAAACTCAGAAAAATTCTAAAATTTTAATTTTAAAAAGTATTAATATTTTTTGCTAATGATTTACTTATTAATTCTAGAATTTTAAAAATAAGATTAAAACCAAAGATTTCAACTTTATAGTAGTATTTTAGAAATTACTAATAAATGATTAAAAAATAAATGTGTTATTTATATATGTAATATAATTAATCATTATAGTTGAAAAAAAATATTAAATTTAGTAATAAAAATATACATATAAGAGATAATTTAAGCTTATTGGTAGATGAAATTTTTTACATAATATTTAAAATCTCTCTTGTAAATTTAAACATCATAAAGAATTTTAGATAATAATAATATTAATATTGCTTAATCTTTAAATTAAATTATTAGTTTTAAAATAATATCTTTAATTGATTGTGCATTAAATAAAATGCTGATACTTTATTTATATCAAATTTTATTAAAAATCAACTTAAAAAATCATATTATTTAACAAAATAATACTTTCTAATTTAAAAAAAAAAATAAATAAATGCTTGAAAATAATTTAAAAATATTTTATATGGAATATTTTTTAAGAAAATAAATGGTATTATTTTTCATTTTTATTTAATTTGATGCCATAAGAATTATATTTATTTATTCCTTTTTTAATTTATTTTATTCTATCTAAATTTAAGTATAAAATGATTATAAAGAAAAAATTCTACAATTTTAATAATTTTAGATATTTTATTTACTGAGTAAGTATAAATCAATAAATAAATAGAGATATTTATATAATATTATGTATTGCTTATGATAAAATTTTATAAATGTTAAGCGATAATATAAATAGGATTTGAATTAATTATATAAATATACTAATTAATTCATTTAATCTATCTATCAAATACCTTTTGATTATTTATAAATATTTAGAAAAAGAGATTTAATAAAAAACAAAAATAGTAATTATTAAAGATTAAAAGGTGCTTAAAAAGAGCTTTTGAGATAAGGATAAGTAAATATTATAAATGCGTTTCTTTTTTTAAAGAACATATTTATAAAATATATAAATATTTTTACATAATATTAGAGTTAATATTGTTTTATAAATTATATTTGATTTCATTTTAATTACATGTTTAAATATTAGAAACATTTTCTATTAAATAATAGATGTAGCAAGAAAACTTTCAAACTGGTAATAGCTAAAGAAACATCGAAGATATTAGAAAATAAGATTACAACTCTTAATTTAATAGATAATAGGACTAATTATAGATTCAGTAAGGAATAGAAAATCAGTTAGATATAAAAAGTTAAAGCCTCAGCCATTTTGATAAGTATGAAATTAATAAAAAAAATAATAATAATTAAAATATGATTGATAATAATGACAGTGAAACTATGCCAAAATCATAATTATGTAAAAAAAAAGGCAACTCTATTCATTTGAAATTAAGTTATGATTCTTAAAAGTATTGGTAGAATTAACAAACTAGTTAAAATAACTCAAAAGATGAATAAACTAGTATTATATATGAAAGCGGTGAAAATGAATTTTTTTGTTATTAAGGCATTAATGAGTATTCATCAATGGTTAATGAATAAAATGATAAAACAATAAAAATCAAATAATTTAAAGCAAACTAAAAATAAAGTAAATTTGAATAAATAAAAAATTATGAATAGTTATCAACTAATATTTAAGCAAAATCCACTAACTTGGTATACTTAGATAAAAAAATATAAGGAAATGAAGATTAAAATAATAAAATTCATACTAATCTAATTTTAGAAATAAAGAGATAGCTCACAAATAGGGATTATTAAGTAAAAGAAAATAAAGAAGAAATAGGTGGTGGCTTTGTTTTACGAGCATCTAAGTATATTAGATATAATCTAAAAAAAAAATATTTGGTATTGACAAGTTTAATTAAAATCTAAAATAGCTCTTAAAAGATTATAAAAAAGTTAGAATTTTTATAATTATTACAAGAAACTACAAAATATATCCAAATAGAAGATTCTTTTGAACTATCTTTAATTAGTTATCCATAATCAATTATTTTTGTTATAGTTTTGCTAAAATTCAAAAATACATACAATTTTCTTCTAAAAATTGAGAAAATAATTGATTTCTTTAAGGAAAATAAATATTACTTAGGAAAATATATAGCTGAAGGTGGTTATGGTGTTGTTTTTGATGGAAAAATATTTCAAAATAATAAAATATAAGAAGTAATATTCAAAATTTAATTCACTGATAAATAAAATATAAATGCAAGTGAAGAAGAATATAATATTATGAAAGGATTTGAAAAAAATATTAATTTAATTGATACTATTGATTATAAAATGATAGACTAGAATGTTTCTATTATATTGATGGAAAAGTGTGAATGCAATCTAAAAGATAAAATGTAATAACTTCAAGAAAAGAATTAATTTTCATTTACTTAACTTTTAAAAATTATATTTGATCTAATAGATGGGCTGATATTGCTGAAGGCATATAAAATAATTCATTTAGATATAAAACCTTAAAATATTTTAATTAATCATTATGGTATATATGTTATTTCTGATTTTGGAACATCTATTAAAAATAAAAATAATCAAGCTATTTAAGTTAAAGGATATACACCAAACTACGCTCCTGAAGAAGTAATTTAAAATAATGGTATTAATTATTAATCAGATGTCTATTCGTTTGGAAAAACATTAGAAATTGTTTTTAAGGAGTATGAGAAACTTTAAAATTATAATTAAAAAGAAAAAATTATTCTTGAAAAATTTAAATAAATTATATATGATTCTGTCCTCAAAAATTAAAGTTCTGAAAGAAAAACATGCTTGAAACTGCACAAAGCATTTTATGAAGTTGTTAAATTTGAAGAAAATATAGAATTTTCATAATCTTATATTGATAAAATTAGATTAATATTATCATAAACCTATCATGATAGTAACAAAGATATCTAGTTTTTTCAGGAAGTATCTATTTATTATTATGAAAAAATACTTGACTTAAAACAAAAAATTAAGAAATCTCATATTTTAAGCTTTGTTGATGAAATTGAATCACTTCCTATATCCTCTTTAAATAAGATTGATAAATTATCAAGTTAAGAAGATCCAGAGTGTATAGTAATTTATAATGAAATTGCAAATTTTTACAATGAACAGAGCTAATTTTAAATAGCTAAATAACAATTATAAAAATCTCTCGAATTATGTCAGTAATTATTCAAAAAAGGGCATCTCTATACAGCCAGCACACTTAATAAACTTGGTTTATTTTATTTAAAAGAAGATGGTTTAAAATATTCCCTTTAATCATTATAAATAATAGAAGATATTTTTAAAGGAGATACATTCATTAAAGCTATATACCTAAATACTCTTTCATGGTGTTATTCCAGTTTATAAGAATCTCTATAAGCTTTAAAATTATAAGAGGAATCTCTAAAAATCAGAAGTAATATCTTTAAGTTATATCATACTAGGATTGCTGTAGCTCTTAATAATTTAGGAACTATGTATTAAAATTATGATTTAAACAAATGCTTGAAATACTAACTTTTATCTCTGAAAATCAGGTAATCTCTTTTTAAAGAAAATCATCCGTGCACAGCAAGATCTCTTGATTGTGTTGGATAATGCTATCTAAATATGGGAGATTTATAAAAAGCAAAAAAGTATTTGTACAATTCATATTTTATGAGAAGAATAATTTATAAAGGAGATATTGACTGTGTTGCAGTTTCTTTAAAGAATATAGCAAAATATCATTAAAAGTCTGGTGAATTCATTAAATCAATATTTTTTTATAAAAAATATTTTTAAATGATGAAAAACTTGAATTATGATAGCATTGATTATGTCTACATTTTCCTTTATAATATAGCTCAGTGTTTGCTCTTTAATAAATAATATTAATAAAGCATATTTATTTTACAATTCTTTTTAAAAATATTTTCAAAAAATACTGCACAAATATCTAAGACTCATATAATTATTGGACTATGCTATTTCAATATGGGGCAATTATTAAAAAGTTTAGAATCTGTTTGCTAAGCCATATCAATTGATAAAAATGTTATTCAGCAAGATATCCATAAATTATCCAGTCTTATAAAAAATATTTTCAAAAGATATTAATTTCTTAGATATTTATCATTATGTCTAAATTTGAAAAATTAATACTCAGATAAATTCTAAAATTTTAAATTTAAAAAGTATTAATATTTTTTGCTAATGATCTACTTATTGATTCTAGAATTTTTAGAACAAGATGATAATCAAAGATTTCAACTTTATATTAGCATTTTAGAAATTACTAAAAAGTGATTATGTATTTATGTAAAAAACAAATGTTTTCTATATATATATAATATGTATATATGTGTGAATTAATAATTATAGTTTAAAATACAATATTAAAGTTAGTAATAAAAAGATACATATTTTTTAAATTTTTTTATTTTAAAAAAATAATTTATTTACTTACAAAAGTATTAATAATATTTATATAATAAAACAATAGTAAAATCTATCTATCTATCAATTTTTATTTTGGGTTTAAAAACTTTTACAAAATATAAAATAACAAAATATATAATATTCAATTATTCAAACATTTAATATTTATTCATTTTTTTTTCACCAGTTGTTTATCAAAAGATATCATGATTAAAGACAACTAATCTTTTTGATTTAAGACACTTGCTTTTTACTTTGTAATTTTATGTTTAATTCCATGAATATCTAAAAATTTTTTTATAAATTTGTGTAAATTTTAAATAATTATCAAATAAGCTAAACTTTTAAATTAAAAATTATTTCTTAAATTAATAAATAGAATAAAATTAGTGGAATAAAAAGATAAAAAAATAAATCAAATAAAAGCTATCAAATAAATTCAAAGAGCTTTTATGTTTTTTATTCATTTTTATTGTTTAAATATGAAAAAATGAAGAAAAAATAGGAAATAATAAGATTAATTCATTAATAATAAAAGAAAAAGATGAAAATAAAATAATTAGTTAAATTAATAAAGAAAGAATAAAAAATAGAAAGCACAATAAAAATAAAAATAAAAAATAGCTTAATTGTTTTAAATTAGTTTTTAAAATTAAAAATATCACAATCCAAAATAAATAAACTGTTTTTACTCAAGGTATAGTGTCAAATTTTAGAGATTAATGCAATTTGCTAAAGCAGAGCCTAAGGCTAATGCACTTTCATCACTAATTTTATTGGATCTTTTTAATTATTGGATAAAAGATATATCATTAAATAGTTAATTAGAAGGAAAAAATGAAGAAAAAATATGAAATAATAAGATTAATTAATAATAAAAGCAAAAATTGAAAATAAAATGATGAGTTAAATTTTAATTAACAAAGGAAGAAATAAAGAAAGAACAAAAAAAATTAGTTTTTATAATTAAAAATATCACAATCCAAAACTCACAAAGTATTTTTACTTAAGATCAAGTGACAAATTTTAGAGATTAATGCACTTTGCTAAAGCAGAACCTAAGCTTGAAATGCCTTTGTCACCAATTTAATTGTTACTTTTTAAATAGTGAAGAAAAAATATTTCATTAAATAGTTAATTAGAGGGAAAAAATGAAGAAATAATATGAAATAATAAGATTAATTAATTAATAATAAAAGTAAAATTTGATAATAAAATGATGAGTTAAATTTAAATTAACAAAGAAAGAACAAAAAAAAGCAAGCACAATAAAAAGAAAAAGAAAAAATTGCTTTATTGTTTTAAATTAGTTTTTATAAAGTATTTTTACTTAAGCTCAAGTGTCAAATTTGAGAGATTAATGCACTTTGGTAAAGCATAACCTAAGCTTGATGTACCTTTGTCACCAATTTAATTGTAACTTTTTAAATATTGAAGAAAAATATATCATTAGATAGTTTATTAAAAGGATGAAATGAAGAAAAAATATGAAATAATAAGATTAATTAATTAATCATAAAAGTAAAAATTGAAAATAAAATGTTGAGTTAAATTAAAAAAGAAAGAAACAAAGAAAGAAAAAGCAAGTACAATAAAAAGAAAAAGAAAAATGAGCTTTATTGTTTTAAATTAGTTTTTATAATTAAAAGTATCGCTTAATTAATAAATAATAAAAGTAAAAGTTGAAAATAAAATGATGAGTTAAATTTAAATTAACAAAGAAAGAACAAAAAAAACAAGTACAATAAAATGAAAAAGAAAAAAGTGCTTTATTGTTTTAAATTAGTTTTTATAAATAAAAATATCACAATCCAAAACAAACAAAGTATTTTTACCTAAGATCAAGTGTCAAATTTGAGAGATTAATGCACTTTGCTAAAGCAGAACCTAAGTCTGATGCACCCATTTTACCAATTTAATTGCCACTTTTTAAATATTGAAGAAAAATATATCATTAAATAGTTAATTAAAAGGATAAAATGAAGAAAAAATATAAAATAATAAGATTAATTAATTAATTATAAAAGGAAAAGTTGAAAATAAAGTGATGAGTTAAATTTAAATTAACAAAGAAAGAAAGAATAAAAAAAAGTAAGTACAATAAAAAGAAAAAGAAAAAAGAATTTTATTGTTTTAAATTGGTTTTTATAATTAAAATAGCACAATCCAAAATAAATAAACTGTTTTTACTCAAGGTTAAGTGTCAAATTTGAGAGATTAATGCAATTTTATAAACCAGAGCCTAAGCCTGATGCACCCATTGCACCAATTTCATTGCGACTTTTTAAATATTGAAGAAAAAATATATCATTAAATAGTTAATTAGAAGGAAAAAATGAAGAAAAAATATGAAATAATAAGATTAATTGATTAATAATAAAGTAAAAATTGAAAATAAAATAATGAGTTAAATTAACAAAGAAAGAACAAAAAAAAAGCAAGCACAATAAAAAGAAAAAGATCAAAATCCAAAAAAAATTAAGTTTTATACCTAAGATCAAGTGTCAAATTTGAGAGATTAATGCACTTTGCTAGAGCAGGACCTAGGTCTGATGCACCTTTTTAACCAATTTAATTTTTACTTTTTAAATATTGAAGAAAAAATATATGATTAGATAGTTAATTAGAAGGAAAAAATGAAGAAAAAATATGAAATAATAAGATTAATTAATTAATCATAAAAACAAAAGTTGAAAATAAAATGATGAGTTAAATTAACAAAGAAAGAACAAAAAATAAGCAAGGACAATAAAAAGAAAAAGAAAAAAGAGCTTTATTATTTTAAATTAGTTTTTATAATTCAAAATATCACAATCTAAAATAAACAAAGTATTTTTACCTAAGCTTAAGAGTTAAATTTGAGAGATTAATGCACTTTGCTAAAGCAGAAACTAAGCTTGATGCACCTTTTTCATCCATTTTATTGTCACTTTTTAAATATAGAAGAAAAAAATATATCCTTAAATAATTAATTAATTTGAAGGAAAAAATATGAAATAATAAGACTAATTAATTAATTAATAATAAAAGGAAAAGTTGAAAATAAAATGATGAGTTAAATTAACAAAGAAAGTACAAAAAAATCAAGCACAATAAAAAGAAAAAGAAAATAGAACTTTATTGTTTTAAATTAGTTTTTATAATTAAAAATATCACAATTTATAACTAATAAACTGTTTTTACCCAAGGTTAAGTGTCAAATTTGAGAGATTAATGCAATTTGCTAAAGCAGAACCTAAGTCTGATGCACCCATTGCACCAATTTAATTGCCACTTTTTAAATATTGAAGAAAAATATATTATTATTAAATAGTTAATTAGAATGAAAAAATATGAAATAATAAGATTAATTAATTAATAATTAAAGGAAAAGTTGAAAATAAAATGATGAGTTAAATTAACAAAGAGAGAACAAAAAAAAGCAAGCACAATAAAACGAAAATAGTGCTTTATTGTTTTAAATTAGTTTTTATAATTAAAAATATCACGATCCAAAACAAATAAACTGTTTTTACTGAAGATCAAGTGTCAAATTTGAGAGATTAATGCAATTTGCTAAACCAGAACCTAAGTCTGATGCACCCATTGCACCAATTTAATTGCCACTTTTTAAATATTGAAGAAAAAATATGAAATAATAAGATTAATTAATAATAAAAGCAAAAATTAAAAATAAAATGATGAGTTAAATTAACAAAGAAAGAAAAAAAAAAGCAAGTACAATAAAAAGAAAAAGAAAAATGAGCTTTATTGTTTTAAATTAGTTTTTATAATTAAAAGTATCGCAATCCAAAACAAATAAACTGTATTTACTGAAGATCAAGTGTAAAATTTGAGAAATTGATAAAATTTGCTAAAGCAGAACCTAAGCCTGATGCACGTTCGTCACCAATGTTATTTCTTCTTTTTAAATATTGAAGAAAAATATATCATTATATAGTTAATTAGAAGGAAAAAATGAAGAAAAAATATGAAATAATAAGATTAATTAATAAATAATAAAAGTAAAAGTTGAAAATAAAATGATGAGTTAAATTTAAATTAACAAAGAAAGAAAAAAAAAAGCAAGTACAATAAAACGAAAAAGATAAAAGTGCTTTATTGTTTTAAATTAGTTTTTATAATTAAAAATATAACAATCCAAAATAAATAAACTGTTTTTACGAAAGATTAAGTGTCAAATTTGAGAGATTAATGCAATTTGTTAAACCAGAGCCTAAACCTGATACACCCATTCTACCAAATAAACCGAATAAACCGACTCTTTTTAAATATTGAAGAAATAATATATCATTAAATAGTTAATTAAAAGGAAAAAATGAACAAAAAATATAAAATAATAAGATTAATTAATTAATAATAAAGCAAAAATTGAAAATAAAATAATGAGTTAAATTAACAAAGAAAGAACAAAAAAAAAGCAAGCACAATAAAAAGAAAAAAGAGCTTTATTGTTTTAAATTAGTTTTTATAAATAAAAATATCACAATCCAAAACAAACAAAGTATTTTTACGTAAGATCAAGTGTCAAATTTGAGAGTTTATTGCAATTTGCTAAAGCAGAACCTAAGCCTGATGCAATTTTTTCATCAAGTTAATTGCCACTTTTTAAATATTGAATAAAAAATATATCATTAAATAGTTAATTAAAGGAAAAAAATGAAGAAAAAATATGAAATAATCAGATTAATTAATTATTAATAAAAGTAAAAGTTGAAAATAAAATGATGAGTTAAATTTAAATTAATAAAGAAAGAAAGAAGAAAAAAAAGTAAGTACAATAAAAAGAAAAAGAAAAAGGAGTTTTATCACTTTAAATTAGTTTTTATAATTAAAAATATCACAATCCAAAACAAATAAAGTATTTCTACCCAAGATAAAGTTTCAAATTTTAGAGATTAATGCAATTTGCTAAAGAAGAACCTAAAACTGATGCACCCATTTCATCAATTTCATTGTAACTTTTTAAATATTGATGGCAAAATATATAATTAAATAGTTAATTAGAAGGAAAAAATGAAGAAAAAATATGAAATATAAGATTAATTAATTAGTAATAAAAGTAAAAGTTTAAAATAAAATGATGAGTTAAATTAACAAAGAAAGAAAGAAAAAATCAAACACAATAAAAAGAAAAAGAAAAAAGAACTTTATTGTTTAAATTTGTTTTTATAATTAAAAATATCACAATCCAAAACAAATAAACTTTTTTACCTAAGGTCAAGTGTCAAATTTTAGAGATTATAGCAATTTCCTAAAGCAGATCCTAAGCCTGTTACACCTTCGTAATCAATTTCATTGCTTCTTTTTAAATATTGAAGAAAAATATATCATTAAATAGTTAATTAAAAGGAAAAAATGAAGAAAAAAATATGAAATAATAAGAAATAAATAATAAAAGCAAAATTTTAAAATAAAATGATGAGTTATATAAACAAAGAAAGTACAAAAAAAAGTAAGTACAATAAAAAGAAAAAGAAAATAGAACTTTATTGTTTTAAATTAGTTTTTATAATTAAAAATATCACAATCCAAAACTAATAAACTGTTTTTACTCAAGATTAAGTGTCAAATTTGAGAGATGAATGCAATTTGCTATAGCAGAACCTAAAACTGATGCACCCATTGCACCAATTTAATTGCTTCTTTTTAAATATTGAAGAAAAATATATCATTAAATAGTTAATTAAAAGGAAAAAATGAAGAAAAAAATATGAAATAATAAGAAATAAATAATAAAAGCAAAATTTTAAAATAAAATGATGAGTTAAATAAACAAAGAAAGTACAAAAAAAAGTAAGTACAATAAAAAGAAAAAGAAAATAGAACTTTATTGTTTTAAATTAGTTTTTATAATTAAAAATATCACAATCCAAAACTAATAAACTGTTTTTACTCAAGATTAAGTGTCAAATTTGAGAGATGAATGCAATTTGCTATAGCAGAACCTAAAACTGATGCACCCATTGCATCAATTTAATAGTGACTTTTTAAATATTGATGGCAAAATATATAATTAAATAGTTAATTAGAAGGAAAAAATGAAGAAAAAATATGAAAATAAGATTAATTAATAATAAAAGCAAAAGTTGAAAATAAAACGATGAGTTAAATTAACAAAGAAAAAACAAAAAAAAGTAAGCATAGTAGATAGAAAACGAAAAAAAAGCTTCATAGTTTTAAATTAGTTTTTATAATTAAAAATATCACAATCCAAAACAAATAAACTGTTTTTACCCAAGGTTAAGTGTCAAATTTGAGAGATTAATGCAATTTGCTAAACCAGAACTTAAGCCTGATACGTCCTAATCATCATTTTATATACTGTAGGTTACATCATCATAGTCCATTTCGTATATATTTCCTCTGTTCATATATAGTGTGAAATTTTGTAAAATTTTTCAAAATTTATTTTTTTCAAAAAAAATGATATATTAAAAAAATATAAGGTAATTATTATTTCAAATTTTACATTTTGTGAATTTAAAACTTTCAAAAAACTAAAAGTAAAGCTGTTTAAAGCTAATTTAGCTTTTTTATTTTGTTATTAAGATATATTATTTTGCCTTTAGTAAATTAATAGGCATTTCACTCTAGATCACTTTAAGGAAAAAATGAAGAAAAAAAATGAAATAATAAGGTTAATTAATAATTAATAAAATTAACAAAAAATGAAGAAAAAAAAGTAATCACAATAAAAAGAAAAAGAAAAATAAATCAAATAAATTAAAAGAGCTTTAATGTTTTAAATTGACTTTTATAATTAAAAATATTATAATCCAAAACAAATAAACTGCTTTTATTAAGTGTAAATTTTAATAGCAAAAAATGAAGAAAATATATAAAATAATACAAAATGAATAATTAATAATTAAAAATTGAATTGAAAATTAAGTTAAAATAGCTAAAAAATATTTGTTTTAATAAAAATCAATGAATAATGATTATAATTTCTCAAATAAAATTATTTATTTAAATAAATTGAAAGTTAAAAATATAAAAAATATTAATAATTTATAAATAAATAAAATATACCCGAGATCAATATGGAGAATCTAATGAGATAAAAGTGAAGAGCTTAGAAACTTTTTTTATTAGTTTATATAAATTTATAGGATATTAATAAAAAAATTAATAATTACTTCTTCCAAATTATTATATTTTTTAATCTATTACATCATTTATTTTTTTTTTCTTCAGAAATATTGAATAGCAAGTAATTTATGGAATTTAATTAATTATAAATGGATAAAAAGAACAAATAAAATATAATAATTAATTATCAATATTAATTTATAAATTTGGTTTTATGAAGAGATATCACATAAAAATTAATTTAACATTCATTATTTAATCTTAATATATTTTTTTAAAACATTTTCTTAAAAATATAGTAGGAATTAGAGATGGCCAGTTATTTAGTCTTATTTGAAAAAATTTTATTAATTAATGTTCATAAAAATTTTATTAACATTTTTATATATTTATTTCATGCTATTTTACTATCATTTATAAATATAAATTTTAAGGCATTTTAAAATTACTAAAATAAATAATTTTATTTATTAATTGCTTCCAATAGTTCTATTTTTTAAGATTAAATATTTTAACAAATAAGATCATTTTCTTTCAAGCTATATTTATTTAATAGATTTTTTATTTTTAGGTAAAATTAAAATCTAACTTTTATATGTTTTTGATTCCTATCACTTTAAAATTTATTTGTTTTCATTTCAGTCAAACAAGATGAACTTCTTCACAATTCTTTTAAGTTTTTAAATTTTTCTAGAAAATCGTTATTTTTCTCTATAACTAATATCATTAGTCCTTTTTTAAATAATATTATTTTATGAAAAAAAAATTAATTTTAATTGTTTAATTTCTATATATTGTTATAAATAAATAAAGTATTTTTTACAATAATAATTGAAATAATTGATAATTAAATTCAAATATATTTTTATGTTGGTTTGTGTATTTTTAGGATGATAAGTAAATCAAAGAATATTCAATTAAAAATAAATAAATAAATTTAATTTTATACTCAAGTTTGATTGATAAATTATAAAGTTTTTATAAGGTTGCTAATGAACAAGCCAAATTTGCCATTATCTCATCTGTAATCTAAGTTTTACTTAATATTTAATTAAAATATAAACAAATATGTCTTTTAAATTACTAAAGGACAAGAACTAAGCTCAAAATAGTATTGCAAGCTGATAAATCCTTTACCATACCTAACGCACCTTCATTATCTATTTTGTTAGCTCTAAAAAAAAATCTATTAAGAAAGCTTAAAATTCTAACATGGAATATTTAATTGGTGGAAAAAACATTAATATAAATAATAAAATTGTACTTATTATTTTTATTTAAATAATTTACATAAACAAATAAATAATTTTTTTATTTAATTACCCTAAATTAAGACTGAGGTTTTAAATATTTTTGCAATTTGCTAAACCTTGACCTAATTTTTATGCTCCGCTTGGTCCTATATTATTCTACCTTTAAAGTTTAGAAAAAATTAGTCAACGCTGAAAAATAAAGTTTAAATATTGCTCTCAGAATAAGTGCTAAAAATAATATTAAAATAAATTTGATACCCTAAATTGAGTGCCAGTGTTTAAAGATTTTTTAATTTTTGAATAGTATTTCCTAGCTCAATAGAACCCTAATCACTTATGTCATTCAATCTTTTAATATAAATAATTTAGATAAAATAATAAATAAAGAAGGGTTATTTAATCATTTTTATAAATTATTTCATCTTTTTAAATTTTTTTTCTAAAATTTAAAGACATTCTTAATTAAAAATATAAATTTAATCCTCCTCCTTTTTACTGAATTGATAAGAATTATGTACATATAAATTTTAAATCAAATGCTTACTAAAAATCAAGAATTAAGGTTGATAGCTAAATGCAATTTTCTAAAGAAGCACAAATAATAGACGCTCCTTTTCCTATTATATTATTTGCCCTTTAATTTTATTAGCAATATTTATTTATTTATTTATTAAAAAGTTTAATTTGCAAACAATCAAATATTTAATTAATTAAATCTGTTTTTCAAAAAATTCTTTTCTATAAATATTAATAAGGATTGATTGATATAAATGAATTTACAAAAAGTTAAGATTAACACTTTAGAGATTATGACATTTAGATAGCCCTTAAGCAATACCATTTATTCCTTCGTTGCATATTTTATTGGCTCTTTTAATATAATTTAATAAATCAATATTCAATTTTTCCATGCAAGTAGATAAATATTTTTACTAAATATTGAGAGTAAGATTATTTAGATTTTAGCATTTACCAAATTATGAACCTAAATATGAAGCTCCTTTTGATCCGATATCATTATAGCTTTGTTATTAAATAAAATAATTTAAAGAAAAATAATTTACTTAATTATTAAGAAATAAACAAATTAAAAAAAAATTAATTTTTTATGATAATTTAATTCTAATTTTTTAAAAAAAGGTAATTAACTAATTTAATAAGTTTACTAAAGATTCAAAGTTAAATTTTTGATGTTTTGGCATTGACTTAAAAACTCACCTAAATTTTGAGCTCCTTGTGATCCAATCCTATTAGATCTAAAATGACAGAAATTATTAAAAAACAAAACAAAATTTATAAATTTAATAATTATTGTATTTAATGAATAAAGTTTTATTAACCCTATAATCAAGGTGAAACTAATAAGATTTTTGCATTTAACTAAACCTTAACCTAGATTTGAAATTCCTTACTCTCCAAATAAATTGTTGCTTTTTTAAAAATAAATTCGAATAAACAAAAAATATATTCATTTTAGTAAATAAATAGTTAAAAAATAAAAAAATACCTCATAACTAATGTTAAATCTTGCAGATTTTGACAATTAGCAAAAGCTTATCCTAAAACTAACAAACCTTAATCCTGAATACTATTATAGCTAAAAAATATTTATTATTAAATTCGCTAATTTTTACAAATTCGATGAACTAATTAAAAGAAATATTTTTTATCTAAAAATGTTTATGTGAAAATAAATTAACATTTAAAAGATCAAAATTATTTTACTTGAGAGAAAGTGCAATAGATATTAGATTGACACATTTTTTGATTGCATCGCCTAAAATAGCAGCTTCTTAGTCTTAAAGATTATTGTAACTTTTTAATTTTTAATTAAAATTCTTATTTTTTTGTAAAAGAATATTTACTTAATATTATTTTAATAGATTTATTTATTATATAAAATTAATGAGCAAAACTTTAAAGTTGATTAAAAAAAATAAATAGGTTTTATTATTTATAATGAAATCAGTTGACTTATTAATAATATATTTTTAAAGAAACTTAAATTTTAACTTAAGTTATAAGGATATGCTAGTATGATCAGATAGATTAGACTCTTAAAACTTTTTTTAAAGAAAAATTAAATTTATAAAAAAGTTTTTTGGTATTTAAATGATTACTTCTTTAAGTGAATTATAAATAATTTTCTATTAAATCATTTTTTTAGCTAAATTAATTTATATTCCAAACTTTTATTTCTAATAATTAAAGTAAAATAATTGCAAATTATTTATTTATTTAATTAATTAACAATAATTATCTTATAATATCAGATTAATCATTTCAAAAAAAAAATTTATTAAACTATTAATGAAAATTTAAAAAATTCAAGAAAATTTGAATTATTTTTTTTATAACTTGTCAGATTAATATAAACTATTAAATATATTTATTGATTATATAAATTTTATAAATAAAAGTAATAATATATTATTTTAACTTTAAATAAAGAAAAATTAATTCATTATAATATAATTTTATATATATTTTTCAAAATCTAAAAATTTTAATTTATTTTATCTCCATTGCTCTTCATTTAATTATTTACAAAGCTTAATCTAATTTTCTATCAAAAGTATTACTTTAAGTTTAAAATATAAACTGTTTTATTTTCTTTCTTGTTAATTTAATAGATCGACTTGTTTCATTAATTTTTTATTCTTAGTTTTTTAGTTTACATTTTTAGTTTGTTAGTTAGTGTTAGTTAGTAATTCATTATTAATATGAATAAACAACTCACTTTTTTATTACAATTTAGTCTTCAATAGTTACTCAAATTATTGTTATTATTATTATTATTATTATTATTATTATTGTTATTGTTATCATATCTCTGGTATCCTTTCATAATTGGATCTATATTCATTGGATTTAAATTAAATTAATAGGAGTTTGGTGCAGGCGCATTTGAAAGCGGTTTTAATTAGCCATCTAAAATTAAAAAAAAGTTATTTTAATTGAAAAATGAATAATTTTACTTTTTTATGGTTTTCTTGCTTCTGGTTAGGCAGAATATGAATGTGAAGAATGTCCATTAGGTTAATTCGATTTTTCTATTAAGTTTAGTAAATTATTAGCATTAGGATTATTAACAGGATCCAAAATAATGCCATTTATATTTTTCTTTGGATTTGAATGATTAACTATTTCTATATCATTTCCTAGTCTATTATGGAGGTTAGATGAGGGCATATTGTATTAATTATAGTGATTTTTAGATTTTTCAGTTGGGAGATTTGGATTCGTGCCATATTTTGCATCTAATTTGTTGAATTTAAAAATATAAAACATTTTATTAAGAAAAATTATTAAGTAAATAAAATTAATCTATCTTTCTAAGTTAATTACTGTTTTAATTGATCTTCGTGATACTGTTTTTACGATTTTTACTTCTTCCTCTTGAGTTTACTCTATTTTATTTATCATTACTATTAAAAGATATATCCATTTAGCTTTTAGATTAATAAGATTCATCTACTTCAAACATTGTACTGTTTTAAGTCTTTTCAAACTCTATCCTTCTTGATTCCTTTTCGATATTTACTTATTCCATTGCTATATTAAACATAAAATTACATTTTAATGTAAGTTTTTTCTAATAAAATTTAATTTCTACCCTGATTTTAAGGAAGCTTTGGAAATCTTATTTCTTTGTTTTTAAAGAAGAAGGGAGTGACTTTATAAGAGTTTGAATCTTCATCGAAAGTTGACTAAGATTTTATCATTTCATATTCTGTTCTCGTTAAAAGCATGTCAATAATAGCTTTATTTAATTTATCTGTAAGTTCGAGGTGTCTAATTGTGTCTAAGAGCTCTTCTTTGTCATCTTCATGCTCATTTTAAAGATCTTTGACCTCTTCTAATGCTTATTTTAGTTTCTTTCTTAAAATTTTATTATTCTCCCTAAGTTAAGACACTTCCTCTTATAAAGATTTAAATTCATTTTCTTATTACAATAAATTTTCTTCATTTTTTTTCTTCTCTTCTAATAGTTGCTCCTTCAATTTATTCTACTTTTTTAACTTCTTTCTAAGCTCTTAATACTTCTTTTAAGCCTCCGACTATTAAGTTTCTTGAACATTACCACCTTATATTTTATTTTATTCTAACTATTTAAGTTTTTCAGCCATTTCTTAAACAAGTCTCTTTTCTTCTTAAAGTTTTTCTTCTTTTTACAACATTTCATTCATCATTTTTTGCTTTTATTAATTCATTTCTTCTTATTGCTCTTGCAGCTTTTTTAATTCTTCAAATTGTTGCTTATTTCTAATAACCTAGCTTTCGCTAATTTCAATTCCCTTGACCATTTTGCTAGGACTTTCAGATTGATTAGCTACTCCTCCTCCACTAGGTTAATTTTCGAGCATTCTACGTAATCTATTAATTTCCTCTGCATATTCCTTTAGCAAAGCATCCTTAGGATCTTCGTTTACCTTAGGTTGATTCTTAATATTCTTTGCTCTTGAAGCATACCTCAAAGTACCTAATGTTTCATCATAGGAATAATCAGCAGGCGAAATAGCTGCAATCATAATTGTCTTTGTATTACCACCAAGTGAATCCTCCAACAGTCTTGTAAGCTTTGAATCTCTATATGGAATATGGTGAGTTCTACCATCAACAAGTGCAGATATAACATTACCTATTTCAATAATTTTGATAAATAATCTTTAATATTTTGATTCTAAAAAATATTTTTATAGTATTTCAATATTTATTTAGTCTTTGTTTAAAATCTAACATTTAATTTTTAATAAATATCAAAAATAAATTACAATTTTTTATAATTAAGTAAAATTCTACAAAAATAACAAAAAAGAATTACCTAAAGCACTTAGTGATAAATTAATTTTATTTGCTTCCTTTAAACGATCACCTGTTGCTTGAGTTTTGCTTTATCTTTCTGAACCAGCTAAATCTACTAAATTTAACTTTCCTGCACGAAAATGCTGATTACCTGTTGAGTCTATTTCACTTGTTTCTATATAAATTGTAAATATACTGTGAGATCTACTTGAATCTTTATTCATAGCTGTAGCACCTATTTTTTATGAATATTTAATTTCAATTCATAAATTCTAATATAAACTTATTAATCATTTAAAATACTTTAAAATAAAATAACCTAAATTTAGATTAAATTTTAATATTTTATTATTCCTTCTACTTTTTATTCAATTCAAATTATTAAATATGTTGTTTAACTATTAAAAATGGATTTAAAATCGCTAATTTCTCATAGTTTGAAAAACTAAAACTCTAAAGCTATGTTTATAAAATCTAACAGACATACTTGCTATGAGATAAATAAATAATTAAAAATTTGAGTGCTATTTTTTGTGGTTATATTGAATCATTTAATTTATAAACATGTGCTTAACTAACTAGTACAAGCAAATAAGTCATTTATTTATTTAGTTAATTTTTTCTATATTAATTTTTATAAATAATTGATAAAATTCATACCTACTGAGCGATTTTCATTTCCTTTGTACATTAGATTTTCCATTTCTTTAACAGACTTAACAACAATTTAATTCAAATCCTTGACAAAAACACCCTTTTCAGGTGATTATTTAAGCTCAAACTTTGCTTTTGGATCTTTTGAGAGTAGATCATGTATTTCTTCGTTATATATTTCAAGAAATGAGACTCTAACTAAAAATTCTTTTGAACTGGTTGTCTCAATCAAATTAATAATATGAGAAAATGTTCTAGGAATGATTCCCTTTTCTTCTTCTTTGCTTGGGTCTCCCATCATCGTATGCGTTTTACCACAACCTGTTTGTATAATAAATTGAAACCTTTTTTCTTGAAATACTCAATAAACTTAGCTTATTTTTTCATTAATTCATCAACTAATCATTGAATAAATTGCAATTTTAATATATATTTAATTAATCTCTTCTCTACATTTTTCCATTCTAATTTATTTATTTATTTTGATTGAATATACGCTTTCATTCTTTTTTTTTGTAGAATTGACATTTTATAATTTAATATTACATTAAAAAATTACAAGCTATAATAGTTAAAAACAAATATTTTGTTGCTTGAAGATTAAAATTTTACCTGTTTAACCATAGGCGAATATAGTACCATTATAGCCTTCGAAAACACTTTCTACTAAAGGAAATGCACTTGCTTCGTAAACTAATTATTGCTATACCTTTTGATAGAACACAGCATCATAGGTAAATACCTTTTCCGAACCAGCCTCATTTGGTTTTCTAAGTACTATTTGATTAAGCTTAGTATCAACTTCAACGCATTCTTTACTATTATTTTATCTTTCCTTATCATTCATAGGTCTAACACGGACCATGACTTTAACGCATTCTTAGGGCATGTTTAAATTTAATGGCTGGCTATTTTATTATTAATAATTTAACTAAGTAGTCTTTGTCTAAAATCTATTTGATCTATAATAATTGTTTAAGCTAAATGTTTAGTGGCTTTTTAGAATTGTTTGTTGTGCCTATTTAATAGTTTTAAAATTGTTTTAGTGTTGCTAAAAATTGGATTTGTTGAACTGCTTTTTTAGTGAACTAAAAACTTTTTGAGTTATTGTGTTAATTAATTAGTAATAATTTTTTAATTTTAGTATTGATATTTATTTGCTTTGTGAATATACAAATCAAATCGACAATTAATGATTAATATTCACACATACACATAAATTATATGTATTTATTCATTCAACTAACTAAGAATCACCTTTTTACAACTCCATCATATATTTCCTTAACCATTCATATGTTTGTTATTCATAAGTTATTAATTAATTAACTCAACCTCATATCATATCATATATACATACATGCACACACTATTTTTATGTGGTTTATTAATTTTCAAGTGAATTTCTTAATAATACAAATAAATGAAAAATAAAGGCTACTGTATAAATGTTAAGTAATTTATTCTTTTAATTAGGAAAATGAAATAAAACAATAAATATATTCCATATATTTTTTATAACATTATAATTTGTTTGCTTATCTTCATCCAAAATTCAATAAATTAAACAAAAATTAATTTTTTTCTTAAATTAACAAAATTATATCTATCTTACAACCATTCTTTTTCCATCTAAAGCTTTTCAAATAAGTATTTTAAATTTAATTTTAATTTAAGTAATGAATAAATCTGTGGCACAACATATTGGAATATATAATCATATTTATCTTTTTTTTTAAATTTTATAAAAAAATAAAAAAAATTTTTAAACATTTTAAAAATAAATAAGTAAAAAATAACATAGTTTCATAAAACATATAAATTGTTAAAATCACAGTAAGTAAAAATTTTTAAGTGGTTTTTTGATATAATAGCTATATATTTATTATCTTTAGAGATGTCTATGTAATTAACGTTACCTATAAAAATAGATTTAGTTAACTCAAAGCCATTTTGAATGTGATGCAAATTTAAATATTCATTATCTATTGTTATTAAATATTTTGCATCTTAGGAGCAAGATATAATTTTTATTTCTTTTTCTACCTAAATTTCTTTTATTTTTTCAAATTATTATTTGATATTAAAAATATTTATATGGTTTGATAGAGTATAGAATTCACTACTATTTGGTGAAAAAAAAGAGCTGTTCGAATCAAACTGAGCTATCATTTCAAAATTGTTTTTTATATTGTAGATATATACCTTTGCAAATACTTACAAAGCTAAGTATGTATTATCAGAAGAAAACATAATAGATTTATATTCATAGCTTTTTTCTTTTTAAATTTTATGCAGCTAATTAAAACCAAATTTACCTTCAAATATATATAGACCACTATACAACACAGTAACTGCAATATATTTACCATTTTAGGAAAATTTTATATCTGAAACATAATTATCTGTAGAATATCCTGTATTTATCTGTTGAATCAAATCAAAATCTTATTCAATTTCCCAAATTTTAAAACCGTCAGCATAACCTGTAGCTAGATATTTACTATCAGGCGAGTAAGCTACACAAAATGTACTAAGCTCAGTTTTTGCTTGCAGTTATATTATTTTCATAGATTCAAAGTTATTTTTTATGTCATACACCACGCAGCCATTGATATTTCCTGATTTTACTAAATATTTTCCACATGGAGAAAAGCAAGTCTAAAACCCATTAAAAATGTAGCTAATCTTTTTAATTTCATCAACTCTTTCGTAAATTATATCTAAATTCAAAAATTTATAAAAATAATAGTTTTCTCTAGCAACTAAGTATTGGCTGTCTGCCGAAAATACCATATTTTCAACTTTGAAATTCATTATAGATATAGTTTCATAATTTTTTTCTACCGAATACAAAAATATCTTAAACACTTTGGCAACGATTAAATATCTACCATTTGGAGAATAGCAAACATATTTTACATCATCATCTTCACATTCTTTGACTAATTTTAGAATATGTGATAGCTCTAAATCCTTTTATAAATTAAGTATTTTACAATGTTCTCCTCCATGAGTCCAATCACAATCCAATAGGGCTATGTTAATCTCATCAGGTGAAATAGTTAAGGAAGAACGATATGAATGACTTAAGGTTCTAATAAGTGAGAAATCATTTTTTAGATCCCAAATATTAATTGAATAATTAGAGCAATAAGCAGCAAAATATGAGTCATTTTTAGAAAATAACATAAATTCTAAAATTGCAGTTTGTCCTAATAAGATTTCAATATCTTCATCCTCATCGTATTACTCTTATTCATCCTCATCATATTCCTCTTCTTCATGAGGTATATCTATTACTCTTACTTATTTAAAAGAATTATGTATATCTAATACTTGTAAAGTGTGTAAGTAAGATGTTATTGCTAAATACTTACCACTAGAAGAGAATGCAAATGATAAAACCTTAAACTTATCTTAGGTTTCTATCAAATTAAAACTATTTTATGCATCATAAACTGAGAAAGAAATATCATCTAAAAGAACTAGTAGAACACTATTGTCAGGAGAGAAGTTAATTTACTTTATTATTTAATTAGTAGATATTTTGAATAGACCCTAATATTTCTTGTTCATATTACATATTTAAAATTTATTACTATTTATACAATTTGTAAAATATTTTCCATCACTCGAGAAATCAATATTACAATTATGTGACACCCATTCTTCAACTAATTCAAATTATCATTAAACATCAAATAATTTTATATTTTTATCTTGTTATCTTCCAAAACCTTACCTTTACTTAGATATGCACAAAAAAAACATATTATTTTCTGAAAGCTCTATTATATCAATAGAATTTATGTTTAACTATTTGTGATTTATATATCATTTTCTAAGCTCCATATTTTGCAAGAATATTATGTAATAAGAATAAGGAGTTTACTATCATTTGAAAATTTAAATAATTTGATTGGATCATCTTCCTTCTTACTTTGGAATATTATTTCAAAATTATTTTCCAATTTCCTTAAAGAAAAACTATTTTATGATATAAGTAATAAAGAATCCCCCTTAATATTAGTTCCACCAAATATATACTCATCTGCTTAAATTGAAGTAACTAAATCAAATTAATTACAATTTTTTTGAAAAAGCAATTAATTTCCTGAGTAAATAATTATATAATTCTTTGTAAGTATAGGGTTTATTCCTAGAATTTTTATTTATTAAAACCCATTTGAAACATTTCCAAAGAGCCATTTATTATCTTCGTTAAAAAGTTAGACCAAAAAATTTGGTAGATGTTTATTTACTTCAAGCTTTAATATTTTTGTTTTAAATTTTAATGTTGAATTAATTTCAAAATTCTCTTAATTAATATCAAACAGTGTTTGTTAACCAGAAGCAATTATTTTGCCATCTACTAGGTTTAAAGTATCTAAAGAATTACATGATATTTTTTTTTATACGTCTATCTATAAACCTTAACTACTAGCTGAAATGATTTATAAATAACCTGAATTCGTACAAGCTATAAATTTATTCTTAAAAGAAATAATCTAATTTATGGAACACATAATATTTGTTTAGAAATCTATTCTCAATTAGCCAAAAGAAGAATTTTAAGTGTTTGAAGCCTCGAAACTAGTTAAATTTTATTCTAATAAGTAAGCATCGCTTAAATTGCATTAATCGAAGTTAAGTGTTAAACTTTTCGACTTTGGAATATATGCTTTGGAAAATGAGCATTTTTTAAAATTCAATTCAGAAAAGGCAAAGTTTGACATAAAGAGAGCAGAAAGTAAATTCGAGGCTCCTATGTCTAAAATACTAAGTTCTTGTTAACTATTTATAGTAGATCTTCTTAAAAATTATATATATCTGTTTGTTTTAGAAATATCTTCTTCGTTGTAATTATTTTTGAATTGTTAAGATTTTATTTCTGGATTTAGCATTTCAAATAATTTTATTAAAATTTATTTTTCTGATTAATTTTTTTTAAAGCTCATAATAATCTTTTTATTTATATTAAATCTTTGTAATACTTTAATGTCTGTTTTGAAAATATCTTCACCTAAAATGTCAAAGTCTGACTTCATCGCCCTTGCTGTAAAATACTCAAATAACGACTTGTGCTTGAACTCAATCAGCTGGGTATTGATCAAACTAAAATTAATTTTGTTCCATATTTAGATTATTTGAAGTAGATCCTTTTCTGCAAATCCTTTATCTATAATTTTAGTAATTATTTTAGAATTTATGTATTTTCTTATGTTTTCTTCCAATAAAAACTGCTAATCTATTGAGAGAAGCCCTTTTAGGTCTTCTTTTTAAAAAAATGGTATTTCATTTCTTTTAACTTAAAGATAATTTACAGAAAACCCTTTTTTCAAAAACATTTGCAAAGCCATTTGCTCAAAATATTAAAAGTAAGCTAAGGTTATCATCCCTTTTAATTTTTAATGATCAGAAGATGAGTTAAGAGCAGTTTCTGAAATTTCCTAAGAAACATATTTATCAGCTTCTCTGCTAAATTATGCTCTGAAAAAAATCTCTTAAATTTGTATTTAATTTGTGATTTAACTTTAAAAGAACTCATTTAATTCTGTTTCAGATTAAATTGAAACTATGTGCCTGGTTATTATATATAAATTTAATGGTAAAAATAGTTATTATAATATTTAATTGTTTTCTAACAATTTATTCATCATAAACAAGTCACTTTAAACTAACTTTTCTTATTATTCTTTCTCACAATTTTTTCTATATAAAGAAAAATAATTTTTACAATACTCTCTTATTTATTGTATTTAGAATTCTTCTAAATTAAAAATTGCAAAAAGTGATTCATCTCTTTCTCCTCTTTCTTCAATACTAAAATATTAACATGCATCACCTTCTTTAAATTCCTCTTTTCTAGAAGTAACAATAATAATAGTGTTTTACCATTATTTTAAGTTTAGAGTACTATAAACATTAAAATTGTTTCCTGAAAACTCATCGTATCCGTCAAGAAGAATTACTTTTAATCTATTAGATTCTTTTATAGCTTTAATAAGCTATTAGCTATAATTTTAGACCAGCAAATAACTTTCGATATATGGATTGCTCAATTCAAGACTTTTACATTTAATTAGCAAAGGAATTACATGATGTAATTGATTATTTTTTTTGTCCTGAATCATTTTCTCTTCAATAATTATTGTCTCTAATTTTTTAAGTAAAATAGACTTTCCAGTACCACTATCTGCTAAAATACTTAAAATTTTGCAATTAGTCTTTTCATTAGTTTGCACAGTATTTGGTAAAATGAAATATTGAATAATTTCATCAATTGCAGTTGCTATCTGTTAATTATTTATTTAATCATCTTTCATTTCCAAAAGATTATTTCCTTCCAAATAATTAATTTTTTAGTCAATATAAAACTCCTCAATTTCTAAAATTGTTTCATCCCTAAACTCTTTTTGTTATAATAGTGTTTTTATCATTGTTGTTTCCCAATATTTAAGGAGTTCATTTTTTATGGCTTCTTAAATTTGGTTTTACCTTAGAATATCAACATATCCGCTCACTTAGCTACTATTTTAATCCTTTGAAGTTTCATTTGTTTGGAATATTTTTCCTAAATTTTATTAAAATTCTCTATATAATTCTGCAAACTTATTCTCAATAGTTAAATTTTCAATTTTATAAATGAAAAGAAAATCTTGGAAAAATATGATTTTTACTGAATCATCTTTCTCCTGTAAAAAATAGTGTAAAAGATATGCAGATATCTAATCATTAAGCTTTTAATCATTAAAATACTTTTTAGTTAAAATTGTGTTCACTTTTAGTAAAAATTGAAATGTTAAGAATTTTTGAATACTAATAGCATCAAGATTAGAAGTATTCTAATCAATATTATTTGATTGATTTATTAAGAGTTCAATTACTTTTATGATTTTTGTTTGAGTAAAAATATTACAAAATTCTTCTTCTTCTCCACTTTATTTATTTTATTCTATTTCATTTAAGAAATAACCAATTTCTATTAATAAAAATAAATAAATTGTATTCAAATTATTTTATTCAATCTTCAGAATAAGCTCATTTAAATATAGATTAATTAAATTTAGATCTTTTAAAGCTTTTTCATTTGCTTATGAATAATAACTATCAACATTTAATTAAGAAAGCTAAATTATTTGGATTAAATCAGAATGCTAGATACTTTAAGAATTTGCTTAATCACTCATTTATTCTTATAAAAATTGAAAACTATTATGTTTTTAAAAAGAAACAGTATCATCTGTACTTGAATCCTTTAAATAACCAAACATTTAATGCTCTTTAAGCAAAGAAATCAAGAAAATTATATCTTTTAGCGGATAGTATTTCTCATTTTTATCAAGATAAGTTTAAATTTAAAGTAAACTATTTCGAGCTTCTTACAAATCCAATTCATCTAATTTATTCTAGTTCTATTTATCTTTTCTAACAGACTACTAGAATATGTTTTTGCAAACTTATAAAATATTTATTTTATGAGTAAATCCCCCAGTACATAAAAATCCTTTAACTTCTTCTAAGCAATCCTACAATAATAAATGCGGATATTATGCTTTGTTAGTTTCAAGCATATATATGTATTATAATTTTTCCTAATTTAATTTTGAATTTATATTTTATTAAATGTTTTCTTATTTAATTTATTTGTTTCTTTTTAAATCTTTCTTTAATTTTGTTTATTCTATAAAAAATTTAGATAAATTTAACATAATTTCTTAAGTGACTGAGAACAAATATTAGCATTATTAATTAATTAAGCTTAGCTTAGAAATATTGCTAGATACTTTTTAACTTATTTGTAAAGCGTCTAATTTCAATTTAAAAAGAAGCTTTATTAAATTTAAAATAGGTACGAAAATTATTTATAATTAATCAAAAAATAAAAAAAATAAACTAGAGATATTTAAGAAGGAACATTCATTATAAATCAATAAATAAATTATTTAATTTCAGGTTTTGTTGGTATAAAAAAAGTAAATTGTTTACTTTAAAAATAATTATAAAAAATTAACTTAATTAATACTGCTCCTGTTTGTTTTTAATAAATTATAATTGATAGTTTCTATGTGATGAAATTAAAAAGACTCTTTATAAAATTTAAAATAGACACATGAAATATTACTATTCGAAATTCAAAATATTTATATAAAATAAATATAGAGATATTACTTACTTATATATTAGCGAAATTAATTTTTAAAATAATTATAATGTGATAATTTTTTAAAAACAATGATAATGAAATTGCTAAAAAAGAAAGATATAAACAAGCTATTTAATTAAATATTAAAGAAAAAATGATTTTAATTTAAAAAAATACAATATAAAGTTGTTAAAAAAGATATCTGAATTAATAGAATACCAAAGATATTTTTAATATTTGTAAATAGCGAAATAAATTTATTTTATTTTTTACTTAAATTTTAATATATATAATCCTTTAAATTAATATAGTTGCTTACTCTCTCTATATACTTCATACTACCTACTCCTTATGCTTCTACAAATAACTACTTACTTACTTTCTTACAAGATAAGTAGATAAACAGGATGAATAATCTTCCCATCATAATTAATATATAATAAATATCTTAAAAGGAATAATAAATAAATAAATAGCCTTTTGATATTTTATTTCTTGAGGAGCTATTTTTTGTTTTTAAAAACATTTTTCAATTAGCTTCAACTTAATTTTCCTTTTTTGGTGATTATCTGAGTTCGATTTCTACAGGACATATGTTAGTGTAGTCCTTGAAATCTTTTTAACTTAATGATTCAAATTAGCCCTTGAAAGAGGGAGCACCAGTAATTAATTCATCAGAAGCTTTGTATCTGACAGCTCTATCACCAGGCTTGTAGGGCTTGAAGAATTCTTAGGAAGTGGTAATGCCTAAGAATGGAATTGGTGATTTAACCATTGTGGTAGTGTAATTATTTAAAGTGGGTTCAGCCTTAGGAGCATTCATCTTGTAGTAATCTTTTTTGTAAGTAGTTTAGCCATGGAAGGGCATTTCATCAATAGTAGTTCTCTAAGAGTAACCCTTAATAGGCTAGTAAGGAACGCAACCCCATTCAAGGAAATCTCTCTTATAGTGAGATCTTCCACACTAAAGAGGCTTGTAGTCGTACTTATGCTCTGGTTTGAACTACTAATGAGCCAGATAATATTTCTAATCAGGCTTGGTGAAATCAGTGTGATTGACTGACTTTAGATCGATTGTATTAATGTTACCCTTCATGTTTTCATACATTCCATAATCGAAGTCAATATCTTTTAATCCTTTCTTAGGAACATAATTTATCTTATAAATAGATTAAGCTGGTGTCACATTAAAAGGCTGTTTTAAATGAGAGTTTTTGGCATAAGCGCATCTATGTTTACCGCAAGTACATCTATAGCAAACACATAAACCTATTTAATTATTTAAAATATTTATTTAGTATTTTTTTATTATTTTCATATATTTATTTATTATGTATAAAAGTAATGGCTATCTTTTTTTTAAAATGAGTTTTTATTATTCATATGTTTGATCTTTCATAAAGTAAAATAAAAATTTAGATATCTTCCTTATCTCGTTTAAATGGCTTTTAATTTATTTATTTATTGCCTAATAAAAATTCAGATTTTAAGGATATAAATTTTTCCAGTGAGAATTGAAAATATAACTAATATTTTTTTTTCTGTTTACTTTGAATTTAATAAAAAAGATATTTCTAAAGCAAATTGTAACTTTCGTTTGAAAATGCGGGAAGAGATTATTTATTAATGATTGATTAAATTAGTTAATGAATCAATAATATTTTCATGCAAATTAATAAAACTTTATTATCTTCTCTCAAATTAATAATTTTCTAACAACATATTAATAAATTGTAAAAATAACTAACTATATTATCCTTCTTTCTATCTATTGATCATCTTTAGCAGATGCAAAATAAGTTATCAATAAAACCTTTAGAGATGAAATAAACCATAAATCAAATTGTATTTTAGAATATATTTCTAAAATATTTTGATAGGATTTTTATTGAAGCCTTTCAAATAATTTAATAAGGTCATCCAGAAATGGTTTTTTGTAACTAAAATGTATGAAAAATAAAGTTTTAGAAAGTAAATTATGCATGTAAAGCTTCAAAATTTACTCCAAAATATACTGGAAGTGATTAATGAAACATATTGCAAAAGCAAAATCAAATTTTTTAGTTGGATTTGTGAGATTTTAGAAGGTTATTTGTTCTCTTTTTTAGATGTTTTTTTTCTTGATTTATTACTTCCAAAACTTCGTTTAAACTAAAAGAAATGCCATTTTAATTACCTCTTAAATGCTTGTAGTAGATCTCATTCATGTTGATGTAGCTTTCTACTTCGGATTCCATTTAGCTTTTAACTTGGCAGCTCTTTCCATCTTGATCATGGTACTTGCTGCCGGTATATTCGCTTTCAGCAGGACACTTATCATTAGATTATACATTCTTATTGGAAATGATGGATTCTACATTATTTAACAAACCTTAAACATCTTCATGATTGTGTGCATGAGCATGACTGCCTGCATGATGATGATGTCCAGGAATACACTTGGTAGAGCAAGGCTTTGAACAAAAATTTTGTTGAGATTAAGACAGGTTAGGTAATTGAGCATGAGATTAAGCTCTGGGATTGTTTTAATTGTGTCTGTAATTTGGTAGATGTTCATTCGAGAAATTATTTTCAGGAACAGGAACAATCTTACCATTAATAACTCTAACCATTTTCTTAGTAAGATTCAAAGGGTTTTTTGATCTATCTGCCAAAATCTATTGCTAATATGAGTGCTAAGATAAAGCATCACTAATTCCTTTAGCTGCATTACCATTTTTTGTGGTCTATGGATGCAAATGAATTTCGTTTTGGTATCTTTATTGGCGGAAGTTGTCCTATGAAGATCTGCGAGAGTAGTTCAAATTTGTTTGAGACTATGTATAACCTTTGTTTCTCAAAATGCTTTAGCTCATCTTTAAACTAAATACTGTTTCTTTTTTATTTATTTATTGATTAATTTATTTTTGTTTCTTTGCTGCTAAGTTTCTTTTCTAATTAAAAAGAAGAAGATCAGTAGTTTCTTTTTTTATATTTTATTTACTATTTTCTTTTGCAACTCTTCCCTGTTAATATATAAACATAATTAAATATCAATATAAATACATCTTCATATATTTTCTTTCATTTCCAAGTTTTCTTTTATTCTCTATACAGTTTGCAATCAATCAATAATACATTTATTAATCTATAAATTCTGTCTTTATTATCTATCTATCTATCAATCAATTAATCCAAATTATAAATATATTAATCCATCAAATTAGATGTTTGAAATTCAAGTACATCCAAATTAATCTATTCAAAATACATTTTGCAATAATTCAAAACATGTTTTTATTTCATTACAAACTTCTAATTTAATTATCACTTTTTAAATATTATTATTACCGATCTAACTATTTATTTATTAATTAATTAATTGACTAGAAAAGATGATTGATAATTAAAGTACAAATACAATAATTTTATTTGATATTTTATTATTAATTTAAAATTTTTTAAGTAATATGATTTATAAATTTAAAATAAAAATGTTTATAATTATTTATTTTTAACTTTTTTCAGTAAATATTCAGTTTATAAAATATAAGCTTTTAAGGAGCCTTTAATTTAAATAAAATAAATTTAGATCCTGTTGTTAGATTTTAAATAACAGCATATTTAAATTAAAAATCAAAATATATGAAATAAATTAAAATTGACTTTTTGGATTATTATAAATTATTAATTTTATTTTTACTCAAATAAATGATAAAACAATTAAATATCTAAGATTTTTCTTTATAAATGTATTTTAAAGAAAATTTTAAAATAAAAATTGTTATTTAAAAAAAAAATTGTTAGAAAGCACATTTTAAATTTAATGAGATTTCTCATCAGTTATTATTCATATTGACCGAATGAGAATAATGAAATATTAAACTATAAATAAGATCATATAGATTTTAATTGGATTTAATTAAATATTGTAAATCCTCTTTAATTAAGGCATTTTTTTGATAAAATTTTTTTTTTTTAGATTACGGCTTTGGTGAAATCTTAGAGAAAATTCTAAAAGTTTAGCTACCTTTGGTTTATAGATTAATATAGGTAATCAATGGAGTACAATACTAAAAGTTGTTTAGTATGACCAAAACAAAGTTTTTAACTTATTATTTATATGAAAATTAAATATTATTTTAAGTATAAAAAATAGTTTATTATTTTTTGTTTTTTTATTTAAATAAAATCTAAACTCTTACATAGATGTTGCAGAATTTTTTTGATTAAGCAGAAAATTGTTTAAAACATAAATTAAGTAAATATTCATACAAATTTTACATTAAAGTTAAAATAAATATTTTTAGGGAATAATAAATATATCAATTTTTTCAATTTCATAGTTTCATCTCCTTCTACAATCCATTTCAAAAAATGTCATATCATACATAATTATTGTTGCTATGAGTAAAATCTTATCTTATGTTGAAGCACTTTTAGGAAATTCATGTATTTTGTCGTTTATTGCTTTTAAACAAGATTTTTGACAGTTGTAATTTATAGCCTTTACAGCAGTTAATTCTTAATAATTTTAATCATATATTTTAAAATATTGCTCTTTACATGTTTTTTTGCAATCACATCCCCCACAACATATGTTAAAACTACAACAGTTTTCTTTCATAATGTATTTCAAGTTATCATTCATATCAAAAGCATTTAATTAGTAACTACTGTTAAATAATTTGAAAGGCATCAAAACTTTTCCTATATAGAAAGTAGAAGTAGAATTTTTAAGATTAATGTACATTTCAGGTCTTTTAAAGCAACAAAATGTGCATTTTTAAGGTCTATCGAATTCAAGAAATACATTCTCTTTAAATTATTCATTTCTTTCTTAGATTTATGAATCACTAACCAGCAACTTAAATTATCTGCAATCTCCTGAGCAAAATTATCTATTACAGAAGTCACTGTATTCAACGATATAAAAAATTGCCTGTGTGTTACATTCTGTGTCAGATTCAATTTCATGAATTCCATATATGTTATATTTATCACAACTAGAAACTTATACAACTTATTTCTTGATAAATATTTTGTTTAATCCAGAGAGTTTAGCTATTGATTTATGAGCTAAAAAATCATTGAAGCCTTTAATGTCACTAATCATATTTATTCTTTGGTAATCTTTTAAAAATATGAGTTTATATTAAATAAATATTCATCTTTATTAGTAAATGAAATTTTCATACTTTTAAATATTCAAAACATATTTTCTGGTAAATTTTATTTGTTGTTTTTTTTATTTTAAGAATTGGATATGAAGTAATCAAATTGATTTTGACTGATAAATTACAATATTAATTTTTATTTTTCTAGATTTAATTAAAATGAAAAGGGATGTAATCATTAAATTTACCGATTAATTATGATCTAAATAAAAAAAATATAATAATCCTTTAATTTGAAAATAAATAAGTCAGTCATTAAAATTTTTCAATTAAATTAACTAATTTATATTTATAATTTTATGATATATTACTTATTTGTACAGCAATTATAATAAAATAATTTTTTTTTATTTATTTTTCTATTTTAGACCAGTAATGAATATTATAAAATCTCTAATCATTCTCAAATCTAATTAGTTTTTTTAGCAAGAAAATATTATTTAGGTATATAATTTAATAGGTTGAGTGCACCAAATATGCACTTTTATAACTATTTAAATAAATTTTTAGTAAATAGATAAAACTTTTTTATAATAATTAACAAAAATTAAAAATAAAATTAATATAGCTGTTCCTGATTTTAAAATATTAATATATAAATGACTAAATGGCAGTCTACATATTTTTTTTCTTTTTTAAATCAGAATTTAAATGACAGATATTTTAATATATGTTGTTGTATGGACAGTAAGCCTTGTAAAAGGCAGTACCCTAGAGTACTATATATTTAATTATCAAATTTAATAAAATATTATAAAAAAATGAAATATCTTAAATAAGATATTAATTTATAATATTGAAAAAATAATTAAATATTTAATATTAATTAAATTTATAAATAAAACATATTTTATAAAGCCTTAAATAGTTTACTAGAAGAACAAAATTACTATTAATTAGATTATTTATAATTAATTCAATTCATATTGTATCCCACTCTTCTTTTTTCAAATGGCATTTCAAGATATGTTAAATCATGCATAATGATAGTAGCAATTAATAAGATCTTATCTTATGTTTAAGCTCCTTATGGGAATTCAGTTATTTTGTCATAAATTGAATGCAAGCAAGACTTTTCACAATCATATGCTTTTGATTTAATAGGTATAAGTTCTTTTTAGTTTTTATCATATAACTTAAAGTAATCTTCTTTGCATGTTTTTTTGCACTTACAACCTCCACAAAAAATAATGCACCTACAAAAAGTATCTTTTATAGAGTATTTCAATTTATTATTGACATCATATGCCTCAATCGCCATAGGACAATAAAAATACTTAAAAGGCATTACAATCTTCCCTACGTAGATATTAATATCATTTATTTTTACATTAACAGACATTTCAGGCCTTTTAAAGTAACAAAATGTGCATCTTTATGGCCTATCAAACTCAATAAAAACATTTTTTTAAAAAGTTTCGTTCTTTTATTTTTCTGAAGTATCGCTAACTAACAATTTAAATTACCTACAGTCTCCATAACCGCATCTTCTACTGCATTTAGTGCTATATTCAGCTATATAAAAAATAGCTATTGGATCATATTCTTCGTTATTTAGTAGCTTGTGAATTCCATAAATAGTATACGCATCATTACATGCAACATATATATATGATTTTTTTATGTAGATTCTATCTAATTCTGCAATTTTTTGTATAGAATGATTAGATTCTAATTCAGAGAGGTGTTTTATATCACTCATTATTTTCACTCTTTTTTCTTTATTTAATCAATCTTTATCTTTTAAATTTATGATATCTTAATTATGTTTACATAAATTAGTAAGATATCTTAATTATGCTTACATCAATTAGTAAGATATCAAATATCATTTACATATATAAAATCCAATTAATTTATCATTATAATCTATCTACAATGATTAATACATATGTTACAAAGTACTAGCTTAAATTTCGAGCAGATATACATTATTTAGTCATATCACCTAATTTTTAAATAAACTAAAAAATAATCTGATCAACTTTTTAAAGCTTTTTTATGAAAGTATAAAATATCTTTTCTACTTAAAAGATAAGTAAAAAATCAACTAATAAATTCAGAAGTAAATTGAGAAAATGAATAAAATTTGATACTAAAATTAAATATACATTTTTTAGTTAGATTACAATCTTAAAAGCATACATAGTTTTAGGATACATTCAAATATATTTAGAATGAATATCTTTATAAATAAAAAAAGACACAACTTTTTTTAAGTTAATTTCAAAATTTCAATTCAAACAAATATAAAAAAATAATTCGAGCTAATTTATATTCTTTTATGAGCTGTTATCTAAATTATTATAGAAAAACAAAGTAGAAAATTTAAATAAGGTTTTTTTTAATATTTTTTGATCATAGGTATAACTAACTACAAATAAATAAACACAAATAAAAGCTCTCTTTTTGCAGAATATGAATTGATTTCATTATTAAAAAAATTAATTATCTAATATGTTTGCATAATATTGTTTTACTGATTTTATTTATTCAAAAAAAAACTAACTAAGTAATTATAATTTGTAAAATAAATAATAAATATTTATATATATTGAAATATTTAATTTTACTAAGATTTATTTTACCATATTTTTTATTATTTCCCAATAGAAAGATAAAATAAATTTGAACCATCCCTCTTTATTCGTACGAAATCAATAATGAAGGAATATAGTATATACTGTTCCTCTAATAAAAATATTAAAATATACTATTTTATCACTAAACATCTAAATATATATATTTTAATTTATTACATATTTTTATGATATTTAATTTAAACTTCTATTTAAAAACTAATTTTTTACCTCGATTTCGCCTTATTTTTATTTTTAAATTTTTTATTATCTAAATTCATTTCTCTTTAGTTGTCAATATCAAGAAAAAGAGGACCTTTATTTAAGTTATAATAAATAATTATTTATTTATTTTTAAATTATATTAAAATAATATTAATACCATTTAAATTGCAAATTCCATAAAAAATACAGAACAAAAGTACGATTAATTAGATTTACCATAATTCAATTCATATTTGATCTAACTCTTCTTTTCTCAGGTGGAATTTCAAGAAATGTTAAATCATGCATAATGATTGTAGCAATTAGTAAGATCTTATCTTGTGTTGAAGCTCCTTATGGGAATTCAGCTATTTTGTCATAAATTGAATGTGTGCAAGACTTTTCACAATCATATGCTTTTTATTTAATAGGAATAAGTTCCTTTTAGTTTTTATCATATAACTTAAAGTATTCTTCTTTGCATGATTTTTTGCAACTACAACCTCCACATATAATAATGCATTTACAGCAATTATCTTTAATAGAATATGTCAATTTATTATTAACATCATATGCCTCAATCGTCATTGGGTTATAAAAAAACTTAAAAGGCATTACAATTTTCCCTATGTAGATATTAATATCATTTATTTTTACATTGACAAACATTTCAGGCCTTTTAAAGCAACAAAATGTGCATCTTTATGGCCTATCAAATTCAATAAAAACATTTTTTCAAAAGTTTCATTCTTTTACTTTTCTGAAGTATCACTAACTAATAGCTTGAATTACCTACATCCTCCTTAACAGCATTTTCTACCACATTTATCACTATATTCAGCAATATAAAAAATAGCTTTTGGATCATATTCTTCATTATTTAGTAGCCTGTGAATTCCATAAATACTATATGCATCATTACATGCAACATATATATATGATTTTTTTATGTAGACTCTCTCTAATTATGCAATTTTTTGTATAGAATGATTAGATTCTAATTCAGAAAGGTGTTTTATATCACCCATTATTTTCTACTTTTTTAATTTATTTAAATCAATCTATATCTTTTAAATTTTTGATATCTTAATTATGCTTACATCAATTAGTAAAATAACAAATGGCATATACATATATAAAATCCTATTTATCCTTATAATCCTACTATGAAAACTTTAAAAGGTTATAAAAAAGCATTTTTAATTATTATTAAATATAATTTTGAATGTTAAGTTAAATTATTAATATATTTACTAAAAAACACTAGTTTAAATTTTGAGCAGATAATCATTATTTATTCATATCACCTAATTTTAAAATAAAGTAAATAATAATAATAAAAAAAATTTTTCACTAAAATCACAAACAGAAAATTTTAAAATTTAGCTACCTTTGGTTAATAGATTAAGTAGGTAATCAAGGGAATACAATATTATAGTTGTTTAATATGACTAAAACATAGTTTTTAACTTATTATTTATATGATAATTAAATTATATTTTAAGTATAATAAATACTTTATTATTTTTTGTTTTTTTAATAAAATCTATTTTATTAAGCAGAAAATTATTTAAAACATAAATTAAATAAATATTCATACAAATTTTATTTAAATTTAAAATAAATATTTTTTGGGAATAATATATCAATTTTTTGATTTCATAGTTTCATCTCCTTCTACAATCCATTTCAAAAAATGTCATATCATACATAATTATTGTAGCTATGAGTAAAATCTTATCTTATGTTGAAGCACTTTTAGGAAATTCATGTATTTTGTCTTAATTTGCTCTTAAACAAGATTTTTGGCAGTTGTAATTTATAGCCTTTACAGCCGTTAATCCTTAATAATTTTAATCATATATTTTAAAATATTGCTCTTTACATGTTTTTTTGCAATCACATCCCCCACAACATATATTAAAACTACAACAACTTTCTTTCATAATGTATTTCAAGTTTTCATTCATGTCAAAAGCATTTAATTAGTAGCTACTGTTAAAAAATTTGAAAGGCATAAAAACTTTTCCTATATAGAAAGTAGAAGTAGAAGTTTTAAGATTAATATACATTTCAGATCTTTTAAATCAACAAAATGTGCATTTTTAAGGTCTATCAAATTCAAGAAATACATTCTCTTTAAAAAATTCATTTTTTTCTTAGATTTATTAATCGCTAGCCAGCAACTTAAATTATCTGCAATCTCCTGAGCAAAATTATCTATTACAGAAGTCACTGTATTCAACGATATAAAAAATTGCTTGTGTGTTATATTCTGTGTCAGATTCAATTTCATGAATTCCGAATACGTTATATTTATCACAACTAGAAACTTATACAACTGATTTCTTGATAAATATTTTGTTTAATCCAGAGAGTTTAGCTATTGATTTATGAGCTAAAAAATCATCGACGCCTTTAATGTCACTAATCATATTTATTCTTTGGTAATCTTTTAAAAATATGATTTTCTATTAAATAAATATTCATCTTTATTAGTAAATGAAATTTTCATACTTTTAAATATTCAAAACATATTTTCTGGTAAATTTTATTTGTTGTTTTTTTTTATTTTAAGAATTGGATATGAAGTAATCAAATTAATTTTTACTGATAAATTACAATATTAGTTTTTATTCTTCTAGATTTTATTAAAATGAAAAGAGATGTAATCAGTTTAAAAATATACCGATCAATTATGATCTAAACAAAAAAAATATAATAAGCCTATAATTATATTTTATGATATTTATTTGGTGAGTGAAATTAAAATTATTGAAAATAATTTAGTCATAAAAAATTTCAATTAAATTAACTTAATTTAATATAAATTTTTATGATAATATATTTATTACTTATTTCCTTTTAAATAAAATTATTGTCATAAAATAATTTATTTTTTAATCCAGCAAATTTTAAGTTAAAATAGTTTAATCTTTAGTTTAAGCAAATAAAATTATTTATTATTTTCTAATTTTAAATAGTAATCACTAGGGATCAACCGTATAACCATTTTTATCATTCGGCCATATAACCATATTATAATACGGTAATCAATTTTTTGGAGTTTTTGATGGAGTGAGTAAGGGTAGGGGTAAGGATTACTTTATTATCATAAATTGCAGCATATTTTAAATAAAAAAGATAGCAAATATTTTTATATCTTAAATATAAAATACTGAAGCTCCTCAATAATTTAACTCAAATCCCTCTACCATACCTAAATTTTGTATCTTTTTGATTAGTATTAATTGAACAACTATTAATAAAAGCTAATAAATTCTCGAATACAACCTACTCATAAAATTTTTACTAAAGTCTTGAAAATTTATCATAAATAAAGGAGATTAAAAAAGATTTGAATGTCATGTATTTCAAACTTACAAAACTTACAAACAATCAATTAATTAAATATTAAAAAACAAAAATACCTCAATAAAAAATAAATGAGAAAGATTACCTTAAATTTTACTATAATTTTAATTTAGTATAATCTTAGTTATTAGCTTATAATTAATGAGAAGAATGAAATCTCAATCATTTTTTTTTTTGAAAATTTAAAAATGGTTCTTTATTTAAAGTATTAAATTAATTGAATATCTAAAAATAATAAATAAATTTCAAATTAAAAATTGTATGAATAAATGCATTCTATTTAATATTTAATAGTACTTACTTGGTACTATAAATAAAAAAAAACAAAAGCAAATATTTAATATAATTGAGATTTTAATAGTTTAATAGAAGAATTAAAGTAATAATAATTAAATTGGTCAAAATTCAATTCATATGATTTTGAGCTTTTCTTTTTTCAGGTGCATTTTCAAGAAATGTTAAATCATGCATAATGATAGCAGCAATTAGTAAGATCTTATCTTGTGTTGAAGCTCCTTATGGGAATTCAGCTATTTTATCATAAATTGAATACTGGCAAGAATCATTACAATCATATGCTTTTACTTTTATAGGAATAAGTTCTTTCTAGTTTTTGTCATACAACTTAAAGTAGTCCTCTTAGCATGTTTTTTTGCAGCTACAACCTCCACACATAATTATACACTTACAGCAACTATCTTTAATAGAGTATTTCAATTTATTATTAGCATCATATGCTTCAATCGTCATTGGGCTATAAAAAAACTTAAAAGGCATAACAATCTTCCCAATGTAGATATTAATATCATTTATTTTTACATTAACAGACATTTCAGGCCTTTTAAAGCAGCAAAATGTGCATCTATATGGCCTATTGAACTCAATAAAAACATTTTTTTCAAAGATTTCATTCTTTTCTTTGACTGAAGTATCGCTAACTAATAATTTAAATTACCTACAGTCTCCAAAACAATATCTTCTACAACATTTATTGCTATATTCAGCAATATAAAAAATAGCTATTGGATCATATTCTTCGTTATTTAGTAGCCTGTGAATTCCATATATACTATATCCGTTTTTACATCCTTCATATATATATGATTTTTTTAAGTAGATTCTATCTAATTCTGCAATTTTTTGTATAGAATTATTAGATTCTAATTCAGAAAGGTGTCTTATATCAATCATTATTTAAACTCTTTTTTCTTTATTTAAATCAACCTTTATCTTTTAAATTAAAATATCTTAATTATGTTTACATCAATTAGTAAAACATCAAATATCTCTTACATATATAAAATTTATATAAATTGAAATTTATCCTTTAAAAAAAGCATATTTAAATAATATACATTATTGAAAGGGAAGTGAAATTATTAACATATATATTAAAAAAACACTAGCTTTATTTAGAGTAGATTAACATTATTTAATCATATCATCTAATTTTAAAATAAAGTTATTATTAATCCTATCAAATTTTTAAAACTTTTTAATGAAAGTATTAATTAACTTGTTAAAAATTTTTAAAAATAAAATAAGCATTAAGTTAGTAAATTAATTTACTTTTACCTCCAAAATTCCATTTAAAAAATAAACAAAAAAATAATTAATAAATTCAAAAGTTATTTGAGAAAATGAATAAAATTTGATACTAAAATTAAAAATATATTTTCTAGCTAAATAATAAGCTTAAAATTAAATACAATTTTAAGAAGCATTCCAATATATTTTGAGATAATTTTTTATTAAAAAATATAGTAAGTACTTTTTTTAAGTTAATTTCAAATTTTCAATCGTTTTTTAAAGCAAATATAAAAAAAGAATTAGAACTAATTTATATTTATTTAGAGCTATTATAAAAATTATTAATTAAAAAATTAGCAGCAAATTTAAATAAGGTTTCTTATCTTTTTTGATATTATGTGTGTAACAACAAATAAATAAAAAAAATATAAGTTTTATTTTTGCAGAATAATTTAAATGTTTTTTAGATAAAATGATGAATTGATTTAATTATTAAACAAATTAATTATCTCATTTGTTTGTCTAAAATAGTTTTTTAATTTTAATCCTTTATTTAATTACTTTTAAATAAACAATAACAAACTTATCTATTTACTCTTGTAATAGTTTCATTAAGTATTACTCATAAAATAATTTTTTAAATTAGCTTTTAAATATTATATTAATTATTATACTATTAATAATTTATAGTTTAAATATATTGAAAAATATATATTTCCTATTATCTCATGCTTCCTTATATTGCTATTTGCAGCAAATTATTTCTGTAGCTGAAATGCTACATGCTAAAATTAATTAAAAAATAAATAAATTAATTAATTACTTTTTAAATATTATGTTATTTTATATTAATATATCTATTTGTTTACTTTTTAATTTAAAATAAATAATTTTAATTTTAATTTTATTTTATTGAAATTTTTTTTAAAATGTTTTTTTGAAAATATTGAAATAATGTATAAAATATATTGAAAATTTAAAGTAAAAATAATATAAAGCTGTTATTTACATTTGGTATTTATTTTTGAAATGAAAGAAAGAATAACTTTTGATAATACTAAAACACTTTAAAGATTACTAATTTAAGAAAATAAATATTTATGTACAATATATATACACTTTAACAAGCAAACAAACAATAAACAATTTAATTAATTAATTTAGTTAAAAATATTTATATGCTTAAATTGAAGAATATTATATTTATTAATTGAGATAAATTAATTTTATTATAAATTTTTTTATATTTGAAATAAATGCATCAATATTATTAAAACTAAATTTTTTTTGTTTTTTATGGTCTTTTTCATAATTCTATTTCAATATCATCAACCCATCCATTTGCATTAAAATCATCTAAGGCTCCGCTTTATATAAAATGCAAAAATTATTCAAAAAGTTAAACTTTTAATAATTAAAACTAAATGAAAAAATAACTAACTAAATAAATACTCATCCTAAAATCTTGACTTTTGATTAGATGAAGTTTCCAACTACTTTTACTTGTTAACGACTGGCTCTTAAAATACTAACTCCTATTCTTTATTCAGTTCTTCAAAATAATCAGGCTCTTATTCTAATAGATCCTACATTAATAAAAATTGAAATAAAATCATTCATATTATTTAAGATAGATATACTTATTGCTTTGTCTTTATCTATTCTTCATCTAATTTTCCTATCATCTTAGTCACCTTTTTTTTGTTTTAGTTATCTTGCTTTTCCATATTTTCTACTTTTTGGCTAGATTATTTTGTCTATTCTTTATTTTATGGAGTTACTTCCTATATATTTAACGATTCATATGCTATAACCATATTATTTGTAGAGGGAGCTGTAGTCCAATCAGTCGAGAATTAATCATCATCTTAGTCGTTTTCTAAATTATCGTCTTAGTCTACATTATCTATTTTTATTTATTTTTATTGAAGTTAAAAAAAATAATTACAAATTAAAATCTGAATTATACTATCTTTACTTGCCATTTTTCTTTTTTCATCATCTTAAATCTAAATACTCTATTTTGCATGAGGCGTTGCTACATTATTATGGGATTTTTTCATCATTAAACATTCCTATAAAGTTTCGACGCACATCCTTTTTATAAATGGGAACATTTTTATCTATTTATTTTCTAATCCTAACCTATTAACTAATTTGCTTTTTAATACTATCAAAAATTTAATTTTGATAATTATTTGGAGAGAATAACTTTTTTGTTATACAGATTAAATCTATAATTTTAATTAAAGCTAGCTATTGATTCTGAGTTATCTATTATTTAAAATAATTTAAAAATAGTCAAATCTTAAGCCAGATTTAATCAAAAATAAATTAACAGCTAACCATTTTTTCAATCAAGATGCATGCATATTAAAATTTACAAAATATAATCTTAATTTTCATTAAAAAAAGAATATTTTAAAATAAAAAAGATGTGAAGTAATTATTTTATAATAATCAAATAAATAAATAAATATTTCTCACATCTAAAAATAAAAATTGTATTTGATCAAAAATGAAAAAAACAAAAAAATTTTTGATTTTAATAAAATTTTTTAGTCTAAGTAGCTAAGTAGCTAAGTTGCTAAGTTGCTAAGTTCCGATTAAAAATAATGGGATATATGGTATATATAATATGATTTTAAAAAAATTATTTTTAATTTAGAAAGTCTGATTAGATGAGTATGATTATATGGATAATTGAGATAAAAAATATTTAATTTTTTTATTGTGAAATTAGTACGATTTTCCATATATATATCTGTGACAAAATATCCCGGATGTTAAGTTCTCTCATAAATTGTAGATAAAACTTTTCAAAACGTAAATCTCTTAATTTGCATTCAAAAATCAGTATTAGTAGTAGTCATATATTTCATTTGTGTTGACTAATCTTTTCATCTTATATGCAATTTACTAAACTCTTGTATAATCTATAGCACAATTATAGCAACAATAACCTATACAGTTAAGCTCAAAATTATAAATATAAGAATCCTTTAATAATTTTAAAAGTTCAACTACATAATACTCATCTAAATCATATGTCGTAATAGTAATATTATTTATCAATTTTTATTAAATCAGTAATTTACCAAACTAAATAACATTTTAAGTTTTTGATCTTAAAAATATTTTTAATTATTTAACATTTGTTTCCTAAATTTCACTTAAACATTTCGCTAAATTTATTTCTTATGAGGGTTGGCCTATAAATTTGAAAATTTCCAACTTTTTCATTTTGAATATCATTCTCAGCCATTAATAGTCATCTTTTGGAAATACTTAATCTGAAAAGTTTATTGATAAATACTCTATGAATTGATTTTAATATACATTTTCTATAAACTCTCTTGATAAATGAGAGTCACTTAAAATTCAACCTTTAATTATTTTATACATTTTGATTTTTATATTTCTTATGCTAATTTTATAACACCTTCATTATTTATTATTTTAATTTTTAAATTCAATTTTTAAGCAGAAGAAGAATCGCCTAATAAATTTGAAATTTCTAAATAAGTATTTTCATTTATATTTTAATAAGAAACTTATCTCATATTAATTTTTAATTATTAAATAAATGTTTACTTGAAGCAATATTTCACAGTTTAAAATTAATAATTTAATTATTTATTTATCATTTATAAATTTTTATTATTTCTAATTTTTTTTGAACTTAATTATTTGATCTTTTTGATAAAATTGACAAAAAGATAAAAAATCTTTATTGTTTCTTCTTAATTGGTAGAGTCTTTTAAAATAAATTGAAATTACTGCTGATGTTTTTTAACAATATTTTTTAAAATATAAAAAAACTATCAAATTGAAAATTAATAAATATTTATAAATTCTTAAATCTGACTAATTTTTTGAAATTCCAACAATTAACAATTTAAGAATAGAAAAAAAGTAAATGAATAATTAATAATATAATAGATCATGTATTGAAATTATTCTAGAATTACTTAATAAATAAAAATAATAAAAAATGGATCATAATTTTTTTAAAAAATACGATTAAATTGTTGAAAATAAAAATAAAAAAATAGAAACACAATATATAGTTTTATATGAATAATAATCCACGAAAAAGGAAATCTTAAAAAGAGCTCATAGTAATAATCACTGATGATAAAGTTAATTAATCTCAAAATACAATAGATTTTGAATTTTTATCTTAACAAAAAGGAATAAAAATAAATTATAATAATAAAATTCCTTGATTTAATAAATACTACAAAATGACTAGTCAATAAATTAGTATAATTTTGATATATTTCTTTCTCTTTAAATGTCAAATAATTTAAAAATTAAAAAAAGAAGAGAAATTATTTATAAATTGTATATAAAATTATGGAAATACCTGCCATTCTAATTAAACCATTTAGTTAATAAAAGAGGTACTTTTCTTAAATTAGAAATTAAATTTATAATCCACTAAAATTAAATGACTGACAGATAAATTAATTTTACAAATATTTAAATTTATTTTATACAAATAGAGAAATAATAACTAAAAAATAGATTTAAAGTATTTTTAAATACATCAAAAGTTAAAATTTTAAATTAAATGGCAATCCAAATGATTATAGAATTATGATAAATTCAACTATTTCTAAATAAAGTTTGTATATAGTAAAAATAGCCTTATCTTAAAATATAAATTTTATTTACCTACTATTAATGCTATTGTTGATACTAAAATGAAAAATCGAAGTCATTTAATCCAGTGCTAGTTAAAAAAGTTTCTTTTTAAATGCTTTTTAAAATCTACTTCATGAGCAATTGTAAAAGTTTTTCTTTATAATTAACTTTAAGCAAAGTTATTCATATATAAAGTGTAAAAGTTGTTGATAAAAAATTGTATTTAAAATTTATTTTAATATTTTAAAAATAATTTCTACAACTAAAAATAATATTAAAATAAGCACTGTTTTATCATTTAATTCAGATTTATAAATAAATTAGTTTCTTTAATTAATTTAACATAAATAAGATAATATTTTAAACAAAGTCTATTATTTATAAATAAAACCTATCCAAAAGTAATGATGCCATATCTATTAATTGATTTAACAATAGCATTTAGATATATTTTAAGCTCTGATTATTTAAGAAAATAATTTCTTATATAAATTTTTTGTAAAAGATTAAAATAAAAAAGGAATAAATTTTGTTTTTATTAAATTAAATAAAGATTACCATTAATATTTAATAATTAAACTAAGCTTACCATTTGAGATAATGAAAAAAATTGAAGAAAGTAAAGCTTAATGACTAAGTAACAAATAAATAGGTGGGCTCTATAAATAATAATTTGTCATTTTATTTTCAATATGAATCTAAATTTATTAAAGGATAAATTTATTAAGATTAATAGGAAAGCAAATTGTATTTTTAACAACTGAGAAAACTGATTTAATCTTCTAAAAAAACTGTTTATTTTTATTTTTAATCCTTTAAATACTTTAAATAGAAAGACTTACTATATAACTTACATAAAAATATTTAAATACTTTTTAAAGATAGAAGAACAATTAGCAACCATGAATTATTTTATTTTTTTTTAATAAATTAATTTATTAGTTTTTATTCATCAACATAAGTTAAATCAAAATTTAATATTCATTGTACAATATTTATAAATTTAAAATAAACTTACAAAATTTTTTGAACATTTTTTTTTGAAGATTCAAAAAGATTTTAGTTTTTCATTCATTATCGTAAATTTATATTTGCTATTCAAAAAAAAGCTCAAAAGGTTACATTTGGTTTTAATTTAAAATTTAAATGCAGCATTCATAACATGTTATTAATTAAAGTAAGCCTAACTTTTAAAAGTAAGTAAAGCTAAAAATTAAAGTAAAGCCGAATGACTAAATATGTAATAATATAAAATAGGTGGGCTATTTAATAGTTAGTTATATGTCATTGAATTATAAATGTTAATCTAAATTTACTATAGGACACTTTTATTGGCATAAGCAAGTTTCTTTTTAGACATCTCAAAATCCAAATAATTCAAAATTTTCTCATAAAGCTATTTCATTTTTCTCATCCAAATCCAATTATAATAGTTTTTCCTAAACACAATAACTTAATATATAATTATTTTATAATGAAAAATATTTTTTTTAGCATTTTAATTAAATTTTATTTAGTACCTTATTATTTTTAGTCTATACTTCAATAATTAAATAAAAAATACCTATAGAAATAATATTCATAAATATTTTATGCAATTGACTTAAGATGCTTTTTTTTTCTAAATATTATTTTATTAAAATAATCTTGTTATAGTAAATAATAAAAACCATTAAATAATAGTCAGATTTTTTTTATTTAAGAAAGCAAGATAAAAAGATGGATAAATTTTTACAGAGTGAAATTAAATTATAAATTTAAATTTTTAAAAACTACTTATGAAAATTTTGAATGGAAATGGAAAAAATCACTGAAATTCAGAAATATTATCTCTAAAAGAAAATTCTTTGATAAATTAATGAAATTTTAAGTAACAATATAAATGTCAATTCATAAATTCATACTCTGTGATTAAATTTAGATTTTGTGCCTTGTTGTATTACACTTATTTGATTTCAAATTTTAAAAAGGGTTGCTAAAAAGATTTTTATTAATTATTGACTTAGTCACTTCATATTTTAATATTTACAAAGTAATGAGCAAAAAGCTAACTTTACATTTAACTAAAAATTAGAGTTGTCCAAAAATTTTCAAATAAGATAAAAGATTTAAGATTGATCATGCTTTTCTGATCAATTCTTCTAAAAATAAAAAGTATTAATTTTACAAAATAAATATCAAAATTTGAATTTGGGTTTGGTAATCCATTCATTTTTACTTAATTTACATAAATCAAATTTAGAAATGACGGAATAAAGAACGAATTAATTTACTTAATTAATTAATAAAATTGAGATAAATGCTTATATATCATATCGAATCGCCCTTTACGTAATTATATGAAATATTTAAATGCGCTCTCATTTAATTTGTGGAAAAATTTAAGCATCTTTAAAAATGTAAAATAGTATTTTTTTAAGAAAATCTTTACAATTTCATTTTTGAAGTAAGTAGTAATATTTTTTATGACTTGATTTATATAATTCAAAATATAGTAATGGAAACTTTTAAGTTTAATTTTTTTGTGACTACTTTTTTTATCCAATAAATGAGTTAAAAAGAGTCTTGGATGGTATATGTAAGCTATACTTAAAAAAAAAATTAAAGAAGTGTAAGTTAAAATCTATATTTAGTTAGTAAACAAGATATGGTTAAAAACTGTGTTTGGTTATTATCTAATTAATTAGATTAAGCCTAATTATTTACTTTTTCAATTTAATCAAATTACAATAATAAATGATATTTGAAATAGATAGATAAATATATATAAACATATTACTGTAGTGTATTTTTTAGATTGTGTTAACATTTTAATTGAATTTCACAAATTGTTTTAGCTTTATTCTAAAATTTAAATAAAATATATTTTAGCTTTGTGCACAGTGCAATTATTTAAATATATTTTGATTTGAGTAAATATAATGCCTTAAAAAATGAATAAAAATGTTTCATATACACTTATACTTGATATTTAATGTTAGCCTTTTGATATCAAGATGATCAAAAGTCATTTGACTTGTGAATATTTATTTTTGTGTAAGGATTTATCTAAATATTAAAATTTAAAAACTGCTAATTAGCTCATATTTTTGAGGTTAAAAAAATGTATAAAAGAATATACCAACCCAAATAATTTGATAACCAAAGCATATTTCGTCATATATTAAAGTTAATTTGATTTATTTTAATCATAAAAATCTTCAGCTTTACTAGTTATTGAAAGTGTAAACAAAACAATTAAAATAAATCATTTAAATTTTAAATTTTTTTACCTTTTTTCTATTGAAAGTTGCATATAAAATATAAGGGAAAAAGATTATTTTTGAATTATTAATTCAATCGCGAATTTTGCAATCGAAAATCAAGGAGAGATTATCAGATTTTTTATTTGTTTTTTTGTTTGGCTGAATATAGTAAAAGTTTTAAATATTTAGTTGATGTCTTTTATTTTTTGGATTTAATTTGAGAATGATCAAGCAGTATTATAATATTATCAGTAAATATAGAAAAATTTAAGTCTTTTTTGTATTTTAGGCTATTCTCAATTTATATCAAAACTCATCAATATTGCTGATTTAGTTGAATTCAATTTAAAAATTTACCTTTTAAATAATCAAATATTTGTGCCAATCAGCTTTTGATTAATTATAAGGGTTGCTTGACCTAGTTTGTGATAGATATTTTTTAAGTTTTCATATCAAAAGGATAAATTAAATTTCTAAAAATTTACGTGAAAACTAAAAATGTGATTTTAATCTAGTTAAATTTTTAGCAATAAGCAGTAATATGTGAAATCTTTTTAGATTTTATTTAAATTACATTTGCTCTTTTACAAAGTTTCAGTAAGTAAAAAAAATATAGTGAATCTAAAGATAGTACTTGCATTCGCTAATGATTAAACAAGAGTATTACTTATTTATTAAGTAATTAATTTTAAGAATGGAAAGAAGAGCTAGAAGACAAAAAAGTTAATATGCAAAGGAAAATTCAGCTTAATCCTAAGCAAATGTATGAAAAAAATAGTTAACAGAAATCATAAAATTAATTTGTCAGCCTTTCTTCGCATGCATGAGAAAAGCAGAAAAGAAAAATAAATAAATTAATTAATTAATTATCTAATCGTGTTATAAATATGTAAATGTTATGGAGCTTTGAATATCACTGATAAGCCTTTCCAGATATGCAGTATATATCTATCTATTGATCCATCCATCGATCAATTGATAAATTAATACATTAAATACATGCATCTATCTTTTCTGTGCATTATAATTAGTATGGAGAAAGAAAGAATGAATGGAAAATAAAGAAAACAAATAAAGAAATAATAATAAGAAAAGTAAGAAAAAAAAATAATTAATTTTATTCAAAATATCTTGGAAAGAATCAATCAATCGATCCATTTGATAGAGTATTAATTAACAAAGAAAAAGAGAAAGAAAGAAGTAAGTAAGTATATAAAAGAGAAATCAAACAATATAAATAATAAATATATTTTTACATTAATCACATCACCATCGTTCAGATTGGTAGAGAGGGTGACTCTAATAATATACAAACTTGTGCTTAAAAAGCTTTATCAACACAGAGTCAATTCTCAAATCTATTTCCTACTTCCAACAAGTTTATTTCCAGCTTGCTCGCTGACTCTGGGAGCATATACAGCCACTCAATCACAGTAACTTTAGTGAAAGAGAAAACGATTTACTTGATACAGAATAAATTATCATCATCATTAATATCATTAATTCTTTAAAAGTTAATCTGGTCTATTAAATTACTTTGGATAATATTTAATTAAAAGACATTCAAATACATTCAACTGAGATATTACACAGGAGTTGAATGTCTACTCATTAATTAAACTTACGTGCAACCGTTTTTCACTCGATTATTAATCCTCTCACTAAAATATGGGTAAAAAATTTAGAAGCTAATTCTTCTACTAATTTGACTCTAAATTATCAAAATACTCTTGATTCTCTTAATTATCTAAGTGATAATATAAATAATAATAATAATAATATTACTTTAAACAACACAGTTTTTAGCGATGATCCAACAAAATCATCATCCGATTCTCCTAATTTATAATACTGCTCCTTTGGTGATGTGGGATGCTCTCTCCTCACTATAGCGAGCACTTTCCATGTCATTTATATTTTTTATGTTTTGTACAAGAGTCTCAGTCTTTGGAGACATCAATTTAAGTAAAATCGCTAAATATTCTTCGCCATTGATATTGAATAAAACAGGATGCGCAATATTCTTGCTTATGGTATGAAAATCTTTTTACAAGTTTTGGCAGGCTTGGAAGCACTTATTATGTCCATTTTAGTAGTTGCCTTTCACAGAAATGGAGGAATGGTTATTTTTGTAATATGCACACTGAATTATATTTGCTGTTTCTGCTCTGCTGCTTTTATCTATTTTGATGCAATTACCTTTAAATAAACTTTGCGACGCACTTTCATCATTATTTTAATCAATTGCTTCTAAAATGGGTTTATTTTTGCTATCCTTTTGTTTTGTAATGCTAGAGAGCACATAGATGCATACTGTTTCATTTGTGCTTGTGTTTACATACTGACTGAAATATCCTCAGCAGTCTATACTATTATTAGAACTTATGATTTTATAGAAGTGAATCTAGAAAATTTTGACTAAGTTTAGAATTAAAACTCTGCTTCTCTGCTTAACGCTTCACAAGAATATGCCAACTACACTAACAGTGAGTAAAATATGTATTAGCAGCAAACCACCCTCGATTACGGATAGTATCGCTCTCAAAATAACTCAAATTTGTAAAACCATTAAAATCCAAATTAAAACTACAATAATCCACATGCAGCTGTTGCTCACAAGTAATCTAAACTTGAAGAAGAAAATACATCTAGAAGTAATAACAAAAATAATTACAAGCAAATGCAACAAACTGGATTTTCCTCTAGAATTTCAACCCTCTCTAACGCTCAAAACACTTAAAACAATAACAATAATAACAACAATAACAATAGCAGTATTAATATAATCAATACAGGAAGCAGCAATAACCTTGTAAAGAAAAGTTCAATGACCCCAAAAACTCCTGGAATGATTACGAATACTTTAGAAGATAGCTTCAGCAGTATTAATCATTGCGAAAACTTAAGTGAGGATGATAATTCTTATGAAAATAACCCTAATTATTCTAATAATAATAATAATAATAATGGTAAACTTAAAAATTAAAAGAAGAATGACCAAAAGAATCGCATGTAGTTGACTGCAAGAAGTAAGAGTAGTATCTAATGCATAGGAAGAAAAGACTTCAATTCAAATGATGACTCTCTTGATAGAATAGAAGAGGAGGATGGAAAGTATGAATAAAAGAAATAGTCTTAGATTCAAGGACTCTTCATTGGGGATAATTGGTCAGGAAGCGTAGATTTCACTGATAATAATCAACAAAATAGCAATAACTAAAATATAAACAAAAGTAATCTCATCAGCAACTTAAAATAATACTAAATTTAAATGAATAATAACTATCATTAGTCCTTCCAAAGATAGCCAACTGTACTAACAGATACTCTTTAGTCTTCTGTAGATTTGATGAGTAGTAACTAGTTCATTACTCCATCATTCACTAATCATCCTGCATAAATTGAATCTCATACAAATTCTTCATGTAATAGAGATTCTTTATATTTGTCATAGTAAATCACTACTCCTTCTTTCAGCTAAAACTTCCATCAGTATAATAGCAATACAAACAACAATAATAATCATAGCTCAGCTAAATCTTCTTCAAATTCTTCTTTGAAGAAAGCTGATAACTCCATTTTTTCCTAGCCATAATAGCAAAACGACTACCATTAATAATAAAATATCAATATCAGTAATCTTAAAAGAAACTCTAATTTAAACTGCTATGAGAACAGTAACATACAAGCAGCTTCTTTGAACTCTGCCTCTCCTAGTCTAGCAGCTAACAGTGGAGAAACAGCAGCTTTCTAACTTAACAGTGCTGGTGATCATTCTGATATTTCAAGTAAATAAGATTCGAGCCAAACAAGTGATAGCTACCTCATGAATGGTGGATAAAACAACTAAAACAAAATGATGAAACAAAAGAATTATCAACAAGGAAAATAGTAATAAAATGCTTAAATAGAATAACAAGATAAAAAAACAGTGACTAATTAAATTACAAAGTAAAAATCTTTAAACATGGCTACTTCTCCTTAAAACAGCTCACTCAAAAGTTCTCCTCAATCAACTGACCTTATTACCAAGAGTCAGGATAAATAGCACGTCTTAAATCAAATGAATGATCTATTATTTTGTAAAAAATAGACATAATCTAACATTTAATCATAGTAAGTAAGTCCTTAATCAAATTCATAATAACAAATTAAAAAGGTGACAAAAACTGGCAGCTCAGATGATTTTAAAAAGATGGTCAATTAGACAGAAAATACTAACAAAAAAGCAGCAGACCATGCTAACTATAATTATGCTTATCAATTATAACCTAAGAAAGGAAATGAATCATCGAAAAGCCAAGATAATTTATACAAACTTGATAGCTAAGACGAGAGTCTTGGATACTATTAAGAGAGATATTCTGATCTTAAAGTAGTATCATTTGAATAATCAGAAAAATTCGATAAAAGGACTGTTGTTTTTAACATTAGTTTCTTTGATAGTAAAGGAGAAAGTATGATTATTTAGAGAAGTTATAGAGAGTTCAACGACCTCTATAAATATCTAAGCAGCAAATACAGACAGTATAAATTTGCTAATTTTCCTAAAAAGCAGAACAAAGCATAGCTATCGAGCTAAGAGCTAGTTGATAGGACCAACTAGTTTAACATTTATTTGTAGTCTGTCGTGACTTTAATAAAGGAAGAAGTGAATGTAATCAATCATTTTCTCTCTAAAGAAACTAATTGCTTCTCATCTCAAGCTGTTATAAACCAAACTAACCAGCATACTAATGAAAAACAAAGCAAAAGTTTTGCATAATCGCCTACATCAACATTTACAAACACTAGTAAATAGTAAAGCAATCTTAGCAAGATTAACACCCTACCTTGTAAGCCAAGGAGTGTACCTGAGACAATATTTGAAGATGCTAATGATTGTTCAAACGTCTTAACTGATTCTAACGCCTCTAAAATTGATAACCAAGATGAATACAACACCAAAAATTACTATAATTATAGTAGAAACAGAACTAGTGATTAATAATAATTAAGTTAAAGCAAAAACAACTTAAATAATTCCAATAAAATAGAACATTAGTCCTCAAAAAACATCAGCTCTTCATCTTCTACCTCAGGAAAATAATTTGGAAAGCAGTGATGACTTAGCTAATTAGGAGAGCTTTAAGATGTTAAAATTTAAATAAAACTTCGAAATCTAGAATTTTATATGTAGCATTAAAGTAGTACTTTAATAATTTTTTAAAAATTGAATTTTAATTGGATATTTTTATTTCTCTTGGTGAATGATTGAATAACCATCTAAAAAGCTGTAAAGTTAGTTGCTGAGAGAATTTAAAAATATTAAATAATTAATTAATGTATATTATACTACCAAATTTAAAACCACAAAACATTTTGACACCAAATGAGCACTTTTGTTTTTAATCATAAACAAATCAACACTTTTGATTTTAGTAGAGTGAGTGGAAATTAATTAAATATTTCTATCAAAAAAATCGTGATTACATCAATAAAATTCATACCTAATGAATCCCAACAAAAAAGAAATCAATGAATTGATTTTAAATTAATTAAAATCTAATTACTTCAATTAAGAGGAAAATAAATAAAAGGCAAATTACTCATAAATTTAATATTTCTTTCTCCTTTACAAAAGCAAATTAAGCTTTAATGAAGCTTACTTAAATAATCAGAAAATCAATTATTAAGAATTTATTTAAAGAAAATAAATAAACTAGAATAAATATAATAAAAAAAGCAAACCAATTGTAAGAAAAATAAAAATTTAAAAAAATACTATAACAAATAACAACTTTAAATTATATCCAAAACAAATGAAATTCATTGTTATTCATTAATAAATACAATAATAAAAATCTCCATAATAAAAATCAATAAAAAACCAAACAAACAAATAAATAAATTAATAATAAAATCTATAATAAATTCACTCGTAATAATTTTTCTAATAAATTTATTTCGTCCTTTATATTTTTACTAGTTTTATAAAATTTACTTAATTATAACTAAGATATTGAAATATTCTCTTTTATTTATTCATTAATGAATTTTTTTTATTCCTTATCTTATAGATTATTCTAAATTTATTAAATATTGTATAAAAATTGAAATAAATGCTTTTCTTATTTTTTAAATACTACTAATCAAATTACTTATTTTGATATTAATTTGTTAAAAAGGCTTTTAAAAACATAAGCTATTTATACAATAAAAAAAATTATTTATCTTTAAATACTAACTCTTATGAATTTAAATATTTAAAAATATTATTAAGTTATGTTAGTATTAATCATTATCAATTAAAATGTTTAATGTGATTCTTTGTTTTTATAAGCTTAAGTTATTGGAACATGAGTTATTAAATAAATAGTATAAATTAAATAACTGATTTTAAGAAAAACTTTATTAAGAATTTGAATTTGTTAAAATTTTATTTTATTATTAAATAAATATTTTTCTAATAGTTTAAACTCTACAAAATCAAATTACTATTTTTGGTAATATTTTTATATTTTTTAAATCCACAGAATTTAAGTATTAAAAATAGTATTTAGTTCTATTAGTTTTAAGATGTTTTCAATTAAAAAGCTTAATTTCATTCATTATTTTGTAAGCTTAAATTATTGAAATGTAAGATATTTGATAAAAAATAGTAATAAAATAAATAATTTTTAGAAAAAATTAACAAGTAATTTACATTTTCTGATTTAAAAAATTTGATAAGAATTAATTCAAAAAAAAATGAAGTTGAAAAAATCATAAAATTTATATGTTTATTTTTTGTAAATTTAATCAAATGATTTAGATTTTTAAAAATTTATTAAAAGGTTAGAGTACATAAAATACGAAAAAATTTGTTACAATTAATATAATTATTTTATTATTTAGTTATGATTATAAAGTAAGAGTGAATCAAAATAATAAGCATGTATTTCAACAATTAATAGCAATATCATTAATGGCTACACAATTAACTGTTTAAGTATGTCCTTTGAATATTTAATATTCAACTTAATTTGACTCTTTATCAAGTTTCCATAGTTTGGCAGTATTATCACTGGAACAAGAGAATAAAAATTAACCATCACACCCATAGGATACATCCCAAACCCATCTATAATGATAGAGTGTATTTTTGTGCTCAAATTTTTAAGATTATGGATTTAAGCTCCAAATTTTAATAGATCTATCAGCGCTACAAGTAACTATATCCCTTTTTCAAATTGGTATATTTAATTATTTTATTTTATATTTTATCAATACTTGGCAAATGGAGAGATCTAACATTTGAGAATATAATCATTATGGGCATTCTCAATCTTTTGCTGAGAAATGATTTCCTATTCAATAAATAGTTAAATATTTTTAATAATTTTGAAAATAATAAAATATTTTATACATCATTTCTACCTAGGTTTTGTATAAAGAGAGTTCCAGAGGAATCTGCTGCACAAAAAAATTAAGCATTCGTGGCGATTGAAACAGATCTTAAGCCTATTTTAGGAGCCAAAACCTTATTTATTAAAGTTACCATTTCTTATGTAAAAAAATAATAAATGTTACTATTTCTTTTCTGCATTAACTTTCATTTCTTAAATCCCATATTTTTAAGATTCCATCTTGATCAACTGAAATTAAATCAACTTCATTTGGATGTAACACAACTTAACTCACTGGTTCTTTGTTAGAAAATATTTTAGGTACACCTTGCATAGCTAAATGGTGGATTTGTATACTACCATCTTCAGAACCAGTATAGATCCATTTGCTATCTTAATTGAATCCTATTGAAGTCACATTATTTTTGTAGCCATCATAAGCAAAAACCTAAATTATTTTTTAGAAAGATATGAAAAACTAAATCTTAAGAGATAGAAATTTTTGATATAAATATTTTTAATAGGCTAATATGTACTGGTATTTTAGATAACTAAGCCTTTCCTAAATCATAAATCATGGCTAAAAAGCTAGTAGCTGCACCTAAGTATTGCTTATTCTGAGAAATTTCAATCTTATTTACCAAAAATCCTTATTTATTAATTTGATCGAAACGTTTAGGTATATTAGAAGAATATGACATAGTTTCTATACATCCTTAATTCTAATCCCATAATCTTATAGTATGATCATAAGATGCTGTAGCCAAAATAACTCTGTTTGATTACATTTTATTTTTAAGCTTATTTTTTTTAATTTCTTCTTATTATTTTCTTCTATTTTTTGTTTTTTATTACTGATCTACTTAAATTTTTTCTGATAGGATAAATCTTAAAATACTATTTTTAATCATTCAATTTATTTACTTTTTTAATATTTATTAAGTTCTTCTTTTTACTTTTATTTTAATTTCTTATTTAAAATCTTAAAATAAAAAGAAAAATTATTTTAATATTTTAAAAATAACTTTCACTCACCTAAAACTAAAAACTCATTTAACTCATTAAGAATTTTAGTAATGATTAATAAAAACAAAAAAATTCTGTTTTTGATCATTTTTTGATTCATTTTTTTTAAGATCTTTTTTATTTTGTTGATAAATTAGACTATTTTATAATCATTTAAATAGAAAAAAATACATAATTAGAAAGAAGTTTTAATAAAAAGTTAATTTATTTTCATTTAACATTTAACCAATCAGAGAAAGCTATTATGATATTTTTTTATTTTTTTAAGATTAATTAGTTATCATATATTTGATTAGTAAGTTATTAAATTATAAAGATTAAATTTTAAATAAAAATTAATATCTATCCAACATGTATTTTTAGTATTAAATTTATTTTATCAATATTTTGAAAAAAAAAAAATAAAAAGTATTTAATTTTACTTTTTCATAAAATTTTGAGAAAATTTAAAATTTATTTAAATTTATTTTTTTTGAAAATTCTAAATAAGTTTAAATAAAACATAAAATTTATTTTTCAAATAACATTTTATGTAAATTATTTATATAAGTTTTAATAAAATTTAATCCACTATTATTTTAAACTAAATTAATGGAGAGAAATATATCATACTTTTTTTGTTTTTATTAGGTTTAATTAATTATCATTTTATTACTATTTGGTTTTAAATAATTATTTTTATTTTTCAAAGTTATCCTGAGTTTTAAAATTATATCTTTTACTCCATCCAAGTAACATTTAATTAAAATTTGTAAATACCTTCTTTAGTTTAAGCTTTATTTGAGTAACTAAATTTACTATTTTCTTAAGGAATTTACCTTACTATATTTTTTTAAAATATTAATAATCTATTTTAACCTTTTCAAATATTTTCAGAATAAAAATATCATCTTTTTTATTGAGAAGATTAATTTAAATTTCATGAATCATAAATAAAATTTTTTTCCTAATTTTGTAATAGTGTTTCTAAGCAGTTTCAATGAATGTAAAATCTTTATTTTTGTAAAAGTCAAATACGGATAAAGGATGGATGAAAACTAATTTGAAGATTTTTTTTTGGTAAAACTCTAAAAAAAATTTATTTGCATTATCATCCAAGTATTTGATAGAATCAAAAAATAATTGGTGCAACTTCAAGCAATCATATCTATCTGAAGCATTTTCAAGGACCATATTTTCATTAATAATTTTTTCTATTTGCATTATAAATTAAGTTTTATTATTTAATTTATTATATACTCTTAGTACTTCTCTAAATGTTTTGCCAAGAGAGTAAACATCACTTTTGAAACTTATTGTATTTAAATTTAAAGCCTCAGGACAGGCATAGATTATTGTATAACCTAGAGGTTATCTTTAACTATCATCTTATATAATGAGGGAAACTCCAAAATCACAGTATACATAATCAAGATTATCTTTAATTAAAATATTTGAAGGTTTAATGTCAGAGTGAATAATACGATGACTTCTCATCTCAATCAACCCATCTAATAAATCAGAGAATATTTTCATCAGTTTTTAAACTCCAAATGGATTGTATTCATCTTAAAATTCATTTTATTTAACTCTTGATTAAATTATTTTAACCTTATCTGTTTATTAATTTAATTCATCCCTCAAACTATACCTACATTTTTCTAAAACTAAAACCTATAATGAATCGTTAATTGAAAAATGATCTAATAACTTAATAATATTTTAATGTTAATTAACTCGATTCATTATATCAATTTCATTTTAAATATCTATTTTACTTTCTTCGATAATAAATTTAAAAATAACACCTACACACTTACCTAGAGAAATTTATTTATATCCCTCCAAAACTATACTGAATCCACCTTAACTTATGTATGAATTGATAAAATATTTTCGTTATTTTAAGCTTTTAGAAATGGTTTCCCATTGAGTAAATAGAATTTAATGATTTTTCAGCTCTTTAATTGATTTAAGCTATTAATATACTTTCTGCAAATCAAATATAAAAGCGTGCTTATTATTTTTAAGATCTTCTATTTTATCTTTGATTTGCTAATACTGCTTTTGCTTAAAAATAGTAACATGAATATTTTCTTCAAATTTGAAGTAGTCTTGCTTTATTTATTCTTAGCAATCTACTTCAATCATTTCGATAATGTTTTATTCTCTATGTAGTTTTTGATTATCTATTTCATGCTGCATTTAAAATATTAAATCATTATTTTATGATAAAGATCTCATTTAGTATCCTGTAAAGAATTACAAATTTTCTTCTTACTTATCTGAATCAGAAATGTAATTAGATAGATAGTAATTTTTTTGTATGAGCTAATCAAGAATTTTATCAAATTGCTTTTGAAAAGTCTTTTTATTTTTCAACGCCTAATTAATTTATTGCTTAAATTTTTGCTTATCCCATATTTAAATATCTTAATTCTCTAAATCTCTTTTTATATCAGCCTAAAAATTATTATATTCTTGCTTATCAAGTGCCAAAATATTCAAATCATTTGTTATTTACAAATAATCAAGCAATATCTTTTTGTCTTTTAATTTTTTCTAATAGTAATTAATGATGAAAAATTCTTTATCAATAAGTTTATTTTCTCTTTGATAATATACTTTGAATGTTAAGTCTTTAAATCTACTATTTGTTTCTTGATATCCATCAAACATAAGAATTTAGCTTTCTTATTTTATTAAACGACACAAAAAGTATTGCTTATCTAATAAAGATGTAAATATTTCATTCTAAAATTTATTAAACCAATTTGAATTAATCTGGTTCTTGCTATCGTTAATACAATTTACTGTGTTAAAGTTAAATATCACCTAATCAATCATTTTCTATGAATCCATTTACATATTTTTTTTTATTTCAACTAATTTCTTATTATTTTTGTTTAAAACCAAAATTTACATGTCTAGCCCAAATTGGATCTAGTCTATTATAATTTTTCTATTTATTTTCTATCCTAAAAACTCATAATTATCTTTACATCTTTTGAATTCTTCTATATTAAATTTTCCTAAAAACATCAAGAGGACTATGTCTTAAAATTCATTAGAAACTTATTAAAACCCATTAAAATGATAAACCTATAATTCCTCTTTCTTATAATCTATCAAGTAAATTTTTTAATAAACTAATTAATTTAGTATTTTTTCAAATAAATTTTTTATTCTACTTAAGACATCTAATCTATCTTAAATTCCTTCAAAAAACCTCTAAATACTCCAAACAGCTTATATTTCCTTCTAAATACACTACTTTATCGCTTATTTATATTTTAAGTAATTTTCCTTAAATAAAACAAACAAATAAAACTCATCTTTTAATTAATAGTATCTTTCTAAAATTATGATCTATTTTTCCTTTTCTTTCTGTTAAATTGCATTCATTTGGAATTATTTAACGTCTTAACTTTTTTAATTAATTTCAATAATAAATAGCAATTATTTCTATTTCTATTTATCTAATTTATGATATCCATGAAATGTCATTTGAGTTTTTTTAGCCTTGAGTAATTTTTCTAAAATGTAATTATTATTTTATAGATTTTGGAAAACTTAAATTATATTATTCTAAAAGCAAGTATCAATTCTATTAATAATATTAATTAATTCATTTTATTACTATGTGTCTAAGTTATGCTCTTCTAATATAACTTTGATTTCTTCTGAATTATCTATAGTAGAAATAAATTTTTAATTAACACTTTATCTTTTATAAGCTGTATCTATAATAATATCGCTAATAGTATATTAGTCATTAAACATTTTTATTTAGTATCCTTGATTTATTTCCTTTGCATGCTAACTTTTGATATCTAAACAATACTCTTAACAAGTATAGGACGTTTCTATGCTTGATAAGAAGATACAATCATTTTCATAAAATATTTAATTATTTTTTTTTACATTCATAAATTTTAGAAATTTTTATATTGTCCTGTCGTTAAATTAAATATATTTATTTAAATTTTATTTTTTTTTAATTGTTAAATCTTCTTGCATAGTAAAGACTTTAAATTCAATAAATAGCTTAAATATATTCGTTAAATATTAACTTAGTAACTTTTGATTAAACAATTTTAATATATTTATTCAAAACTTTGATTATAAGTTAATATTTGATAAAAAATATTTATAAACTTAATTTTTTAAGGTTTTACTTTTTTTGTCGAAAAATTATTACACCTTTTTCAAAAAAAATAAAAAAATAAATTATATAAATAAATTTTTACCAGTTAATTTGAATAAAAAGTACTTGTAATGATGCTATTTTAGAACAATTCTTAATTTTTTTGTTATAATTAACATTTATTTTAATAATTTTGATAATCATTTATTATTATCGCAAACTCCATTTTTCTTTTTTTCCTTCCTTCCTTCCTTCCTTTTATTTATTTTTTTTTTTCTGATGGAACCTTTAAAAATTAGAAGATTTTACAAATTCATTAATAATTTTCTATCTTTTTCCTTAATACTATAACAAAAATAAGTTATTATTTTTATTACTAATTTTAAAAATTGCTTTAAACGAGACAGTCTCAATTAATAAAAAATTGCTTGAATGAATGAATTTTATTATATCCATTTATTTTATGTTTAGAAAATATTTAATTAAATAGTATATAGTCACAAATAAATATAAATAGAATAGATAAATTGATATAATTGGTTTATGAAAAGTATTTAATAAATTTATTATTTCTTATTTACTTGATAATAATTAATTACATTAATAATAGAATAAAATTAATTAATTAATATTTTGTCTAAAGAAAAGTTGCATTGATTTTATTGTTAATTATATTTGATTCAATCTTTCTTTTTGGGCAATGTGTACAGGATGTTATTGTATTAAAAGAAGCTATTGAATGATTCTGAATTAACTACTTTGATATTCCCGTGTTTATTTTTAGTATTTCATAGTTCTTCTAAGTAAAATGTAGTTGCTTATGCAATTAATTTAGTGTTTTTTAATTTAAAATCTAAAAGGAAAGTGAAGGTATTAATAAGATGTATCTGCATTAGGATAGAGGCCTCATGATAAGGAGAACATACAAAGGGATTTGTAGAATAATTTTAACCATACTTCCTACATTGACTATAATCGCTTTAAGAATTAAATATTACTTCGGAATAATTTTATTGCAAATGCAACTGCAACTGCTTTAATCCTGATTTATTATAAATTCATGACAACATTAAACAAACATTTATATTATTTTTCCATAAAACCCTTTTTTATAGTTACATGTTATTTCAGTTTGAAAGTATAAGCAAGCATTTTTATCAAAGCAATTTCAGGATCTATTTTAAATCAGCAGTATTTTAAGAATATTAATGGCAAGGTAAGAAATTAGTAGCAGAAGGTTATATCCAATTATAAGGTTAAATTGAAGATGATTGCATTTAATAATCCTTTAATCATATATATTGTGGAGTGATATATCTTTATTGGTTAGGTCCAACTAAATTATTGCTTTCAGAAGGACAGTTAACATATTTAGCTCTATTTTTATCCGTTAATAATTTAATTAGGAGATTTTGAGCTTTCGATCATATAATAATGAACTTAAAAACTACTCTATACAGATTTTTTTACTTGTGTTGCACCATTCCTAGTGGCCCCTGCTGGATGAGGTGATCGTTAAGCTATAATAGGTGGCAAAAATAATGAGAAAGGTTTATTTATATATTAGTTCAATAGTCAGAAGTTACTACTTTAAATTTGATAACTTTAATAGTTAGTTCCTACACCTTGTAGTCAATTAATTTAGTTAGGTTTATACAGTAATAAAATAGTTACAAAAATAATTTGGTAAGTAAATATTACAAAAAGCTAATGATTAAACAGATTATTAATTCTAAAGAGTAGAATTAAGAGGACATTAAAAACATTGTCCTTTAAAATTCATAAAATACCCTTAATTGCAAATACGTTAGTTAAATTAGGATAAAAAAATGATTCCTTAGGACATTAGTATTATACTTATACTAAATAATTAATAATTGAAGATAGAATCAGTTTAGATATCATAGATATTTTTAAATTTGTTTCATTTATTTGTATTCTTAATATTCTTTTTTAATACTTTTAATTGTTCTACTTAGATAAAACTTCAAAACATATTTTTCTTATTTTAATTAGATACTTAAATAAAATCATAAAAATTAATCAATCTCAATGTATGATATGATATGATGATGATGATGATAATATTTCAAATATTTCTAAAATAATTTTCATTCACATTTTTAATCCATATATTTTTAAATTGCTTTTAATAATGCTTGTGCTGATTTAAATAAAGAAACATTAAACATTTAAATAAAATCAAAACTAAAAAGATAACTTAAAAGCTTCTTTTATTTTTGGATGGATTTACATATTTTAAATGCATTTTCTTTTGAAAAAAATTTTACAATAATGCATCCTTTTTTTTCAATTTATAAATGAAAAGATTATTTAATAATGAAAATATACTAAATTAAAATTTTTTTTTTTGAGGAGGAACAATTTAAGAATTAGAATACTGTATTTTCTGCTAATTTAGTTTTCATTTTTGAAAATTGTCAGTTTGAAGTATAGGAGATCTAAATTTAAGATTCTTACCCCTTACCTCGCAAGTCGTTAGTTTTCCTTAACAAGGTTTTATGGTATATATTGTATAATATTTTTTTCATAAAATAATTACAAAGAAAATCTGAAAAAATATTGATAATATTTTTCAAAACTTGTTAAATCACTAAAATTTGACATTTTTGATGAAAACCTCTATTTTATTCTCATATTTTAAACAAATTATTTTTTATGTATTATTAAACTATTTATTCCATGGAAATTATTCTCTCATTCAAATATACTAGCTTAATTAAATTTATTTGCAACATTCTTTTATATGATAACATTTGTAAAACATATAATACACTCACTTTAAGAAATCTTGAAGGTGAATTAATTACGTCAATATTTGAATATATATATTCATAGATACATCTTAATTAAGATTCAAAGTATATTAATATTTAAATTTTTGTTGTTGTAAGAAAACAAATCCTGAGTTAAAATATATACATTAACACATAAAAAAATAAAAACGCTTTTTTAAAAAGCAGATTTATTTATACAACATATTTTTTGATAGATTTAAAATAGAATAGTTTTGATGCATTAAAATATTTAAGTGATAAAATTATATATCATTATTTTTTACAAAACCCAAACATATTTTCTTTGAATATGCATTTATATTCAGGACAGCATTAAAAATTAATCCAATCTTTTTAACATACTGAACCTAATGGTTAGCATTTTTTAATGTTATTGTCATTATTTTATTCAGCAACTGTCAAAATAAGTTCATCCCTTAAATGTTAAGCTTAAATTGAAGTAAAAAATAATCCTATTATTAAGAAAATTATTATTTTGACTTAAGCTACTTTCATGTTCTATTTATATTTTAAAAATTTTTTCTATCAATATTAAATATATTTTTATTATTTTGTTATATTTCTCTCTTAGATCTCTTTTTTTAAATATTGAAAGGGAAGATAATTATCATTATTTTTAAATAAAATAAGTTGAAGATATTCCTATTTTTTTTAAATAGGTTTTTTTATATATTTTTTAATAATTACAATTTGATTTCATATTATTAATATCAAATTTCTTAACAGATGACGTTTTTAATTAATCCTATTATAAAAATAAGTAAATTTTAATATTTGAAACCTAACGTCCTTTGGTTATTAATTTAGAGACTAAGATATAAATTATTATATTTTGGATCCAACAAAAGATTAGTTCTATCTGATACCAATCACTAATCTAAAAAAATAAATATAAAACACTCAAATTTCACATTTTATAATGATATTTTATTATTTCCGCTTACTTTATTTTAGATTATATGATTTTTAACAAGCAAAAAACATAGTAAAGTATAATTTATATAATAAGGCACCTGATGCAGCCTCATTTTTCCTCCTTAATTTCATAAGATATTAAAAATTTTGATAAAATTAGGTAGGTAGAAAAGGTGATTGTGTCAGATACCTGGTACCTGACTATCTAATATGTATTTGATTGTTATGTTTTAATTTGAACAGTTTATCAAAATAAAATAGATCAAATTAATATTTAAGAATTTTTTATAGATAAAATATGAACCTTAAAGGTTATTTTGAAGTAGAATTTTTAGATTAGAAGAATGAAAAATTTTGTATTTCATTAAAATCAATTATTTAGTAATCAAAAAATATAAACAATTTGATGACGCATTAATATTTAAAAAATATATGGATAGATATAAAAATAGATTTAAATAATTTCAAATTGAATAAATGAATAATTTATAGATTAACAATAATAGTAAAGCTGAATTTATAAATAAACATAATTTAGATTACTTCTTATTTGTTATATTAACTATAAGGAATCTTCTATCAACTATAATGATATATACTAATTCTTCTAAATAAAAAGTGTATTTCATTTCTTTTTTAGTCTTCTTCAAATTAATTAAAATCTTCAAAGGTAATTCCAAAAAATAATTAATTAATTTATATAAATTTCAATATATAATTAGTTAATCTATAGCTCTTTTACTTCGAATATTTAAAATTAAAATTATTCTTTTGTTAAAAATGGCTATGTATTTATTTTTTATTGATAAAATCATTAATTATCTATAAATTATAAATATGCGAGATTTACAAAAAAAAAATGGATGTTATAATTGATTAACAAATAAATTTTTTATCTTGAGATTCATAAAACTAAAATTATTTTTTTTTTAACTAAAAATGTCTTAATATATTTTATATAGATAAAAACATATTAAATGGTATCTTAAGTAAAAATCTATTTTTTAAAATCATCAATTTATTTTATCTAAAAAATACTATTTGCAAAATTAGAAAGTATGCTTTTTATTGCAAATAAATTTATGAAAATGTTAGATTTTTCAAAATTAAATAACAATATTAATATTTTTATTCATAATTGATAAAAATATAATTAAAATATTTTTTAGATGAAGCTGTTATAAATTATTGTGAAAATTAAAAAAAATATATAGCTTAAAAATTTTAGAAAAAGCATTATTGCTTGAAAAGAAGTTAATATTTATTAAATGACAATACTCTTTTAGCAATTTCATTAATAAAAATATGATTTTTATTTATTTGTCGGGATTGATAATTTTGATTAGACTAGGTTTAATGGTTCTATAAAAATTAAATCAATTCTATCACTTTTGTTAGATAACAAAAAAATAAGTTTAGCTAATTCCATTTTATTCTTCAACAAAATAATAATGATGCATTTATTAGATAAATTTATGAATAAGCACAAGATGAATAGAATATTTTTAAAAATATAATTTTAAAAGTTTATTTATGGTATTGTAGCAAATTTCATCAAAAAAAGTGATGAAAATATCCATTCATTTATATGCTTATATAATAAGTAAAGCTAAACTAGTACCAAATTTTTATTATTATTATGGTATAATTTAAGTCAATAGATTTTTTATAAATTTACCTCTTAAATTTTATTGAATTTATGTGATAATTAATAACAAATTTTTCTTAATTACTCAAGCTGTATTAATTATTAAAGATGCTTTTTGTCTACAAAAATTAGTAAATAAAATTTCAGACATCTAATTTTAATCAAACATTTATTTTTACATAAAATAAAGTAAAAACTGATTAGATTGATTTTTATTTTCAAATATAAGAAAAGACCAATTTTAATAATTCATTTTTATTTTTTGATTTTATCTTTGTAAAACATTATTTTTAAAATGATTTATTCATTAGCAAACACAAAATTCTGAATTCTTTTGAATGTATTTACAATAAATGTTTAAAAAGAAATAAGCAAATAAATAAAACAAAAACTTGAGTACTTTATTTAATTTGCTAAATAAAGTAATCCCTTAGTGTTTAATTTCTTTATGTTTCATACAAAGATAAACTTTTAACAAAACAAAATTAATAAATAAATAGAAATTATGATGAAATTTGTAATAATAAAAAGTAACATAGAAGCATTTTTAATATTAATATGTTTTTTTTAATACACTTAATAATATGATTTGAGATTAGTAGAATAGAGAGGAGAAAATATAAGCGATCCTATTTTTTTATAGTAGGAAGACTTTATTCTCAAGGAATGTGTAAAAACTTCTTGTAATAATCAATTCTGCACAAAAGGGTATAAAATAAAGCAAACATCACCTAAAAGCCACACATCAATCTATTATACGAACAATATAACAATTCCTAATTTTGAAAAAGATGCTTTTTTTGATTTTGGACTTACTAGTAATGTGGATGACTTTGGAAATAAAACTTATATGTCTTCTTCTGATTTACTTTATGGATAATTTACTTATTTCTAAATAAAAGACTTTAGAACTAATTAAATAAATGACGCATGTACTATCGACTCTTTAAAACTAACATATTACTTTTCTTGTTCAAATTACATATAAAAAGCTAATCTCACTTAAGATTTTAGAACTATATTTAAGGATTTCAACATTGAAGCGTAAACTATCATTTTTAGATATCAATTAAATATAAACGCTTGTCATCCTTCTTGCTTAACTTGTGTCGGACAAGAAGCTAATTAATGTACTAGTTGTGATTAAGGGGTAAATGATTATACAGAAGATTCTCCTGGGTCATGTTAATGTCAAAATTCTAATTATTTCTTTCTTAACGGGAAATGTGTTCCTAGTTGCGCTAATGGCTATATTGCTAATGGAAAATCATGCTTCCCTATGAAGGGTTGTCAGAAAGCGGACCCTCTGAATAATGGAAAATGTTTAATTTGTGAGTAATAATTATATAATAACGATGGTAATTGTTAGGTCCAGTCTATAGTACCACCTGGATACGAGTTAAAAGGAAGGAATTTTGTCTTATCTGCTCTTTAGTATAATGTAAATCATAAAATATACTTTTAAGCTTTCAATAGCTATACTTTTTCAAATTTGGAGATTAAAAATAAAGGTCTTATAATTAAAAATAGTCTTTTATTAAATGAAAATTAATCAAGTATTACTAGTTGTAATGGAATTAATCTTTTAGGAGGATTTCTAACAAATATAAGTGGTACATCTATATAATTACCAATTATCATTTTTTCTCATTCATAAATTGTAGTAGTATTTAAGTTATACATGATAGATGTTGATGAAAGACTTTAAGATGTGATCATCAATTTGAAATATAATGATAAAATTATTGGAACTTATTAAATGTCTAATAAACGACAAACAGGGTATTTTTGTGGATTTGATTAGCTAGATGCAACTGATGAAGTATATATTTATTTTAGCAAAGATGAAGTATTTAAGGAAGAAACTGCAAAAGAATTATAAATTGTTAATTAGAGCTTAAACTATAAAGCTAAATCTCTTAATAATATATATTTAGGAATAAGAGACTTAACGATTATTGGATTTGAATGTAAAAATCCTTAATGTATAAAATGTTTAGATTTTGGCCAGAAATGTAATTCATGCAAACAACCTTTTACTTTATAATAAGAAATTTTTAATTGTGTAGAATGTGATAAACTTAGCGGCTATTACACTTCTTCTGATGGAAAATATTGCAACAAATGTGATTCTTCTTGTTTGGAATGTAGTTTAGGAACTAAAAAAAACTGTACAAAATGTAGGGATAATATGTTTCTTTCTCCATTAAATGAATGCTTCCCGTGTCCAAATAATTGTGCTTCTTGCAAAGAAGCTAATAAATGTGACAAATGTGAAAATAATTTTTATTTTGATAAATATAATAATTGCGTTTCTTGTAGTGGAGACAATGTTTTTATTAGGGATACATTTTATTGCGATAATTGTGATTCCTCATGCATGAGATGTAAAGGTAAACAGCCTACTGATTGCACAAAATGCAGTGATAAAAAGTATTTTTAAAATAATCTCTGCATAGAATGTAATTCATCTTAAGGGTATGTATAAGTAGATTAGTGCATTCCTTGTCATCAATCTTGTAAATCATGTGATGGAGCAGGTCCTAATAAATGTAAAAGTTGCTTTGAAGCAAGTTATTTGACTTTAGCTAATGAATGTAAGTCGTGTATTTAGAATTGTAAAAGTTGTATAGATGCTTCATCTTGTGATTTTTGTTACAGTCCTTATACAATTCATGAAATATCTAAGTAATGTGTTTAATGCTAATAAATAGCTGGTTTCTATCAAGATGTAAATTTTTGTAGAAAGTGTGATTCTTCTTGTTTGGAGTGCAGTTTAGGAACTAAATAAAGCTGCACCAAATGTAGGGATAAAATGTATCTTTCTCCATTAAATGAATGCTTACCGTGCCCAAATAATTGTGCTTCTTGCAAAGAAGCTAATAAATGTGACAAATGTGAAAATAATTTTTATTTTGATAAATATAATAATTGCGTTTCTTGTAGTGGAGACAATGTTTTTATTAGGGATACATTTTATTGCGATAATTGTGATTCCTCATGTATGAGATGTAAAGGTAAACAGCCTACTGATTGCACAAAATGCAGTGATAAAAAGTATTTTTAAAATAATCTCTGCATAGAATGTAATTCATCTTAAGGGTATGTATAAGTAGATTAGTGCATTCCTTGTCATCAATCTTGTAAATCATGTGATGGAGCAGGTCCTAATAAATGTAAAAGTTGCTTTGAAGCAAATTATTTAACTTTAGCTAATGAATGTAAGTCGTGTATTTCGAATTGTAAAAGTTGTATAGATGGTTCATCTTGTGATTTTTGTTACAGTCCTTATACAATTCATGAAATATCTAAGTAATGTGTTTAATGCTAATAAATAGCTAGTTTCTATAAAGATGTAAATTTTTGTAGAAAATGTGATTCTTCTTGCAAAGAATGTAATGGTGGGACAAATAAATAATGCACTGAATGTTATCAAGAAACCTATTTATATCAGTCAACTTGCTTAGCTTGCCCTAGTAACTGCTTAGATTGCAGCAATTCAAACAGCTGTAATAAATGTAAAGACAAATATTATGTCCATGAAGTCACTAAATTATGTGTTATATGTGAATCTTTAAAGGGGCATTTTAAAGAAGGGATTTATTGCAAAAAGTGTAATGTAGCTTGCAAGGAATGCTTTGGACCAACAGATGCAGAGTGTTATACATGTAATGAGCTATACTTTAGGACTGAAATATCTTAAAACCGTTGTTAAAAATGTCCAAATAACTTTTATCTTGAATCCACAAAACAAAATTGCTAAAACTGCAATTTCTAATGCATTCCCTGTAATAAATTTAAGGAAATGTTTTACATGATAGATATAAAAAAGGATAGAGAAATAAGTAAAACATACTGTCTGGTTTGTAGCTGTACTAAATGTAATTCGAATTTTCTTTTTTTTAACTAAAAATAATGCACGAATAGTTGTGAATATATAGGACAAAATTATGTTGCTGATTTAAACTCTAACAGCTGCAAGTGTTAAAGAAGTTTCGACTTTATGATCTAGAATGTAAATAAAAACAGTTTTGATTGCTCATAAGTCTATCCCTTAGGATTCTATTGTAATTCTAGTCTGTTTTGTATGAAATGTAGCCAAAACTGTAATAAATGTTCAGAAAATCTTTAATGTTTAGAGTGTGTGTAAGGGTTTTATAATTGGAATGGCTCTTGCTTAGAAGATTGCTTTTCTAGCTTAAATCTTGTTTTTAACAAGGAAACTCGAAAGTGTGAATGCAAAGAAGGATTTTCAGTATAAAATCTATCAAATAATAATCTAAAAGAAGAAAATATAACATGCTAAAAAATTTTACAAATTGAAAGAATTCAAGTTTACAATTACCTCATGCAAAGCTATGATATACAATTTTCAAAAGATTTTTCTTTTGATAAAAAAAATCTAGTAAGAATTTAATTTAATAGGTAGATAAGACTAGAGGAATTTGAAACCTTCAAATTACTGATTGACCCAAATAACTTAACTTTAGGTTCTGAATACTATATAATATCTAAATAATTAGATTAGTAATTCATAGATATAGTAGTTGAATAGGAATAAAATAGAAGAGCAAAATAATTTTAAATCTCAATTTCCGAATCTACTTTCAATTACTATACAACGAACACAATTATAATTTCTAATTAAATATCAACTACAATGGAATCTGATATAAATACATTACCTATAACTCAAACTTTTTAATCAGTTAGCCAAGCATTTGCTTCTGATGATAATAGCAAGCAGTCTCATGCTATCAACTTCTTAAAATAATTTTAAGTACTCTGTCTTTTCTCTAATTTCATGTAAGTCTTACCGTTACTATACTTGATCAGAGATAGCCTACCACCAAAAATTAACTTTGCAAGTCTGCTTGGAGCTTCTTTAATTTTTAAAAAAATACCTCCTCCTTCTTCAAATTACTTCACAACAAAATAAATCGACATCAATAATTATGAATTATCTATATAATACTTAGAATACACTTTAGGTACTTTTGGCATTTCAAGTAATCTTTATGATAACTTCTTTTTTGTTCACTTAGTCATATTGGTTTCTACATTCATGATAATATTTTGCTTATTTTTTAGAAATATAATGAAAGGAAAATAATACACTGTTAAGATTATTAACATCCTTTTAAATTAACTGTGCACTTATCTCTAATCTTCCTTAACAGCTATAAATTTCTGCATATCTTATTCATTTATCTAGAAAAAATAAATATTTCTTCCTATTTTATAAATTTAATTTTATTCCTTCATTTATATAGCGATAATTCACTAAATTTACAATTAATAAAGCAATTATTTGCAATTAAATATACCAAATACGTTTGGGGATATCAATAATTAGATGAAGGGTGCTAAAACTTACTTACTATTCTCATACGCTAAAAAATATTTAATTATTTTAATCTATCTTAATCTATTCTACAATTAGTTTTTATGTGCAGTAGCATCCTCAATAATTTTTGCTCTGAGTGCTCTTTACTTGATCTATTTTAGATTCTTTAAATAATAAATTATTAATTTCATTAAAATTATACAAGAACTTCTGATTTCAATTCTATTTGCTTCTATTGCAGCAACTGTTAAAAAAATGAATTTAATTAATTAATAAGATATAATTTCAAATGAGGATTTATTATACACTGAACAGATAGGAAGTTCTATTTTAATTATAATTGTATTTTGTCTATTTACTAGCTTAATGCTTTAAGTAGTGAGAACACTATTTTCAATATATGAATTATACTAAACATATAAATAAAATAAAATAAAAAAATAGCAATAGCAATTAGAATTGTAAAAGCTAATCGATTCTATTGAAGTTGATATTAAATAATGTACAAATCAAAATAAATTATCAATGATAAGCTTTAGAAAATGTAGTTCTCATAATAGTATGAATTGAATTTATTTTGATTTATAATAAATATTTCATTCGAAATCTAAAAAATTAAAATAAAAAACTAATTTATATAAATAGTGAAATTAAATTTATTATTTATATCTTATGTTATCTCATAAAGTAAAATTTGATTTATTATTTTTATAAAATATTATTGGTGAATGTGACTATTTTAGTATGCGGAACTGCAAAAAAAATTTTTGCTATTAGCATTATGAGGAATTACAGTATTTATTTAATTTTAAAGTGTTTGAATTTTGATTAGATTTTTTAATAGTAAGCTAAAAATCAAAATACTCATAATTGATTTATTAACAAACCAATTAGATAAATAATGTTAACTTTTAACGTATTTACAAAAGAAACAAAGCTTTTTTTTAAATCACATAAATTAGTTACTTTATTTTCTTTTCAATTCTGTTTATCTTAATCAGATATTATTTAATTAAAATTCGACAAATAATTTAAACAAATTTTAATAAGCAAAATTATTATTTCATGAATTGACATCTTTAATTATTATCTTTATTCTTAAGTTTAACTAAATCTATTTGATTTTGTTTTTATTTTTTTAAATTTTTTATATCAATCTCATTTAACATGATAGATTACTAAAGTTAGTTTAACTATTTATATTTATGAATAATAAAATTTATTTGTTGGTATAAAATATTGTCTTAAAATTTATATTTGATCAGATAATTATCTTTAATTACATATATTTAATAGGTATTAATAATTAATAAATTTGATGTCATATCTAGATAAAAAAACTATATTATATTTTTTATGAAAATAGAATGATATATGTTTCCTAATTTAAAATTAATATATAGTGAGTAAGTAGTAATTTAGAATACATATTACAATATTAAGTAATATTATAATAATATATTTTTATAATTCATCTCTATTAATCTAAAAGTCATAATTCTACATAATCTTAAGCTATAGGTGCAAAATTTAATTAAGTTTAATAAATATACTTTTAATTAGTTGATATTATGCTTTATTTTTATATTTTTACAAGTTTGTCATATTTTCTTACAAAATCCAAAATGAAATGATGATTTAACACATCTTAAATTAGAGCAACAGTTAAGAGTTCCTTCCATACATAAATCTTTTTATAATTAGCATTATTTTCTAGGGCCATAATAGATCTCATTATCTGTTTATATTAGTGTTTCTTTTAAATTTTAACTTTTAACAACAATCAATATTAGTTAAAGTAAAAGAAAAAGTTTTATGATCTTTTTTGCTTATTTCATTATTTTACAAGTTATTTTATTAAAAAAATTAATTAATTATATTATATTATCTAGCTTATTGAATTAATAATTTTAAAGCTTGCAGCAAGTAATTAAAAATCAAATTTTGACAAATTTGGTCTACAAATAAATAAAAGCATCATCAAAAAATTTAAATAAAATAGAAAAAAAATTTGAAAAAGAAATATGTAATCAAATAATTAACATTTATAAGTCTATATAATTTTTAATTTATAGACTTCAAAAACAAATATTTATTAACTGCATACGAATTTACTAGAAAAAAAATAATATTTAACTAGTTTTATCAAATCGCGCTAAAAGTAAATTTATATACTGCCATATTACTTTTTTTACTTCTTTTTTAGCTAAAAACAATTTATTATTTAAATATTTTATTTTCCTTAGAAATATCCTCTCCTACTAAATTTTTGGAAGCTGAGAGAAATCTTAATCAATCTTAGTTTGCTAATTGCAAAAAAAAATATTATTACCAATATGAGGAATTAGAGTATTTATTTATTTATTTATTTTTAAAGTCTGAATTTTGATAATATTTTTCTAAATATTAAAATGCACATAATTAATTTATTTGCTAACCAAATAGATAAATAATGTTATATTTTAACGTATTTACAAAAGAAAAAAAAGCTTTTATTTCAAAGTATATAAAGTAATTACTTTATTTTCTTTTCAATTCTGACTATTTTTATTTAATTAAATAGTCTACAAATAACTTAAAGAAATTTTAATAAGCAAAATTATTATTTCATTAATTGATTGATATCTATCTTTTAATTATTATCTCTATTCTGAAGTTTAACTAAATCTATTTGATTTTATTTTTATTTTTTTAATATTAAAATAATTAAAATAATTAATATATTATTTTTAATTTTTTTGTAAGTAATTTGAAGTGATAGATTTATATTACTTGTGACTATTTTATATTTTTGAATTATAAAATATTAAAATGTATTCTATTTGATTCGTATTTGATCAGAAATTTATCTTTAATTACACATTCTTAATAGGTATTAATAATTAATAAATTTTATGTCTTATCTATATAAAAAAACTTAAATATATTTTTAAGAAAAATAGAATGATAGATTTTTCCTAATTTCAAATTAATATGTAGTAAGAAGTAGTTATCTTAGAATACATTTTAAAATAATACATAATAATTATATAATATATTTTTATAATTTTTCTCTATCAAAAACTTAATTTTTCAAAACCTTAAGCTAAAGCTTTTAATGAAGCAATATTTAATTAAGTATAATAAATTTTCTTTTAATTAGCTGATATTCTGCTTATTATTTATATTTTTACAAGTTTGTCATATATTCCTACAAACTCCAAAAATAAATGATTATCTGACACATCTTAGACTAGGGCAACAGTTAAGAGTTCCTTAAATACATAAATCTTTTATTGATTAGCATTATTTGACAGGGCCTTAATAGATCTCATTATCTGTTTATATAAGTGCATCTTTTAAATTTTAACTTTTAACAACAATCAATATTAGTTAAAGTAAAAGGAAAATATTTATAATCTTTTTTGCTAATTTCATTATTTTACAAATTATTTTATTTAAAAATTAATTAATTAATTATATTATCTAGTTTATTAAATTAGAATTTTTAAATATTGCAGCAAGTAATTAAGCATCAGATTTTGACATATTTTATCAATAAATAAAAGCATAATCAAAAAAAGAATAGAGAAAAAATTGAAAAATAATTATGTAATCAAATAATAAATCTTAACAAGTCTAAGGTAATTTTTAATTTAAATACTTAAGAAATCAAAATTTACTAAATGCATTTGAATTTACTAAATATATAATTAATATTATCAAAACTCGCTAAAAATAAATGTTTATGTCACCATATTGCTATTTTTATTTCTCTTTTAGCTTAAAACAATTTTTTATTTAAATATCTTATTTTCGTTTTAAATATCCCCTCTTATTAAATTTTTGGAATCTGAGATTACAAACATTGATTTTATAATATTTTAGGTGGGAAGCAATAGGTGATATCGTTTCTAATTATTATATGGTAAAGACTAATTATTAAAGATTACACCAACTAATTAAAATTCAAATTTTAACAAATTTTATTTGTTAATAAAAGCATTTTCAAAATAAATAAGTAAAATAGAAAAAAAATTTCGAAAATAAAATGTAATCTTATAATAAATCTTATAAAATAGAAGATACTTTAATTTTGTAGACTTTACAATAAAAAATTAATTAAAAGTCTATGATTTTTTTAGAAAAAGATGTCAATTGTCAAATAATACAAAAAATAAATATTTAACTATAAAACTATTTTTATTATTATTTTGCTAAAAATGATTTTTTAATTTAAATAATAAATACTTTTAAATGAATTTATTAAGAAAAGAGTTTTAGAATCTTTCAATAATAATGATTAAAAAATTATTAAATACATCATAAGCAGTAGTAACAAAATCTTTTTTCAAAATAAACCTTTATTATTTTTAATAAATCAAAATAAATTTCATATTTTTTTTTGTTTATAATTTGATATTTAGTTAATTTTTATTTATCATCAAAGGATTTGTATTTTTAATCCAAAAAAACTTTAATTAATCTATTTATTTTATTTTCTCTTACAAACATTTAATATTTCAATAAAAAATATCATATTATGACTTAATAAAAGAAATAAAAAACAGAATTAAAATTAATATAAATACATCTAATTAAAGTAGGTTTCTACTTAAAAAAATAAATTTGAATAAATAATTTTATTTGTTAACTAATTAATCTAAAGAAATTAGTTTTTCTAAAAATTTAAAATAAAATATGTTTAAACTAATAGTTTGTTTAAAGAAAATAACCATTTTTTTTTAAATTATTTAATATTTTGTTTATAAAAGTTTAACTTTAAATTAATTAGATAAATATATTAAATAGAATTGATATTATATATAATGTCTGTTTTAGAATTCTCAACTAAATTCTAAATTTATATTTTTAACATGGTTAACTTCAATTAATTATTAATTAATTTCATGATTTTATTCTTAATCTGATGGTTAATATTCACTTAATTAAATACCACTATTAAGCTATGATAAGCCAGTAGATTAACTCTAATTATCATTTTAATATAAAATGATAATATCTTTGTAGTTATTTTAAATAATTTGATTAATAATGTTCCTTAGTTTAATAAAATTCATTCTTTTTCTTTCTGTGTATTTTTAGAATCTTAATACTTTAAAATATTGAGCAAAACAATTAAAGCATCTATAATTTTCTAATTTGTACATTCTAAGCTATAAAAATGAAATAAAAATCTAACCAAACATGTAAACTATGAATACCACAGATACCAAATTGGAAGAAAAAAGCAAAATAGCAGATATGACATTATATGAAGTAAAACTATTATTGTTCACTAACTCTTGTTAATATAAAGAGAAGCTAATCATATATGCTATTAAGTATTAGCAGCTGATCACTATCGATTTTACTTCCATTTCATTTAGCTTTTTTGTAACATATGGCTAGTTTTATACAAGCTTAATGAGATATAGTATTAATATAGCGAGAGTGAAAAAACCAACTAGCAAAGGTGATGATAAAAATCCATAAAGGGAAATTATAAGCACGAATTTTATTATTAGTCTAATATATTCCCAGTAGAAATACTTTCTCTTAAAGTCAACATATAAGAACCCAAATAAAAATCTACAGCTTATCTTATCAAGATTATTACGGTTTGTATATAAAAAGTAAAAGAAAGCTCCTGGAATCAAAATTGAATAAATTAAGAGAAAAGGAATGACAAAAGCATACATGAAAATTAATCTATAAGAGTCATTGCATTGTATGCTAAAATCTAGAATTGCATAAGATTCTCCGTTGTTAAATGTACGACATAACAAACCTTAAGTCAACATATCTAATACTGGTATGCAAAATAAGTTGGTGAATCCATAAGAAATGATAAGAGAAGCAGAATTTTAAAAGCTTTTGTATTTAGATTTAAAAAGCTAGAATATGCTAGGAATCAAAGATAACATTACTATTATAAATGGAGCGATTGTAATGATTACTATTTTTTAGTAAATAATTGTATTAAATTAGTTGCTAAATTTTGATAAAAAACAGTCAAGAGAAAAAGTAGAATCGTTTATTGGGCTATAAAAGCTTTGCTAGAAACTAAAAACATTAATCCAAGACTAAGTTCCATAAAATTATGAAGAAATATTGATAATTTGAAAGTAAAAGGAGAGAATTTTAATATAAGATCCACTCTAACCTAGTCTGTAATATGATTTGCCTAGATAGAGCATTTTCATATCTGAAAGATATTTCTTATAAATGAAATTTTTTTGTTGTCTATAATTTGTTTTGAAAATAATCAAAATAGCAACAAAAGCAGATATAACCAAGAAAATTATTTTGATGATATTGTATGAGATTTTATCACATTTGGAGCACTAATAAATATTTTTTCTAGTAAATTAACCTTCTCCTCTGATATTAAAAAGATCACATTCTTAGCATTCCACTCCAATATGTCCTTCTGCACAAAGTTGATTACCTAGATATATTAAAAAATAGAAACAAATTTGATTTAATTAAGTACTTCCTATCCGTTTGAAATAATTGAAAATTCAAACTTAAAGATAATTCAAAGACTATTTATAATAATTCAAAAAATATTTATTTTTACCTGTAAAGTTACCTCCTATGCAATTAAATTAATTTATTGAACAAGTGTGTATTAGAGAAGAGTCTGTTGTTAGGTTTTATCTCCAATAACCTTTTCTAAGAGAAGAAAAGTCAGCTTAACATAAGTCGAAGTAATCTTTAGAACAAGGTAGACATTTAGTTTGTGGCTTGTCTGATTATGTGTTCTAAATAAATGAATCTACACAATATGAACAAGAAGGTAGCAATGAGCTTCTTGATTGTATCATTCCATCTAAACAGTTGTCAGTTATATTTGAAAATATAGTAAAATATAAAAAACTCATTTAAGTATTATTAAAAATGTTAATTAAACTTAAGAATTCACTTTAGCTATCTCTTTACTAAACCTAAAATGAGTAAAAAAATTAAGTGGTATTCAAAGAAATATTTTATTTGATTGAAGGATATGATATGTTATAATCTTCAGCAAAATTGATTACAGGAGTTAAATCATTGTAGCGATTTTAAACGATATAATTATTATCAATATTTTCAATCCACTCTGATTCACCAAACATCCTAAACTTCATTGTTAAAAAGTAAGTGAAACCGTTAAAAACATAATCGGTTTAATAAATAGCTTTTTGAGTTTAATTAAATGTATAATTTTTGATATAGTATGGAGGAATTAAATGACTATTAAATTCAGAGAATTGGATTATCTAAACTTCATCTATATAATAAGAAAAGTCATTTCCTCTGATTAATCCTACATTATCTTTAAATGTAATATTTTGAATAGGAGTAAAATTGTTGATTAAGTAAATTCCGCCTCCAAATAAAGATTCATTTTTTTCTATTAATACATTATCAGCTTAAATAACACTACTGCCATGAATAGCACCTCCAGAAAAAAAGCTTCTGTTACCTATTAATTTTACATTAGATAGACACATTTCGCTGTTAGTAAATAATGCTCCTCCATTTTTCTAAGAGGTAAATTATGTTATAATAGCATTTTTTATTATAATTTATTCTGCTATATTTATATAAGCAAAAGCACCATCAGCAGAAGATCTGAATGGTCCGTAAGCTTGAATATTCTACATATTGAATGCATACATATAAGTTAAATAGGCATATATTATTCCTCCTTATTAACCTGTATGCTATACTTCATCTTTAAACAAATTTAATGAGTTAAATTATAAATTATTAATACTGATTTTATCAGATCTATTTAGAAATATCAAACCACCAAATTAACTTTTAAACAAACAAGTAGGGTGTATGGTAACTGACAAATTCAAAATATTTATTTCTTTGCTATTTTGAATTGAAAAAAGAGTTCCTTTATAAGACTAAAAGTTCTAAAAAGATGATAGAGTTATATTGCTGATATCTACTTTCTTAAATTGATTTATGTAAAAAAATCCATTTTAGGAGCTGATATAATTCATTTCAACCAGTTCTACATTTCTTATTATAAGTTCACTACTATTAAAAAAACTACTATCTAAGACAAACATGCCTTATGAATTCCAGAAATTTATATCTTTTCCCTTTTGATTTTCATGGAAAATTAACTAATCTATTACTATCTTATCACAGGTTTTACTATGAAGGAATAAAGATTAATAAACTTAATATTTAAAAACCTCAATCTTTTTAATGTTGATCTTTTATGGGAAGAGTTAATTTTGAGCTAAGCAACTTAAATCAAATACTACAACTATTTGATCTTTAAAAAAAAAAATTAATAGTAAATAAATAAATATAAAATACTGTAGTTCAAGATTAATAAAGCATTTTTTATTTAAGCCAAAATTTAGTTTATTTATAAAATTAAAAAATTTAATTATTAGAATTTCATTTTCATAAAAATACTTAAAATTGTTGTAAATATTATGTTAGATACTATATTAATTAATTAAATACCAATACTAAATATGTTAAAAAATTAGATAAGGGGGAGAAAGAAGGCACTTAATAAAGTAAGAATTCGTTATCTATTATAATAATTTACCTTATTCTGAAAAAATTAACTGTGAAAATGCGATTTTGTTTGCAACATAATGTAATAAAATAACTTCATCTATGGTTATTAATGGTTATTAAGTATATTTTCTTTTAGTACACATTTAAAATAAAGGCCTTTTTAAATTAATCATTTAAATAATATTTAAAGTTTTTATAAATATATTTTTTTGAAGGTCGAGAATGAAAAAAGGCCAATCAGAAAAAAGAGATTCTATTATTTAAATGTTGATATCTAATTTTATAATCTATATATTTTAAGATGATATTTAAGCAGTAATTTCTTATTCTATTGATTTTTAAATTAAAAAGTAATTCATGTATTCTATTTGAACAGATTCTAAAGAGGAAATTTACAATTTTAGATTGCAATTATTTGTAAGATTAATATTTATGTTTTTTATATTAATGGATTTTTCAACTCTAAAAAAGTATAATTCGTATGATATTTTTTCTTTTATTTATTAGCTTTAAAGAATCAAATTAGAAATATTTAATTATTTTACAGAAGATATTCTAATTTAATATTTTCTTTCAGACTGAATCATTTCATTTTTATTATTTATGAAAATATTTTCAATATCAATTATTTCTCCTTATTATATATTTATTTAATAATTATTATCTTAAGCATTCAAATCCTCTAATATAATATTTTTAAAATGTAAATTTTTGACATTAATAAACTCTATTCCTCCATAAAAATATTGATTAATAATATTTAATTCTATATTTTAAAAATCTTATTTATTGCAATTAGCAAATATCTATCCATTTTCACCACATGCTACTTCAAATCCTTGATCAGTCAGAGTCGATTGAATATATTAATTGCAATTATTATCTATTAAAAATATAAAAATGTTTAGAATAAGCAATTTAAAAAATAAAAATAAGGAATACCTATCAGAGATATTGCACACTAGACTTTAAATATTATAAATAAAATAATTTTTATAATATTGTATAGTTTGATTGTTTTATTCTACATTTTGGTTTTAGATATTATGATGATTAAGAATGTTTACTTAGTAATTAGTTATTAGATTGATAATATAAAAAACTAATATTGTTTGTTTCTCTTTAATTTTGTTTTTGATTGAAAGACTTTTCTTGAATTAAATTAACATGTAAGTATTGTAGTATTATTAACATAATTAGATGATTTCTTTTAACTTATTTATACAATTTTTTAAAAGAAAAGTGCATTTTTCAATCAAAATAAATTTATTATCTATTAATTTTTGTGGTATTTTTAATTTCATTTTGTTTAATCAGGTGAATTATCAAATTTAATTTATTCATTTAATTTCTAAATACATGTATTTAACCAAATCAAAGATTAACAAAAGGAAATTGAACATTTTTCTACTCAAATAATTACTTTCGCTAAAATCAATAAAAAGGAAGTTATTAAATAAATATATTTCTTTGTTTTTAATCATTTATTAATCAATTATAATATTTTTAAAATTTATAAATGTATTGATTTGAAATAAAGAGCATCTTTTAGAAAAATAAACCATTCAATCTTTTAAATTAAATATACTTTTAAATTGGACATTAGGAATTAATAACTAGTTAGTTATATAGCTATTGCAGGTTAATATTTTTTAAAATTTAATAAGGGGAAATCTAATGCTTTTTTTTGTCTTTTTCATCAGATATGACTACCTGTATTCTTATATTAAGAAAAATTTTTGACTTTCCTTATAAAAAATATTTCAATATAAATTTATAAAATATGAATTTTATAAATTGAGAAAAAATTGAAAAAGAAGGATTAAGTTTATTTTTCACTCGATTTTATATGAACTGAAAACATTATTTTTTATTCAAGAATATTTTTTTTGCTTTAAGGTAAAAAATATTTAATTAATTGAAAATTAATATACCAACTATGATAGAATAAATACAATTATCCATATATCAAATACAACAGCAAAAAAATCAAAATAATTTTTATTTTTTTTGATAATTCATATTCAAAAACTAATTTGTAACTGCTTATTTTACATAGATGTAAATTATTTCAGATTATTAAATGTATTTTTACATTACAAAAAATAAAGATTAAATTTTAAATAATCATTAAAAAGTAAAATTTAACACTTAAAAGTAATTATTTTAATTTTTCTTTTATAAATTGATAAAGCTCATTTTATTTTTAATTTAATATTAATATGTATATATGCTTATTATTAAAATAAATTTCACACATTAATATCTTAATTATTTAATTCTATGTATTTTTATTAGTTTTAATCTAATTAAGAAAAGCTTTTAAAGTAAGATGAGTCATTAAATATTCTATTATTTTCATTTTAATTTAAAATTATGATATCGTTGTAATTATTTTAAACAATATATTTAGCAATATTCCTTAATTTAATAAAATTTTTTCTTTTATTTTCTGTGTATTATTTAAATCTTATCACATTTAAATTTCTGATTATAAAGTTAAAGCATCTATACTTATTTATCTTATAAAGATGAGGATAAAGCATTGAAACAAAAATTTAGGCAGCAATGTATAAAATAAATAAAATAGATATCAAATTAGAAAAAAAGAGTAATACAGTAGAAAAAACGTCATATGATTCATAACTGTTTTTAGTAGCTACTTCTTGTTAATATAATGAAAAGCTAATCATATAGGCAATCAAATATTAGCAACCAATTACTATAGATTTTATTTCCATTTCATTAAGCTTTTTTGTTATGTATGGCTGATTTTTTACTAAAATAATCAAATAAAGGATCAATATAGCTATAGAAACAAAACCTACAAGCAAAGGTGATGATAGAAATCCATATAGAGTTAGTATAAGTGAAAATTTGATTGCTAGTCTTATATACTCCCAATAAAAATATTTTCTACTGTAATCTGCATATAAGAAACCTAGCAAAAACCGACAACTAATTTTATCTAGATTAGAGCGGGTTTTAAACAAAAAGTAAAAGAGAACTCCTGGAATCAAAATAGAATAAATCAAAAAAAATGGGACTATAAATATATAAACGAACATTAATCTATCCTCATCATTACAATTAGTGTTATAATCTAGAATCGAATATGATTATCCATTGTTAAAAGTTCTACATAGCATACTTTAAATTAATATATCTATAACTGGTATGCAAAATAAGTTAGTGAAACCATAAGAGATAATAAGAGAAGCAGAATATTAAAAGCTTTTATATTTAGATTTAAAAAGCTAAAATATACTAGGAATTAATGATAAAAATACTATTATAAATGGAGCTATTGTAACGATTGCTATTTTTTAGTAAATTATAGGATAAAAAGATTTAGCATTGTTCGATAAAAAACAATCAAGAGAGAAGTTAGAGTCTGTAATAGGGCTATAAAAGCTTTGCTGGAAACTAAAAACTTTGATCCAAGATTAAGTTCCATAAAATTATGAGGATATGTTGATAATTTGAAAGTAAAATGAGAGAATTTTAATAAAAGATCCACTCTAACCTAACCTATAATATGATTTGCCTAAATAGAGAATTTTCATATCTGAAAGGTACTTTTTATAAATAAAATTCATTTACTGTCTATAATTTGTTTTGAAAATAATCAAAATAGCAGCAAATATAGCAATAACTAACAAAATTAATTTGGTGATATTGTATGAGATTTTATCACATTTGGAGCACTAGTAAATATTTTTTCTGGTATATTATCCTCCTCCTCTTGAATTGTAAAGATCGCATTCTTAGCATTCTACTCCAATATGTCCCTCTGCACATAACTGATTACCTAGATATAATTAATAAGATAAAGTTTTTATTATTTTAAATATTAAAAAAAAGTTAAAATATTATCTAAAAGTTATAAAATTAATGAAGTAAGCACAGGGATAATTAATCTTAACTAATATTCTAAATTTTTTATTAAAATTTTTATTTTTGAATAAATCTTTAGCTATAAATTTTACCTGTAAAATTACCTCCCAGGCAATTAAATTTATTTATAGAACAAGCAAATATTTGAGAAGGGTCAACTGAAAGATTTTATCTATAGAATCCTTATTTAAGTTAAGAATAATCTGCTTAACACAAATCAAAATATTCTGAAGAACAATGCATGCATTTTGTAGGTATTTTATTTATTTGTGTATTATAAATAACTGAGTCTATACAATATTAACAATAAGGTATATTTTAAATAGTTTATTGAATCATTCCGTTTGAGCAAGTGTCATTTATAAGAGAAGAAATACTAAAATATAAATTTTCATATTAACTACTAAAAAGTTCACAAATTCCAAAAAAATTATTTGATATACCTTCTTTCTAAACTGAAAATGAGTAATAAAAATTATTTATAGTCTCAGAAGTATTTTGATTTATTGTAGCAGCCTATTTATCAAGCTACTAATTACAATATAGTACAGATGTTAAATCATTATAACCATTTTAAATAATATAATTATTACTAATGTTTTCAATACATCCCTATTCTCCTTTCATTCTAAATTTCATTTTAACAAAATATGTTAAACTATTAAAAACAAAATCAGTTTTGTATTAACTTTTTTCTGTCTCATAAAATGAATAATTTTTAATTAAATAAGGTGGATTTAACAAGCTATTAAATTCAGAAAATTAGGTTAATTAAATTTCTAATATTTATTCGCTATAATCGTTTCCTTTAATTAAACCTACATTATCTTTAAAAGTAATATTTTAAAGATTTGGTACATACTATGAAAAATAAATTCCTCCACCGAACAATGATTCATTGTTTTCTATTAAAACATTTTAAGCTTTAATCAATTAGCTCATATATAGAGCTCCCCCTGTAAAAAAGCTTTTGTTTCCTATTAATTTTACATCATATAAATTTGTTTCACTACTGGTGAAAAAGGCACCTCCACTTTTTTGAGAAATAAATTAAGTTATCATAACATCTTACAATAATAAATTTTAGCTCATTATATAGGCAAAAGCCCCATCAGCACTAGAGCTAAATTATCCATAGGCTTTGATATTTTAGAAAATAGATTAAACAATTTAATTAAAATACAATATTCCTCCTTAGATACCTATATGCTTCACTTATTCCTTAAATAAATCATACTAGTTAAACTAGAAATTAGAGATATTTACTTTCTATGAGATATTCATATATATTAACCCTCCATATAAGCTATAAAACTAACAAGAGGGATAAATTGTTGCTGAAATGTTGAAAATATTGATCTTTTATGTTTTTTAAAAGGTAAAAAGAGTACCTAAAGAAGACTGTAAATTCTAAGAAGATGAAAGAGTTGTATTATTAATAAATACTTTTTAAAACTAATTTATATAAAATATACCATTTTTGCTGCTAATAAAATTAATTTGATGAAAATCAATATTATTTATTAATAATTTGGAATTATCAAAAGAGCTACCATCAAAGTTAAATATTCCTTTTGAATTCCAGATGTTAATAGCATTTCCATTTTGATTTTCATGAAAAATTAGTTAATCTATTTCGATTGTATTGTAACTTTAACTATTTATGAACAAAGCGTTGTAAGCCTAATAAGTAAAAAATTCTATCTTTTTGAACTAGATCTTCTATTCTAAAGGTTTTTTTCCATAGCATCTTAAATCAAAAATAGTAAAAAATTAGCCTAATATTTTATTAAATAGTAATTCATTAAGTAAATTAAAAATGAGTGAATAAATTACTTTCTATTGTTTAAGAAGATAAAGAAATTGGAATTTTGTCTTATACAAATTTTGTTACTATAGCTGAATCAATTGTTACTTGAGTAGACTAAAGCTATTGACTAAGAGAGCAAATCTAGAATAAGGGTATTTTAAGATTAATCAGTTAAATAATATCAAGAGTTTTTATAGCTAGGTTAATCACATTAAAGTTAATTAAAGGTATCTCTGTAATCAGTTAAACATTAATTTAAATATTTACTTATAATTTGTTAATTTAGACTTCATAAGACTAAATTTAAGTACTAATTTCTTATTCCCTGCTTTATTGTAATTAAAAGTATTACATTTATTCTATTATTAAATCTTTTTAAGATTCAATAATCAATTTTAAACTTGACTGATTTATAAGATTAATACTTAAATTTTTAATATAAATAGATTATTAAATTTTCCAAAATTAAAAATCATAAAATATGGCTGCTTCTATTTTTTAACTTTGAATATTGATATTCAAGATTTTTAGTTAAGTAACACTTGATACATTTAATTAATACTTTCTGTAGTTTCTATTGTATTAATTAAGATGATCATTCACACTATTTATTGTCATATTTAAAATAGTGATATTCTCACCTTAGTCTATCAAAATACCTATTTAGCCAAGCTTTGCATATAAGTCCTCTAAAAATATACTAGAAAAGTGCAAATTCTTGACATTTAAAAACTTAATACCTCCAATATGTCTTTGATTTTATATATTCAACTAAATATTTTAAAAATCTTGATTGTTACAATCAGCAGTTATCACTTCATTTGATAGGCACGCAACTTAAAATCCTTGATCATTCAGAATCTACTTGACATATTAATTGCAAACATCATCATCTTTATCAATAAGATAATGTTTTTAGTGGATAATACTAAATATAAATTACTTTTTAATTGATTCGCTATATTTTTAATGAAGTAAAAAAGCAATAACAGTATATTTATTAATTTAGCCATTTTATTTGATAAAATTTGTAATTAGAATCTTAACTATTAAAAATATATATCTCTCAAATTTTATCTTTCTTATTAAAGCAAGGTGTAAATCAAAATTTTTCTGAATTAAAAAAGGAATTGATATACAAAAATAAAAAATTTGAGTTCTAAAGTAATCTAAAATCTAAATATTTATCATGCTTACATTTAATTACTAATCACTATCCTTATGTATTAATGTTGTAAAAAAATTCAAATAGCTATTTGAATTTTTTTATGTTAGATAGCCAGATTCCTGGTTTAGCTAGCCTACTGATAAAATTAAATTTAAAAAACAGATTTGAATATTTATTTATTAACTCGTGGTTATAATACAAATAGAAAAATTATACTTTAACATAAAAACTCAGTAGTGTTCCATCATATTTGTTGCTGAAAAAATTTTGTTTTTTTAATTTTTTTTTGAATTTTTATAATAAAAATTATTAACCAATTATTAAAATATTTGGTAATCTTATGATATATTCATCAAGTTTATTAAACCTTTTTCATGTTTACATTATTAATAAATAATAAAAACTCATACTAAAAATAATAAATTAACTAAACATAATTATAATTTTTGTTATTTAATTTCAGGCTTTTTAATCATAATTTAATGAAACTAATTCTCTATCTTGCTAACTTCTAATTTCATTTTAATTAAAAAATATAAAATCACTAAAATTATTTTAAACAATTTATTTTGCAAGATTTCTTAACTTGATGAGATTTTTCCTTTTATTTTCTGTATATTATTTAAATCTTAGCACTTTTAAATATTTTAGTAAAAAATTAAAGCATCTAAATTTTTTCAGCTTGTAAATATGAGGATAAAGCATTGATACAAAAATTTATCCAGCCATATACGCAATAAATAAAATGGATATCAGATTATATAAAAAAAGTAAAATGGTTGATATTAGGTTGTATTAATCAAAACTGTTTTTGTAAGCTATTTCTTGTTAATATAAAGAAAAGCTAATCATATAGGCAATTAAATATTAACAACCAATTACTATTGATTTTACTTCAATTTCATTTAGTTTTCTTGTAATATATGGTTGTTTCTTTACTAAAAATATCAAATAAAGTATCAATATAGCTAGCGAGACAAAACCGAGTAAAAGAGGAGATGATAAAAACCCATAGGCAGCTACTATAAGAGTAAATTTAATTGCTAGTCGGATATACTCCCAATAAAAATACTTTTTACGATAATCCGCATACAAGAATCCAAGCAAAAAGCGACAGCTAATTTTATCAAGATTATCACGGTTTTTATACAAATAGTAAAAGAGAACTCCTGGGATAATAATTGAATAAATCAAAAGAAACGGGATAATAAAAGCAAATATGAACACCAATCTATCACTATCATTGCAATTAGTATTAAAATCAAGAATAGAATAAGATTCTCCATTATAAAATGTTTTACAAAGCATACCTGAAATCAATACATCTATTACAGGTATGATAAATAAGTTAGTGAATCCATATGAAATAATAAGAGAAGCAGAATATTAAAATCTTTTGTATTTAGATTTAAATAGCTAGAAAATACTAGGAATTAAGGATAAAGCTACAAAAATAAATGGAGCTATTGTGAGAATTACTATTTTTTAGTAAGTAACAGAATTAGAATTATTTGTGAAGCTTGACAAAAAGCAATCTAAAGAAAAGGCAGAGTCAGTAATTGGGTTATAAAAGCTTTGCTGGAAACTAAAAACATTGATCCAAGACTAAGTTCCATAAAGTTATGAGGAAATGTTGATAATTTGAAAGTAAAAGGAGAGAATTTTAATATAAGAGCCACTTTAACCTAATCTATAATATGATTTACCAAGATAGAGCATTTTCATATCTGAAAGGTATTTCATATAAATAAAATTCTTTTGTTATCTATAATTTGTTTTGAAGATAATCAAAATTACAACAAAAATAGCTAATACTAAGAAAATTATTCTGATAATATTATAAGAAATAAGATCACATTCAGAGCACTAATAAATATTCTTTCTTGTAAATTTACCATCTCCCCTTACATTGTTAAGATCACATTCTTAACATTCAACTCCAATATGTCCTTTGGCACATAGCTAATTACCTTAATAATTTTTATAAAATAAAACTTTAAATATTTAAAATATACTAAATTGTAAGAACATTATGATTCATCAATTTTTTCATAAGAAATATAAATAAAATAATTTTTTACAATTAGAAAAGTATTAATTTATATTAAAAAATTTATGGACGCATAAATAAATAGGCATTTTAATAAATTAAATTTATTTTTTTAAGTTTAAATGAATCTTTAGCCAAAAATAAATTTTACCTGTGAAGTTACCTCCCAGGCAATTAAATTTATTAATAGAACAGGCAAATATTTGAGAAGAATCAACTGTAGGATTTTGTCTCCAAAATCCTTATTTTAGAGAAGAATAATCTGCTTAACACAAATCAAAATACTCCCTTGAACAAGACAAGCACTTTGCAGATGGATTATTTGCTTAGGTATTAAAAACTACTGAGTCTATGCAATATTAGCAATAAGGTATGCTTTAAAGAGTCTATTAAATCATTCCGTTAGAACAGTTATCATTGATTTTAGAAGTTAAAGAAAAATAAATATTGCCATAAGTACTGCATTAACCAAAAAATTCATTTGTTTTAGATTTTAATTAAACTGAAAAAGAGTAAAAAAATTAATTTAAATTTTGAGAAATATTTTATTTTATAATGATCTCTTTATTATTTAGCTATTGATTGCAGTATAAGATAGACGTTAAATCATTATAACCATTATACATTATTTAATCATTATTAATATATTCAATCCATTCATTTTCACCATACATTCTAAATTTTATAGTGACAAAGTATGTAAAAGTATTGAAAACAAAATCTGTGTAATATGAATAATATTCTATTTCTTTCATTTAATAGTTTTTAACTTAATAAGGTGGATATAATTAACTATTGTATTCAAATAATTACATTAATCTAATTTCTAATATATAATAGCTATAATCGTTTCCCCTGATTAATCCTATATTATTCTTAAAAGTAATATTTTAAGGTAAATAATATTCTGAAAAATAAATTCCTCCTCCAAATAGTGATTCATTTTTTTCAATTAAAACATTTTAAGCTTCAAGTAATTCCTAAATATGCAGAGCTCCTCCTGTAAAATAACTTTTATTTTCTATTAAATTTACATCATATAAACTAGCTTTACTTCTGATAAAAAATGCACCACCACTTTTTTAAGAAGTGAATTTAGTTATTATAATATCCTATAATTCTAAACTCAAGCTTATTATATAGGCAAAAGCTCCATCTGCAGACGAACTGAATGCTCCATAGGCTTTGATACTTTAAAAGATAACTTTCTTAGCATTATTTGTATAAATAATACCTCCTTAGAGACCTATATGTTATACTACTTCTTTAAACTATTCTAAATAGTTAAATTTAAGATTAGAAATGCTTGCTAACACTAAGTTGTCCATAAAAATCAAACCTCCATACAAGCTTTAGAACTAACAAGAAGGATAGATAGTTGCTGAAAGGTTGAAAATATTGATTTGATTTGTTTTTAGAAAGGTAAAAAGAGTACCTTAAGAAGACTAAAAGTTCTAAGAAGAAGAAAGAGTTGTATTATTAATTGATACTTTTGTAAATTTATTTGTATAAAATATACCGTTCGAGCTGCTAATAAAATTGATTTGACGAAGATCAATATTATTTATTTATAATTCAGAATAATCAAAGGAGCTGCCATCAAAGTAAAACATACCTTACGAATTCCAGATATTAATGCCACTGCTGTATGCATTTTCATGAAAAATTAATTAATCTATTATAATTATTTCGAAATTTTAACAATCTATGAACAAAGCATTGTATACCTAATAAGTAAAAAATTCTATCCTATTGAATAAAATCTTTTGTTTAAAAGGTTATTATGTATCACGCCTAAAGTCAAAGAAAGCAAACGATTGATCTTATTTTTTTTAAATAGAAAATTAATTAAAGAAATTAAATGTAAATGGGTGGATATATATATTACTTTGGACATCTTAAGAAGACGCAGAAGTTGGAATTTAATTTTAAATAATTTATTGTAAAATAACAGAATCTACAGTTACTTACATATATTCATCATCATTTTAACTTAAGTTACATACTTACAATAAAGGTTTTCTTAAGTTAATTATTTTAATAATGTTTAAAGTTTCGATAGCAAGATTATTAACAATAAAATTGATTAAAGGTGAATCTTTATCTATATTATTTTCATATAAAATATCAAAATCAAAATTATTAATCTAGATATTTTCAGATTAAAATTAAATGCTGCTTTCCAATACGAATTTTGATATTAAAAAAAAGAAATTTATTTATTTTATTAAAATATATTTTTAGGATTCGATTAATATTTGAAGTGTGTAGTAATTTATAAGATTTAGATTAGCACTTGCTATTTATAATGATTTTTAAATGTTGTCGAATTTAAATTCATAATTTATCTATGCTTCTATTCTTTAACTTTGAATGTTGAAATTTAATATATTTAATTCATCAACATTAGATATGATTAAAATATATTTCCTATTATATCTATTATATATATTTCCATGATCATCCATACTATTTATAATTAAATTTTGAATGGTAATATTTTCACCTTGTAATATTTTAATTCCTATTTAGCCTGGTAAAACATATAAATCCTCTAAAAGAATATTAGCAAAATGTAGATTTTTGACATTTATAAACTAAATACCTCCTAGCTATCTTTATATGTTTATTTAAATATTTTCATAATCTTGATTGTTGCAATCAACTTTTATAACTTTATTTAATCCGCATGCCACTTTAAATCCTTAATCAATCAAATTCTACTCAACTTATTAATCACAAAGATTCTCATTATCTTTAACAATAAAATAGTATTTTTAGCTATTTTTATTTAAGGAATAAATAAAAAAAATTTACTATTTAATTGATTAGCTATAAAGCTAGTTAATAAGCTAAAGATGAAAAGACTATTTAATATTTTGACCATTTTATTTACTAAATTTTGGAATATTAAAAATAATTAGATATCTCTCAAATTTTGTTAGCCTTAATTTAATGAAATCGAAATAGATATTTTATTTAATCTAAATTACTATTTATATTAAAAAATGAATTGACTATCATACCAAAACTTAGGTTTAAAAATAATTAGGCCTCCTAATATATAATAGGTAAGGGGAATTAGCCCAACCCAACCTTTTTTTACTTTTTCTTAAAATTTTAAAGCATTAAAAAATTCCCCTTTCTTCATTTATTAGTGTATTATATAAATATGAGTAAGGGGTGTGTTTAATATGTGTATTATTCAATCTAAAAAGAGTTAAAATATAATTAAATATACTCTCTTATTTGATGAAAGGATAAAAAAATTATAAACTAATTTTAAAAATAATCTTATTATATGTTAATCAAAATTTATTTATTAAATCTTTTTCAAGTTTACATATTTAATAAATAATAACATCTAATAGAAAAAAAAAAAAAACATAATTATTATTTTTTTAGTATAATATCATGCTTATTAATCATATTATAATTTAACTAATTCTGTGTCTTGATATTAGCATTAGCATAATTTAGACGTGTCTTCAATCAAAGATTAGTTATTATAATAACTTCTACTTTCATTTTAATTTAAAATTATAAAATCACTAAAATTATTTTAAACAATAGATTTTGCAAGATTTCTTAACTTGATGAAATTTTTCCTTTTATTTTCTGTATATTATTTAAATCTTAGTACTTTTAAATATTTTACTAAAAAATTAAAGCATCTAAATTTTTTCAGCTTGTAAATATGAGGATAAAGCATTGATACAAAAATTTATCCAGCCATATACGCAATAAATAAAATGGATATCAGATTATATAAAAAAAGTAAAATGGTTGACAATAGGTTGTATTAGTCAAAACTGTTTTTGTAAGCTATTTCTTGTTGATATAAAGAAAAACTAATCATGTATGCAATTAAATATTAACAACCAATTACTATTGATTTTACTTCAATTTCATTGAGTTTTCTCGTAATATATGGTTGTTTCTTTACTAAAAATATCAAATAAAGTATCAATATAGCTAGCGAGACAAAACCAAGTAAAAGAGGATATGATAAAAACCCATACGCAGCTACTATAAGAATAAATTTAATTGCTAGTCGGATATACTCCCAATAAAAATACTTTTTACGATAATCCGCATACAAGAATCCAAGCAAAAAGCGACAGCTAATTTTATCAAGATTATCACGGTTTTTATACAAAAAGTAAAAGAGAACTCCTGGGATAATAATTGAATAAATCAAAAGAAACGGGATAATAAAAGCAAATATGAACACCAATCTATCACTATCATTGCAATTAGTATTAAAATCAAGAATAGAATATGATTCTCCATTATAAAATGTTTTACAAAGCATACCTGAAATCAATACATCTATTACTGGTATGATAAACAAGTTAGTGAATCCATATGAAATAATAAGAGAAGCAGAATATTAAAATCTTTTGTATTTAGATTTAAATAGCTAGAAAATACTAGGAATTAAGGATAAAGCTACAAAAATAAATGGAGCTGTTGTTAGAATTACTATTTTTTAGTAAGTAACAGAATTAGAATTATTTGTGAAGCTTGACAAAAAGCAATCTAAAGAAAAGGCAGAGTCAGTAATTGGGTTATAAAAGCTTTGCTGGAAACTAAAAACATTGATCCAAGACTAAGTTCCATAAAGTTATGAGGAAATGTTGATAATTTGAAAGTAAAAGGAGAGAATTTTAATATAAGAGCCACTTTAACCTAATCTATAATATGATTTACCAAGATAGAGCATTTTCATATCTGAAAGATATTTCATATAAATAAAATTCTTTTGTTATCTATAATTTGTTTTGAAGATAATCAAAATAACAACAAAAATAGCTAATACTAAGAAAGATATTCTGACAATGTTATAAGAAATAAGATCGCATTCTGAGCACTAATAAATATTCTTTCTTGTAAATTTACCATCTCCCCTTATATTGTTAAGATCACATTCTTAACATTCAACTCCAATATGTCCTTTTGCACATAGCTAATTACCTTAATAATTTATAAAATTAAACTTTCAATTTTTAGAATTTTAATTAATTGTAAGAATATTATGATTCATGAATTTTTTTCAAGAAGAAATAAATATACAATTAGAAAACTGTTAATTAACATTAAAAATTTAATAAATACATAAATAAATAGGTATTTTAATTTATAAAATTAATTTTTTTAAGTTTAAATTTATAAAAATATTGAAAGTTTGTTTTTTCTTTGAAAATAATAATTTTATTGATTTGAATAAGAATCAAAATTTATTAAAATAAAATTGATTTATCAAAAAATATTTATTAAAATTAAATATTTTTTTAGGAGAATTTAAAATAATATTGTTAAAATTTGAAAAAAAAATTTTGCTAATTCTATAAAATTCTATTGATATGATGTATCGAGGGGGTCGAATTTTAATTAGTTTTTATTTAAAAATTGAATACTTTTGATTTTTAAAAAAATCTTTAGCGAAAAATAAATTTTACCTGTGAAGTTACCTCCCAAGCAATTAAATTTATTTATAGAACATGCAAATATTTGAGAAGGGTCAACTGTAAGATTTTATCTCCAAAATCCTTATTTTAGGGAAGAATAATCTGCTTAACACAAATCAAAATACTCCCTTGAACAAGACAAGCACTTTGCAGATGGATTATTTACTTAGGTATTAAAAACTACTGAGTCGTCTATGCAATATTAGCAATAAGGTATGTTTTAAAGAGTTTATTAAATCATCCCGCTAGAACAGTTATCATTTATTTTAGAAGTTAAAAAAAAAGAAAGATTATCTTAAGTACTGCATTAACCAAAAAATTCATTTGTTTTAGCTTTTTTTTAAACTGAAAAAGAGTAAAAAAATTAATTTAAATTTTGAGAAATATTTTATTTTATTATAATCTCTTTATTATTTAGCTATTGATTGCAGTATAAGATAGAAGTTAAATCATTATAGCCATTCTACATTATTTAATCATTATTAATATATTCAATCCATTCATTTTCACCATACATTTTAAACTTAATGGTGACAAAGTATGTAAAAGTATTGAAAATAAAATCTGTGTAATATTACTAATTTTTAGTTTCTTTCATTTAATATGTTTTAACTTAATAAGGTGGATATAGTTAACTATTGTATTCAAATAATTATATTAACTTAATTTAATTAATAGAAAAGCTATAATCGTTTCCCCTGATTAATCCTATATTATTCTTAAAAATAATATTTTAAGGGACAGGTAAATAATATTATGAAAAATAAATTCCTCCTCCAAATAGTGATTCATTTTTTTCAATTAAAACATTTTAAACTTCGAATAATTCCTAAATATATAGAGCTCCTCCTGTAAAATAGCTTTTATTTCCTATTAATTTTACATCTTTTAAACTAGCTTTACTACTGATAAAAAATGCACCGCCACTTTTTTAAGAAGTGAATTTAGTTATTATAATATCTTATAATCCTAAAGTCTAGCCTTATATATATGCAAAAGCTCCATCAGCAGACGAACTGAATGCTCCATAAGCTTTGATACTTTAAAGGATAACTTTCTTAGCATAATTAGTATAAATAATACCTCCTTAGATACCTATATGTTACACTATTTCTTTAAACTATTATAAATAATTAAATTTAAGATTAGAAATGCTTGCTAACTCTATGTTTTCCATAAAAATCAAACCTCCTTACAAGCTTTAGAACTAACAAGAAGGATAGATAGTTGCTGAAAGGTTGAAAATATTGATTTGATTTGTTTTTTGAAAGGTAAAAAGAGTACCTTAAGAAGACTAAAAGTTCTAAGAAGACAAAATAGTTGTATTATTAATTGATACTTTTGTAAATTCATTTGCATAAAATATACCATTCGAGCTGCTAATAAAATTGATTTGACGAAGATCAATATTATTTATTTATAATTCAGAATAATCAAAGGAGCTGCCATCAAAGTAGAACATACCTTATGAATTCCAGATATTAATGTCACTATTGTATGTATTTTCATGAAAAATTAATTAATCTATTATAATTATTTCGAAATTCTAACTATTTATGAATAAACCATTGTATACCTAATAAGTAAAAAACTCTATCTTTTTGAATAAAATCTTTTGCTTAAAAAGTTTTTATCCTTAACACCTTAAGTCAAAAATAACAAATAATTGATCTTGTTTTTTTTAAATAGAAAATTAATTAATTAAATAAATAAATAAATAAATTAAAACTGAATATATTTTACTTTGAGCACTTTAAGAAGAGGTAGAAGTTGGAACTTAATTTTAAGTTATTTATTGTAAAACCACTGAATCAATAGTTACTTGCATATATTAATCACCATACTAACTTAAGGTGCATATTTAGAATAAAGAATTTTTTGGGTTAATTATTTTAATAATGTTAAAAGTTTTGATAGCAAGATTATTCCCAATAAAATTAATTAAAGGTATACCATAACTATAATTGTATTCTTATTAAATATCTAAATCTAAATTATTAATCTAGATATTTTCAGATTAAATTTAAATGATAGTTTCTTATGCATATCTTACCATTAAAAATTACAGATTCATTTATTTTATTAAAATATATTTTTAGGATTCAATAAATATTTGAAGTGTTTAGTAATTTATAAGATTTAGATTTGCACTAGCTATTTATAATGATTTTTAAATGTTGTCGAATTTAAATTCATAATTTATCTATGCTTCAATTCTTTAACTTTGAATATTGAAATTTTATATATTTAATTCATCAACATTTGATATTATTAAAGTATATTCCCTATTATAACTATTATATTTACTTCCACTATCATCCTTGCTATTTACTAGAATATTTTAAATGGTAATATTTTCACCTTGTAATATTTTAATCCCACTTTAGCCTCGTAAAACATATATATCCTCTAAAAGGATATTAGCGAAATGTATATTTTTGACGTTTATAAACTAAATGCCTCCTTATTATTTTAATATATTGATTTAAATATTTTCATAGTCTTGATTGTTGCAATCAACTATTATAACTTAATCTAATCCGCATGTCACATTAAATCCTTAATCAATCAGATTCTACTCAACTTATTAATCACAAATATTCTCATCATCTTTTACAATAAAATAGTATTTTTAGCTATTTTTATCAAAATCATAAATAAAAAAGATTTACTATTTAATTGATTCACTATAATGTTAATTAGTAAGCTAAAAGCGAAAAGGTTATTTATGATTTTAACCATTTTATTTTAAAAACTTTGTAATAAAATCCTTTAATATTAAAAGTAATTTAGATTGATTGATTGATATCTCTCAAATTTTGTTTGTTATCGTTATTTTCAGCGAAATCAAAATATATATTTTGTTTAATCTAAATTATTACTTCTATTAATACATAAATAAATAGATTGATTACCAAATGTTAAAAATTAAGGTTAATAATAATTAGGTCTCTTAATACCTTTTTCTGATATCAAAAATTAGCTGATCAGGTTTATATTTTATTCAAATTTAATTTTGGTATTTTTTTACTGAAATAAATGCTTTTAATTAATTAGTCATTTTTAAATTTATGATAAAGAAAGAGAAAGAGAACCTTAGATTTTTATTTTCTTACAGATTTAATGTATGTATTAAAGTATCTTAAATATCTTCCATATTTTATTTATATTGTTCAATAATAATTTTTATTTGAATTAAAATGCTCATTATAAATAAACTAACCTTATATTAAAAATATATTTAAATAGTAAATGCTTTAATATTTTTACCATTAATTTTTAAATAAGAAAAAATAAAATCATTTATTTAATTTTTTATTTTTTATATCTAATTTTAAATTTATATTTTAAAAAACTAAATACAAACAAACAAAATTTTTAACAAATAAAAAAAAAAAAACCAATTCTTTGAATATAAAAAATAAATTAATTAGATGATGATATTTTTATTTATTTTATTTTATAATTAAATTAATTTTCTCATACTTTCCTTTTAAAATATATTCAAATTTAATTTGAATTCTTAACTAGAAAGAAAAATTTTAATAGCAATTAACTTATAAAATAAAATTAAAAAGCTACCTAAGAATATAAAATTCTTATAAGAAAGTATGAAAAATAATTAATGATGGATTATGCCTACTAATTTTAAAAACTTTCTGCTTATATTATTGTAAATTTAAAAAATAATTTATTCATAATATTATCTCATCTTCATAAATTTTGTTAACAATAAATTGACCAGCCAACCTCTATATAGATTACTTTTTTACTTTCTTTTAATTTATTTTATGAAGCTTTTAGTATAAAAACTTGCTGAAACAAAAGAATATTTAGTAGAAGTCTTTAAATTATAAAAATTAAAAAAATTAATACTAGTTTATGCTAACATTTTTAGATCACTTATATATAATTAGTTAGTTAGTTAGTTAATTAATTTATTATTTTAGATTGATCTGATGAATGCATACATGACTAAGTTAGTCAATTAATATATAGAGATAGATACATCAAAAATATCTAATAATTAAAAAAAATTAAATTTCTTAATTAAAAAATCAAAAAATAATTTAGAGTGCAAATATATAGAAGGCTTATCAAGCAAGCTAAGCAATATAAATAACTAAGCTATAAACAAACAAATAAATAAACAAACAAACAAATTTAATTTAAAGATATAGTTAATAGAAGTAATTTTAGCTGGTTAATATGAAAAAGCTAGCATTATTAATTGGGAATGAACAGGATGAATCTTCGCCTACTGGCTAAAATCTCAAAAATAGCGATTGCTTTATTTGCAAGAATGATTAAGATATGTATATGAAAGCTCTTGAAAAAAAGAAAGTGATCAATTGTATAATTTGTAATAAACTACAGCATCCTATTTGTTATAATATTTAGAATTAGACTGATTCTATAACAAACAATTTTGCCTGTATTCCTTGCAGAATACTTTACAATTAACCTTAGATATAAAAATTCGAAAATATAAATGGTCCATTTATTGTTTTCCCAAAGGAAAAATAACAAGGAACAATTCACTTCATCCTTGAAGAAATGCACAGTCTTCAATTAGAAAGAAATCAATTCAATGACTTGTGCGTTTATTGTATGAAATTAGATCTTATGGATAACATGAATAAGCCATTATACTATATTTGGCCTTCTGACAATATTGTAATAAAAATTAATGAGGAAATTCAATCTTACAATCTAGACTCTCTTTGCATAGTAGAAAAAGGCGACATCTGCTACAACTCTAAAAATAAATTTGAATATAATCTAGGTGATATTTAATAAAAAGATTAAAAACCAATTGCCATAGGTAATTATTTATTTCTTTCTTTCTTTGTTTATTTTTTATACTTGTTTACGTCAATCATTTTTTATATTCAAACAAATCCTTTCAAAATAAATACTTCTTCAACATTCTTAATTCATAACATGTGTAATAATTTATTTGAAGTAGACTTAATTTTTTATAATCATGAATCAATCAAGAATACTTTGGTTGTTTGAAATAAGCTTCTTATTTAATAAAAATTATATATATATTTATAGGAATAGGAATTGTGTCTAATGGAAATATGTTTTAAGTTATCGAAAAAGTATCTTTAGGATAAACCTAAACAGAAGAGGATATGATTAAATAATATAAAGAGTGGGCTAAGGATTTAGAAATAGCAATACCAATGAAGGATCAAATTACATAAACCCTTTTGAAATGGTAATAATTAATTTTAAGCAAATTCATTCTTTGACTTATTGATTGATACAAATTAAAAAATTTAATAAATAAAATATCACTTTAATTGTAAAATAGATATTTCAATGAATAAGTTCGATTTATATTTTTTCAATGAATTTCAATGGGAATTTATTTTAATTTATTTATTTATAGCAGTTTAGTTAAAATTTTAGATTTATTTTTTTAATGAGAAAAAGAAAGAAAGTTTAATTTAAATAAATTTATTTTAATTATTGATCATACATACAAACATACATATTAAAAGGCCTGCTAGAGGGAAAAATTGCAACCACTTTACTTGTATTGATATGTACTCTTATTTAGAGTTTAATTTATAGAATTCTAACTTGCAAAAAAGTAGATGGGCTTGTCCTACTTGCCAGCAGAGGATGTACATTAAGGACATAATTTTTGACAAATACTTGAATAGATTTGTTAAGGAATAAATAATAAATAAAATAGATCCAAATCACATTTAGTTCATTGAGGAAGTTATTTGTGATTAAAATGGGAATCTTAGGATTGGTGATGAATCTATTTAGAAAATACAAAAGATGCAGTTAAAAAAATTTCTAGTTTCGGAAAATAAGAGAATTGAGTGTAGTTTGGAGGAAAAAAAGAAAGAATTTGAATAAAATATTAAGTTAGAAATATAAAAAAAGTTAAATTAACCTCTTTAAGCAAACACGAGCTTAGATGAAGACAAACTAACTGCTCTCCTTGAATTTAAATAAATGTATCCAAAACTTGGTATGGACGAGTTATGGTAAATATTTAACAATCCTGAATAGAAAAGTCAATTGGATTTCTTAATTAGCTTGGATGAATAAGAACTAGTCATTTATTTAATGGAAAATTACCCAAATTTAAGAGATTTATCTAATTTCTCTCAGGCTGAGGTAGTTTACCACAATCAATTTGAAAGTATTCTAAAAGTTTTGCAAACGAATATTAAATAAAATGAAGAGGCCTTTTACTTGATTTACAAATACAGCGAGCATAACAGTTAGCAGTAAGAAAGCATATTTGCTTCTATAGTAGCTTCTATTTTTACTATAATTATCTTTAAAAAGAATAAAATGGAATATTAAAAAGCGGATCTGATAACTCCAACATTCATATATCTTGCAACCTAATTTGGTTTTTATCATGAAAATGTTAGCTAATGTCCAGCAGGTCTTTTAATTGGTGCTCTTTTCTTCTTTTACAAACACATTATGAATTTCTCTTTCTAAAGAGCTTGCAATTTATTCTGCCAGTTTGTGAACTTTAATGGAAACGAGAATTTTTTCCTCTCTTTATAAGACTCTACAACAGATTTTTTAGCTGACACAATCTCTTCTTTCCTTAAAATGTAGAACTGTCTAGTTGATTAAGATAACTTTGATTCAGTTTTATTCTTCCAGAAATTGTTGCTTAAGTAACTGTAAAAATTGCTTTTAGATCAGAATTCCGAAGTTAGCCTTAGATAATAAATCTGTCTATTTTAGACAATTAACAAAGCAATTTTCAGGCTTAACCCAAGCTACAATAAAAAACCATTTAAAGAAGCTAAAGAATTTATCTCGAAATTTGTTAACGGAGATAAAGACATCATAAAACACATAAAACAATATTCATAAATTTTTATCATCTGATCAAGTTATAAAAAAATAAATAAAACAGATAGAATAAATGAATGAATGAATAATTTTTTAATTTATTTTAAAATCTCAATTCGCTCAATTTTATCAAGCAATCTAAGTATTTAAAAAAATTGATAAATACCAACCTGAAAAATAATTATTTATTAAAAATTCAATAGATTAGTTAATTTATATTGTTTAATTTAAATTTATTTTACTTTAAAAGTTGTAAATATTTGAATGATATATATATAGATAGTATGATTAAGTATATTTATTAAATTTGTTAAAAATTCTTTAATTTAATCATCAAAATAAATAAATAAATTATATAATATTATATCACAAGCAACTCCTTTTTATTACTTTTAAAATAATTAAAGTTAATATAATTATTGATTTTTGAATTCCCTTGGTATGTATTTGGTCTTGCTAGTTATGAGGTAATACGGTATTTAAGTTTTTTAAATAAAATTATTAACAATTATTATTTAATTAAAAAAAACTAATGGAAAGTTAAATCATGTTAATTGTCTTATTTTGAATATCTTTAATTAAAAAAAATAGTCAATAATTTAATTTTTACAAAAAGTAACTTTGAATCTTCTTTTTTAATTTATTTTATTAACGAAAGAAAATTCAGATTTTTGTACTGTCATTTAAACTCAATAAAATTTGTAACCTGAAATTAGAAATAATTAATAATATATTGCCTAATCTCAAATCAAAAGCCTAAAGCTGAATAATAATTTATAGACTTGTATAGCCCTAATCATTTCTATTTACAAACAATTTAAATTTTATTATTAATTGTTTAAATATATATTTTACAAAGGTAAGGAAGGTAAAAGAATTATTTATAATTCATTCATTATAAAAATATCAAAAAGTTTAAAGATAAAATTAATGGAATAAGATCGCTAGATAATTTTAAATAACAAAGAAGATAGTGCTGGTTTAGATATAAGACCAATAAGCTATAGAACTTAAATACCTTTTTTGGTTTGTGAAATAATTATAAGTGTGATGCACTATTTTGCTGTTGAAAATGGGAAAACAATTTATAGTTTTACATTTTTGATGCTTTTACTTCAATTCTGCCATTTCTTATTTAAGATATTTACAGATAAAATAAATAAATACATTATATTAGCCACTCTTCTTTTAAACGTTTTTAATTTTGTTTGGTATTACTTGGACTTGGATCATAACTGTTCAGATTAATTCACAATTCTTCAACTGGCTGGATCTTTATTGAGTTATACTAAAATCTGGTATTCATTTATATATTTCTGTTAGTCAAATAAAAATAGAAAATTTTAAAATTTCTTTGGTGACTGCTTTAGGACAAACAAATACTCTCTACTATTTAAAATATTTTTGGTCAGTTTAATTACAACTGAATTCTTATTATCATTAGGATATATTTCAAGCATAGAGGATCATAATAATTTTAATTTTAACTCAGTAAAAACAATAAGGATCTTGACTTCTATGTTAATAATAGGGCATGTAATATCTTTATTAATTCCCTTTATAAAATCAAAACTGCAATGACAAAATACAGATTATATGTTATTCTAACTCAATATAAAATATTGTAATCAAACCTTCTGAATGATAAATAAATAAACAAATGAATTTAATTACTTCTTTCTTTATTAATTTTTGTGATAAGAAATTAATTTTATTTTATATTTTTATATTTCTTATGAAAGAAATTTTTTTATGAAAAAATTAAGTTTAAATTTTGTAATTTTATTAGATTATATTTATTGGCTGTTTAGATAAAAGCTGCATCTAATAAATCACTTACTTTCATTCATATCGATAAATTTTAAAAACCAAAAAACCTTTGTTTCTGAAAAAACAAAAACTAAAAAATATACATTTGAAAGAAAAAAATTCATTCAATTTTATTCAATAAAATTTTTAAAAACAAATTAATAAACAAAAATAATTAAAATAATAAGAAAAGTTAAATATGTATTGCTTTTTAAACTAAGCTAGGCTTTGATAAAAGCTAGTATTTAAAAAGCATTTAAATTAAAATATAGAAGATAAGAGAAGATCTTCAAACAAATTTACAATAAAAATTAGAAGTTTTCTTAGGTAAAATCTAAAAATCAAGGAGTTAAAATTTAATTAATATTTTTAGGTTTTTAATTAATTGTTAGTATACTGCAATTTTTTGCAATTTAATTAAGACAAATTATTAATAATTCGGCTTTCTTCTATATTTTTTCGGAAAGGAAAAAAGAGTCTTCTAGACAATATAATTTCTAACTTTGAATTTGTTATGGTATGCATATGTTAATGTTTGTTTTAAGTATAAATATAGTTTCAAAATAAATTGATATACAAATATTTTTAGAAATAAATAGATCAATGCATTAATTAATAAACAGATAGATATTTAATAAATTGATAAAATTATAAGTTTTTGTATCAGAAAATATTTAAATATATTTTATATCAGCTAAAATTAATAAAGTCAGTTTTGAAAATAGTAAAAGAAAAAATAATTAATTAATTATAAATATGAATTATATATGTATTTTCAATAAAGCAACTACCAAATAAGTATACTGTATAGTTCTTAAAATGATTGATGTAATATAAAAAAAGATATTTATTTTTGTATAATAAATTTTTTAAATTTAATTTAAATTATAAAATTGTAATCAAAACAAACTCGCACAAAAAATACTTAGATAGATAGATAGATAGATAGATAGATAGATAGATAGATAGATAGATAGATAGATAGATAGGTCTAATTGAAGAAAATATGTAGCAGCTTTTTGATAATCTAAAAGATTTATACAGTATTAATTTAATTGATAAAAATAATGATAGCAATTATGAAGAAGTTTAAGAGAGTAAAATAATATTTGTGGAGAAAGAATAATAAGATTATGCTCTAAAAATAATAAATTTAAATTAAAGTGAAAGTAATAAAATAGATGATGAGAGATTATAATAATAATTAATTTATGTGTAATTTTTAAAGAAAACTAACCATCCTAATATAGTTAGGTGCTATGATTATTACGTTATTGGTAATTATTTATGTATTCTTATGGAAAAATATTAATATAATTTATCATAATGCTCATTCGATTATGGTTGCATGGATTGGGATGAAACAAACAAGTGTCGCTTATATTAGTTTTTTGATATTCTAAATGCAGTATCATTTATTCATTAAAGTGGATTCTTAATAAGAAAATTGTCACTTAGTAAAATAGTTTTTGATGACGATTACCGTTTAAAAATTTATGATTTTTAGGTTTAATCTAAAGATTTGTCTTTATTTCCTTCAAGCGATTAAAATTTGCAATCTTAATTTAGAATTGAGTAATAAAAACTATTTATTTCGTGTAACCAAAATTAATCTAAGCAATAAAACAGCTGGATAATAGGAACGTTTTTGTATTATTTATGTATAAGAATCGGTGAAAATAAAGTCAACATGATAATAGATTTAGTTGAAGGGAAAGAGTCATTTAAATAAATTGAAAATCTACACTAAGATTTGAATAATGTGCTAAAATTAATGATATAAAATAGAAATTAAGAGAATATCATAGTTTAAGCTATGAGTTTGCTGTCAGGAGTAGAAGACTATTAAGAAATAATAAAATTTCTTTAAGATTATTAGTTAGTAAAAAATGAAGAAGAATAATACCCAATAATCAAAAGAGGTAAATTAGTTAGATTTAATGATTCTCAGCCACATATTTTGTTTGAAAAATTAAATAAATTTCTACTTTAAAAATACCCTGAAAATATTGAGTACATTATTGACAGAGTAATAATTCTATAACATGTAAAAGAAAATTTTGAAATAAGTATTGAATTATGCTAGAGAGCTTTGAAAATTGATTGCAATAATGAATAAGCTGAGTAATACCTTTGTTTGTCTTTAGCAGAAAAATACAAAGATAAATATATTGATTACTTTTTGGAATTCTTATTAAGATTTCCTGAAAATCAAATAGTAATATCTAGATTAGCAAGCGCCTATTATGATAAAAAATAATATCAAAATGCATTAGAGACATACAGCTAATTATTATTATTAATTGACAAATAAGAAACTAAAATTCTCTCAAAATATTGGGTCTACATTTTTATTGGTAATTAATTAAATATTTTCAATATTTATTTATTAAATTAAAAAATTAAAAAATAAATTAATTAATTACCATAAATCCTCATAAATTCTCACCAGCATAAATTTTCACAATATTTTGTGAATATTTTCACCATATAGTAATCCTGGAGTTTGGGGTGGGGGTTGGTGAGAATTAATGAGGATTTACGGTAATTACCTTGCAAAGTTAAAATTTAAATTTAATTTTTTATCCTAATTACTTTTTTTTAAATATTTGATCTTTATTTATTTATGATTAGTTTTTAATTATTTATGGCTTAAAGATTAAATATTAAGAAAATAAATGAAAAAGTATGAGAAGCCTATTAAATTTTTTAATTTGAGAATTGAATATTATGAATACAAAGGCTTACAATTTATTTAAAAAATTATAAATAGCATTAAAATTTCTTTCTTTTTACATTAATTTTTTAAGTAAATAAATAAATTAAAAAATTAATTAATTACCTTGCAAAGTTAAAATAAATTATTTTAAATTAAATTTTTTATTCTAATTACTTTTTTTAAAATATTTGATCTTTATTTATTTATGATTAGTTTTTAATTATTTATGTTACTTAAAGGTTAAATATTAAGAAAAATGAAAAAGTATGAGGAGTCTATTAACTTTTTCAATTTGAGTATTGAATATTATGAATACAAAAATGGCTTACAAATTACTTTCTAAGAGCTAGTTAAGTCTTATACAAAACTAGAAAAATACTAAGTTGCTATTGGTTATTTGTAAAAAATTGAACCAAATTTAAGTTTTAGAAAATATTATATGGGAAAAATTTATTTTAAATTAGAAAAGTATGAAGAATCTCTAAAGTATCTTTAAAGTATTAGAATTAATTACAATTATAAACTCTAAGGTATGATATCTGAAATATACTTTAACTTAAAAGTTTATGATAAAGCAGTAGAAAGCTATAAGTAATGTAAATATTTTTACAGCTACTACTATTACAATTTAGCTATATCCTATTATAGCTTGAATCAGCTATAAAATTCTATTTATTGTTCTAAAAAGTACCTTTAGAAATTTTAAGGAGAAATATATTAAGAAAACGAAGAATGTTTATTAACAGCTTTAAATTCTTATTTTCTAAAATAAAAATATTAAAAAGCACTCAAAATATGTTAATAATAAATTAAACTAGGTCTAATAGATGATCATCAGATAGATCTTGCTAATTTAAAAAAATAAATTTGAAAATATTTTCATTAATTTAAATTTACTTTTATTTATTAAGTTCATATGTCTTTGTTTGTTTTTTAATCACTTTACTTAAATTAATACTTACTTTTTACCATCTAAAGCTTCTAAAATTAACTATTTATTTATTTCTTTACTTAATTACTTATTTGTGATTTGGATTCATTTTAAAAATGTTTTTTCTGGTTTTAAAAATTCTAAAATACTAAAGTTTTTGTATGTAAAAATAAATAAAAATATGATTCTTAGAATTAAAAATTTAAAATCTACTCCAAAAATCGAAATTTAAAATCCCCAAAAATCAAAAACAAATAAATCTAATAAAATCATCAAATTTCAGTGTATATCCTTGAAAAAGGCAATATCCTTGGGTACTATACATATATAGATACATACATACATATATTTAAACAAAAAACATAAAAACAAACTAGTTAGGATTATTTTTACACAGAAACTTAAAAATGTTAATAGAGTAATTAATTTTGTAATGAAATCAATATTTTTTAATTAATTCATTATATTTTCTTTTAAAAAATTAAAGTTAAAATAAAATTTTTATTAACAGAGTAATATTTATTTATTTATTATAATTAAAAATAAATGTATGTATTAGATTAACTTTCAGTAAATTTTACATCTTAAAAATAAAAAAATTATTTAATTTATGTAAATTTTCATTATTTTATTCATAAAAATAAAAATAACTTTCATTTTGATTTTAAATTGAATCAGCTACTACAAACAAACAAGGTATTTATGTATCATTTATTAACCTGATAAAAAGAATGATTCTGTCTAATTCATTTACATGATTAAATATTTTTATTATGAAAGAATTTATAATATAAATTTAAACTCTAATAAAGATTATTTATTTATTAAAGAAAGACAAATAAATAAATAAATTTATTTTTATTCACTACAAATAGATTTGAATATTAGATAAACCGAATGAAGCCTCTGCAGGGTCTTCTGTTTCGAGTGTGGAACCAAAAGATAAAATAATATTTTCTTTATTATGAGGAACGACTATATCAATTTGGAAAGTAAGCTAGTATTCAGGATAGGGAGCTCCACAGACATTGATAGGATTTTAAGCATTTATTTTAGTAGTATCGTATTTCTAAACCCATACATATTCTTACTTAGTATTATCTGTTAAATGAGAATTAATCTTCATGAAACCAACTTCTCCCATCCATTAATCTATGAAGTGGTATTATGCAACTACTCTTACTTAACTATGCTCAGGGATATTCTCATAAATTTTCTTTACTTCTCCCTTAGCGAAGTTATTAAATCCACCTAGCATGAATATGCCATCACATTTTGATGTAGAATTATCAGTCCATCCAACGATTTCCTCATTCTCATTACAAACATCCTATAAGTAAAGTTTCCATAATTTTAAGTCATTTTATCTGCATATTAAAACAATTATTAATTAATTAACTAAATAAACAAAATATATATAATTCTAAAATTAAAAATAATATTTAATTAATTTTCTATTATTTGTGTTTTAAAATTGCTTTCATTCATTTATTTATTTTTAAGTATTTAATTCAATTTATCTAAATTTTAATTCAATAGATAATCTATGAAAATTATTAATGGATATTTTTATGTCTTATGTAAATTGATTGCTCAATTCAATTGAAATTTTAGTAAAAGAAAGCTAGCTTATTTATGTTTTCTAATATATAATATTGAATAAGTAGACAATTAATTACCTGTTAATTATGTCTTCTTTTATGTATATATTTTCTAACTTTGTATTGACTAAAATGTCAAAAATTCCCTCACTTATTTCTAAAATAGTAACACTGCTATTTTCAATTTTGAATGCTCCTGTGTCAGCAAGTAGCTCAAAAGAAGCATAATTAGATTCAGAAGATAGCAATTTCAACAAACTATTATTTTCATAATTGCTAGGTTTTATAGTAATTCCACTGCTGAGCGAAAGTGCATTTGATTCATTATTATCATCAGCATTAATACGATCTTATCTAAATTTATTTTTAAATGCATAGATTAACGAAATCTAAGAGGCAATTTATATTATTATAAAGAGCTTTATAAAATATTTCATTTTGCTATATTTTTAAATCTAATTGCTTATTTTTTTTAGTTACTTCAACTATATACTTTAGAAGCTACCTAGGAATATTATATATTTTTTAGTTGCCCTTTTATCTAATAAATCAATCTTCTTATTTCTATCTTTGCTTTTAATTATTTAATTAATTTTCTATCCGTTTTAAAGAATTACGCAAAAACAAAGAATATGCTTTCAAAACTGAATAACAACAACAAAAAAACAAACAAGCAAGCAAGCAAATTAGATTAAAAATGATTGAAATTTTTTGTGAGGAATACTTATTCAATCTTGTATGTATTAAAAGATAGTAAATATTTTGATCATCCATCATATTAAATGCAAAAAATAAATCATGTAAATCTTAAAGCAACTTCTACATTAATTTATTTTATTTTTTTTTAAAACTATGACAAAAATATTTTAAAATAAATAATTTGAATTGATTGATATTATAATTAATAAAAATAAATTTAATCATAATCGATAAATAAATTAAAAATATTTCTTCATTTTAGATAAAAAGTATTTATTTTCAATGACATATATATTCCTTAACTTTTAAAAATCTAAATTGAACTTTTACTTGAATTAAATAAAAGGTTACATATTTTATTTTAAATTAGTTAGTTAAATATTTCAATTAATTAATCTTATATTCAATTCCCTTATTTTTAGTCATAAATTAAAAAATAGTTTTCAAAAATATTAATAAATTTTAAGCTAATAATTTTAATATAGTAATATAATTTATTTAGTTAGTTAATTAGTTAGTTGGTTTACTTAATTAAAATTCATAATAAATGAAATTTTAAAGTAGAGAAATATAAATTAAATATAAGAATAAATAAATAAACTTTCTTAAAAATATAACTCGAAATTAAATAAAACTATTAAAACTAATTTTTTTTAAATTTAAATTTTCAACCTTTTTTTTTATTTATTATTTTTACTAAATATTTATAAAAAGGTCTCTATATAACAACTTACGCCTTACTAATATTCTTGTGTAAAACTTTATCATGATCTTATAAAAAAACATGTAGCTTACTTTTATATTTTTGCTTAAGAAATATTTTAATAGCTTTTACTTACTTTTTATTAAAATTTAAGAACTAAATAAAATAAATGGTGTGATTGATAAAATTAAAAATCATGTTAAGTATCAAATTTAAATCAGTAATATTATTTTTTATATTATATGATTAATAATATTCAGGTGTAGTTAGGTAGTTAGGTTATTTAGTTTATTTTTTTATAGTAATATTGAAATAATTTTAAATTATTTTTGCTGCTTCAATATTGTTCATTTGATTAGGTTTTGATTAATGTTTTTATTGAGAGATATGTTTGATTATTTCATATATCTTGCACATCTATTTTTCCAAGAATATATTATTCATACTATTCAGGTGACAGATGGGCTTTTATGAACTTATCTTTTTCTATGAGATCTTTTGTAAGCTTTATAAATTTACATTTAAAAAATTAATTGAACTGAGATAAGTATTAATGAAACAAATTACTTCAGTAAAACTAAAATGAGAAGGCAGTTTAATAGAACCAGCACCGTAATTTCTTAAAATTCCACTTGTTTTGTAGCTATTATTGAGACTAAGCAAGCATAAAAGCATTGAGCTTTGATAAATTCTGTTTTGCTTAAGATCAATTTAAAGTTATTCTGCCAATTGATCTTTTAGTTATTTTAGTTCATAAATAGGTCTGTCTTCTAATTTAATTGTCTCGTTTTCTGCTTCATCTTGCTCATAATCTTAATTGTTACTTGCTTATTAAGCGTATTAAAATTTTTTGTTTTCCCCAAGAGCTTTTTTAAGAAGCTTAAAAAAATTTCATTAAATGAAAATGACTGATAAAAGAATAAGAAAGTTACATTTATTTGATTTGTTGAGCATTATAGCTGCACTTTTAACTATTCTATTTCTTCAAGTTGTGTAGAAATCAGAAATTTCAGTCTATTTTTCTTTTCCTGTTTTTCTAAAAAGACTTTATACTATTTACTTTCATAGAATGTGTCATCAAATTTCAAAGGATAAATTGCTTCTTCAATCTAATCTATTTCTTTCTACAATTACTATATTTTTTAATTGATCTTTTTCTGAATTGTAGTTATTTTAAGCTATTTATCCTTGAAAGACTACATTTCCAATTTATTGTGCAAGCTATGATTATCGTCTTCATTTTTTATAACCTAATCAGCTGATTACCAAAATAAATAAACAAATAAATAAATAAACAAATAAATAAATAAACAAACAAACAAATAAATAAATTGTAATTGTTTATAAACTTTGAATAAAATATACCTTTATCCATCATATCATTTATTTTGCTTTTCATCTGAAAGCTATTTTTAATTTATATAATGATCGATTCATGGTTGTGTATTCTTTCTTGCAGTATTTTTAAACATTCATGATTCATTCTTACAAAGTTAGCATTCCTATCTTGTATATCTTTGGCTAAGTCTCTTTCATAGTTTTCCATTTTGGTGAGATTCTAAAGCTGAGAATTAAAGATCTAAATAAAAAATTCATTAAAAATAATTAATTAATTTTTTATTATTAAATTAAAAAATAAATTTAATTTACATTTAGGTTTTCTGCATTTGTTATTTTGTTTCTGTAACAAATGCTAATGATGTTGTTAATTCTGGCACACTGAGACTAATTTTCATTAAGTCTTTCTGTCATTTTTTCTATTCTCTCCTGCATTTTCTATAAACTGTCTTTACTTTCTTCAATTAAATTACTGTTCGGGTAGTTAGCATCCATTTTTTATATCACCTTCAACTATTTTGCTAAATTCATACTTTTTTTATTAGTTTGTTTGTTTGTTTATGTTTTTATTCAGATTGAAAAAAAGATTAATAAATAAATAAATAAATACTTTTCATAAACCAGAGAGTCATACTCTTTTTGCATAAGCTAGTTTTGTTTTTAAAGAAACTCCAATTCTTTATCGGTTGAAATGTTCAGCTATTCCTTAAGTTTGGGAAGAATAATTATATCTTTGTTTTCAGTTTATTTCACAGTTGCTATTATAGCTTTGCTGATTGATTCTTATAGAGACTGAAGATTAGTTCTCTCAGGAGATTTACTTTTGAAGAAGGATTTAGTTGTAATTGATTTTTAATTTATCAGAGATTAGTTTTAATTTGTTTTGTCTTATGGATCTGGACTTTGCTCGTTTTAAAGCATTGTACTTTTTTTTAATATTGGCAATAACTTAACAGAAGGAGGCTATTCTAGTATGGAGCCAAGGTCATTTTCGCTCTTTTAGAGCTTTTCCAAAGTCATTTATCTTTTGATATTAAATTATTGAGTAGTTATCTGCAAAGCATTTTTCTTCATACTCTATTGTCTTTTGAACTGGGAGTCTTAGTTGATATTATTTTTTTACAAAACTTAAGAAGAGAAAGATGAATCACTTTTTAATTCACTTTCAAAAATGGAAGTCTCCATAAAAACCACATTTTTATTTGATGATTAAGCATGGGGCGAAAGACTTCTCCCAATTGTCTTTCCAAACTCTTTAAAAAAATTTAAATAAATTAAATTTAAAAAAAAGTAAAAATTTAAATTTAGAAAATTGAGTTTATTTTTGAAATAAATAAATTATCTTATTAGAATTTTTTAATTGAGAAAAATGGAAAAAAAAGAAGGAAGGAATGAATGAATACATTGATAATTTGTTCTTAATTTTGAACTATTGAAAAAGTTTGAAGTAGTTGTTTGTGAGGCTGTCAAATTAGGCTCAGTTTGTATTTTCTGAGAGTTATTAGGATATTAAACTACCTTGATTGAAAAGTTTTCTTGGAATGTTGTATTTTTTGTAGAGAGAGATGGCTGAGTCAAAGTATTATCAGCGTTTTGAGTTTGGTTTAAGAAAGTGCTATTTTGAGGAAATTAAGAGTTTTAAGCAAATAAATTTTGAGACTAAACTGAATTTTGCTACAAAGTTTGTGTATTTTGTAACATATTTGTTTATTATTTCTAAAAAATGCTTTTAGTATTCGTTTATAGCTAAGAACTTTTATAAAAAGTGCTTGCTTGTGTTTTCTTTTAAGAACTACAATTATCTAGCATCTTTTGCTTCATGTTTAAAATTACTTACAAAGCTTCATCTCTGTATTTCTTTTCAAGATCATCAGCTTCTGCATTAAATTGATACTTACTAAATACGCTCATTAAATCTGAGTAGCTGATTTTGTTATTCATGCTTGCCTATTTGTTATAAAGTTTCAATAATATATTTATTCCATGTTGTTATATTTAATTTTATAATAATCAGTTAAACTATTATTAATTCTAATATTTATTTTACTTTCTACAAAATAATAAAATAAATAAATAAAAATAAAACAGAAAACATTTTCTCTTTCTTTGATGCAAATCAATTTTTATTTTCAAATTAAAATATTAAGCCAAATTTAATTTTTATTTATCATTAAAATGTTTTTATGATAAAAATAATATTATAAACTAAAACATTTAAGCTCCATTAAGTTAAAATATTTTTTGGATGAAGGTTTGTTAATCTTTTAGAGCAAATCATCAAAATAATGAAATTGGTTAAATTAATTAAATGACTCTTACTTACTCTATGAAAATTTAACTATCAAAAACTATTAAGAGAAAATTGTATTTATTTTGTTAAAATCACAAATTAGTTTTAGTTCAAATTTAAAATAAAATTTTTAAGAAATTAAAAAATGATTATTGATTGATTAATTAATTACTATAGTGAAATAAACCCAAAGCCATCTCTTATAGTAGTATTAGCTAGACTAGGAAGGTTTAAGAGAGCGACTTGATGAAAATAAAGTTTTAGATGTTTCTTTTTTAGTTTGTTTTTGAGCATAGTTTTTTAGAAGTTCTTTAATCAACTCAATTAACTTTTTGATGCCTTGAATATTATAAACTCTTGATATTTCAGGTTATATATACTACTCTAATTGATCAGGAGTGATGTATCTGCTTATTTTTTCTTTGGAGTTATCACTTAGCAGCTCGAAAGCTAAATTAAATAATTTCTGTTTAGCCAGTTCTCTACTTTTTGGAATGTCCACATTCAATCCCTCTAAGCTATATGGTTCTGCTTTTATTTCAAAATCATTTTAGTTTTCCTCATTATCACTAACCATTTTGAGTTTTTTCATTTCGACAAGCATTCCTTATAATATTTTATAAAACAATTAACAAATAATTTTATTTTAAATCTATTTATTTTCTGTCAAGTTATTTTCAAATTAAATAAATAAATAAATAAATACCATAAATTTTCATTTATTTATTTTATTTATCAATTAAAAAGAAGAAGGAGAAAAAATTTTGTTAAGATTTTTAAATTCAAAAATTTTAATTGAAAATAATAAATAACTAAATGATAATTTAAAGTATTTATTAAATTTAAAAATAATCTTAAATGATTGTAACAAAAAAAAAGAAATAAATAAACAAGAAATTTAGTTCAAAATTACCTAATTCTTCAAGAATAAAGTTGCCTTTTATGATAGGATGCCTAAATTCTGGAGTATGGTAAGCCTCAAATTCATTGAATTCTATTTTTTTTATTAATTTTAGTTTGGAATAAATTGAATTAAATTACCATAGAAAAAGAGACTAATCTAAAAGAAGATTTTAAAAAGATCTTCATCACTAGGACTGTGCATGACTATGTATTCTTCTATGCTTCTTACGTATTCTTAAATTGGATCAAGCCCATTAGCTTCGATTAAAACCCAAAACCTGTAAATAGTGTATTTGTTTTCATCATAACTATAATACAGGATAAAGTTATCTATTTGAGTTATATAGTCTTTAAGCTTAAACCAAAGTTCACTTAGTTTGGCTTAGTAGAATAACTCGTGCATTTTTTTGATATTGAAATGCTGTTTATGAAGAGACTTCATAATGAGGCTGCTATAAAAATTTTTTTATTGAGAATCCTACAAATTAGAAATATACTCTCTAATTTGATCATAATAAATTTTGTAGTATCCCTCATTGTTTAAAAGAATAGGATAGAATAAACTAATCACTTAGCCACATATTATCTCCTCTGTTTCAGTCTAAAATTTTATAGTGTAAATAACATTTTAATTTGATATAAATTCTATAAATTGTTAAATGAGCAAGTAATCCATCCATCAATCAATAACTAATTAAACTAAAAATCTTTTTTTGTTATAATCAATTTCGGAATTAATTAAATAAATAAATATAATAAAACTTATAAAGTTTATTTTAAAAATCGATCGATTGATTTTAGAGGATTAAAGCATTTTTTAATTAAATTTTTAAATAATTAAAAAGTGTTTAAAAATATTTTATTAATAATAAAATAAAATAATTATTCTATAAAAATAATAAATAAACGTTTATATTAATTTGATAAAATTAAAAAGACTTTTTTTTAATTAGTAAAATACAAAAATTAAAATTGTTTTTTGATATATTAATATGCTCATTTGTAATATTAAATAAACCAAAAATAAATAAATAAATTTAAATACAGCTTCAGCTACTTCCTGAATGCTTAGACCTTTATTTGTTGTTTATAAAACTCCTAGTATTTTTTTTATTGTCTCATATGAAATATTTGGAACTATTTCAGGGATTCGACTCATTGTTACTTTAATGCAAAAATCAATAAAAGATTAAGCTTAGTAGAATTCTTTATTTTATTTGAAAAAATTAAATCAAATAGCTAAAATAAATCATTATTAAAAATATGTTTAAAATTAAATAAAATTTAAAAGATTTAACTCAAATAAATTTTTGTTCAAGAATTAATTACAATTTGCCATGCTTACATCTACTTTTTCGAAATAAAGCTCTATTTTATCAACTCCTTCTTCGAAATTGGTCAAACTCTCAAGTTAATTTAAAAAGGCTGTTTTAAAAGCCATAATGCATCCAAGATCATTTCTTATATTAGGTTTTAGTTTTTCATACTACATTAAAGATTCTTTAAATCTTGGATGCAAATTTTAAATTTGATTTTATTCAAAATGGCTACTAAGTGAATGAATACATTAATCTACTTTAAGCAGAGTAACTCCTTAGCTTTGATAATTTTAAACAAGATCTATGTGGGAACTTGAACAACTTACTATTACTTTGAATTGCTTAGGAAACACCCTGTAAATATAATTTTACAACATTAAAAATGAAAAAAATAGCTAATAGTCTGACTAGAATAAGTAATGAATTTTATTATTAAGTAATAAAAATGAAAATTACTTAGGAAACCAAAGGAAAGTGTGAACAATTTTATTCTCACTACCATCAATCAGAAAATCAATGGAATCAATTACTAAAATAATCTTCATTTAATCATTTTTTTCACTAATAAAGATAGAAAATTAAAATTTTTAGTTAACTTTTAGAAAAAGATTAACAAAATACTTACGATATTTTCTAGCTTGCAATATCAAGCCAATATGAAAAAAACATCCTTAATTTTTCTTCGTCTGTCTGGATTCTCGTCTTAACATTAAATAGATTCTAAAATTTTTAAAAAATTTTCATATTAATTAGCATTTTATTGTTAAAAAAATAATTTTTTATAGAAAATTTAAATATTTAAAATAACTTTTCAGCATTTATTTGTAATTTTAAATTATTTTTTAAATAAATAACAATAACTTGCCTTAAATATATTATAAAAATGTTATCACATTTTAAATTATAACTAATTGATCGATCTATGATATTAGTTAGCTTGATTATTCGTTTAAATTAAAAGTAAAAAGATTGGTCAAGAAAAAATATTTATTTATTTATTTTTTGCAAATATTTAAAAAGCATTTAAAATATTATTTTGAATAAAAAAAATTTGTTTGTTTGTTACCTTGATTTGAGAAACAATTTTAAAAATACAGTAGCAATACTCGTTTTCGATTTGATTTGTGATACTAAAGTGTGAAATTATTATGTCTTTGTTTGTCTTTATATTAAAAATTAATTTGATTTAATTACTTTCTCCATTTTTATAGATTACTTTGATATCCTATTTTCATTATATTATACTTTATTAACTATTTTTATATATCTTTTTTACCTTTTCCTCATGAAACTTTATCCAGTGTGAGAGAAGAGTGGAGCCATGGTAAATATCTGGACAAATTACTGCTAGTGGCTTATTCTGATCATTCTATTTATCAATTTATTTTAAGAATAAATGAGTAATTTCTACTTTTGAATTAGAGGATGTATTTATTTTTCTTTTTAATAGTTTGATAAAAAAAGCAAAGAGCAAATATTTTACTTCTTCTTTTCTGTTAAACCATTCTTCGATATATAGGATGTATTTTTCAATGTTTTGAACTGGACTTTTTTAAGATTAAAGCAATTTGATAGTTTGAATTTGATAAATTGAAAAGGAGAACTATTAATTTACATGTTTTAATGATATGTTTTGATTTAAGTGGATAAGCTAATTATTTATTTGTTAATTAATAAATATAATATAAATTATTATTTAATGCGATTTAAAATACTCAATTGCTTAATGCAGAGACTCTATATTCTCTTTTGAAAACATTTTAATTATCTGAATATGTATGAATTTATGTATGTATGCTCTTTTATTTTAGAATTTAACAGAAGTAGATCAAAAATTTATAAATCTAATTACTTAATTTCAATTAATTGTTAATTCAAATAATTTATATGTAGAACAAACTTTCTTCAATAAGATCTTTTTAAAAAATCTACCATAACAAACAAAAATAAATAAATCCAGTTAAATCACTTTCTAAAAAAATGAATCATTAAATTATTTTTATTGATTTCATATTTCATGAAATTAATTAAAATGATTGGGCTAACTTGCTAGATGTGTGGTGTACTCAGAATCTCCTCACATTTAAATCATAATAATAATAATAATTTAAGCAAAACTTATATTCAAGATTTCATTCTAATGTCTGGAATTTCTAATCTTATCTTAATAAAGATTTAGAGTTTAATGTTCAAAGTAGCAAAACAAAATACTCAAAATAAATAAAATAAATCAATAAATAAATAATTTATTTTAAATTTATCTATTTTTACATAAATTGAGCTTGATCAATCATTATCATTAATATTGATTATTTTGCTTTTTATTGATAAATATTCTTTTTTATAAAATGTTAATTTAATTTATGAAATGATACTTACTTTTTAGTGAAAATAAAAAAATTCTCAAAACTTTTCAATAATTTTTAACAGGATATAAAAAAGAGAAAGATAAAATTTAAATAATAATTGTTAGCTAATTTGTATATTTATCAACACGTACCATATATGCTTATTTTTATTTCTTATAATAATCAAATCTTTAAAAATAATGAGAACTTTTATTCTCAAAAATACATATTGATTCATTAATTGTTAATTAATTATTTTATAATATCAACTTTAGCATAGAATTATTTCTTAATACAATTTATTTTACAAACTTATTGTTTTAATTTGATAACAATTTATACAAATTAAATATCCCTCTAAATAATGAGAACTTTTATTTCCTAAAAAGCATATTGATTGATTAATAGTTAATAATTTTGTAATTACAACTTTAACATTAGAATTATTTCTTAATACAATATATTTTATAAGCTTATCGGTTTAATTTGATAAAAATTTATAAATAATAAAGATCAAAAACAAAAAGCAAGTCTTTATCAAAAATAAAATATATTTATTTATTTATCAATTAAAAAGCCAATCAAATTTTTTTGCTCATATGAGCTAATTTTAGTTAATTAATAGAGCTTGAGATGTATGTCTTTTTTAAGTAGCTTTAATAGTTATCAGACAGACAGACTACTTTTAAGTTAGTGAGTAAAAGTTATTGCTTTTGACAATTTTTAGTTTGAATTAAATATAACGGGTAGGTAAGAGAAATTTAAATTAATTAATTAAATTATTAAAATTTTGAAAGCAAAAATCAGAAGAATTTATTATATCTGATAAGATTACTTAAGGAATCATAAAAAAAGAGTGACTAGTTTAATTTTTATGAAGAACAAAAGTATTATTTGATGAATTCATTTTCAAGCTGCTTCTCAAAATGGATTCTTGTTATTATATTGCTAAAGCAATAAAGAAAGTAAGTAAGTAAGCAAATAAACTATAAGTAAACAGTCAATAAATATGAACAAACAAACTTTATAATTCAAAATATTTTTTGGCAACTTTATCAAAAATTATTTTAAAAAAACTTAAAAATTTTATATATTATGAATCCTCATTAAATAAGATAAATTTGTTTGTTTGTTTGTATTAAGCTTCAAAAGCTTTTAGGAATAAGGTAAATAAATATTCTTGGAGAAAAGTACCTTAATTAATGAGGATTGATAGTATTTACTTTATGGCTAAAAAATAAATTGTTGATTGAATAGAAAGAAAGAAATAAATAAATAACTAATTGATTTATTTATTTATTTTTTTATTTCTTCATCTTAAAGTGAATATAAAATTTTGCAATGGAAGGAATGCATGCTTTCATTTATTATAATTTGTTATAGAGTGATGCTTTCTTTTAGTACGAATTGAAATAATTTATTAAAAATATGACTAAATCGAACAAAAATATGAGCTAAATTTTTCATTAAAGAAAACAAGTGAGTTAAAAATATAATTTAATTGATAAATTTGTATTTAACTTTACTAATTTTTTGTACAAAATATTTCTGAATTTAAGTGCAGAGAATAAATAATATTTTATATTTAATCAAAGTAAAATAATAATATAATTTTGTGTTTTTACTAAAAGGTTATTATTTCACATTATAAGAATTTATATTAAATTTACGACTTATCCAAATCTAATTACATATTTATTTTATTCATTTCTTAAGTATTTTAAATTTCAAATAGAATACCGAGTTAATTTTAACTTTATTATTTTACAAAATTTCTTGCAAACGTAAGTATAAGCTGAATTAAAAAAGAAATTTAAATTTATTTTATGTCAAACTTTACTAAAAATCTAAAATATTTCTTCATGTGTTCTAAATAAAAATCATGCCAAAATATAAAGTCAAAAATAAAACATGGAAATATCTTTATTTAAAGAATAAAAAACAAAAGTAATTAGTTTTTTTAAGTATTGAGAGGAACTAAAAATGTAAAGATTTAGAAAAGTCTGTTTTATATTATTTATTTATTGATTGATCCTCAATTAGTTTAACAGCTTTTATTGAATTTTCAATCAAAAATTAAATAATTGTTTTTTCAAAAAAAAATTCGATCAGAATATAAAAATTCTTGCAAAAAATTATGTTTATTTTCTTACTTAATTCCACTTCTTTTTGGTGTAAATTTTGATGGATTTAAGTGAATGAAGTATTATTTATTTTTTGATTTTCTACTTTTCAAGTTCTATCAGTGAATTAATTGTTTCTACAAACTGATCTAATAATTCTAAATATTAATTAAAATATAAACTATTATTTAAACTAGCTTATAGGGGTAGGTTATTTAAATTTTTTTTTTGAGAAAAGACATCCATCAATCGAATCTAACTTAGTAGTTGAAGATCTGATGAGAGAACCTATCCTAAATTAAAATTTATATTAAAATATTTTGAAAAATTATATAGTTTAACAAGAAGTAGAAGTGAGAATTCTAAATTAGTTTGTGAGCATGCATGCGAGAATTACCTTTTTATTTTGGCATTTAATTACTTACTTTTTTAAAAGAATATTTAGATTTGCATATAAAAATATTAAAGAATGAGAGATTGGTTGAGTGAATTTTTGTATGAATGAATAAAAGAGTGATTGAATGAATGAATGAAAAAATGAAAGATACAAATAATAAATTGAATGGAAAAATGAAAATGTGTGAAAATTAGAATGGAAATGAATGAAAGGGAGATGAAAAATGAATGGAAAACAAAGATTAAATATAAAAGAATATAAATTTTGTTTGGAAAGAGTTTTAAGAATAGCAGAGAGGCATTAAGCAGGTATAAACAAAATTAAACTAAAAAGAAAAGTTAAATTAAAATTAAAAAAGAAAAGAAAAAGAAATTAAAATGTCTGAAGAAGAAAATTTCGAACAAGGTGAATCCGGCTCTTCCCACACCTACCCCATGCAAGCCGGTAACGTTAAGAAGAACGCTTACGCCATGCTTAGAGGTTTCCCTTGCAAGGTCGTCGAAATGACCACCTCCAAGGCCGGTAAGCACGGTCACGCTAAGGCCACCATCGTCGGTGTCGATATTTTCACCGGTAAGAAGTACGAAGATTCTTGCCCCACCTCCCACAATATGGAAATTCCCTTCGTCAAGAAGAACGAATACTAATTGATCGATATCGCTGATGACGGTTACGTTACCCTCTTACTCGATAACGGTGAAACCAAGGAAGACCTTAAGCTCCCTGAAGACGAACCCGAATTAGTTGAAAAGTTAAGAGCTGACTTCTCTGCTGAAAAGGATATCCTCGTCTCTGTCATCTCTGCTATGGGTCAAGAAAAGATCATCTCCTACAGAGAAACCAGTGGTGCTAAGTCTTGAGAAACTAGCTTAGTTAGCAACAAACAAACATTCAGTTAAAAAATAAGATTAACATAAATAAAGTAATATAGTAAATTATGTTGTAATGGGTACCAAAGTATCATCATGCAATAAATTAATCAACAAATAAATAAATAAAACGCAATAATGTCTTACTTACTTACATACATATCTATGATCATTACAATCAATATCATCTAGCTATTTAATTAACCCAAAACATATTGAATGACTTAATGAATTAATCAATCAATCAAACATACATACATAAATACATTCATTCATATTTATTATTCAAATGAATCTCTTTCCTTTGATAATTTTAATATATTTCATTTATTATTACGTGTTATATTTTATTGCAATATATTTTCTTATTCATTACAGCTGCCTTATTTAAAACACTCTAAAAATTCACAATTGTTTTATTATTGTTGCACTTCTCATTTCTCTAATTCACTTACAGACTTACTTGTCAATAATTCATATCTTCCTTCTTTTCATCGTTTTTTATTTACTCATTATTTCGTCCTTCAATTTCTTAATATTCACATTATTTTAGAAGTACTTTTTTTAAAAATTAATCTAAAATTTTTAGCTGTTTGCCCTAAAAGCACTTAAAAATGTATCAAATTCTATCTGCTTTAAAAGCTTACTGTAGTCGCGTATCTGCTCAAAAAAAATTGTAATGCTTCTATTTCATTTCTCCACTTTTTTACACTTTTGGTTGACTCTGCAAGCAGACTGCACTTGCTTGCTTTTGGGCTTGTTAATTAAGTTAATTTCTATCAATTTTGAAAAAAATAAACAAAAAATTTATCAACAGAATCTAGACTAAAAAGTAATTGTTATTTTTTAAAACAATTGAAAAAAAAAATAATAATAAGAAGCCACCTAAAAAGCACAAACGAAAAACAAAAAATTTAATCGAAGATTGGATTTGGGAGAAAAAAAATATCTTTGTTTTCGTTTTGATCAAATAAAAATTAAATTCTCTGCAAATAAATCCTTTTTAAATCATAAATTAATTAAAAAATTAATAATCTTCTTATTTTAATCACTACAATTCTTCGCCACTTTTTAATAAAATATCCTATCGAAAAACTTAGAATTCTAATTTCGCACTTGCAAATCTAATTTTTCGCATACTAAAAATTTGATAGAAACAATTAAATTAATTATTAAAAATATAAGGATGATCTCTTTCATTCATACATAATAAATAACTATATTGCATATCTTTTGACTATTCTTGTTATAACAAACAAACAAACAACTTTCTAATAAATAACCAAAGAAGAGATTTTATAAAAACTATTTGTTATAATAAATAAATAAATAATTCATATCAGATTTTTTTCTGTTCTCCAACAAAAAAATTTTTAAATTTATTCAACTAAAAAAGTCATTTACAGTCTATCACTTTCTGACTCTTTTCTGCCAAAAAGCATTGTTTCTATTCTGTTTTTATAACATTTATATAAAAATAAAATAATTATTGTTAAAAATATTGAATAAATTAATAAAATGTGAACTTGCTTATTAATATTTATTACTTTTAGTAATAAAATTACAACTTAAATTTTAAAATTTAACAATTTCATTTATCTTAGAATATACAAAAATTCTGTTCAACTGCAATCAATCTAAAAAATAATCAATATAAATTTGAATAGATTTCTCAAATAATTATTTAAATAGCAATTCACTCTTTAGAAGTTGGTTTTCTCCTTTTATAGAATGTGTTTCAATAAAAATATATTATTATTCTTATTAATAAAGATATAGATATAGTTTTAAAACTTAAAAAGTATTTTTTTCTTTAATAAGTAATTTAAATCTCTTTTTTTAAATATAAATTAAAACAATTTATAATTTTTTAAGAAATACTCTAAATAAATAAACAATAAAATATCAATTTTAAATGATATTTGCTAATAAATAAAAAAAACCTTTTTATTATTTTCTTTAAAATTAATGAATCAACAATTAAAAAAAGAAATATGCTTTATTTTAGCAAATACTTATTGCCTCATAAAAAACAAGCTAAACTAAATCTATTCTAACAAGATAAATTTAATTTCTAAAATTAACTTTTGTTTAAAAGCATTTTTTATTTTGTAAAAATGGTATTTGTTTATTTATTGATTTACTTCTTCTTTGCTTTTTAATTTTGTTTTAAATTTTTTTCTTATTTTGAACTTTATAATTTTCTTTTAATCTTTAAAAATTGGTCTTTTTTGGCTTTAAAATTTGGTTTAATTTATTTTTTTTTATAAATTTTCTAAAAATATTTGATATTAATCTATTATAATGAGTGCTTAATTTAAAAAAAAAACAAAAAATTTTTAATTTATTTTAACAAGTAGAATTTAATTTTGGTTTAATTTTTAATAAATTTATATAAATTCTTTCTTTGAAATAAAGTGGATTTAACTAATTACTAAAGAGATTCTTTGACTTTTTTCTTTATTATTTCATTTTTCTAAAATTTTTTGATATTTATTTATTAACTAGTAAGAAAAGCAAATAGAAAGCAACAATTTATAGCAAATGGCTGAACATATCCCTAAATTTGAAAACTTAAAGCTTGGAAAAAAGATTTTTAGAGTTGTAAATATAAACTATGCGGATTTGACTTTGAATAACAATCAAAAATAAGAAGAAAAAGCTGCTTAGGTTTATACTAATTGGAGAAACACTGAATAGAATTAAAAATAAATTGAAAGCGAAATTCTATAGAAAAAAAGTTTAAAATACCATAAAAATTAGGAAAATTCAAGTTAATGGGATGGCTAGTGGGGAACTGATATTAGAGCCCTTAACGCCTCCGAATTAGCTGCAACTATCGATACAGGCGATTACTCTCACTTTGTTTCAATTCCACTCTACAGGGATGAAAAATTAATCAAGAAATTAAATGACTTTAAAGGTAAAGTTAATGAAGTATTTAACAATAAATACTCAAGCAACTTACTTAATGATATGAGAACTGCCCATATTACTTTATTAATGTTAAAGCTAAATACTCAAGAAAGATAGAAAAAAGCAGTTGAGTGCATCAAAAATTCTGAAGCTGTAATTAGAGTTTTAGCAGAAGGACTCAAAAAGTTTAACATAAAAGGATTAGGATATTTTGGCAAAAATGACAAGCAAGCAACAACAGTTTATGCAAAAATTGATGATCCTCAATTTATTAGTTTTTTAAACGAAGTTACTAATGTCTTAGTAAGGGATTTCATGGATTTTGGCTTATTAAATGATGAAGATTTATCACATATTAAAAAAGATTCTGAAGGCAAATATATTTGCGAATAATTGCATATATCTCTTTTAAAGGCAGCTAAATAAAAAAATAAAAGTAGCACTTTTGATGCCTCAGAAGTCCTAGATTAGTTTAAGCATTTTGAATTTTACAGTGCCAAATTCTCAACTTTAGATATCTCCACAAGAGGAGAGTTTATGGCTAGTAACGGCTACTACCTTCCAATCACATCTTTTACTATTGCAATTTGATAAAATCTAATCATATACAAAATAAATAAATATATTTATTTATTTATGTCTTTATATCATAAATAAGTAAGTAATTCAGTTAGTTAGTAATTCATTTATTCGCTCATTTTCTATTTATTTATTACTTAGCTCTAAAGTTTACTTTAATATATTTCCAAAAATTAAAATAAATTGAATTCATGTTAATAGCAAAACATCACTACTATGTTAATACTAATGTAATTAATAATATTGGCTTGTTAATTTATATTTTATTTATTTATTATTTTTAAATTTTAAACAAATATATTTGTTAATTGTTTTAATTATAATATTTAATATATATAATATGTGAATTTCAATTTAAATAATAAAATTATTTTTTTGATAATTTTTAATTAATTTAATAAAAGCAGTTAGGATAGGTTCCTAAACTAAAATAGAAGTGGCTTTGATAAATGAATCTTTACCTTATTTAAAAATATTTTAAATTTTAATTCATTTATTCAAAGTTTATTTTTGAATAATAAATTAAGTATTTTTATTAAATTTTATAAAAATAAACAGATTTATGTGATAAAAAATATTATTATTTCTTTCTTTTTTTTCATTCATTTATTCAATATTTTTGTATTTAAATTTATATAGTTGAATTCTATTGAAAATAAAAAGAAAAAAAAATAGTTTGTTTGTTTGTTTGTTTGTTTGTTTGTTTGTTTGTATTTTGAAATAATTATAAAAAAATAAAACAACTTTGATATCTTATAAACAAATAAATAGAGATAATCAATCATTAATTCATTAATTCATTTAATTGATTTATAAGACCAATAAAAACTCAAAAATACATTAATTAATTAAAAACTCTGACTGAAAAAGAGGGACATAATTAAGCTTAGCAGAAGCACCAGCAACAGCAATTAGGATTTTACAAAGCAAAAAATAATTAAAAAAGGAGATAAAAAAAATGGATAGAACACATAAATTGAATTATCAGCGTGATGTTGAGCAATACTTAGAAAAAAATAAAGTATATGACATTTTTGAAAATTTGATGAAAGATTTAGTTATTGATTAGCCTGCTCAACCCTTAGACTATTTAATAAAGAAATTGTCGGAACCTTAACGTAAGCAGCTAGACTTGCATTTTATTTAAAAGATTATTTTCATCTTGAAAATATAAAATTATTTCTTTATCAAAAAGAAAAGAGAGTCTTCGTTGTTGGACCTCCTGGCTCAAAAACAACTGAATTAGCACTTTAATTAGCAAATGAATTCAAATTTACCTGCATCAGTGTTGGAAATCTTCTTAAGAAACAAATTTCTATGAAAAATACCTTGGGAGAAGAAATTGAAAACTCCATCTAAAAAGTAGGTTATGTTCGTGATGAAATAGTCATCGATATAGTTAAAAATGAAATCGAAGAGATGGAAAGAAAAAAATAAAACTATTTGCTTGAAGGATTCCCCAAAACAAGAGTTTAAGGTCTTGCTTTACAAAGAGTAGGCATCATTCCTGATACTTTCATCATTTTGAATTAAGATGAAAAGAGTATCAAGCAATCTTGCTAGTAAATAAATAAATGAATTTGTTTATCTTTTATTTTAAATAAACGAAAACTCTTAGCCCAAAAAAAGTTATTCAAATTAACAAGAACCTCTTTTTAAGATTAATTAGTAAAGAAAAATGGAAAGATTTCAAAAAAAAACCAAAAATTCAAAAAGAAAACATAAACTTAAAAACAAATCTTCTAAATAAGCAATTAAATAAATTGAATTTAAATACTTTTAAGTTAAAATAAATAAATAAATGATTTAAAACAATAAGTCCAAGATCTAAAAGTAGATTGATAGATAGATTATTTAATAACTTCTAAAATATAAGTAAAAATAGATGAAAGAAAGAGTGTTTTGCCTTTCAAATAATTTATTTTGATGTAAAAGGGTTTTTTTATTAGCAAAATACCTTCTTAGTATTTGTTTAAAGAAGATGAGCTATTAAATTAAAATTTGAAAATCTTTTTTAACTATTAAAGACAAATAAATAAATAAATAGTTTTAAATATTTTGAATCAACTTTACATAATTACAATAATATTTTATCAATTATAATTTAAATAAAAATAGCAACAAAATTTCCTCAAATTAGGATGGATACTATTCAAATATCCCTTTAAGCAAAGTAGAAGAATATGCCTCCAATCACGCTTTAGAATATACTTTGTAAATATTAATTTATTTATTTATGAGTTAATTCTTTGGATAATAATTGAGATCTTATTGAAAGAAATTTAAAAAAATTAATTTTTTATTTATTTAATATAAAAGGAATTTAAATCATGTGAAAGAAGTTTATGCTAGATATTTCTTTGAAGTTGATGTTAACAATGTTTCTTCTGATGGTGAATTACTTGAAGATATGGCTGTAATAAACTAATTTTTATCCAATGAAATATTATTTATTATTATTTTTTATTTATTTATTTTAGCGTTTGATGGAATTCAAGATAAATCCTAAAGGTCCTAAAAGAAGTGCTAGAATACTTGTTATTGGACCTCCTGGTAAATAATTTATTTATTTATTTTTAATAATTGTTTGTTATATGTTTGAAATTAATTTTATAAAAGGATCTGGAAGATCAACTTTAGCCAAAAAATTAGCTTAGAAGTATGGCCTTGTTTATGTCTCAACAACTGAGTTAATTAGCGATTAAATTGCCAAGAAGACAGAAGTTGGTAGAGTTGCTTTGAATCTTCTTAACAGAGGTGAATTAGGTAAAAAAAATATTTTAATTAAGTTAAGTTAGATTAAATTTCAATTAATTTATTTATGATTTAATTTAAAGTACCTGATGAGATTATCAATGGTTTGGTTGATAACAGATTAAAATAAACTGATTGTCATTTGCAAGGTTACGTACTTGATGGCTATCCTAAAAGCTTAGTGTAGCTTCTTTGTCTTGAAGATTTAAATATAAATCCCTCTTTAATTGTTGAGTTAGAATGCTCTGACGAACTTGTTATTTAGAGATTCTAAGGAAAGAAAGATAATCCAAATGAATCCATTGAAAATATCAAAAAGAGGTACCTATTTATTTATTTATTCATTTGATTGCTTACATCATTTTTTATTTAGTGATAGAGTTATTTATTTATTTTTTCATTTAGTTATTTAACTATTCACTTATCTTTTTTTCTATTTTAACTTTCTACTTAATTTCCTTCTATTTTTTATTATATTAAGTAAGACATTTAAATTAATTTTATATTAAAAATTAGATTACAAAGATGGAAGGAATTACTTAGAAGCATGGAATAAACATACAGCAGATTAATTTATAAAGTTTCTGCTACTTTACCTCCTAAAAACATTTTAGAAAATGTATGTTTTCATTTGGAAAACAGTGGTTGATTTAACAAATAAACAATAAAAATTACATATTTTAATTATTTTTTATTTTCTGTAAGTTTCTTTGATTTTCAGTTTAGTATAATTAATTGATTCACCTTACAAATTACTTTACAAAATCAAAAAATTATGAATACTTCTTCAGACATTAATAAATTTATTATTTGAATGGATAGGATAGCATTATGATATCTAATATTTATGTTTATTTTATGTTGGTAGATTATTTTAATTCTTAATCTATGAACCAAGTTGATAATATTTTAGCAACTATTATTAAATTAAACACAAAATAAATAAATAAATAAATAAATGCATTTGTATTATTAAATTTACCTCATTTCTTTGAATTAGAAATTAAATAATAATCTAAGTGATTACTCTAAATTTTTAGAATTTAAAGTTTTAAAAACTATTTCTTAATTATTAAAAATTATAAAAATTTTTTAATTTATTAAAAGAAAAAGTAATTAATAAATAATTAAATAAAGACGATTAATCAATTATCCTATAATTAATTCAGAAAGAATACTAAATTTTATATGGTTTTATATTCTCGCAATACATAAATTAAGTAATTTATAAATATACTTCCAATAATTAAATTCATTTATAAACCATAAACGAATATGATATAAATATATTATAATTTATTTTATGAATCTTACTGATTTTATTGGCTTTAAAAATTAAGTTAATCATTATTACTGTAATTTGAATTAGACAACTTTTTATCTGATAAATAAACTAATTAATTGAAAAAGCGGAGTAGCTTTTAGAATAGATAGATTATTTTAATTTGTTTATATTTTTGTTTACAAATAAAATGTTTTTATTAGTTCATCATTTAGCAAAATAATAATTTGTGATTAGCAAGAAATTAAATAAAAAATTATTTTTTAAAATAGAATATTGGTAGATATTTTATTTGCAAATTTTGATTGATATCTTAAAAATTAGATAAAAGTTTCACTTACTTAATTTCTATCGTTAAAAATTATTCATATTTTCATTAATTTAAATTAATAGAAATATTATTTAGCTTTTTACAGTTTGAAGAAACCTCTATTTCTATCGTTAATAGTTAAAGAAATAACTCTTTGAATCTTTTTAAATTAAAAAGATAATCGAATTTTATATGATGATTGATATTAATTATCTAAAAAATGCTTATAAATACAAGCCAATCATAAAAAATAATCAAAAAATAATTAATTAAATATTCAAAAATTACTATAATCAGTAATCAATAAAGCTTTTGAAATAAGCAGACATTTAAAGAAAATAGAGCAAAAAAGAAAAATATTTTTGACACTTTGATAAAAATGATGAAAAGAGACCTGTAAAAATTTAAATATGTTGGAGGTGGCAAATTTGAAAACGTGCCATATCAAAATAAATTCAATAAAGAATAAAAATATAATGATAGAGATATAAATGATAAAAGACTTCCAAAATGGGATTTAATCTACAAATTTTCAGATAGAAATAATATAAATTGTAAGTATCACCATGAGACTACAATCGAAATTACAAAATTCAAGCCAACTAGAAAAAATTATGGACCCTCAAGCAATCTCCATTAAGTTTAGACCCAATAAGACTAATATAAGCCTACTATTAAAATAGTAGAACAACAGCCACCAAAATCAGCAAGAGACTTTACTGAGAGAACTCCTAGAGCAATTAGAACTATCCCAGACAATAGTGATGAGCTTAGAATAATCAATGAGAAAAAATATTTGTTGCCCCACATGCGCACCATTACTCCTAATGGCAGACCTATAAATGTAAAGCATGTAAGTGAATTCAAAAATAGTGAAGAGCTGGACATTCTTAACCAAATGTACCATGAATTACCTCATATGAGAACAAAAACACCTAACGGAAGACAAATTAGAGAACCAGCAACTCATTTTATCTCCAATGAAACAGATTTTATCAACTAAAAAAAGCATCTCATGCCTTCTATGCAAAATATCTAACCAGAAGTAAGGCAAAACCTAACCTCGAGAAATAAATCTTAATTTACTCTTGCTTGGGATGCATGATAATTAATTAACTATATTATAATTCATTCATATATTAATTAGACTAATTTTTCACATTAAAGTATAGCCAATTTACCAATTAATAATAACTAAATTTTCGAAAACTACTCATAGACTTCTTTAACTGAAATATCATAGATAGAAATATTTTGAATAACAAACTCATTTATTCAATAAGATGAAATCAAAATTATATAATCAGTTAAATTTGCATACAAACAAACAAATAACTATCAATTTTGAAAATAAATAAACAAATACAATTAATTATAAATAAATAAAAGAGTTTATATATTATTTTATGTTAGCATTTTTCCATTTATTTTGCTTTTCTATAAATTAAAAAAATAATTTTAATATATAAAATTTTAAAAATCATTTTTTAAAGAGATTTAATCAAAAAAATTAACAATCTTTAAAAATATTTTGAATATGACGAGACGAACTCAATATCAAAAATAAATTAAAATATGAAATTAATAGCAATTGATATTAATATGAATAATTAAAATATGAAATATTTTACTTTTTTTAAAAGTACATTCATTCATATTTAAAATGAAGTAATTAATTGTTTTAAAAGAAGTTATAAATCAATAAATACTATCATCTCTAAGTGAATATAAAAATAGATGAAAATATAGTTTTACTTGAGTATTTAGAGTATCGATTTTTTGATGTTTTCTATTTACTTTTAAAATTCATCAATTAAATTTCTAATTAAATGTTTAATTTTTTACTTAAAATATTCATAACACTGTGTAACTTCATTTTAATTAGTAAACCAGTTTTAACTTCAGGTTGAAAATTTTTATTTTTTTAATTTTAAAGGTGAATTAGTTTGATTTTTTAGTAGCCAGTGATAAAGTGATAACTATTAAGGTGTTTATTAACTTAAATTTTTTATCTTACTTTTTTTTGCAATTTATTAAAAAACTTTAAAACTTCTTTAAGGAAATTAAATCATATAAAAAAAGAATAAAGTAAAAGCATAAAAATAAATTTATAACTTAAAAGGAATATTTAATTAGTACTAGACTAGTCAACAAAAGAATACAAAACAAAATTTGAGTTATTTATTTATTTATTTATTTATCTTTATTATTACTATTGAACAGCGGGTTGATATCCTAAACCAATTTATTAAAATATCCTTGTATATTTGTAATAATGATAAATGATGAATTTTTTATTTCAGAATTTACAAATGCAATATAAATACAAAATATTTTTCTTTTAATCATTAATAAATGAAAATATGCTATGCTGAAAAAAATAATTTTGCAATTCTTTAAAAATCCTATTTGGTTTTCTTTAGTATTTACTTAAAGAAAGAAATCTACTACTAGCTAAAAAAATCAAGTATGTTATTTATTTTTCAAATTTAGGTTACTTTTTGTTAATACTATAATCATTCTTCTCATTTTAGAAGGAATCAGAAGGAAATTTTCTCTATCTATAAAAATATATTTTTTGTTCGTTTTGATTCAAAAATAAAACCTTTTTCAAAAAAGAGAGAGTATTTTATGCTTTTTTTCTGAAATATATATGTAATAAAATCAGAATTAATAGTATATTTTTTCTATTTACAAACAAAATTTGGTACCTTTACAATATCCTTCTTCTTTTTACAGAAAGTAGATCAGTTAGCTACTGGCCAAATTATTTAATTAAAAAAATTATTGTTAAAAATAAATTTAAAATTCTTAAATTACATTGTAAAACTTAATAATTAAGAACCACGAGTATGTAAGATAATTTATAGTTAAATTACGATAAAATAAAAAACGAATCAGCCAAATTTAATTAAAAGTTTACTCTATTAAATTAATAAAAAGTTTTAAAATCAGAAGGTGGTTTAGTTGATTTCTCAATAATTAATTTTTAAAAAGAAAAAAAACAAAATTTTAGAATTAACTTAAAAATAAATGATGGAATCTTTCAAGAAATTAGATATATTCCCTTAGCCTATATAATTCAATTCTATTGAATAAGCAACAAAAAAAAAAACAGTTACTGGAGCTTTGTTATCTATGCTAGTATTGCTTCTTTCTTTAAGCTATTTTATATATGAAAGCTATCTCTATCTGAGCAATCAAATTGATCCAATATTTAGATCATAAGCTTTTGTGAGAAATGATTTAATTAATATCCCCTTAAATGAAGAATCAGTCGCTTTTCAATACATTTAGTACATGATTATTTAAAATCAAACAGAATTTCCTTCTGATAAAACATACATCTCTTATGTCGCTAGGTTTTAATATCAGAATAAAGCAGATCTACAGTCAGTTATCCTCGATATAGCTGAATGCAAGAGCCCTAACTTAAAAGGACTTCTTTGTGTTGATTTTTCTAAATTAGCAAATAAAGTATTAAGCTATGATTTTACTAATAATATAGCATCTTCTGTCATGATTTATGCATATAAATGTCATGATGTTGATTAATTCAAGACAACCGTACCTGATAATTGCGCTAGTCCAGATGAAATAGACGCATATATTTCACAACAAAATTATATCATGGCCTATAAAATCTAGCAATAATAATTTAATACAACCTCTAAAAAAATGGATTTAAATTACAAAAATTAATTTATTTCCATAGATTCTAGCTAGGTTATGATTTCTGAATTCAAAGTTTAATTGTAGCACACAGAAATAGTCGAAGGAGCTTTTGTTTAACAAAAAACCTCATTTGCCTCTCCAATTTCTTTTACAATCAGCTAATATAGCATGGATTATTAAACATATTCTTAAAATGAAAATTCTAAATATTTTTCTTGTGTAGCGCTAGACGTTGACGAATAAGTCTTTTTTACTCAAATCAAATATCCTACCTACCCTGAGGTGCTTGCTATTTGCAACAGTACTTTTGCACTTTTAATGTGTTTAGGTTATATAGCAAGAAAGCTCTCTTTTACATTATTGAAGGATTAGATGCTTCTCATGTACATGCAAAACATCTATTAAGGACAATATTTAAATATCTTGCAATAAAATAAAATTCTAGAGTTAAACCAAACCCATAATGTTTAATAAGATGATGATAATGATATATAATTACAATATGAAGAAAAAATGAACTAAATTTTTATTCCTAATATAAATGCTAAACAAAGCGGAAGAGTATTGAACCAAAAAAGTAACAGAGGAGATTTTTATATTGAGACAATGACTGAAAGAAAACAAAAGGATATTTCTTTAACAGAGTCAATTTAAACTGAAAAAAAAACATAAATCGAAACAAACTTTAAAATAAATGAATCTGAAATTTAAAATATTAATTAATCTATAAATTAATGCTCAACAGAAAGAAACTAAACCGAACAATAACCTCTGTCGTCTACTAGAACTAATTATAACTTTAGAATTTTTTCTTTAGCGAGTTCGCCTTTACAAAATAAACAAAGATTTACTTTGAATTCTCAAAGAAGTATAAAAAAATGTAAAACCATAAATGTATAATTTGCTTAAGATCAAAACATTTGTCAATCATTGCAATCATAGACTTAAATAAACAAAGAAAATTAGTTTGATAATTTAAAAAAGAAATTAAACGCTTATTCGAGCTAATAGTTGAGCAAAAATATACACTAACTACTCTTTAAGTTTTAGTAAATTTAATTTCATTTATTTATAAATTAATTAATTTGTTATTTAAATAAAATTAGGTTAAGAAATTAAATCAATTATCAAAAATCTAAAGGATTGAATCCAAAAACTAAGTTGCTAGTTGAAGAATAAATTAACAAAAGTTTAGATTTTATTCATCTATAAAAAGAAATACTTTTTTTGAAGAAAGCAATTATGGTCTTGTTAAGTAAAGATTAATTTGCTATGATACCTCTAATAGGATGTTCTGAAAAAGGAATAGATTATATTTACAATAGAACAGACTAAAAGAATTCTTTACAAGGTAAATAAATATTATGACTCATTCTTTATTATAATAAACTGAAAAATTAAAAAATTAAATAATAGATGAAAAGAAATTAAATCATTTTGAAGAATTGCTGGCCTTGTCTTTTAACGATAATTAAACGAGCGATTAAATAAACTATTTCTTAGCAAAGTGTTAAAGTTAAGAGTATTTATCAGATATTGATAAAAGGATACTCTCTTCTATCATTTGATAAAATATTTATTTCAATTGTTAATTGTACATATTTGTAATATATACTTACTTACATACCTTGTCATTCCAAAAATAAATTTTTAACAAAAATATTAATTAGTTATGTAACTTTAACACTATAAAATCATAAATATAATAAATAATTTAGACTTTGTAGAAATTAATTTTAAAAAATAAAGTATATAAAATATAAAATTTAGTTATTATTTATTATTAATTTTATTATATAAGAATAATGTTAAATCAATATTGTTCAATTTATTATTATTGTTCACTTTTGAATCTTACGATAAAAGCTCTTAATTCTAGTGGCTTCACTTACAGAATATTTCCTTCTGAATAGAAAATATTAATTTTTATATCATTTTTAAATAAAATTTTACCTTATTATTGTGATTGCAATAAATCTTTATGAGAGAACATATATTTTGGGTTAATTTCTGTTTCAATATTCCATTTAAATTTATCTTTTAGCATTTATTCTTTGTTTTAGTTGGCAGTAAGTGTAACTTCTTCAATCATTTCTATTCCTTCTGGGATGCTATAGTTAGTAGAATTGACATCGTTTAAATTAGTTACTCTCAAAATATAGTTTTCTCCATAAGGCTAGAAAACAACCTTCAAGAAAGGATCAGAGTTAGACATGAGAGGGTTAAATGTTTAGGGAATTTAACTCTTTTCAAATGTGTTTGATTTAGATTCAGCCTAGAAAATTATTGGGAGAGAATCATGATAGCTTTAAACTCTTCTTGATAAAGTTTCATCTCCTTCCTCAAAGACAAGATAGTGTCTAACTTTTTAAGTCAATCCACTGTCTAATTTACCAGGTTCAAGCTCATTTAAGGGCTCTGTTACTCCTCTGTAATCATCATTAAGTAATCTGATAAAAATTTATTTTTTATAGCTGAGTTTCAAAGAAATAGTAATATTACCTTCTATGAATCATTACTTCTATTTCACCTTCATGCAAAGATGAAGCACCTTGAGAACGATCATTAATTACAGAAACTCTTTTGCCATTATTAACATCCTTGATAACAATCATACCATTTATAGGATAGTAATTTCCACTTACTTTTTCATGAACCTATTCAAATAAATTAAAAAAAATAATTTTTTAGAATTTTTTTACTTAAAATAATTTAAAATAATGGAAAGAATATTGACAATTATTTTTATTTTATAAATATTTCCTTAAAAGTTTTTATTACTTTGAGTTACCAAGTGGGTCTGTAGTTAAGAATTCTCTTTTATAATTCAAGACCATTAGAGTCAGTGTAAAAGGTTTGGTTATTAGAAATTTCAGTCTTTATCAGAAGGACAACTTCCTTTCCTCTAAGGTCTTTAAGAACTGGGATTCCATCAATAAATGTTTCAATTTCAACTATATTTTTGTAATTCTCGTGAGCAAAAACTTTTAATTAAGAAGTGGTGTGATTTCCCTATATCAAAACTATAGTAGCTAGTTTCCCATTAAATACAGACTAGGTTATTAAATTTTCTTTTTAAATATATTTGTTTTATTGAATAATTTACTTGATTTTAAAGCTGAGAGTAAGGAATGGAGCTATCATCTATCTTTAAATCAGGTCTGAAGATGTATGCACCAGAGCTCTATCCAATTAAAGTCTAATATGAAGGGTAGTAATTGTAAAGTACTTCAAAATTATTTGAAGTACAATTTAGGTTATCCTACAAGCAAGTCTAAAGTTAAAATTTTGTCTCAAATCTGTTAATTGTCAATTTAATTTAATCAGAAACATTGACAACTTCTGTCTCCTTTAGTAGTCCAACATTTTTACCTTAAATAATATTAACTTGGTTGGATCCAGATCCAGGTACGAGCTTGTAGTAATTGTAAGAATATCCTTCAAAAGAGTCTTAGAAATATAAATCGCAATCAGTTTAATCAGTTTCATTAACGCAAAATACTTCACCTATATTAAATAAATAAAATTCATTTGGGAATGAAATCATTAATAGTTCTTGATAAGTCTTAAATAATTTAAAATAATAAATTGAATTTATTTACCATAGACAGGTTGGTTTTAAGAATTTATTAAGGTGAAGATAACATTAGGAACCTTAACTTTAACTATGATTGATCTTGCTACTGAGGGATTATATACATTTATTAAAACAGTCTTTCCAGAATTAAGAGTTTTGTATGTCTCACTACATTTATCAGCAGTTGAATTCCACTTGCATTGAGAGTATTTAACATTTTCGCTTATATCTCTTTCAGTAAACTCTTCCATCATTGGGTGAAGTACTTCATTTATTCTATCGGTAGAATTTTATAATCTTTTCTAGTAATCGTAGGCTACGTACTATCTTTCAGTACCAGCCACAGCATCGTGATGTTACAAAATTCCCATATTCTTGAAATTTTAAATAAATTTTGAAATTTAAATAATTTTTCTTTTTACAAATTTACTTATTCAAAGCCATCTAAGTTACTTAGCATCAATTTATAGTTTTTCATTAGTGATTTACTTGACTAATTCATTTTATTTACTGAAAAAATGTTTCTGATGTGCTAGAGATATCTACCAGAATCTCTAACGTTTCCTTTAACTGCTACTCTAGAAGTAAAATAACCAGTCCAGTATGCGTGTTCCTTATCAGCGTATGGAAGGAAATCATCTTCTTTAAGAGGATAAGAAATATTTTGCTTACGGATTTCTTCTAGATAAATCGAAGGAGTTGAGTATAAAACCTTAGCTTAGAATTAATCAGAGCGAGCATTAATGTAATCCATAAGTCTGTCTAAGTTTTTATATTGTTAAAGGGCATTTGAGAAATGGAAATCTGAACCCTAAGTGTGAAGTAAATGATTGGACCTAAAATGAGCAGACATCTTACGGAAATAATTAATGTACTCAACACTTCTCTTGTCAACGTTATAGTTTTCTAGCTCTGGGTTATCCATGATAGGTACATCGTTCATTAAGGCGTCAAAATCAAAATCTTTGAAAAATATTAAACACCGTTATTTTAAATTTTTTTCAAATTAATCTTACGTGGAGGAGGATTATACATGTTATAGTTTACACAAGTAAAAATAGAATTGTCATTTCCAGAAGCTTGTTAAGGTCTCCAAACCATTTCTAGTGTCTATTCACTCAATCTTTTATCTTTATCTTAGTAATCTATTCTAGCAAACCACCAGGCATTGAAACCCATTTAGCTAAAAAGTGCAGCCTAAGTTGATTGATGACCAAAAGGATCAATATGCCATCCGATTTTAGGAATACCCTTTTCACCAAATTATTATTTCAACCATTGATGACCAACAGTCATTTGGTCAACAATATCTTCATAGTAAGGAGCAGCTTCATCATTCATGCACCAACCTCCATTAAGGAATTCAATTTATCCATTATTAACTAATTGAGTGTATAAATCTCTTCTATGTTAAGGAGAATCTTTCCACCATCTATAAAGATAGGCTGTCTCTACTTGAACGAATTTTCTTGTTGAATTCTTCAATAATTCGTCAACAACAGAGTCAATTGTGTACTGTACACCTTTTTTAATATAAAATTATAATTTGATAATCATTATCAAATATAATGTTTAATCTTCTCTGTAAATGTAATCATTTTTATATAATAAATTAATAAAAATGATGTATTAGTTTTTACTGTAATTTTCCACAATTTATTAATCTTAAAAATTTTAGATTACATCTCTAATTTGAAATGAGAGGATAATTTTTAATAATTATATATTAATAATCAATAATTTAATTTAGAAAAATATTTATTTTTGCATGGATAAGAATAAAACTTGTAAAGATTTATTTACCTCCTTTTTGTACTACATTCTCAGAACCATAATAGTATTGATCAACAGTTTTAAGCCAGCCAACATCGTCATGTGAGTGAGGGATCAAGTGGATGTAGAGAAACTTTTTTGCATCATCTCCCTTAGGATCATGAGTTGAGTGTCTGTTGAAAACCTCGTCATCGATAAAACGTTTAGGCTACTCTTCTTAGCAAAGTGCGTTTAGCAGCAGAAGAGTAAAAAGAAAAACAAATTATGTTTTCATTTTAAATTTTCTTAAAAGTTGATATTATTTTAATTATATATTTTTTATAACCTTCAATTGATTAATTATCTTTTTAAATAAAAATTTTGACTAACAAATAAACAAATCTCATTTTTCTTACAACAAATTAAATTTTATTCTTTCATAAAGAATTACTACTATCATGATAAATAATATTTATTTATTTATTTACTCTGGATTTCTACAATTGCAACAATTAAAATTAAATATAGATAGAGTTAAAAAGTAAAAGTCTACTTTTGTGTGTTTTATTTCATTAAATTAATGATTTAAGGAAGAATATGCAGACATAAAAGCCTCTGACTCAAATAACTCAGATTTTATACAATTGTTTCTATTAATCATGTGTGAATTTATTTAATAAATTTTAGTTCTAAAGATAGATAGATAGATCTACATACAAAGATGACGCCTATTATATCATATTCAAATTTTTAATTATATTCTGTCTAAATGTATATAAATAATACAAATTGTCATAATATAAATATTAATTGTTGTTGTATTCTTAGTATAAATACCATTTATGATTGAAACATATTTTAAGTTAAAATTAAAAAAATGAATTCATTTTAAAAATATATTTTATAGAAACTTTCATAACATACTTATGTGACATGTAAAAATTAGAATGTTTTTTATTTTCTATTTTTATATGAATTGATGATGCAAAATCTATTTCATAATTAGTTTAATTAATTTACACAGATTAGAATATTAGTTACAATTTTTTTATTTTTTTTGTGATTTTAATCAAAGATTATTCATTTCTTGCAAATAAATAAATTAATTTCTGATAAAATTGCATTAATAATTAAGCTTTAAAAACCATAATTATAATTAAATTACAACTTTCTATATTGATTTACTTTTTTTAAAAATTTCTAAATTTTACCTTATACTTTCTTTAAGGCTAAAAGCATTTGTTATATTAATTACTAATGATTAAACAGGTGATAAAATATATAGGAATTTTCTTCTTAAATCTTCTAATTGATGATAATTCTTTAAATTCTTCATCTCAAAAAAAGAATGCATTTGATTTTAGAGGAGTGTTTTAATAATGAATCTTCTTGAATTAAAGAGAAAATTAAAAATAATATTTAGAAATTATTTGTTTTTTAAATAAAACAAACATATCAAACATATTTTCTTGATGAATTTCTTTAAAATAAATCTAATGTTTGATTAAAATTAAAATTTTAAATATTGCCATTTAATAAAACTCAAATATTTTATTTAATTTTTATATTTAAATTTAATTTCTTATCTTTGATTTTACTCTACTCTCATATGAAAATATCGTTTCAGACATTATAGAATTTAAAATTATCATTTGATATATCAAATAAAATTTGAAAATATATTAATATATATTCAATTCACATATAATAATTTAGAGTAATAATGAATTTTCTTATGTCCTATTACTGATTGCTTCTTTTAAATTAAATTTTGGAAAAAAGAATTATATTTTCAGGTTCCATCCTCTTCTTATCCTTTAATTATGATAATAATCTAATATATTAGAGACATCATTTTTGCAGTAAAAATCGATAAATTTTTTTGATAAAGTATTTTCTATTTAACTAAATCAAATACTTTATCATTTAAATTATTTCTAAGATATATATGACGAATAATTATGTTTTCTAAATTTTTCATTTGTGTTATTAAATGAATTGATAGAAAAAAGAGGAATAATTTTAAATGTATAATTAATATTCATCTTTTTTATCAAAATTTTTCAAATTCTAATTTTTATCATTGCTATTGTTCTAAATTTCAAGTTATCTATACTTCTTGCTTGACAAGATTATTAGCTTTTATTTAATTTTGATAAGCTGTATTCCTTATTTTGCCTATCTTAAAATAGAAAATCTAATTCCATTAGAATAAATATATTCATCTCTTTCTATAAAGTATATAAATTTAACATATTTCACAAATTTAAATCAATTAAGGTTTATCAGTTGAATTTTACCCTTAGCAATCCATATTGATTCACATTTTTCTTTAATTTCATTAATATCAGTTAAATAAGGCAGCCTCCTGATACTAATAAGTTAAATTAATCTTTAACTACTTCTCCAATTTAGTATAATATGTTTCTTCTTACTGTTATTTTAACTCATAAAAATCTAATGAATTTAAAGGAAGTTAGAATATTTTGAACAGAAATAAATTAATTTTCTCTATTAATAAAATATTACTTAGTTCTTATATATATTTTATGTATAAAAATTTTATGCAATATTGGTGTAATTAAAAATGTATAACTCAATTTATTTTTTATTTTAAAAAATAAATATATACTTGATTGCTCATTAATCATTAGTATAGTGAGTGATCAAATATTTTTAAAATTACAAATAATCATATAACTTTTTGATATCATATTGAATAAAATTGTATTAATTTCAAATCGAGCAAAAACCTCAAAAATAAATAAAAAAGAGAGCAATTTTTTATTTTAGAAATGTTCACTTTTAAAATATTTAAATAAGAAAAATTAATTAACTTTAACTGTATCAATCATCATGAATGAAATACATTAAGTTTAAATAATAATATAATTTATTAAGCCTATAAAAATAAAAATGATTTTATTTACTCTTTAGCCTGAATAGAAAACAAATATTTTATATTTATATTAACATTTATTATTCCATTAAGAGAAAATCTTAAGTAAAAATTCTTTTTTAATATTAAATTTAATATGCTTAATCGCCATAAATTAAAATAACTTTAAAAAATTGCTTGGCTAATTTGTGAATTATAAATAATAGAAATTAATTAATTAGCCACTCACTATTTTTATTCTAAATCAAAATTCTAATAGAAACAATTATAAGTTAGACAAAGAGCTAAATTAATAAAAATGGGATCCACATTTACTTGTATTGATTTTCTTTCAAGTTCATTTTAATTCAACATCGGCCAAAAATAAGTAAGGAAGAAAACTTTATTTGGGGCTTTTTTATCGTTTGCAGTCCTGGTATTATTCACAACTTATTTTATCTACTAAGTTCTACTTTACATGAATAATTAAATTGATCCTAAATTCATTTAGCAAAATTTTATAACAGAAGAGAGCATTGATTTAGATCTCCATAATAATTTGATAGCATTTAGATATGAATACATACCAAATACAAGTTTAAATGATTTATAGAGAAATTAAAATTAGACTTATCTGGTTTTCTTGCCATATTTCTTATATTAAAATAACTCTTAAAATAATTTGATTAAGCTCAATGTAGTTGAGTGCTCTGATCCTTAACTAAATGGATTTAATTGCTTAGACTTCTCTTCTGTTTCTAATTTCTCTCTAACACTAAGTGCTTTATAGGGCATCGTTTCTAGAATATTTATTTTTACTTACCGCTGCCAAGACACTGATATTTATAAAACAGATATACCAAATAATTGTGCTAGTTAAGAATAAATAGACAATTTAATTAGTAATACATCTTCTTCGCTCCATATAAAATTATATACGTCTTAATACAACACGAGTTCTTAAATGGTATAAGTGAATTATAGAAATGCATATCTAAATCTATTAGGAGATTAATTTTAGCTTAGTATTTTTAAGACGTAAAAATAAATGACAAGTGTTTCTAGTGGAGCTATTATCTAAAAAAAATCCACCTTTTCTTCTCCTATTCAATATTAATTATAGAATTAAAATTTCGATAGGTAAATTTTTATTTAGAAAACAAATCTTAAGCTCATTTTGCAAATCTCTGTAGAAATGGATGAAATTATTTAGTATAGTTAAATTTAATATCATACATTTCCTGAAATTCTAGCTGTTTGTAACAGTACTTTAGCTCTATTAATGTGTGTTGGTATTCTAGCTAGAAAATTTGCTTCTTAACTTATATTTGAAGATATTTTCTTACTCTTTCTTCAAAACATGTATCAAGGTACCTATTAAAAAATGCTGAAATTAAATAAATAGCTTGGAAAAAAGGAAGTCGCTCAGCCATAAAACGAGAAACAAATTGAAGATTGCTTTGTGGAAGAAGAGTCTGAAAATGCGAAATCAATTGTTATTCCTAATTTTGAAGCTCAGTAAATTAAGTCATTAACTATAATAAAAAATAAAATAGTAGGTTAAGAAGGAGAGTAATGTTCTATATAAGGTCTTAAAAAAGAGTCAAATGATATGACGATGGATTCATTTAACTTATAATTATGTAATTAATGCTGCTTGAATAAAACTAATATTCAGTCTCCTCTAAAAATTTCTGATCAAGCTGTTTGTCCTGAATAAGTAATTATCAATGAAGAAAAAAAACCCATTTAAATCATCTAGCCAAGAAAATTTAGCAAACCTAAAACATAAATATAATAAACAAAAAACATATTTGATAGCTCTTAGAATATTTAACTTAATTAAAGTAAATTTCTATCAAAGCAGGCTATAATTTTTTCTGGTTGCAATTTAAAATAATAATAAGAATAAGACAAAACCAAACTAAGTAAATCTAATGAAAAATAATAAAAGTAAAAGCTCAATTATACCGCTATGTTTGACCATTCAGTTATTAAAAAGATATAAAAAGTTATTTTTGGTAAAAGGTAAAATTTATTTATTTATCTTTCATTTAAAATATACCTAAATAAAAAATAATTACCTTTTATTTAAATAAAACATACGCAATTAAAAAATTACAATATAAAAAGCTAGTTTGTATAAATTTATTAATTAATTTTTTATCTTACTCAATTATATATAAACTTATTAAAAATTGAAGCATTTATATATAAATTTAAGAAATTATTTAAAATTTATAAAAAAGGATTAAAAAAAATGAATACTTGTAATAATAAGGGCTAGACCCTAAAACTAAAGAAAAAATTGAAGAGTAAGTTTTTAAAAGCTTGGATATTTTGTAAATATTTAAAGAATTAATGTTTTTAAAGAAAGCTGTTTTGGTATTACTAAGTAAGTAATAACTGGCTGCTCTTAAATTGGTAGGTTGCTCTTCTGAAATATATCTAAGCTAACTTTAAAATACTGAAATAAAACAAAATAATTATTTTGAAGATTAAATTTGTCTTTTAGAATCTGATGATTAATAATTTGAATAGATAACAAAATTCTTATAAAGATGTTAAGAATAAGGCAAAGATTTATGCTAAATCGATTAAAGAATATTTAGCTCATTGTGTATTTAATTAAAAGATAAGCTTATAGATTGATTTCATACTAATTTAAGTATTTAATTATTATATATCATTAATATATTTATCTATTTTTTCTAATATGCAAATTTAATAATCAAAAAACATCAATTTCTATTCTATTAAATAATAGAAAAATTTATTGTTTATAAATTAAATAATAAAGATTAAATCCTTAAAGTTTCTTTAATTTAAATAAATCTTTTTTTTAAATAATAAATTATGTTTTAATTTATTCAAAGATTTTTTTTATTTTTTATATAAAATATGATAAAATATTATTAAAAATTAATTATTTTAACTTTAAATTGTTTTAATTTGTATAATTTATAACAGGAAAATTAATAATCAAATAGCTAGCTACCTTTTACTTTTAGAAAATTTGGTTTTCAATCTAATTGGTATTTTTATATTTTTGTATTTATGTTAAAGCAAACCAGCAATTAGTTAATTATATTTATCATTCTTAAATAAATTATTTTAAGAATGAGGTTAATTTAAACATATTTCTTAAGTAATATAGAAAATTATTTAAAATTTTTACTTAGTTAGGAATATAAGTGTTAGTTAATAAAAAATTTCTAGCTTAATTCATAATATCAAATAGTTAAAACCTTTTTAATTCATGAAAAATTAATTTTATAAAATAGCTTAAAAATATATTTTATTTTTAAAAGAAAAAATATGTAAAAGAATTTATTTTAAACATAAAAAGGCTTCTTTAACTCACTGTTATAAATACACAAAAAGTAAAGATTTATTTTTATTAATTCTTATAAAATACTAATAACTGTACCTGTTAATCTGAAAATACTAAGAAATTTATTTGAATAATAAATAGATCAATTGAGCTTAAAGAGGGCTTTTATTAATTACAATAAGTCTTTATTAGATCTTTAATAAATAAAAAAAAAATAAAATTAATCAATATTATCAAAAAATGTAAGAATTGTATAACCCTTGTTACTTCTATATTCTAATAAGTATTTAATATTTTTTTAAAAAGTAACATTTTCTAAACTGGTATTAATCGTTTTGAAATGCATTTGCTCATTTGATCAAAAATATCCGTCATCTAGATTATAAGAAATTAAATTTGAAAAATAAACAGACATATATATTTATATTATTTCTGATAAAGTAGAACTAACTATTTAAAACAAATAAGAAAATAATAAATAACAAAAATAAGATTTAAAGGATAATTTTAATCAATAAGTTTTGGCATTTAATTTGTATAAATATAGTAAATTTTTATAAATATAAACTTCATTATTTTATAATTAATTTTGTTAAATAGTTAATTTTGTCAAATTTTTAAACTGTTTTTGATTTTGTAATAAGCTTTTAACATTTATTCTTGTCTGTTGCCTTCATTTTTTATATTTGAACCAGTTTCAGCTTAGAAGCGTTCAGTGATTTCTTAATAAACTTCCTTAGCGTTTCCTTCAAATCCGTTTTATTAGATGATATTTAGAGCATCTTAATAGCCTTATTATATCATTTCATTCATTTATTTATTGTTAAAAAGCTATTTTTAATTTAAAAACAAATTATTTATTTTTTACAGAAAACATAGAAACAAACTTTTGATGTAAATATATTTTATATTTAAAATTAAAATTATTCTTAAAATAATATACGAATGGCATTTTTTAATTAGGCAAAGCATGAGATGGCTTTATGATATAACGGAAGTTAACATCTGGGTATAATTACATAGCATCAAGTAACTATCTATAAGTGTTAGAGAAACCCATAATTGTGCTCTTTATATGTTTGTTTGTTTAAAATTAGCGTTAATAAATTTTTTTTAATTTAATTTTCATTTACAGCTCTTTGGAAGGCTTCCATAGTCTTCTTCTTTTTATCAGTTGTCCATAAATCAAGTGATTTAGAGAATTTAACGAATATGGCATCAACTATAATATCGGAATCATCAGATACGATTTCACGACATCTCTAAATAGCACCTTACAAATCAATCAATATACCTGTCTATTTTAATTAAAATATGACTTATTATACTTTTATTAAAAACTTATATTTATTTTCTTAAAAATTGTGATAAATATTTGATTAAATGTGAGAAAAAACTAGTTATTTATTTTAATCGAACATTTATATGCAGTAAGCATACCTTTGTTTTATAAATTTGGTTTTTAAAGGGATGTTTGAACATTTATTAATAATTTATTTTTAAAAATTCTTACAGTGCCACCGTCTACATAAATTTCACCGTCTAAGGTAGAATAAGGGAAGAAAGTAGGTATAGAGCCAGAAGCTAATGCGGCTGAAACCAAAGTAGAAATTGAGCTCTATTCGTTATATCTAACGAGCTCTCCAGTTCTTAAGTTGCATGTTCCAATATTAATTTTTCTTTATGCAGGTTTAGTGGCAACTCTTTTAAGTAATTCTAAAGCTGGAGAGCTATCAAAAATACCTCTTTCGTATAGTAATCCTTAAACAATGCCTCCTTTAAAATTCTTATAAACATCTTTTTATTTTAAACCTGTCCATAGATTCACTAACCAGTCAGCTTGATCCCTTTCTTATCCTTTAGGAAACTGAGAGAGACCCAAAGTGTTGATGCTACCAATTGAAATACCTTTATTAATTATTTATTAATCAAAATTTTATAAATCAAAATAAAAATTGAAAGAAAGATTTTGTTTATATTTGATTTAATTTCTTTTTAGTAGGATTGTTTATTAAATTTGAACAATTACTAATCAAATTAGGGAACACTATAAAAATAAATTTGCCAAAGATTAATAAAATTCCTTTTCTAATTAAGATATTTTTAAGAGAAGAAGTGAGTAAATATTCATGCAACTCTAAAATAAAATGCAAATAAATATATTCTAAATGCTAAAATGGAGCTATTAATGAAAAGATAATGGTTCTAGAAAACTCATTTAAAAGAATAATTTTGCTATTTCTAATGAAGAAATAAATAAGAAATTTAGTTACCAGTGTAAACATCATACTAAACTTCCTCAGCAGGTAAATTATAAACCAATGCCTTGTAAGCACCTGCTTCAAAAGAACCTAAATCACCGCCTGCTTCTAAAGCTAAAGCTCTACATTTTTAGCCAGCAGTTACGTTTTAAATGAAAAGAGCTGCGAAAAATAGGCTCAGTAAAAATAATTTATTCATTTTCTTGATTTTTTATTAATTATTATTTTTGCCAAAATAATTAATTATGTGAATCTCCTATTTTTTTATATAATGATTAAAGTATTATCTGATATCTGTGAATATTAATTAAAATTGTTTGCTAATATTTGTGTTACCTCTTCTTAGGATCTATAAAAGTCAACCTAACTAAATAAGAATGCTATATTTATTTACCGATTTTAAATAAAATATGGATATATCTATCGTAATATTCTTGTTTGATACGTAAGTAGTCTGATGCTTCGTTTATATAAGAACAAAATATAATGACTATTTATAACTAAAAGAAGAGCTTCGTTTCAGAAGAGAAAATCTATAATCACACTTTAGACCATATAAATTTATGTCATTTTAATTTTTTTCTTATCATTTCTTATTACTCAGAAAAAATATCTATAAAAGAAAAACAAAATATAACAATTATTAAATAATCTTCTTTATCTTATTTCTAATTTAAGTGTGTTATAACTATATTTTTTTAATATTATACAAAATATTTGAATGAATCAAAACCATAAGAATATTTTTAAAGTTCAAACAAACATATTTCTTATAATTTATTTATTAGCAAGCATAACAAGGCAAATAAATATATTTAGTTAGATGAAAAAGTTTTTATGAGATAATTATTTTCTTTATTTTGAAATAAAAAGTATAGCCAGATTTAATTGTTATTTCAAGATATATTTTATTATTTTTGACTGTTAAGTATTCGTTAAATATACATTTTTATAGAAAATTAAAGATATCATTTTTTCTATCTTCCTGATAAGAAATCAGTCATATCAGAAATTCCAAATATTAAATTTATTATTAATATTTTTTACAAATTTTACATAATCAAAGATAATTAAAAAGATTTATGTTAAAATTAATTGGTTTCTATGACAATAGATTGGTTTTAAATTGAATTAAAGAGAATAGCTCTAAATTTTATTATTTTAATAATTATAAAAATTTTTTACAAAATTTATTATTTATTTTGTATTTTGTAATAAAGGATTTCTTATTTCTTTATTTTATAGTCAGTCATAAAAATATTTTTTAATTTTATTTATTAATTTTGAACATTAATAAACTAAAAGCTTATTATTAAACTATCTGAATTTATTTTTATTTAAAAATATAAAATATTTGATTAATATTATTTATCACTTTGCTATTTGGTATTTTATTTTTTATCTAAACTAGAATTAATTCATAATTTTTGTTGTATTGTGCAATTGAATTTGAATTAATTTATTAAAATTTTAATTTTCAAAAAAAAATTATTTCAACATTAAACTTTAGTAAAATATCTTAATAAATTATTGATGGTAAAAATTTTTTTTTAAATTTCGAATCGATTACTTGAAAATTTTTAATTTTATTTTCATTTGAATCAAATAAAAAAATTTTTCAGAAATAAAATCATCCTTCAAATAAATTCAATGAAGGATGTTAAATACTTTTGAATAAACATATAGAGTTTTATATATGTTGATTATAATCTCAATAGAAAATAGATAAAGAAAAATATGTTTATTCTATAAGAATATTTAAGCAAAAAATTTTTGAAGTTCTTATTAAACTTAAAAAATGAAAAGAAAGTGAGATTATTTTTTAAAAATTAAGAATTTGTATTTAAATAAAATAAAGATTAATTATTTTATATTTTTCCTTGCATCAAATAATTACTAAAGAAAATATTAAGAAAATAGAGGAATACCTATAACATATTAATACATATAATAAAGCATAATCAACCAATTTTATTCAAATAAGTTATTCTCCTTGCGTTTTAGCCTAAATCAACCATATCTCTGCGAAACGTTTCAGATGATAATACATACATACATACATACATACATACATACATACATACATACATACATACATAAATCTTCATCATTCATTTTTTATAAGAGCTCAGATATACAGGAGTGATCAATGAATCCTTCCTTATTAATCATATCATATATTGGTCAAAACTTAATTTTATTACAGTACCATCCTATCTTAATAAAATTATAAATATGTCCTATCTAAAATTTTGAACAGGATCGATCTATTAATATTTATTGAGATATATTGTTCTATCTTAATTTAATGACAGATGTCAATATGATTAGATAGGACACAATTTCAGCATTTTGAGAAGATATAAATGGAATTAGAAAATAATCAGTTAATTAATTAAAATTATTTAAAGATATCTAAATTATACCTTAATATTTGTTGTAAAATAATAGAAATCTCTTCTCAAAAAAGAAAGAGAACTTAGAACTGAAGTAAGAAAAAATGTGCTTTAAGATGACTTTTGTATGAAGAGACATACTCTATTTAATAAATGCGTTTTATGAATATGATAGAGTATTCGATGATTAAAAAGCAAAAAATGTTGAAGATATGGAGATCTTTGATAATGATAAAAAAGAAGTTGAAGCAAAGGTTAAGTATGAAGATGTTTTTTTTTTTTATAATGGAGTGAAACAAGAATTTAAAAGATAATAAGAGAAGTGAAAATTTAAGATGATGATTAGAAAGATGCAATATACATTTCTCTATGCATGAATATTCTATAAACCCCAATTTGGTATAAATGCAAAAAACATATTTAGGTTGGCAAATCTTCATCCCACATAAACAACTATTACTGGAGGTGCTATTCTCCTGATTGCTATTATAGAAGATAAAAACTCTTTTAAGAAAATAAGATACTTAATACATCCTAGCTAAATATTTCTATTTTGCTCAAAATGTTCCTCTTGCATTTTCCAATTAAGGATTAATATATAAAAATTACTAATAATATTGACATTTCTAAGTGCGATCTCACTATACTAAGAAAGATTTAAAGTTAAGCATTAAAAAATAATTATAATGAATATTTTTCAAAATTGTAATTAGGTTAAGATGGCCACTTTGTTGAAATTTATGAGAGCGAATTCTCTCGCAAATACAAGAGAGGTAGGCTTTTAAGGAGGTAGTAATGAGTTATTGGTATGACCAAAAGAAATAATAAAGAAAATAAAACTGTTTTAATACCAATTTAGCAGTGAATAAAGAAACTATTATTCCTCTAATACTGCAGTTTGTATCTAAAAATAGTAAATTTATCTTTACTGATAAATGGCATTCTTATACTTCATTAAAATAGAAAGGCTATAAGCATTATACAGTTAATCACTCTAAAAACTTTGTAGAGCATAACAAATAAGAATAATAATAATTATAAAATAGAAGATAAAAAATAAAAATTATAATAGAGAAAAAAATTATAAAAAAGTGTTGGGATAATACAATACATCCACACTTAAACAATTGAAAATAGGTGGAAACACTTAAAAGATAGACCGCGTAGACTTAAAGGGGAGACAAAAGTAATATTATGAAAAAGACAATATAAGTAAGTAAGTATTAACCAATTATCTAAATTTTAATGATAGTTGATTATTTATTGTATATTTTGATATAGAATTTAATTTATTTAAACTATTTATGAAATAAATTGACTTTATCTCATTTTTTTATTCATTATATTTTTAAAACTGGTCAAAATTTAGTTTTATAAATTTTTCAAAATAAAATAAGATAGGAACATAAAATAGATCTGTCAATAAAATTAAATTATATAAAATGTAAATTTATTTAGATTGGCCAATCCTGCACAAAATTTTAGATAGGACATATATGTCATTTTATTTAGATATAACGGTAATGTCAGTTAATTAAACTTTAATAAACCCTACATTTAATTTAATTTATTTTAATCTAAAAGCTTTAGGTAGCCTTTAGATTATATTGGGAGGTAATTCTATTAATTTTAATTTTATTAAATGATATTCACAACATTTGATTTATTAATATTGAGTTTTTCTGAAATGCCTCTTTTAACTATGCTCAAAAAATATGCACTTATTATTTTCCATCTTTCGAATTAATTTAATACCTTCTAACTATTTATTTTTTTAAAATAACTAAATATTAATATTCACATTTTACTTATACAAATCATACAAATATGGATCACAAATATACTTAATAATAATACTCTCTCTAATCTATTAAATTATAAGCTTAGTGAAGAAAATCAGTCAAAAAAACAGAAACTTTACTTGACACACATTATTATTAATTGAGTATTTAAATTATTTTGACATTAGATTGATAATAAATATTAGTTAAAAATATATCCTCAACTTGCTCCCCAAAAACTATGGTATATAAAATGGTTTCTTATTTTTAATAATTAGATATTTTTCAATTTTATATATATATATATATAAATAAATATAAATAAATATAACATAATTTTTTTGAATCATTTATTTTGATAATAGAATATTTAGTTTACTTATTTAAAAAATATATTTGGGAATAAATTAATTCAAAAAAAATAAATTTTCATTTATCTTGCATGTTCTTCTAAATTATTTGCACCGCTATTAGTGAAATAAATGTAAAATGAAATATTTACTAATTTATGTTTTAAAAATTAGATATAAACAATCTAGCTTTGGATGATTGATTAATTTTGTAAAAGTAATTAATTCAAGCAAATAAATAAATATCCTAACTAACTAACTAAATTTCTACCAAAAACAAAATTAGGCTTAAGACAAAATTTTAGTTTCAAATCAAGTGAATAGTTAATTAGATAATAAAGATAAGGATTTGTAATTTGATTATACAAAAATAAGAAGATTAATTAGTCTTTTACTTTTATTTTTGTAGAACGGATAATTATTAATTAAAGGAAGGTAAAAAGAAGATATAAAAGGAAGCAAATTATGAAATATATAATAATGAATGATATTTATGAATGATTTTATGAAAATTTATTATGAATTAATTTGTATTTGTATGAATATAAATTTTCTTATGCTAGTTTTTTATAAAAATAATATAGTCATATATATTTTTCATATACTTTTATTAAATTGTTGTAAAAATGATTTTTTAAATCATTATTAAGCTCAAAGATTTAAGCTGTTTTTGATTTTGTTATAAGCATCGAGCATTTTTTCAGTTTTGTTGGTTTGAGAATGTTGATAGAAAGCATTTTCCTTTTACATAAGCTTAACACTTTCTTCATAGACTTCTCTAGCATTACCATTAAGACCGCTAGACTTGATGATATTTGTAGCATCATCAATACCTTGTTAGATCATTTAATTCATTTATTTATTGTCGAAGAGCTATTTATTTTACAATAAATTAGATTAATTTAAAATGGCAACGAGATATTTAAATCAACTTTAAATTGATGAATCTCATCAATAATAATAAAAGAAAAATATTTACGAAAGGTAATTTAGGCATGAATAAAGCCTTAGATGGCTTGATGACATAACGGAAATTAACATCAGGATAAATATCCATAGCTTCCAATAAGAGTTTGTATACGGTGGAGTATGATTGAATGGCTTACTGTTGATTGAAAATAGATAAAATAAATTGAAAACACTTTAGTTGTATTTAAATTGATTTATAAATGAGTAGATAGATAGATAGATTAATGTAATAATATAAAAAGTATTTATTACTGATCTTTAGTAGACTTCAAAGGTTTTCTTCTTCTTATCAGAACTCCAGAAATCAAGGGAAGCGAATTAGACATAAATAAGATCCAAAGTAATATCGGAGTCTGATTCAACAGTTTCACGACATCTTTAGATGGCTGCGTGGAAATCGATCAAAGTACCAGTCTATTATTTTTGTTTAAAATTATTATTTATATTGTGTTTATAAAAGAATTTTTAATTAGATAAAATCAGTAGTTGCATTGATTTTTTATTTTTAAGCTTGTAAAGTCAATTAAATAGATAGATAGATAAATCAATTAATCGATTATCTCTTAATATTTTTTTTCACATTGATTTTCAAACTTATTTAATCATTCGCTTCAAAGAAGAAACAAAAGCAAATAAAACTTTAAGATTGTGATAAATTGATTTTTATTTTGCTTTCAGTGTTAAATAATCAGTTTTTATTTTATTTTTTCTACAATTTAGTTGTTTATTTTGTTTAGAGTTCCAATGTTTCTTTTATAAATTTAATAAATAAATAAATATTTTACAGTGCCACCATCGACATAAGTGTGATCTTCAAGAGTAGAGTAAGGGAAGAAAGTTGGCATAGAACCAGAAGCTAAGGCAGCTTCGGCAAGGAAATCAGAGGGGTGGTTTTCAAAATATCTAACTAAATCACCAGTTTTTAAGTCGCAAGTACCCATTGAAATCTTTCTTTGAGGAGGCTTGGTAACTAATCTTTTCAAAAGTGCTAAAGCAGGAGAGCTATCGAAAATACCTCTTTCGAAAAACAAACCTTGAACGATACCACCAGGGAAATTTTTATAAACATCGGTTCTTTTGAGGTTTGACCACAAACTAATAAGCCAATCAGATTATTGCTTTTCTTCACCTTTAGCAAATTGAGATAATCCCAAAGTGTTGATACTACCAATAGAAATACCTATTTTTTTAAAGAAAGTTAAGCTTTCAAAATAAGAATCAATAAATAAATAAATGAAATAGGAATTTAAACTAGAATTATCACGAATCACATAATCAATTTTCCTAATGCTTAATAATTTATTTTCTCTTTCATTTCAAATTTTGAATAATATAGTTAAACAAATTTCATCTTCTAAGATTAAATTGCTAGATATAAATTTGAGTGATGATTTATAGATTATTGAAGTAATAATGGTGGTTGCTAAAAGTAAAAAAGTATGAGATAAAATTATTGTTTAAGTGTGGCAAAAGAATTAATAATGGAGGAAGATTAATTTTAGTATTATTCTGATGAAAGTTAAAAGCAAATTGAATGTTTGATGTCAGGTAAATAACTAGATAGCGTGATTGAATCCTGATTAAAGTAAGAATAATCCAATTAATTACCTGTATAGACATCATATTAAACTTCTTCAGCTGGTAAGTTGTCGACTAAGGCCTTGTAAGCACCAGCTTCAAAGGAACCTAAGTCACCACCTGCTTATAATGCCAAGGCTCTGCACTTTTAACCAGCAAGAACTCCTTGAGCAAAAAGAGCTATTAAAAATACACTTAAGAAAAGTAATTTATTCATAGTTTTATTTATAGTATTAGGGCTTCTTATTAATACTTCAAATTATTAATTATATGGATCTTCAATTAGTTATTGATTGTTTAAATATTTAATGAATGCTTTAAGATTATCATTAAAAATGTAAAAAAGACTAATAAAGATATATCTATTAATATATCTAAATTGTATAATCAATTATAATTTGTCATTTAATTTCAAAGAAAATAAATTATCTTTTCTCTAATAAACAACTAAGGGTAGTTTGATTCTTTTAGTCAAATATTAGACAACAGCTTAACTTAAAAGCTAATTCGCTCATTCATTATATCCAATAATTCTTTTATAAAAAGGGTATCTCGTTATTTGTGATATTTTAGTTGCTTTGTACCTATAAAAGATTTAATAAAAGAAAAATGGTATGATAAAAATTCTCTTACTCACCAAAAATAAGTAAATTATTATTTTTAATTCTAATTCATTTTTTTAGCTCTAAAAATGCTGTCTGTTAATTTGTATAAAATCTTAAATTAAACTTTACTTTCTAACTAATTTAATTAACATATACTATAGTTAATTATCATTCATTTTAAGATTCTTCTTAGTAACTCCAAATATCAATTTTATTATAATTTACATATCAATAATTAAACTTAAAAAAATAAATTACAAAAAAAGAGTATTCATGCTATATTTCATTTATTTTTAAAAAATATATTTAAAAATAATTTTAATTTTGTTTTCAAATACATTTAATAAATAGATAATCTTTTTGTATGATCAAAATTTTTCATCACAGTAATAGTATAAAAAGTAATTATTACATTATAATTGCTATTTTTTTTGTTCAAAATGATTTATAAAGTTTTTATCTCTTAATTCGATCAACTATTTAAAGAATTTAATCAACTTTTCAATAAAGTGTAATTCTATCTAATTTAATCTTCTCTTAGTATTTTCAAAAAATAATTTTATTATTTAAAAATTAAGGTTAATTCTTATTTATTGTAGAAATAGTGTGAATAAGTTAAATTAAAATTATATTTTGATTAATAAATTAATTTAAATGAAAACTATTTGAAAATTTGTTACATTTTTATTACTTACTTCAATTTAACTTTTAAGGAAACTATTGATAATGATTTAAAAATTTATTTTGGATATAATTAATTAATTGTTAATAAAAATAAATAAAAAATTATTTTTAATTTAAAAAGTTTATTTAAAATTATTAAAATAAATTAATTATCTACCGTTTTATTTAAAAATTATTTTAAGAAGTAAAATAAATTAATATTAAATTATTAAGCTCCTTAATATTCTTACAGATTAAATTTAAGATTAAAAATTATAATGAAGTGATTAAAAATTATGAACTTCATCATAATTTTTTGTTTTATTTTTTAAATTTAATAGCTAAATAAAATTAATTTAATGAACAAGTTTTTTAATTTAAATAAAAAATTTATCATTTTTTACCAAATAAATTATTTAATCAAAATTTGTAAAATAAAATATTTCTGAATCAATTATTAAATATTCCTTTATATAACTGTAATAAATCAAAAATTTAATCAAATTTATTAAGTATTAAGGATTTTTAGCGAGCTTTAGTTTCCATGCTTATGTTTTATGTTATGTCATATCTATAATT